CACCAAGGAATGGGGAAATTGCACCAAGGCAAATGATGGAGGACACCAATGTATAATGAGGACACAAAAAAGCAAAATAGTACCCACCTTGTCTGTACAATTCAAGCTTGAAAAAAAAAAAAACCGCGTCACCGCATCAATTCCGGAACTTTGGTCTGACCAGAGACCGATTTTTTTTTTTTTTTTTGGCCTAATATAAAATTGTAAAGAAAAAAAGTGGGTAATAATGTATTTTTTATTGTGTGTTGCAAAAACACTGATTTGTTGCCTGTACAATTTTGAAAAGCAAACATTTAATATTACTTAACATTTCGCAGTGTGAATCATGGGAAACTGCGCACCGTTTTTCACTTGTTTCAGTGGACAATTAGTATGACTAATTACCGGTAGTTGGGCCAATGTATGACTTTGCAAGTATAAGAGACCTGTGTTAAGTTTTTTTCAGGGAGATTATAAAACAAAGCCTTCGTGGAATGTCATGGAAAATGCGTACATTTTTGATCCGCAAACCAGTATAAAAATGCCTTCCTATGTTTGGTTGTGTAAGAAACGTTGGCACAAAATTTATGTGTGAACAGAAAGTGCAAATGTTTTTAGCATTAGAGAAACCCGAAACTAAACTGGTTGTGTTTTTACAAGCACATGGATCCAATGCTAGGATCATAATTCTTTTTGTAGTTCATGAATGTTGTTATGAGAGCCAACATATCTTTCCAATCTGTTTCCTCAAAATGTGTATTTGTTAGTGCCACAGTATTCACCATTGCTGACCCGTCAAGGTAGAATGAATGAAGGTGGTAGGGATGCAGGTCAATAAACACAAAAGACTTTCAGAATATTGGCTTCCGTGTATACATGTTTGCAAACCATGGAGATTAACAATTGAACTGAAATTGAAAGGTACATGGTTGAAAACTAGACTGTGGGGGACATAATGCACAGACCGTGTACATTTGTACATACACACGTATATATGCCAGTTTTCATAGACTCACCAATAAGTAATGTACACAAACATGTATGTGTAGTTCTTTTTTTTTTTTTTAATTTTAACAAAAAGTCCTGCTTGGTGTGGCCCAAAAGTTTGAAGGAATACTGCATGTATCGCCAAAAAAAAGTATTATACAAAAAAATTGATTTGTGGGAGAATGGCAGTTGATCAATCGTATCGATCATAATGTGAATTCATATCAAAATCCGCATTCTATTATATGTGCTAGAAAGAAACCTTAGTTTTACCCTAACCGCCCTGAATCCTCCAAAATCCTTTTTGCAAATTGGAGGAATTTGCAGGATTGAGGTTACATGGCCAAAGTGCGTTGCTGATTTCGGAGTACGCACTGTGTCAAGGTCTTAGGCCGGACCTTGTGTTGTTTATGCTCAGCCGTGCATAAATTTAGTCCTTGATTATACTTGACATCCTCCGCACTGCTCCAGGATGTCACTGCCTCTGCCTCAGCCTATTGACAGTCATAGCCGGAGGATTTTGCAGGATTCAGGCAGTGGTCACCCCTCCATGGACCATATTCAAGAAATAACGGACGAATTTGCAGGATTGAGGCTACATGTATATGCTATTTTTCCATGAGGCCAATTGGAGGATTTTGCAGGATTGAGGCTACATCCTAGCAAAAAGGCCTAGGGAGTTAAGGTTAACATGTTTAATTAATAAGGGGATCGAGTGCAGCAGCCAAGGGTTAGATTTTTTTGTGACTGCATAATTGGCATGTTTCTGTTTTGTTTTTCCTTTTAGCGCTCTATTTTAGTAACGTTATTTTTACCGAGAGATTTGATTAGTTTTTGTTGCTGGCTTGCTTTTATATTTTCTTAGATTCTGCTTTTGTGTTAAGTGTATATCATTTCATTGTTTTTGTTCCCTTTTTCTTTTGTAAGCCTTCGATTTTGTAAAATTCATATTATTAGTTTATTTTAATGCAGGGCCTTAATGAAAACCAGCATTTTGCTGTTTGGGTTTACTCCAGTGGATAAATAAAGGAATAAATAAATAAATGTTGATTGTGTTTAATTGTTGGCCAAATCCTGGCTTCAAGAAGTGAACATGGGCAATTCCACTGTTACTTACGTTACATTTTTGATGTACTTTTGAGTTTCCTTGGGCTGTAATTACCTTACTGAAAAGGTTTAATAACTGTTATCCCCACGGTAGATAGAGTAGACCTAGACCAAAGCACCAAAGATGACATCCAGAAAAATGTGTTATGTATGATAAACAAGACGCACAAAATCGGTTACTCACGTTACATTTTCGGACATGCATAAAAAGCAAACATGATTTGATCAAAAAGTGTCCTCATACAGGCAACCTGTGGAAATTTCTTTTAAATGGATAAAAGACCATGCCATGGGGCACACATAATAAGAGTAAAACAAATCCTCTAGATTCTCCCATTTTTTTGCAATCCACAAAAAACATGGTTACTGACGTTACGGTTACTCACGTTACATTTTGTCCGACCTGTCTGAGAAGTTTATGGCATGATGTTTTTTTGACTAAATTATCATAATTAGTATTTTTCTACCCAATAGGCATCAGAACTACGAAAAACTCTGACTTAAAACTGCATTTTGGATCTCCACTGGCAAGTACTCCACGATAAAGGTTTTCATCTGACATTATTCTGATACTATTACAGTGCATATTGATCCCTTATCAGGAATTTGATGTTTCCTGAAGTCCAGCTGTAAGTTAGTTTTTTTTAACTAATGCTGAGCCATCAGAACAAACCTCTCATGTTCTGAGAGTCTGCTAAAACTTAATGTATGCCACTATAGCACAAATAGCACAAATGTGAAACTGGGTTAAAAAAAAAAAAAAATAATAATTCGTAGCCATGTCCATCAAACCGTGAAATTGCCCACATGTATGTTCTAATCTGGGTCAGTCCAAGGCACATCAAGTAGCAACAAATAATGCTTTACAAGTTAATTGGAAAAAATATATACCGGTACTATCAAAAACTAGCCGTAATATATATGTATGTGGTTTAACCTAACTGCACGTAATGTATGCATATAATTTTTTTTAAATGTCATATCTGTCGTGCACCCAAATAGTCATCCGAGTAAAGTTTTTGGGGCAAGGTTGTACTTAAGGTTGAAGCTGACTACAAGTACCTTGGAACTTAGATCAGCTCCAGTGAGAAAGACCTCAAGACCTGAAGAGGACAGGCGTGGTCAGTGCTCCACAGAATGAAAAAGGTGTAGTCATATCGGCACTCAGTGATCGAATGAAAAGGTCACTGTTCGTGTCTACGGTAGAGGCAGTACTTCTGTACGGAGCTTGAGACCTGAAACCTCACTAATATAAGATGGAGAAGTCTCAGGATGGGTGTTACACCAGGATGCTGCGCATGCCCCTGAACATCCCGTGGCAGGATCACATGAGGAATGTAGACCTCTAAGCTGGCTTGCCGAAGGCAGTGTTTGCCCTGCCCATTCAAACGTGAGGTGGCCCACCTCGCTACTTTCAGTGACCACCTCACTCAATTTTTGCCAATATCACAACTCGCTGTGAACATTGGCAAAAATGGAAATATCAATTGAGAAATTGTCATTTTGTGTAACATATGAGCGTTTTCCTTTACCTCCATGTATCAAGAACTCACGATTTTGATGTGTTTTTGGAATCATCGCGCATTTTTGTGAGCGCTGTATTCTTTTCAGTTTGCAGACTGCGTAAATTTCGTTTCAATCATCAACTTGAATTGTTACCACCTCGCTCAGTTCATTAGCCAGGGGAAACACTGGCCGAAGGTGACAAAATAGATCCGGGAACGCCGTCTCAAACTTGCAGGGCAATGCGTCCGTCACCTGGAGCTGGCCGCTAGCCCGATCATTCTCTGGGAGCCCACATGGGGCACTGCCTCACGTGGGAGAAGAAATCTCTCCTTCGTGGACATGCTGAAACGGGAAACCGGCTTGACCACTGCTGAGGAGCTGTGCTCCTGCATGCTGGACTGTGACATCTGCACCAAGATCATTGGGCGGGCTCGAGCTGCCAAAGGGCCTCGACTTGATTGAGTCTTAAGCAAGTTTAAGTCGTACGTGACAGTCAGTCAGTCAGTCAAGCAGCCCTCTGGAACCAGCAAAAATTAACAATCAATAAAAAATATTTAAAAAACAAAAAACAAACACAGACACACAAATTTAAAATCAAATTAAGAAATAGGGCTGTTCTGAATATACCAAATATTCGAATATCCGATCATCAACCAAATATTTGAATGGCTTTTTGCTGTTTTGAATAGTCGGGCAAAAAAAGGTACCCACATGCACATGCGTATGTAATGTTACTTTATCGTAAAGTTGTGGCGTTTTATTGTCAGGTGCCAATTTTAAAGGGAATATACAACATATGCAAACATCGAAAAATAAAACTACCAAGTTTTTACGAAATACCTTACTAGAATGTTGGTAAATGACAGTCTCAAGCATGTTGTAAAATTATGGCACCTGGTGTGAAGTCATTTTCAAGAAAATGGTATTTTTGTATACATTTCCAACGTTGGTCGGCCGACCAGCGTTGGAAAAACCTAACTATTTTTCAACTATTGCTCCAAATTTACCATTTTTTCAGTCCAAATTTTGTTTGCTATTGGTAACATGTTCATGAACGGGTGCAGGCCAGCTAGACTGGTTCGCTTGCCTTACAATTTTCCATCATCTATAAATTGATCCATTTTATCTTTTGTGGAGTCAGGGAACCAGACTACTTGAACATTTTTGTTTTTCCTTGGTTTTTCCAACCTTTTCGAACACAAACTTCAAAAATGTCAGTGTAACAATATTTGATCTATTATACTAACCCCTCAAATAGTTCATTTCTGAAAATTAGAGCAAAAGCCAATGATGTACATTCCCTTTAATGATACATTTACGTGTTAACATATTTGCTTGCCCAGTACATCGATGAAGCAAGTCTGAGTTGTACATGCACATATGTACCTGTGCCTTAATTCTTTACCATTTGTGTTTTGCAGTAAGCTGTAACGATGGCCTACAAGCCCATAGAAAACCTGAAAGGCCATGTCAAGAGCAGGCCCCCTGTTGTCATCTTTATCGGCTGCATGTTCCTGTTTGCTCTATCTGTCGTCATTTTGGGCTACTATTTCAAGAACAGTGAGGTCCCAAACTACGATATATCCGAGGTAGGTCAAACAAAAGTATTTATGATGCACAAATAATGCAAAAATGCAGAGCAAATACAAAATTGAGATCTGTGATATGGGTGAGTGGGTCTGGTATTTAGGTGCTGGGGCAGCAAAATGTTTACCCTTTGCATGTGAAGTCTGTCACAAGCCAACGTGGCCCATCAGGCCGGTGTTTATCTCCGGTTTCAGTAGCATGAAATGTCTGAGAATATTTCTATTCCCCCTGGATGGGATGCCAGTCCATCGCAGGTTACTCCCCAGCAAGTGCTGATACCCGTTTGTACTCCTGGGTGGAGAGAGAGGCAAGTGGGGGTAAAGTGGCTTGCCCAAGGACACAACATATGACCAGCAGCTGGATTCTAACCTCTGACCCTATGATCATGAATCATGAACCCTAACCACTCGGCCACACTCCCCACGATCCTTTGCATAAAAACAATTAAATTGTCTACAGGGACATCTCATCGCTAGTCAGCTAGTTGGAATAAAATTGAAAACACTTGTAATATATGTGTAAGCTGTTAAATTACTCCACACCTGTGATTATTCTTAAAAAAAATAAAAGTAATAAAAAAAAATAAAGTTATCAAAATATTTGTCCCGTGGCTGTACATGGACAAAAGGTTGTCCATCGCCACGTATTCATCAAGTAACTTGCTATAATATTGAGTACAAAATGGCTGTCTCTTCTAGCAAATTCCCTAAATTTTCTGAATTTTGTGTTGTATACCTTTGATTTGATGTAAACTACCCATTGTGTCAACTGTTTTTGATTTCCTTTATTCTCACTAAATGGTGATAAGCATTTGTGTTTACTTGTCAATCCTTCCTTTCTTTATGTTGTATGTATGTCATCATCAGTGACATGTACATTAATGTTTTTTCAGATGTAACTGCAGTGTTTGACACTCTCTCCTAAAACAGTGTAAACTAAGGGCTGAAAGCTGCGAACATCCTAAATCGGACAATTTTGTCCATAGCTTTTTTTCTCTTCATTCACTGGCACTGTAAGCAACCATAATTTGAGAATGCCATGGCACTTTCCAAGTGTTGGTTTCTAAACAAACGAATCTGCTGTCTGATTGCAACCTTGCAGTGCAGTGGAATCAAGTAACTTGTATTTTCTTTGTATTTCCAGGATTGGAATCACTTTCTTGGAGATTTATCATCTATAGACTTTTGCCTCACACTGAACACGTCGACTGTCACCTCGGCCATTGCCACAGTGAAGTCCCACACCTTGGAAAACTCGTCACTTTCCCTGACGACGGACCCGTTCCCAATCGTCGACTATGACGAGGACTGGGCAATGAAGAGAAATCTGTCTGTGTCCATCATGCTTTTGATTGAGCCGTCTGTCTACATGGCCAAAACTGTTGCAAACGTCACCATGATGTCCAGTCTAGTTCCCGCCTCTATGCTAGGCCATGAAGGTATCGTGGAAATATTGCTTACAGTGGTAGAGTCAGCCTGCTTGGATATGTAACACAGTCAGAAATGTTTCGTCTGTCATGTCGTAATGTGAACACTGAATTTGTTTATTCAAATGCCAGTTTATCCATTAATGTAGAACTTCAGAAAAGCTATTAATGGTTTTGACTCGTCTATCATACCTGCCTCACAGGCTTGTTACAAGTGAATGATAGTATCTAATTGGATTTTTAAAAAAATCAGTCTTCTCAAAAATATCTCTAGCACAAAAAATATCAGTTGAAAGTTTGTAGATTAAAAGGATGGTGAAATTTGAGTGAATACTTTGACAAAGTTTGAGACTTTAACTTTCGGAAAAACCCAAGTATTATTGGATTAACCATGTCAACAGCGTTCACCAAGTTACTACATAGTATGTTTGAAAGACATTTGAAATTGAAGGTTCACCGGACTCTCTGATTGTTAGCGTTTTGATGAAAAAGGCCCCAGAGGAGCGCCTTCTGTCCCACAGATCAAACTTTTCAGACACTGCCAAAGATACCAAATTTATTTCAGATGTTACTTTGAGGGTTTGTATGGTGGGGAGTTCAACTTAAATGTTTGAAGTGACCAACTGCAAAAAGGGCCTAGTTCGCACTATTCAAAGTCTCTGTGTTGGACCCGGGTCCTACACAGAGATGTCAGGAACCCCTTTCACACTGGCAAGAATCCAACAGAGCTTCTACATGGGTCAGACACTCTACCCGGGTAAAACCAACCCTGGTAGGTAAAACCAACCCTGGTAGGGATCAGGGTTGAGAGGCTGTACCTGGGTAGAAAAATCCAAAATGTACAGCCAACCCATGTAAGTGTAAATGGTGCGACTTGCCTATTTGTGTTGAAGCTGCCCTCAGGCCGACCTGCGATTTGCTTCCACTGCAACGGAACCGTCATTCATGCTCAGGTCACAAAACTGTTAAATCATGTGATAACTCTTGAACAAGCAGCATCTCAACACAAAATAAATGCAACCATGCTCATGTCACCTATGACGTCTACGACGTGACATGATGCGACGACAGTGCCATGGCATAGACGTGATTTTGAAAATGGCATCACATTATATTGATGATAGAAGGTGTATCAGAATGTGTATTGTTCTGTCTAAAGGATTGTAAATGGTAAGATTTGCTGTTGGATACTCACTCCTACAAATGTAAAAATGAGTAGGGTTTGCCTTTCACTTTGTTTTGTTAAACGTCACCGCGAGCTCGTCGCAAGGTTGACCTGATGAGGGTGGTTTGAGGTTACCTGGTTCCTCTTTGTGTTGATTTCAACGCCGATAGACGAGACAGTTGTGCAAAAAGACCTTCAGAGCAGGCCTGAATTAAGTATTTTGTAGGCCTTAGGCACCAGTGTTCCGTAGGCTGTGTGTTATGTGTTTTATGGCACACTGCGGTACTTTCGTTGGCCCCCAAATTTTCCGAAGGCCCCTCAATTTTTTGTAGGTCCTAGGCACAGTGCCTACTGAGCCTATTGGATAATCCGGGCCTGCTTCAGAGATGTGTGAGAAGAACCAGAAGCATGGAATCTGTGCATTCACAGTAAATGACACTTCTTTTACAAGAGCTCCATGTGAGGGACACTCAAACCTGAGTCTTAACATTAGCTCCAGGCACGCAGCAGCAATGCGTTAAAGTTCCTCCTAACTGATCACACTCTTTATGCGTGTAGGTACTATAACTGCAGAAAGTCCTTTATTTTTTACAAGGTGCACACATGTACAGGTTGTGGAGTGCTGTGGCCTCGTGGTTAAGGGCACTGGATTCGTGGTCTGTGGGTAAAGCTGCGGGTTGTGGGTTCGAGTCTAGCCTGGGTCATGGTGTGTGTGCCCTTGGGCAAGGCACTTTGTCACTCATTGCTTCTCTCCACCCAAGAGTAAATGGGTACCTGTGAGGGCAGAGATGGTTATTGTGATTGAATAAGCTTGCTTGCGCCTAACAGGCAGCATCGAGCTGTATACTCCCCAGGGAGCTGAGATGGTATTTGGAATGTTTAATTGGCCCAATGATCAGGGGTAGTAATAATACTGTAAGCGCTGTGACTTAGTTTTCTAATAAGAGCGTTGTTAAATGCCGATTATTACTATTAATTACAGGTTGAATGCCATCTCTCTTCTTTTCAACTTTGCTTTAGGTCCGGACGAGATGGTCAGTGTACAGTTTGAGTTACCCCAGACGCTGAAGCTACCCCAGAGTAAAGACTCTGCCACACGTCCCCTAGTAGTGCAGACATGTCTCACGCTGATTGGCTCACCGTCAGTGTTCCCCATGACCAAGTATGTAGAACACAGTCCAGCCTGTTATGTAAATAAATTCCTTTATAATACCGAAGTCTTACCGAAGTGTTATATATCTACCAACAATTAGGTACTCAAGGCGCTGGAAATTATGTCTATTGTTAGAGACAGGAAAATGAAGTACATGAGAAATATGAGAACCATTATGTAGCACCTTTATAATGGTTTACAAGGTGCTGCTGCGCATTAAGCAGCCACTGCCAGAGACACCGTGGCAAACCCCTTCTCTTAGCGATAAGTGTTACTGGGTTCTTTAACATGCATTACACAACACACGGGACCTACGGCTTTACGTCCCATCCGAAGGACGAAGCAATAATGGTAAAGCGCCTTGCTCATGTTCCCACAGTTAGGATTCGAACCCATGTACCACGGCACACGAGTCGAACATCATAACCAGTGGACCACAGCACCCCACTAGTTTTAGAAATTATATAATTTTTTTTTATTGTGAAAATAAAGCGGCAGCTCACATGAACATCTTCCTCTGTACATTAACCCTAACCCTGCCAGATATGCAACACAGTGCAAAGTCTATGGGTGTAAAAGTCTTTGGGACCTTGTTGCATTACTTGGTTGGTGGTCCTCCGAAATATTCCATCTAGGGAATTTAAACTGGAGGTGTGGTGTAGTGAGAGTAGTCAGGATTAGATTTTGTCACTAAGTGCATTCTTGAAGGAGTCTGGTTTGTTAAGCGCCACCGTTGAGTCCGGGAGGTCATTCCAATTTTTAAGTGTTCTTAACAAAAATGAGGATGCATATGTGTCGGTCCTGGCCTGGTTGAGTTGAAACTGTCTGTTGTGTCCTTGGTACTTGGTTGGTGGTCCTCCGAAATATTCCATCTGGCATTGAGCCATCTACACCAATTCTGAGACAATGGGTGCTAGTTCCATTGAAAAATACCACTGTTGCAGGCCTGTAGGCAGGGGGTGGTCGGGGGTCGGACGACCTCCCCCAAATCGGCCGCAGGCCCACTTTTTCCTCGCGATTGACATTTTGTGTTTTAGTGAAATGTGTATTTCCATGCATAATCATTACTGGACCGAGCCCAGTCTAATGTGGCTTTCGCGAACTTCATGAGCACCCTACTGAGATGAGGCTTCTTAATTAGTTAACGACCATAAATATGTTCACACATATGGCGGGAGTGCATGGTTTGTCCTTGATCATACCAAGGAGCTTTTTTGTATAGCTCCATGATCATACAGTCGATGGAGCTCCATGGTCAGGCTATCCCCAATGTATGTGCGTTGTTGTCCAACGCCACCTGGCTCCCATCAGAATTTGAGTGACGAGTGACGAACCAGTTAAATACTGGAGAGCTATTAAAGAAAGCCACAATAGACTGGGTTCAGTCCAGTAATGCAACTGTTTGTTAATAGACATGAAAAGGTCCACTTCATGGTACACACGACCCTCCCCTTCCACCAGGCTGGCTAGGACCATGTATTGTATCCTGTTGCAGTTGGCAACCACAGACTATACGGCAGTTTAGCCTTTGAATTTTTGACCTGTTGTTGGTTCTTGTTACACTAGGCAAGCGATTCACTTTGAAACGTTCGGCAACTGTTGCAGGGTTTCCACATAGTCAGGAGGGTTAGGATTAATGGAAGCTAAATTAGTCATGGAACGTGGTTTATTAGGAACCCTGGCTCACCTTCCAGAACAAGAGATTCACCATATCCAGCCTTCATCCTTCAAGGTCCTGTAGATCCTTTTTGAAAATGTTTGAAAACTCCGGGAAGATTGAGACTGAGTGCCTTACTTTCAAGTGTTGTAACTTTAACTTTGATTTCATTCTTAAACTTTTTTTTTGTCCTTTTGAATTTAGACAACCAGCATCGTGCAATACCACCGACTCGCACCACGAGAACAGTACGGCCTGGATGCGTGTCCGACCCAAACGCCACCCCCTGGATAGCTGGTGTAAACAAGGGACAATGGCTCATGCTAAACATAAGTTTGATCCGCGTCTGACTGTTATGCTGAGCTCAGTAAGTGGATGGTGTTCAATGTACAAGAGTCTTGTGTAGATTATGCATGCAGGTTTTACTGCTATGGGCTCTGTGCGCCAACAAAAGAGGGCGTCCTTTTACCTAGCAACGACGTCCCATTGGCAGGACACATACTTTTTGCTGGTTGACGTGCGTGCACCGTTCCTTGTGTGTGACGCACGTACACTAGGGGATTTGTACTATGTACACGCAGTGGTCGTGCTTCGCGGCAAAATATTGCAGTCAGGCAAGATGGCGTCGTTCGGTGACCCCCAATTGTACTTTCTTTGCCGGGGAGGGGGTACTTGAGAACGAAGCGGATTGGTCAAACAGTCTTCAAATCCTCCTTTGGGCTTACTGTTGGTTTTCTGTCTCGTACGAGACAGAAAAAGTAACGTTACTCACCTCCCTGAGGCATGGGAATGCCACCATATTCATGTCTGTCACTTTGTGACCCCGAACTTCCCGATTTTCTTTAGTCACTACAACCTGGAGCTTATAGCCTTGTTAACGTGTTACCTGTGTCGCAGACAGTGGCTTGTAGATGTATGTTGTAAATGTCAATACATTCCAAACATTGCTATAGGCATGAGGACCAGTACCCTAATTGTCGTGAATCTTCCAATTTTAATATTTGTTGCACAACCTAGGGAGTTAGGTTTATAAAACGTTTCCTTTCAGCGTGTAGTGTCATTCTGGACTGTACTTTCATGCATGAATTTGAACTTGACTTTGTTGTGAAGCCTTTCAGCAACCTGGTCATAACTGGTGCCATCCATATTTAATGAGCGGCCATTTCTGTATTTTTCGGCATATTTCCACTCTGAAAAATGAATGAAAAAATAATAGTCATTATTGCCAGTGTACCAGGGTATGCATTAAAAGCCCTAACACAGTCAATTCAGTGGGATAACAGAATAAGCATTGAAAAGAATACTCCTAAAAGTGGTGGGCAGCTGTGTTAGTCAGGCAAAATCAAATATCAAAAAGTAAGGTAGCACTTTAAATGTGTAACTGGAATTAAAGCTTGCATAAATTTTCGTAGCAACAACTACTTTATCAGATGCAATGAAGAGGGGCATCATCATACAAGGTTTATATGGGGGTACATGTACAGTAAAAACAGAGGGTGGTGGTCAATCACCAATGGTGTAGTATGACAAAAGCCACAATCCCTATCAAAGCCTACTTGAATACAGTCTAGTTTATGAATAATCTTTTCTTCTGTGGTTTCCCTGTCCACCCTTGAATATTCCTGTAATCTTTTAATGTTCTCCTTTGTAGCAAGTAGCAGTTATTAAATCAACCGCAAGTAATGTCATGTCCATCACAAGTCTTCCAGTCTTAAGTCAAAAGAACAAGCTTTTGAAATGATTCATTTGTCGTCGTCCAGTCCCTGTCGGACTTGTGATTTGACGTCAGTGTGGCCATCAGCCTGGTGTTTGGTCAGTATCAGATCAGGGCATAAATGGTTATAGTATAGTGCGTATGCGTAAGGTATACTGCCCCTAGAGTGAGAACAAGCATTTTGAAAAAAAGGGTGATAACGCCCAAAAAGCTGCCACCGCTGCAATGCTATCACATATTTTCCAACTCTGGAGGTGTATACCTTGCCAAAAATCGCTATGACGATTATTCCCCTCATTTGATACCGGTGGCCAACATTTTGGACCGAGGCTGATAGCCTAAGTGTGGCACTCAGGCTTGCGATGGACTCCATAACAACTGTTATGCAATCTCTTGTTTTTCTGTCAACAGGCTGAACAGTCGATCATCAACCTGCACTTGATGTACACCAGCTACTTTATGTTTGTCATGGTGATTATGTGGGTTTGCTATGCACTAGTTAAAGGACCACCGACAAAGATGAGAAATTTGCATAACACTGCAACCGAGAAAAAGGTTTGTTTTAAATGCATTGTGTAAGTGACAACCACTAGATTTGATTTTTCTTGAAATGGTTTTCCACTTTTCAATATAATGTATTAAAACTATCCTACACAAGCACGAAGAGGGATTAACATTTGCGCTTCAATTTCTCTTAAGTGGTGAAGATAGTGTATTTAAGCCAGTGTGATTTTAATGTTTCATAATCAAGATTTTTTTTATAAATTTAACTTCAAATGAAACTAAGCATGGAATACATTGAATTGGAATGTGTTGATGAAAGTCTGCCCTGATAACCAAAAGTTATATCTAAATTTGGTCTCCTGGTTTTTTTTAGTTACACTTTCTTTCTTTACTTTAGCTGGTCTTCTCCTATACATGACTTGCAATTTCACTTTCGATTTTCTCTGAATTCATTCTTTTTCATTGTTGTCCATGTTACATACTGTCTTGAATTAAACCTTGTGTCCTGTTTAAGTTTCCGTTCATATGTTGGCTCATATCCCTTCGTAGTTTTGGGGTCTGTTGTGTAGTTTTAGATATTTCTTTTAAATTCTGTCACGAGTTGTAGGTACTCGAAATTGGGTGGACTTTTACAAAGGGGTGAACGCAGTAGGTTTACATGATGTGTGATATCATGTGTTATGATTACTGATTGTATTTATTGAGGTTTCATTTGACCTCTGACCTTTTTGCATTGTCTTTTGTTCTGTTAACAGTCGCAGCCAAGTGTTTGAGGAATGGAGTTTTACAACTGCTAAAATGGCTGTGTATTGACCGACTTTCTGATTGCGAGGGAAAGACTTGACTGAAATTAATGGCAAATTGAAACTGCCTCATCATTTGTTTGTGTCAGCGCTACATGGATGTATTTTATTTTTTAATCAACTGTGTCCTTAAATTTGTGAGAAGTATATTGTTTTTCTTTACTGACAAAAAAAGGTGGGTTTTTTTTCGAACGCATGTAATTTTTTGCTGAGGTGCATTCAACAATGTGGAATACCATGGTACATGTACTTGTAGTTTTGAGAGTGGTTCATGTACTTGTAGTTTTGAGAGTGATTGACATGTACTAAATGTTAGATTTCACGATCATTCTTTCCAATTCTAGATATGTAGTACTTGTCTTGTACATGCACTTGCCACGTTGGAAAGGGTTGTGAATTGTGGTCATCAGACATGTATAGACCCTTTGCACACAGAAGCCATCTTTGAGGTGATTGAACAGTGAACGAAAATCTGTCGCATATCCCTGTAGAACAAAAGCAACCATTGCAAAGATGGCTGCCATGCAAATGATGTATATTAAATGGCTGAATCTGGAGTAGAAAGCTATATGCTAACTAGTACTTTGATCCTGTCGTTTTATACACAATGCATCAATCAGTGTTCATATGAGCTGATGCAGAGAATCCATGTACATGTAAACGTTCCGAATTGTATTTGTTGCTTTGGTTTGTTTGTAAATGTTCAATGTAGAGTTAGTCCTAGGAACTGATGCAGGTGACTCTCAGAGTTCAGAGTGTGAATGCTTAGCGTTCATCATTGACAAATGCTTTTCAGTAGTAATATGCCCATGAAATTACATGTGCATGTTAAGGCTGTCCTTAGATGTCTTTACAACTGTCCCAAAACTGCTGTTGGGAATGAGTGTGAAGAAAATAATTTATATGAAATTAGTGTTTTATTTATGCCAGTGGGGTGAATTGTTTAATATTACATTCCACTTATGTATTATTGAAAGAGACATGAAGCACAGGTAAAAAAAATGTACACTGGATATAAGCGATTGTTATAGCAAAGTTTTTTTAATGTTTGTGTTTTTTGAGCTGATAGAGTTGACTTCTAATTCTCAGAATGAACAAGCTATGTCGTAAAATAACGAAAGATAAAATATATGCTTAGACTTTTTTTGGTGAATTTAAGAAGGCACAATATAACCACCAATCAAAAGCTAACCCATGGTTGCAGAAAATGGGGTATTGGAGTCAAATGTCTAATCAATATTTGTACATGTTGAACCTCTGCGCCCGACTCCAGATTACTTTGTACATTATAGATGGTCTCTGCAAAGGAAGACATCTTTGTCCTTGCCCGGTGTCCTGTACGTCTAGATTCGTCGGGATTCCAGTTTGACAACCGACTTTCCTAGAAACTGTAGGTACTGATGTTTGCGGCTGTTATAAATACTATACTATAGTTTCACGTGGACATCACATTTGTGTGGAAGTCGTAAACTAAAGCTCGTGTCATGGACGAGGTGCTTGTGATGCTTTTAAAGAAGAAACGCCTCGATCTAGAAGAAACGCTTTGATCTGCAATGTACATCGAGGCTAGGTGTGCCGTGAAGAAAGGAAATTGACGTGTTCAAGAAGAGCATCTGCATATACCGTTCGAAAGTCGGTGAGAAGACCTTGATGATTTAACACACGGTTTCATCCGAGTCGTCACTTATTTTTTAGAATGGATTAGTTCCAGCTGTAACACCTTTGTGCCTATAGCTTTTGAATGATTGAAATTGCATCTGTATATTTGTATTATTATTCACTGTAAATAGTCCATTTGTGATTTGCAACTAAATTGCGGTTTATTGTAACTGTTGTGGAAGTGTACAGTAAAAGCAAGTAGACCGATAATAGTTGCACTTAAAGAAAGTGTTTGTCTATATTAGAAACACAGTCGGTAACCATGTGTCATATCGAGATGAAACTAGAGTGTCGACGCTTTCTAGAACGTAAAGGCGCATAAACATGTATTTGGACATTTAACATGTCAAGAGCGTAACTCGAGGAATCCTAGACGATTATATTGCATTCTCACTGTGCTGAAAAACAAATATCAGAGTCACGTCTGTCATCTCGGATATAGGGAGGTTAAATGTTTGTACGCCTTCGTCTTTGAAGGTCAGGAACTTTGCATGTTCAGCGGCAATTCTCGACATCCTGCTCCTTCATTCAGGAAAATCAAAGGGAAGTTTGCCGAGGGTAGTCGATGGCATGAAAAGGAGTTAATTGTTGATGTTGCCAATCGCCTACATTATTACATGGGACATATGCACCAAATAATAAGTTTGTTTTGTAGGGCTGTGATAATGACCATCAGTCACTTTGACGATGTGAACAGTGATACAGCAAAGCAAATTTAATGTGTACATATCGTGCGTTATTGTAAATCTATGGTGATATTAAAAAAAAAACCCAGATGTTTTATTGAAATCCTGTATTTTTTGACAAATGGTTTTAGATTGGATTTTAGTCGAATCCAATAATTACTCTTATTTGTTTGGTTTTCCGCCGACGGAAGTATGGCTATATATAATACGTAATTTTTTTGTTCTCAAAGAGGAAGTGCATTCCCAGTGTAAAGTATAATTATTTGGAATAATACAGAGTTATTTCTTACAAGTATACACTGTATGTACATGTAAATCACCCTCGATCTCACAGTGTGTTGTAAAAGTGCATGTAGGTCTACACATAATTAAGCAAAGAACAAGTTTAGGTCCTCGGGCACTGAAGTTCCTCTAGCAATTTACCTGATCATGTCTAATAACATAAACTTCACAGTTAAAGTTAAACCCGTCTTAACTGGATATAAAAAAATATATATATCTGGTGCTTGCTTCGGGGGAACCATGTGTGTATTTAATCAGGGGGCATTTGGAACAGACACATTTTTGCACTACATGTACATGTAAATTTAGTGCACTGAAGAATGAAAACTTTCGGATTTCAATAATGTTGGCCAATTTGCAAATAAAGTACGGCGTGTGCCGATATCAAAAAAATTTTTAGGAGACTGATGCGACAGTACTGCTTGAACTTGAGTTTTATTTATATTGATGTTTAGCACATTTTGTATTAAGCCATACATTACATTGGGTTAAATCCTTTTGACAGATCTGGCATAGCACGTGCCCCTAATATGGTCAATAATTCTGAATAACAAAAAGGCCCAAATGGGTTTATTGGACTGTATTTGGGTTAAATGATACAATATAAAAATTATACTTTGCAAAAAAATTTCACATAAATTAACTGTTGGTAACAAATATGACCGAAAATCGCATGCAGCCTGGTCTGGCTGTTAGATACATGTCCAGTGTTCAAAAGCAGTGATTTATCGGGCGGGATTGTTTTATTTTAGAGACATTGACCATATAAGGAAGTACATGTTTAAACACATAACTTAAAAAACATCATGTTTTTTTCAGCTGAAAAAAATATAGCGAACTCGAGTTTTAGTCATTATCAACCGCCACTCCACGCAAAAACGTTTACACAATCATTTTTAATATTTCTTTTTAATCTACAAAATATCAAAACACGGTGTACTAGTTCTTTTCAATTATTCCTCGTCGGTGTAAATAAAACGTCTCCTCCAGACCACCACTACGCTTCTTTACTCGTGACACTTGTCCATATTACTGCATCATTATTATAGCTCCATGATAAGCCCTTCCTGTATTCAATTCAAAAACATGATTTCACCCTGGCAAGTCCAGAAACAAACACAATGTGGCTGGAGTCGATCCTAACAATCAATTCCTGTTTTTCAACCATATTTTAAAATCCGAAATCCGAGGAGATATTTCAAAATAGCAGTCGAAATTTAAAAATAAATATTAAAGGACCTGTAGACAATGTACATGTACCATGAACCCAGTTGCCTACCCCACTGTCGACTGTTCACTTTGTGAGATTCATCCGGTGCAATGAGTTTTTTTATGACAACGATCTTCCGAATGTACAATCAAATAGCAAGGAATACAATACAGTGATATAGTAACGATTTAATAATATAGTATTGCAATAAACAAGACGTACGTTATTTCATTGAGCATTCAAAATAAACCCCTGTCAGTATTTTCCTCCGTCGACCCATGGAGGAAGGAATAATTCTTCATGATCACAGACCACAGCACTACATGCTCACGTACATGAAGGTCTAATTATGCACAGTTGCCCTTCACGTACAGTGTACATGTACACTGCACGTATTGAACGTATGTACAACATGCATACACATTAACGAATCGTCTTCCACTACAGACTGCAAAAGTCTTGTCCCCTATTCACCGTCAGATTTCCTCTGTTCAGTATGTAGAAGTAACAATTCTCAATGTGTACCAACCAGTAGAAACTCTGCACAAGACTCGCAGTAATTTATAACGTACAATGCGGCAGAAACGTCAACTAATTGCCGAAGTCGAAATCTTGTTGTCTTGCAGTTGCGGTTTAGATCGGGCAGCCATTACGCGGATGAATACATGTACATGTGTGTATACGTAAAACTACATGCACATAATGTACATGTACATATTCATTGCGTACGCGGCATGGCGCCAGTGACAGACTGGTACCCGTCTCCCCATTATCTCCCCGGATTGGAGGGGTGCGGGAACCAGTTTGTTACAATTAATTGCAAGAATTATTTATGCACGTATATAAATAGCGATGACGCCATGCTGTATGTGATGCGCAGTGTTGTGCAATTATGGACGGAGGAAGCGTGGTCGCGCTGCCGGGAGGGCAGGGCCGGCTCTTGGCAAGACAATAACAGAGACAACCAATCATGGGGGTCCACATCAATTCGCGTTTTCTTTCTTCTAGTGATGGCTTGTAGCTTTCCCAATAGATCGGCAGTAGTGACAAAGTGAGGGACGTGTATGCATTTTGACTGGTTTTGATGATAATGTAGTGCGGCGAGATTGTGCGTAAGGATATTCCACGAGAATCCGCCGACGTGGTCATGCTGCTATAAAAGCAAAGGTTGTCTGTGTACTCCCCCTCTCTCTCTTCAAACTTGAACATCAAACATGGAGGCTGAATATTTGTCTTTAGTACCCAGGGCGCTGAAAAGAGGCCAGCTCTGAAACTGAAGAAGGCTGCCAACTGTACTGTTCATGTTTGTTTTTTAAACAAGTGAATTTGTGTCCACGTTGTACTCAAACTAGAGCTCGGTTGCCATTTTAGTACGAGGGTTGAGGACTCCGAAATCATGGTGGTCTACCAGGGGTTGAGTCGCGCCCAGCTCAGCTTCGACTATCTGCACACAAACTCGTGAGTTTATTCACTATCACTTGGCACATAACCATAGTTGCATGTAACGGTTGTCTCCGTTGCGTCATGATAATCAGTGTTTCTCATAATGTACATGTCGGGTCTTACATGAAGCATGAGCCATGCTTCAGTCGGAGTTGTGGCAAACAAGTTCCACGCAGGCAACGGATGACCTTGATGAAACAACCGTATACGTGCGGTGAAGCCGTGTGACCGCTGTGTGACGTCCATTTGTGACCCTCACTATACCGTTGGCGCGGCAAAGAAAAGATTCCTTTGGGGCTTGCATGCAGTGCAGACGGCAGTAGCTCAGTCCTGTACAGTACATGTAGACGGTGGCAGGGCTGTGGGCTGAAATTTAAATTTGTGTCCATGACTGTACATGCAGGACATGTTTCTTTTATTGTGTGGAATAGCCCTACATTGTACATCCTTCCTTGTGCATGTACAAATGTGCAATGTACATGTATGGAAAGCCTGCCTTGTACGTGGCACATGTAACCAACATTTAGTACGTGTTACGCAAGGTTAATCGAGAACCGCAGGGAAAACTCAAGTACCTCATAAAAATACTCGGCCAATGGGTCTTCTTGTACCGATACTTCCAGAATCGATCCTTGTAATATTCAGCGGGGTCAGCATGATATCTGTCTCGTGATTGAATTTAGACACTTGACTTTATTTGGCAAGCTTCCATATCACTAGTCCAACACAGTAGACACTTGTACTTTGATGTATGTACGTTCCCACAATAATGCCGCCAGGAATGGTGGGAATATCATACTTAGAGGGGCCCCTAAACAAAATTTAATGTGCAAAGCAACGGGTTGTTTAATTTCGAGACCAGGCTTATTATGGCCGAGACACTGAACATGTCACATAGTGAAACTGATTTACAGAATCGTAGCTACAACGTAGATGATTTGTTTCCGATTCCGTGATAATTAAACTACAGGAAATAAAGTAACAGGCACGTTTTTAATCTGGAAAGCTACACTGAAAAGCAAGTTAATAGGGTTTATTTTGAGGAAATGAAACAAGCTTTAGACCTTGGCGTGAAAAAAACGAAGTGAAAGACAATCTTTATTCAGGGGATATTATGCAACTATCACTTTGCAGATGTATGTGTACATGTACATTGTATATTGAACAGTTTGTTTTCCTGCAAGTCTTAGTTCGGGAAATATGTTGCACTCTGACGCCACTTCAGCGGTGGTGTACAAAGTCTGTGGAGAGACAAGAACATTTTCTAAGTATTTCTTAACAAAATTGGAAATGTTTCTCTGTCCCAGATTCATGTCTTATTATTTTTTTTTGCAATGATTGACCTTCATTGAGATGATATATAAAGGAAAAAATTGGCGTCAGGTTGCAATATTTTTTCCCTTAGTACTAAGTACAATGTACGAGTAACTTTGTAAACAATCCTTCCGTTAGATATAGTGCCACCAATGTATTAGTTATCAGGGCATGCATTACCAGATGACCTGCTTGCCAAGTTTGACCTTTCAAATCGTGGACCTAGGCAAAGTCTGAGATATGATCTTCATGTTTTAAACGACCGTCCTTGCTACAATAGACAGACTAACGATGGCTAATTTTGCTAGCAGACAAAACATTGTATGAATACAGGTTAGGCCTATACAGACGGCATGCAGCAACCACATTACGAAGGACGAGTTCATTCGTATCATAAAACGCATTGCCTTTCGGATTGTAATTAAAACCATCTGGAGTAATATTCATTCCTCTTTTGCATTAGACTTTCAACATGTTATTACATGTACATTTTTTTGTACAATGTATAAACATACATTTACAATGTATACTGTGTGACCACAATAGTGTACATGTATGCATGTAGTTGTGTTGTGGCGCTACCTAATGCTAAATTCCCTCGCTTGTAAGTTAAGCAATAAGTTAGTGGCTGTAACCAGTGCCCACACTGTTAGACCAATTTTTAACTGATTGAACCGACCAATTTCGTTAATAATAACAGAAAGGTGTTAACGTTTATGACCAATATTCTTCTTTTGCACAATTTTGCATGTTATTACACTTATTATTCCAAACGAGAAAACGAACGTTTCAAACCACTGTCCTTATTATTTTGTGAAATTTCTCAATGTTTATAAACATAGGCCTATGTACATTGTACATGTACGTGTGACAAGAAAACAAACCAGGGGCGGAGCCAAGTTTGGCTTAAAAAGGGGGTTAGCCTTCAATGGGGGGGGGGGGGCAAGCATTTTATATTTGTTTCTGTATTATTTTCCCTTTTTGACGAAAATACAAACAAAAGTCAATAATACACAAACTACATGAACATGTACATTAGTTTCAATTGAAACACATTCGTGGAAATTAAAACAAAGCAACGTTCGTGTCTGTACAGGTTCCAGCCTCCCCAAGGTTTACCTTTTTGGCAACCACAAGATATAAACTAAATTTAAAAAACCCATTCAATCCTGTCAATAAATACAATTATAATTTACCACAAGTGAAGCTGTTGAAAGAGATTCCATTTTGTACGAGTTCAAGCAAATGAAAGCTGAAATTACCTTTTGAAAAACTTTATCGGAAGAAAGTTCAGAAATTGTTGTTATAGGTTGTACATTTACAATGGTCTTAACTTTTTTTGTAATATTTTCTCACAGAACAACCCATGAGTTTCTCTTCGGTGCATTGGCGGAGCTACTCGACAATGCCAGGTGAACTATTCCTCGGACAATAATTAGCTCAAACAACACCGCAAAGATTGTTAATTAATGGCTACTTTAAACAATTACAAATGAATCAACAAAGAACAATGTATTGTTATTTGTGCATGTTTGTTCATAGATACAAGAAAATGGTCATGTTGTAAAACTTTCAGTTTCAAATAAAAATAATTGTGTGTTCTTATTTTTCTCCTTTATAAAGGGATGCAAGAGCAAGGAGAATGGATGTGTTTACCGGTAAGTTGGTACTGCGGATCTCCAAACGACTACATGTACATGTACGCTACATGCACTTTGGTATAAGTAACTGAGTAACATGTACAGTCGACTTCCGTTAGTACAAGCTCTGTTAATACAAAATTCTGGTTATAACAAACATAAGGCCTTGGTCCCGACTGTACATGTATTACCGTCTTTGGTCATTGGTTAATTGGAGCACATGTCCGTATACATGTATGAAGATACCGGTAATATAGGATAATGAAAATAGTGGCCCTATCCCTTTCAGAGGTACTTTTTTCTTATCGTCTGATGCTATCCTAGAATGTACAAACGGTGAGCAAATATTCTCAACTAAACAACATACCTTAAGCAAATTACAATGTACAATGTGGTCTCAAAGTATAAGGTAAAATTATAACCTGTCAAACATGTCTAAAACTTGGTGGTTAACATGGTTATACTGGTAAGGATATCGTTATGGAAAAACTGGCGAGTCGGGGTTCTGCAGGTTACTGAGGACATCCGTCCAACCTTCACAAAAAAGTCCGAGATGAGGATATTATAGCAGCGACGGTAAGACGGTGTTTTCCCGCGGGTTTTGTGATTAAAAGAAAACTGCATTTGATCACGCATGGAAGGCTGTTCATATTCGAAGTGGATGCTGCATCAAACGTCACAAGACCGATGTCTAACTGGAGAAGCCTTTAGCGTCACAAATTTGCCGCCAATTTACACAATGTAGTAACAGGTTAAATAACGTTTAACAAAAAAGTTATTCGTTGAAGTCGACCAAAAACAAAACTGCAAATTTGAGTATTTAATTTGTGGGATTTGGTATTTGAAGAGTGAAAAATGTATTTAGATGTTGTGTGGGGGACTTGCATACTTCATTACTTAAAAAAAACCTTTTAGACAGCTCGGGGATAATTTAGGGAAATAACATTAGACCTTAATTTTGGGAAATTACATTGGACCTTATCGTACACTAGGGTAATGGTTTCAGTACATGTAATTTGCAGGGCGAGTCCAAAAAAAGAAGAAGCAAAACCCAAATGACGGGACCAATTTTCGTAATGAAGTTCTGCATGTAGCACTATCAAAATCTAGGATATGAAAGCCCAATTAATAAGCTGTCTTTTAGTACAAGAATTATTCAAGTACTATTCAAGTAACAGAATTTTAAACAAAACCACTGTTTTAAAGTTCTAAAGTTCTGTCCACGGATCACCAAAAAGGGTGTTCTTTCAGCAAAACGACCACAATTCACGTACATGTACAATCGACTCCCGTTAGTACAAACTCTGTTAATACAAGATTATGGTTATAACAAGCATAAAGCCATGGTCCCGACTGTGCATTTATGTGCACAATGAATGCGACTGATGTTCCTCTTAATACAAAATTCTGATATAACAAACGAGCTTGTTATAATGAGTTTGTTATAACGAGACTTGACTGTACATGAGTTATTTCAAATTCAATTTTATTTTGATATTTAATAAAACAGATTCATGAGTGTCTTGTGTTTTTATTTGCTGTCGTTGAGTACCTGCATGTGGGTTAGTGCAAATACACGAATACATGCATATGTTTCCTTTTGGAATGAAGAGGGTTTGGATTGTTTTAGAAACGGACTGTACAAAATGGTGTCCCCGAGGAAAGGGAACGTTGTGAGCTAAGTTGAGGGGGGGGGGGGTCATTGTATTTGAATTTTTTTGGTGGAATTATGGACAGGGGCCAAGTTCACGTTGAGCCTACGCTGTACATGTACATAGCCTATTCTGCTGAATCATGCAGAGTTTTTGGAATGGCGCCCCTTTGTGCATACAATTGCGGTTTTTGAGGAAGTGAGTTGGAAACGATATTTTACGAGCGGCTGAGCTTTCTGGGTTCGTCATGACTTCCTTGCCTGATGTGGGTTTGTTGGACTGCTTAGTACAGTTGTCCCGAAAGATGTTTTTAGGGATGATGGCAATCTGAGGTTGCATTGTGTTCATGAGGCCATCCAGGAAGCGCATGTGCATGTAGGTCAAAAGTTCCAAAATTGATTTCCGGTCGCTAACATAGCCAGATTCATTTTAAATGTTCTTTTCTTGAATAAACGGCTTCCGAAGCGTTATGAAATGTTGCCTGGTTAGAACTGGTTTGGAATACAGTGAAATTCTGATAAGAAGAGCACTGTTAATACAAGGTCCTGCTTATAATGAGCAACATTTTATGTCCCAAGTCTTTGTTTTCTTTTGTTTTCCTAAGTTTTCCATATATAACAAGGTAATTCGTTTAAGTCCCAAGGATCTTGTTATTAAGGTCTTCGACTGTACACGTACAAAAAAATACGTTGTACTCGGTCGTGTGCGCTTGCTGTGACATGTTGTGGCAACATAACCGTGACGAAATCGTGATGAAGCAACAGTGCAAATGGGTAAAGTAACAGTGGAAGTATCGGCCCAATCACTGCAGAGGCATGTGTCATTTGATTGAGCTGATGTGAAAGGGTTGTCCTGTTATTGCGTTCGGTCTTGGATTGGTGCAAATGAATGATTGCAGTGCATCTCGTCAGTTCAGTTGATAGTTTCTTTTCTGTCGGACTCGGATTGATGGTAAACCTGCATGGGCGCCAGGGGAAATAACTGCAAAGTGACAGTTCAATATCGTGTGAAACTACATGCACATGTACGTGTATATACTGGTCGTGTTCCGTGATGTACATGCATGTTCTATGTTTACCTTGTTTTTCTAGTCGTTGGCTACTTGCACAGCATGGTTAGGTAGTCATGAATTTGTGACTTCCGCCAAACTTCAACGTAATTTTGATGCACATCACAAGCAGACGTTTTTGTTTTGGACACAACTAGACTCGGGACGTAGGAGCTTAAACAAGTCTTGTGGACCACGGTTTCATTATGTCGTAATCATGCCAGGAATGTGCCGCCAGCGAATTGAGTACAATCGAGGAGACCACACAGCTTTGTTCCTTTTTAGTTACGATAGCAGCTCTACAAAATACTCATGTCTCTCTGTACGGTATAGGTTAATTAGCTTGTTAGTAACAAACGTTCACATTGTCTATTGCTCCTACATATTTTGATTGATTTCAACCAAACTTTGTTAAATGTACCTTAAGCCCAGCCCCAACATTTTACATGACCCAACTGGGGTCAAAGGTCATCACGGGGTCATCATGGGGCCAAGGTCAAAATAACGTCTGCAAATAAGCTCGAAAAGCTCAAATGATAAAAGTAGCGCTGTCAACATGTTGGCCTTGGTCAATAATTAAACAATGTCAATGGTGGTCTCTTCGTCTGACCTACGATTATGGGGTCAAAGGTCAAAATTGGTCACATTTCAAAAAAGATCAAATGGCAAAAGAAGCGCTGTCAACATAGTGGCCTTCGTCAATCATTAAAAAATGTCCCTGGTGACCTCTTCGTTTGACCTACAGCAATGGGGTCAAAGGTCAAAATACGTGGAACACGTCGCATACGTTGGCCCGCTTCTTCCAAGTTCCGATCGAGCTTGTTAACTCTACTAAACCAAATATGTATTTTGATATTTGCATGGAATATTTGAACTGTATAGATGTCAAAAGCCGCATTCTCATTGGACTTAAGTAAACAGTTACCGCGAGTGATGGTTAACATTCAATTGTGGTTAACGTGCGTCCGTACTCAATTAATTTCAACCCGGAAATTACCAAGCTCTACCAGAATCTCACGATGGCGCATGCTATTGACCTTTTAACCTAACACTGGATGTGGTTGTGGAAAAGCGCGTTGAGTGATATCGCTGCACACAGCAAAAATACGGTAGAATTTCACGTACAGTGTGTATAGGCCTCCGTTTGTGAATTGCAGAGGTCAATACAGGTCACCCACAAGGAAGTCAAGTAATCGTAGCGTTAGTTTTACATAGCATTGGCCGTACGCACGGGACTTTTAAGTGTTTAATGGCTGTCCGCACTGGACGTAATTTGGTTAAGGTGGCATTACGGCTTGTAATAGCCGAACATGATTGTTGACTTATTTCTAAGGTCTGGTTGAAAGGAAACTAACCTATAGTAATTTTACCCTTTCCGAGAAAAGACACAAATTCCGGTTGCTTACACCAGGCGTGGCGGCATTTTGTGGTATAAGCCATAGGCATACGTATTTCAAGTCGTCTTTATTCAATAAACTGTATGTGTCACGCAATACACACAGCGCCAGTACACACATTGTTTATAACACGTCCGCAGAATGTGAATCACTGTACGACAGGATTCACAACTAGCACTCACAACTCGATTATAAAATCGTGACCCCCGAATTTCGTTCTCGCAGGAATAAGGCCCCCCCCCCAATAAAAACGATTTTAAATGGAAAAAGCATTGAATAGAAGAACATAAACATCCACATTACCATCCTTTTAAACAAAATGGACGTTTTTGTGTTTTTCTTGCGAGAATTCGCAATACCGAATTTCGGGGTTCACAATTTTGTCCTGAAAAATCGGGCTGTTCAGTGCTAGTTGTGATTCGCACAGTGGTCGTCTTCTGCGGACGTGAAAGAAACAACATTGTTTAGTGGTGCAGTGTATAATTAATGTCACATACAACGTGTACGGCGTACATTGAATGAAAACGACAGGCAAAGCGTATGCGAACTCCGTCCTGTCCGATGCAAACAACCGGGTTTATTTTTTGTCTTTCTCGGGAACGGTAAGCCATTAGGTTAGTTTCCTTTTAATTAGATCTTTAAAATAGTATAAGTAAACAATCCAAATCATGACATTTTCGGGAATTTCAGGCCGCAATACCCCTTTAATCAAATTTAAATTGCTACTTTTGGTAAGAATACGATCTGAGAAGTGCAAAGCAGCAGCTCAAAAGTCAGTATTACATGCTGATGTTTACTTAGTTATGTCGGCTCAGTACTCTCAACCTTGAAAAAGGCAGTAGGCCTACGTCGTCGGTCGGTAGGTCTGTCCCATGAAAAATGACCAAAAAACGAGCCCCTAAGTTTCCCATAAAATATAACTACAAATTGACCCAAAATTGACCGAAGTGCAAAGTCGTCGTCAGTAAATACACTCTTAAATTTTTTTGGAACACGCCCCCTTGTCTCTATCGATGTGCATGCGCGTCTGATTTGTATATTAAGTGAGACTTTCCGGAACCGGGCCAGAGCTTATTTTGCACTCGCGCTTGTTTTTCTCAAACCTCTAAGCAGTCAAAAGAAAAAAAATCAAGAAACAACATTTGTCTGGAAACTTACCATCTCACAAAGAAAAGCGAAGGAAACTTAAGAACATGTGCAATATTTCCTCTGTGTAAGGGCAGCCGTTGGGCTAGTCTATGTAAACGACCATAGCGAAAGCCGTGGACTATAACGTTTGAGCAGATTCGCGGATTACTTATGCAAGACAGCCGCATCTTGACCTCTAGATTTTGACCACTCAGCGGGCTCTTTCTATATCGGGCTTCGGTCATCCATCGTTGCCGAATCATATACATGGATAGAAAAAAAATTACCCTAGACACAGCAGCAAAGGCTGTGGTCACGTGCTCTGTATGTGTTACGTGCAAAACACTGCATTCGAATTGACCAATCACACGTTTAGTCCTGATTTGGGAATGAAATGACGTCACGATCTAGTAAGGCCACTCCGATTGGTTGAGGCGCGAGATCGCATAAATATGCATGCTTTGACATATCAGACGCTATACAGGAGACTTGGCTCCGTGGATAATGGGTGATACTAGGACTACCGTTATGCCTGTTTGCAAGCGAACGCACCTTAATTTTGTAATGAAATGACAAATGATAGCACCGTATTTTGTTGTTTCTTGTATCTCTAGATTGCGTCAATAATTGGTTTGATTGCTCCTGAAACTCAAGTTTGCTATCGGAACAAATACTGACGCCTGTGTGTAGTTTTCATAGGTGCAATAAACTGTGGCTTATACATGTCAGCAACCTCGTGATTTTGTTAGACAGTAATTTGCCAATTTTTTACTACTTTTATCTCTTTGTCTTGTTTTGATTTTATGATTTACGATGTTGATATTTGTTTTAGTTGTTTGTACTTTTGATTGAATGTGGACGTTTGTGCGTTGTGACTTTAATGTAAATTTAAATGTTATATTTTTCATGCCAGTTCATGTATGTTTCTGGTTTTGAGGTAATTGTGAGACTGTTGTGATTTTTTAGTTTGCTTGTCGAAACTTTTGAATTTTGCAACAATCATTTTTGTTATTGACCACTTTAAAACAGTTTTGTATTTCATATTTAATGCGATTTTAGCATTGTTTTAGTTTTGGTGCAATTATGTGTTATTTTTACCATTTATTCGGTTGATCCGGTTGTGGTTATCTTGTTTGACTCGTTTATTATAGTGTTTGGCCTGTTTCACAATGCGTTTGGTCGTTTTAAAATTGAAGTTTTCTTTCGGCTTTTATTTTCCCCTTTTTGAATGATGCACATTCATTTTGTTTATTAATATCTTGGTTTTATCTTGATATTTATATTTATATACTTTGGTTTTATCTTTTGTACAGCGCTTTGTGGTTTCTTTTTAAATGGAAGGCGCTATATAAGTTTGTAATTATTATTTTTATTCCTACAAATGTACTATTAGGGAGACACGTTAGCGTAGAAACTGCGATAGTAGGGAGACACGGGCTTATTAGGGAGACACCTAGGTGTCTCCCTATTGGCGCAGCCCCCCTTTAGAGGAAACATTTTGCTGTCGAAATTAGGTTATATTTGTTGCTCGTGGTCTAATTAGTAAAACTACCGAAATTCGTGGAAAAAGGACTAGGGAATATTGGGTTAGGGCACATTTAATTCGGAAATTTTTTGTGCACAAGTCTATGGGAAAGTCTCCCCATTACCCCATTGCCGGTAATGATGATGATGATTATTATTATTATTATTACATGTATGTACATTGTACGGTTCAAAACATATATTATGTGATGGATCCCCAGGAGTCTTCTGTAGCAGTTCAGTTCATTGGTGTTCTTTTCAATCTGGGCTTTCATTGTCGAAGATTCCGCTGCATACAGGAGCATTGGTATCGCCAAAGATCTGAGAAGGTGAAGTTTATAATGGCACTGAGGTGTTCCGGTCTAGCCAAATACTGTTAAGTCGGGTTAGGGCAGTTGTGGCTTTTGCTATAGGCCTACGTGTTTTTACCTCCTCAGTCTGGATGGACCCTAGAAAGGTGAATTCTGCCACCTACTCTAGGTGGAAGTCCCTGATGCAAACATCCAGCTGTTCACTGGCGCCGGAGACCATGGTCTCTGTTTTCTCGAGTCTGATTTCCATACCATATCTGCTGCTGGTTTTGTCGACTTGCTGATGAGAGTGGTTGATTTGGTCCTTTGGAGAGCCGGTAGTAGGTCGATGTCGTCGGCGAACTTTAAGTTGTTGACTGTTCGACCGGATTTTGTCAGAGGGGACTCTAGCTCTACCAAGAAACCTGCTCTGATCATGTTGCACAGCGTTGGTAACAGTACTAGTATGCAGCCTTGCCTCACTCCTACAGAGGTTGGGAAGCATTTCGTTAATAAAGTCGTCGCCTGTACATGTGTAACGTTGACGATGCCAGGGCTGATGCTGTATTTCCTTTGGACAGCCCTTAGACCTTCCTGCCAAATGTGATCGAAGCAATTCTTGCAGTTCTTCTGTAATCTGGTAGTTGTACAACCCTGCGCAGTACTCCTGCCACCTCTTTAGCATGGCTGGTTTCGCTGAGAGAAGGGTGCCATTGGCGTCTTCCATGCAGGTTGTCCGGCTTGTCTTTTGCTGGGTGAGCTCTTTGACTATGTCGTATGCCTATGTCTTTGGTTTTGTTTGCACGAAGGCTGGACTCATCTGTGATGTTGCACTTGTGTTGGATCAAGCTCTCCATGGCCTTTCCTGCCTCTCGTCTTGCTAATAGTTCTATACGCCTCGCTGTCTTGGCTTGACCTAACCCAACTTTGCTTGACTTTTCGTCTCTCATCGCATTTCTGAAGTATGCGGTCTGTTACCCAAGGTTTCTGTTCGCCCCGCAGCCGTTGCCCTAAATAATGCACATGCAGGGTGTTATATTGTACTTTAACATAATTGGTTGTACCACGAACTTACATACTTACGTAAATTATATGTACGATTGTGAAGTGCTGTGGCCTCGTGGTCTGGAGCATTGAATTCGCGGTCTGCGGGTAATTCCGTGAGTTGTGGGTTCGAGTCCAGCCTGCGGCTACGGTGCGTGTGCCCTTGGGCAAGGCACTTTGTCACGCATTGTTTCTCTCCACCCAGGAGTAAATTAGTACCTGTGAGGGCAGAGATGGTTATTGTGGTTGATTTAGCTGCTGTGCGCCGAAGTGGCAGCATTGAGCTGCATACTCCCCAGGGAGCTGAGATGGTATTTGGAATGTTTCATTGGCTCGATGAGCAGGGGTAATAATAAGCGCCTTGTATCCTTAATTTGGCAATTTGGCGCTCTATAAGTCCAGTTATTATTATTATTATTACGATCTATCACTTTGTTGTGCGTGGAACTAATGTGTAGTTTTTTTCTCCTAGACTCACATCAATACGATTTAAATGTTTTTCATATTTGTAGAAAAGGATGAAACACTCCGTGGAGGATACATGCTTTGCTTCCTGGACGATGGCACAGGAATGGATCCAGGTATAGTGTACACTTTTTTAGTTAAATAATAATAATAATAGTGGCATCTTATTAAGCGCAAACAGGTCCATCACTAGGTGACGCTCATGGCGCTATACAAAGAGCAAGCACAAACTACAAAACTTAAATGACAAAAATTATAAATGACAAAACTACAAATTATAAATGCTAGGTTCAAGACATATGAATTGCAAGGTGCAGGCCAAGAGGAGATTAGGATGTGAACAGGTAGGTTTTGAGTTCTTGTTTGAAGGAGATCGAAGAGGGAGCTTGACGGATAGAGAGGGGTAGACTGTTCCAGAGAGTGGGGCCTGCGTGAGAGAAGCTGTGGTCACCCCAAGAGTGTCGGGATCGAGGAACTTGAAGAAGGGAGGAGTCTGATGATCGAAGCCTGCGTGGGGGGTGGTATGCCTGTATTGAGTTTTGTAAGTAGACTGGTGAGGAGCCATGGACTGCGTGGTAGACCAACAACAGAACTTTGAAGGTGATGCGTTTGTCAACGGGCAGCCAGTGAAGAGACTGAAGGACAGGTGTTATGTGACATGCTTTCTTGGTGAGAGTGACTAGTCTGGCTGCGGAATTTTGGAGGCGTTGCAGTTTATTTAGCTGTTGTTGAGGGAGGCTTACAAATATGGAGTTGCAGAAATCAAGGCGTGAAGAAATGAGGGCGTGGACTAGTTGTTCAGTTGCATTCTGACTCAGGTACTTGCGAACAAAACCAAGGTTGCGAAGTTGGTATCTGATTGACCTAGACACATGGGAAACGTGGTCATGGAAGGACATATTGGTGTCGAAGATGACACCAAGATTGCGAGTTTTGGCAGATGAGTAGATACTGCTAGTACCCACTTGTACATGAAAACCCTTCGTATCCACCTTGCCAAGCATTTGCTTTGAGCCCAGTTCGTGAAACATTGAATGTAAATATGGACAACCACAAAAACAATGAACGTACATATACCATTGATGTAATTGGAAACTGCGAAATTTGATATTATTGTGTTGAATGCTGATTGTAAACGATTACCGTTACTTTGTATTTAACCAAATAGAATACTCGCTTTAAAAAAAACCCAAGCTACAGAATGGAGTTATTGACGCATGCACACTTGAGGTATCCCTAGCCGTTGCCATGGCTATGGAAACAACTTCAAACTGTGTAGGCATAGTTGTAAGTAATACTTTTTGTTTAGTTTAACAAAACCCTTAACGAGTTGAACGGGCTGGGATGATCAAAGGAAACAGTTCTTCATGTATTAAAGCTTTCAGAAACCTTCACTACTTGCATAGTACTCGAACCTTATATAGTCTCATGTTTATGTGCAAGAATTTGATAACTGACACTTCTCAACTGGTGTGAATTTAGTACATCGAGACTAAGACAACTGGGTGTAAATGGTTTCACAGTCACTATGGGCTCCGTGCGCCAACAAAAGAGGGCGCGTTTTTACCACTTTGAGAGCCCCGTGCACGGGACAGACAGCGTGTGCGTACTGTACTGTACTGGTTCGCGCGCGCGAAGTAAGCACGACTTTCTAATGTGCCAAAGCTATGTGCCAAAGCTACGTTCGAATTTAACTTGCGATGGTCTCCCAGACTATCCCCGCCCCCAATAACTCTGGATCGTTCAAAATTCGCAGTGGATGGACCGGGAACCAGTCTAGGTCTCCCCCAACTCTCCTTTTCTGGCCGTTGAAGGGTTACTAATTGTGCACGGAGCCCACAGTGAGAACAATATCAAGATTTTATAATTGGACGAGCAGATATCGATGTTGGTGGATGGATAGGTTTAGTGTTTTGCTACGAAACTCATGGTTTCTAGCAAAAAATCATTTGAAAGTCGCGTGACTGTACTGCTCATTGTCGGCCATAATACCTCAAAACAACCGCAGAAGACCGACCATGTTGTACATATATATGGATGATTCCATAAATGTGGGGGCCAATACATTTTGGTGTCCCTCTTTACGTTGTGATATTTGTTTCCCTATATAGTATTACCAATAGTGAAATACGTGTATATACCTGTATAATGATTTTAGTTGCTCAAATTATAGTACTTGTACATAAATATCTGTTAGCAAAGGTTGAAACATCTAACAAATTTCCTGACAGTGTGGGTGTCCTAAATAGTTCACCGTGGTTCACGTGTAAGGGAACACCAAGGTTGTGACATTTTTATGCCCCGCGGCGAAGCCGAAGGGGCATACTGTTTCTGCCTTGTCCTTCCGTGGGAGGGTGTGTGGGTGGGTGGGTGGGTGGGTGTGTGTCCGGATAAATCGTGTCAGCGCGATAACTTGAGAAATACTTAACATATGAACTTCAAATTTGGTTTGTGGATTGTTCTTGGTAATCCTAAGAAGCCTTTTGCATTTGGGGCCAAAAGGCCAAAGGTCAAGTTCAACAATAGAAATCTTGTCAGCGCGATAACTTGAGAAATACTTAACATATGAACTTCAAATTTGGTTTGTGGATTGTTCTTGGTAATCCTAAGAAGCCTTTTGCATTTGGGGCCAAAAGGCCGAAGGTCAAGTTCACAGTGGCTAAAACAATAGAAATCTTGTCAGCGCGATAACTTGAGAAATACTTGACATATGAACTTCCAATTTGGTTTGTGGATTGTTCTTGGAAATCCTAAGAAGCCTTTTGCATTTGGGGCCAAAAGGCCAAAGGTCAAGTTCACAGTGGCTAAAACAATAGAAATCTTGTCAGCGCGATATTTGAGAAATACGTTACATGTGAACTTCAAATTTGGTTTGTGGATTGTTCTTGGCAATCCTAAGAAGCCTATTGCATTTGGGGCCAAAAGGTCAAGGGTCAAGTTCACAGTTAAAACAATAGAAATCTTGTCAGCGCGATAACTTGAGAAATACTTAACATATGAACTCCAAATTTGGTTTGTGGATTGTTCTTGGTAACTCCTAAGAAGCCTATTGAATTTGGGGCCAAAAGGTCAAAGGTCAAGTTCACAGTGGCTAAAACAATAGAAATCTTGTATTTATTCTGAGATTATAGGGATTAGGGATTAATTCATATAAAACCTACAGAAGACACTAATGCTGTCAATGAATGTTCCATGTGACCAAGGTACATGTACATGTAAGTTGATGTTAAAAGAGTGGTGTTATGTCATGGGAACAGTCACGGTTGCGGGGCATTTGTGTTTGTAAACACACCTGACTTGTTTAAAACTGCTTTTAAAATGTGTTTGTTTGTTCTTATTTGTAATCAAATACTACCACATGCTTATAAAAAATTGTCCTTCATTATGGTTTAGCAAGTTATACTGCCTTAGAATGGCACTATATTTAGATTATTCAATATAATTATAGTTGAGCAAGATTCACAGTGCATTAGCCCAAATGTATCACGTGTAAATTTACAATACCCACTTTTTTGGGGGGGGGGTCCAATTTTACACGGGAAATGTGTGTGTAATGTTTCTGAGAAATACAAACGTTATTGGGTTCACTGACATTTCCAAATGTATCACCATTAATTACATGTGTAACTTGATAAGTGATAGTTTGAAATTATAACAAAGATTGCATGCTTGCATTTTTTGGGGCCATTTACTAGGTTTCACGTGTAAATGAGATACCAAAATGGTGTCCCCTTAAGCAATCATGTACAAATAGTGTGGGTTTTGTTTTAGTCTTAGCGAGTTGTTTTCACAATAAACATTGATTTTGGCCACAATTAATGAGGAATGTCAATATCTTTAAGTTATAGTGCAAGTTATTATTGAATCCCCTGTCAATCATTTTTTTCCATTTGGGGTCAAAATGTCACAAGTTAGTACCCTAATTTATTGAAAAACCCATGTGGTAGGCGAATACAATTCTACCAGTAAACCCGATTGTGTAAACCCGATTCTTGGTTTTATCGGTAAACAATCATTCATTGGATATTAAACACATTTCAATGCGGATAAATCCTGTTTCTGTTGTAGCTGAGGTTGCCACCGTCATCCAGTTTGGAAAGTCAACAAAGAGAATGATGGAATCCAACATGATTGGACAGTATGGCAATGGGTTGAAATCGTAAGTTATTAACTTTTCAGAAAGATCAGTTTACGTTTCCCTTGAATGTGTCTGTTTTCATTTGAGTTTAATTTAAAGGCAAAACAGTGAACTCATACATAACATGCTTAAAACCAATATTATCTCCGACTTAAAAGTCTTTTCAAGCATTGAATTACGCTATGAACATGGCGCTCATACTAGAGTTTTCAATTTGTCTGAAATCCAGAGGTGCAATGCGTATCGGTAAAGACTTCCTACTCTTCACCAAACAAGGGGCAACTATGAGCTGCCTGTTCTTGTCCCGCACTTTCCACGAAGAAGAAAAGATCGAGGAGGTCATTGTTCCCATGCCGTCATTCGAAAAGAACACGAGGCACCCATTTGGTCAGAGTTCGGATGAGAAGCAAAGGGTATGCTGGTATTATTTGAGGATTGTTGACGTTAGTTGCCTTTAAAAAAAAATTGGTACACCTAATTTACGTTTTACGTAATTTGACAGAGAGGTGAACTAATTTGTAACAGGTTTTAGCAACAAAAGTATGTCTGGCCTGGACGTGGTATGAATTTGATAAGTGATTAGTTAGTGGGTTTCCGTTTTCTTTTTAACTTTGTCTTTTTCTTTCCTTTTTAACTTGTGACATGCATTGATAATATTCCGTATGTGGTAGAAAGATAATGTTACAGCATTCGACATGCACAATGTTTTGTTTGAGATGAGTATAAACCGTCATTTGTGCTGGCTTACATTACACCTAAGTTCCATGTTCTCTTCTCCGCAGCACAAAATAGAAATGGATTTGATTTACAAATACTCGCCATTCAAAACTGAGGAAGAATTCTTCGCCCAGTTTGATCGGATAGAGGGCGACTCAGGTAAGGTTTCTAACATTTTGACCGAAAACATAAAAGTATTCACATTCATCTTCGAACTTCTCTGCATTTAAGTTTTCTTCACGATAACAGCATATCAAACGGAGAAGCTTAAGTTTGAATAACGTTTGATCAATTGCTACATTTTGACCGAGTGCAATTTCAATGAACCTTTCATACATTTGTTTAAGTTTTTGCCGGTAAGCCTTTTCTTTTTTCAAAATATTCAAACGTCTGTACTAAAACGACTTAGGTATGAAATCATCAAAAAGTTCGGAAAAAAAGAAGCAATTTGTTTTCCATTAGTTAACACAAATGTCAACCTACCCATTCGTTCCCAGGAACCTTGGTAATTATATATCACATGAAACTGATGGACAACGGCGACTCTGAGCTGGACATCAGTACAGATGCGAGCGATATTCTGTTGGCGGGAACAGTGTCGAACACAGGAGTGCTGGACGATAGGTAACTTTAAAATTGAAACCTGTGGCATGTTCCTGTGTAGTATGTATCTGCATCCGTTAGCTACTGTGCAGACTCAATCTAGTGGGTATCCAGCACAGGGCATGTACATGTATCATAATGTGGCGTATGATATTCAGCTTATGAATGGAATACGATAAGTGCACCTGGAAGTTTCCTAAAAATTAGTTTTAAAGGGAACATGGAATGTACTTTTTAAAATTCAATCCTTGAAAATGCACCCTTGTGTCTCATTTGACTTTATTTCCAGTTTTCGTTTTGCCATTTTCAAGGTTTTTTGGTAACTTTTGTGTTTTTCATGCTGATGAAAATTTCCATATTCACGAGCAAAGGGGGTTGGTTCATTTCAGGCAAAACAAACTCGATGTTACAGCTATTTCTGCACCAATAATTAGCAGAATTTTGGATATTTTGCTGTCGTAAATTTTCGTTTCTTTGGTGAGGCCAAAAAAAAAAAAAGTTCTGCTTCCGATTACATGTCTTTCAAAAATAGGGTCGGTCGGTCGGAATTTTTTTTTTTTTTGCCAATTTTTTTTATGCAGATTGAATGGGGTATTCAATTATATGCGAAGTTTTAGCCTGAACTATTTCTATTGCACTACGAAAGCTATACACAAAATGGCCACAAAAAGTGAATAAAACCTACCTTAATTATTGTCAATATATTTAAGTTCGATAATTCGTAAAAAAAATTGTGGGAAATTCAGGTCGTTCGCACCATAGGCACAACGCTAGTCAAGAACGGGAGCTGGCCAAAACTCCGAAGTGTGTGATGCACTGTACATGTACATTTGTACATGTGTGGCCCGCGGCCAACGGGTCGAACATTTCAGGAAACACGCTGCATTGTATCACTCCAAATACGAGTAGTGCGATCTCAAAATGAACTCTTGAACACGGAAAATACATACACAGACAAGCTAGATCAAATCTGTGAATTAACTTGCAAAAATGTTCTTTCTCCATCGGTGTTTTCTTGGCATTTTTACGATGTCTTTCTCAGCATTTTTACGATGTCGATTCCGACCAGTTGACAGAGCACGTGCCTGCGCCTGCATAGCCATGCATGCTAGCGCTAACATCGCATAGCCGTGCACAGACTAGTTACCGCATTTTCATAATTGGCTCCTGCGCGGCGCGGCGGGAACCAGTCGTCGCCGCATTGCGCTTATTACGCACGTGATTATAGACATCGAATTGCAAAGATAGTACATGTAGTTGAATCGCGCAGCGAATTTGTAAAAATAACGGAGGTTTCTTTTGAAAAAATAGCGAATGTAAGTAAGAAAACAATAAATACAAGCATTTTTTTGATGCAAAAGGGTTGTTGAGAGGTATTTTGTGAAGACAGACAAGACATAAGGTTTTTATTTTTATTTATTCAATCTTTTTTTTTTTTTTTTTTTTGGAATTGCCGATAAAATTTTTAGGGTCGCAGCCTAAAAATAGGGTCGGTCGGGTAACCGGAAGCAGAACTATTCTTTTTTTTGGCCTGATCCGTTGTTGTGAGGTCAGTACATATCAGTAAGCCAGTGAGCAAAGGTTTCTCGCAAATATTTTCAATGAGCAATTTTTTTTGGTTCACAATTTGAACAGAAAACCCCTAAACTGAACAATGTCTTCCTGAAATGACATCACAGCAACAGCGACCTCAATTGTCCGAAAAAAGCATGGGCAATTTTAAATGTTTAAATAACTGTACGCTTTCAATACAATTAACCAAAAAGGGATGTCAAATAGTTTTTGGCGAGCTGTAGGTGGGGGATAGGGGTTGGAGTTGGAGTAGGGGTTGGGTGGGGATGGGTATGACTGTGGGTGGGGTGGGGATGGTAGAGGGAGGGTGGGGGATTCTTGGTTGGGGTTGGGGGTAGGGAGGGGGTGGGGTAAAGATTGGGGTGGGCAAGGATGGGGTGGTACATGTACACACGTGTAAGGACATTTGTTGACTTTATGTTTGCATTGAATGACCATTTACATCATCCTGAATCCTGATCAGTATTGTAGTCGAGGCCACAACCGCCGAGGCCAAGGCCGAGGCCACAACCTCCGAGACCAAGGCCGAGGCCAGCTATCAAAACACGTAATAAAATATAAATCACTAAAACAAGGCTAAGATTATGTTGGAGTTTTAACATCTTTTTAGTTGAATTCACTGAGTTTTGGAGTGCCTGGCTTAAAAATGTACAGCTTGCAATGGGTTCCTCTTGTAGGGAGTCCGGCGAATTTTATTTTTTAAAGAAAGAAATCTCAAGTTTTGTATTAGGTCGGCAACTTTTCTTCCCTCCCTTGAAATTTACGAACGTAAAATCCCAAATATATGTGAAGAGTGCAAAACTGTACTTAACCTAGTTATAGGCTTGCATTTATGTCTACGATGTGAGACACAAAGGTCAGTTTGGACGTTCACCAACCGACGTATTTCCGTTACCTTCCAGTCTAGTCCCCGAGCGGCAATCCTTCCGAGCCTATACCTCTATACTCTACGGTGAACCGAAGATGAAAATCTACATCCAAGGTCACAAGGTGCATACCAGACGTCTTGCCTACACACTCTACAAACCAAAGTGAGTCCATTGGCAGTTTGATCATGATTAATTTAGCGGATAGTTTTCATATGGTTTCCCATGTTAGTATAGGCATGTGTTTATTTATTTATTTATTACATGTCTTTTACCCAGGGTATGCCCAAACAGTTTTAAAATGGTTTCCATTGGGGCCCTGCATACAATACAAATGACTACACAATCCCAACAACTAAAATGTATTCAGTAGCACTGAAAAGTGGAGAAACGAAACTATAGAAGCCTTAAACATGCGCTATTTTGATGTAAGCGCTAGTGTACTTATTGATAAACATGTACACCTAATTCTTGAATAGCGCCCACTAGTGTAATATGGTGTCCATCCCCCTCCCCCCCCCCCCCCCCCACACACACACCTTCAAATACTTTTACTAAAAAAGCATTTGCTAAAATCTGAAAGAATTTGCTTTGTTTCTATTTACCTTTTGCTAGACTATAAGCATTTACTTTTTTCGTATGAATAAAAAAGAGTATATTGTAAATGCTTCATTTTTCAATATTTACTGTTCATTTTCCAAAGCAAGTTTTCAAGGAAGCAAATACCTCTGTCCAAAATTACTGCATTTAGTAATGTTAAGAGCGTAAAATTAATTTTAAAAGTTCATAAAGTACATATATGCCTTTCACTTTATTTCCAATCACATTAGCGCGTAATTTAAATACTTTTTAATTATTAATTTCATTACTAGAACAAACTGCGAATTGATACTGTGAAATTTCGATGCAAAAAAATTGTAGGCCTATATTGAATTTTGGTAGGATTTTACCCGCTCAAATATGTGTCTTTATTTTATATGCAAATGTCACTTCATCAACACAAAAGAGACACTTTTGTTGACAAACAGTCGTCCGTGCAATCAATCCAACAAGCAAGAAGCAATTGTGAGCATGATGTCTAGTGAATGCTCAACAGTAAAAGAAAGCTTTTATTTTTAAGGACTGGAGCATTTGCTTAAGTAAATGCTGAAGTAAATGCTTTTACTTTTTGCTTCAACTTCTTAGCATTTGCGATTTTTTTATTCATACGACCCAATGATCTAGTAACTGGTGTATTTAAAAACGTTCAATGTCAAACGACCAATAAGTCTTGGAATGTATGGGTCAACCTGTGGGCAGGAAGGTAATTATTTTGTTTCGAAGAAAAGAATACACACTGTATTATGTTGGTGTACATGTATAATAGTGTGTACAAGGAAAAGCTGTGAGCAATGCATTAAGTGTAGAGCACAAATTGAACAATCAGGAGGATTAGTCATTATGTTATACAGGAAAACATTTAGATGAATGGATAATTAAGAACCGATAATATTAAAACGCTACACATTAAAACAATCGTTTGCTGTGGAATTAAAAACAAACAGCCAGAGCACATATATTTCCTGTAGGACCATTCAATCGAATTATCCTGCTTGCTACAACGTTAAACACTGGCTTCATGTCATATTATGTTGCACTTCAGTAACTATGGTAATATTCTGCATGAACTTTCATAGCAACATCTAGGGGTACTCAGTTGGAAGTGTTAACTGACATGTGTAAAGCAGTTAGTGTATGTAACAGCTGAATTCGTTTGTTTTTTTATAGTGCACTTTGTATAGTGCACTTTGTATAGTACATGTATTTAGCGTGAAAACCTAAACATCTGGATAGCTAGTGGACACACCATTGTCGTTATGGATTCATTCTTTTAACTTCATTTTGTTACGACTCATTTGATTTTTTTATGATTTCTAACCGAGGACAGTTTACCAAACGAGAAAAAGTTAAGAAGTTTTAGTCAGAGGCCGATAGATTTTCAATTATGTTGGAAACAATGGATGATGCGTTTGATGACCAGAATTTGTCTTCACAAATTAAAAAAAGCAAGCCAAATGAATTACATTTTCGAATTCTAAAAAATACCAGCGAAATCTTTGCCAATGTTTCATTCTCGTAAATACCACTTGGTTATATACAATTAGGCTGTACAAATACACGTCCACACGCTTCAAGACGAGATCAGAACTGAAGACATCAGAGGCAGTTCATCAGGCTAAAGTTGGTGAGTTCCAAAAATCTCAGTATTTCATCAGTCAGTTCGCAGAATGTTATGGACAAAGTGTTTTATTCAATTTCTGACCTTGTACAGTGTACTTGTGAATTCTTCCGACATATAAGTTAACGTTGTGTTTAGTCTAGATATTCTTTTTACGATTGTAATACGATGTAGTGGTTTGTATTTTAATTGAAACCAATTTGTTTTTGGACTTTTGTAGCCAACGAGAAAGCTAGAGAAGCCGAGAGTAAAGCTCGAGATCTGGAAAAGAAACATGGGCAGGGAGGTCCGAAGGACAAAAGGGTTGGTATAAATATCGTTTTTATTAATTCACGTCTTTTATTCATTAATCATAAATCAACAACAACAACAACAACAACAACAACAACAACAAAAAGACATGGAGGAAACGTAGAACGTCATGAACATGAAAGACGAATCAAAAGAAAGGTCTAAATGTCAATGAAGCAAGTATACTAGAAATTAATGTTGAAACAAAACATAAAATGGTCTGCAGAATTGACAAATTAAGTATATAACAATTTAGCATAACAAGAAAAGCATAAACCAGGGAATAATGATTACTTGGCTAGGTCAGTGGAAAATTTTAAAGTGGGATGGGCGATAAGAAAGAATACCTTAATCCTGAGAATCAAACAGGGCTGTATTTTGAGTAGATGATAACGAAGGACGAGACCAGTGCTGTTTTTGACAGGTGAGTGGTAAGTTTTCTTATTTCGGATTTTGTCATCAGACATCAACCATTTGTTGCCATGAAATTGTACCTGTTAATTATTATAACATTTTAACTATAAGTACCGTTGCCATGTAAGTAAGTTCCAAATTGTGGTAGTTTTAATCTGAAGAAAACTTAATTGTTCGTCTGCAGGCTATGACCAGGCAGGCTCAAACCGAAGCCTTTGAACTCCGGCAACGTGCCAATATCATGAAGAAAATATCAGAGAAGCAACAGAAGTCGCTCAAAGAGCCCAAGACGATCAACTTCCACTTTGGTATCAACCTTAGCAATCGAAGATATGATGGTGTCTTCATCTACAATTGCGGCAGACTGATCAAAATGTACGAACGGGTTGGACCTCAAGTGGACGGAGGAGTGTAAGTTCAGTATGAATGTTTGACTGGAATGACCTTCATGAAAAATTGAGTGTTGCAAATAGCTAAAATTTCTACTAGTCTATACAGGTTTATAGGAAATTCAGTTTGAAGAAAATCGATGAAAGTTGAAGAGTACATATATCATTTTACATATTAGCACTACTCTATTCTTGTTTTAAATATGGATATGATAATTGGGTGTAAGTGGTTTATCTGAGTTTGGCACAACAAAATCAACATTATGCACATTTTTAAAACATCTTTAAAACTTATGTAAGAGGCAAGGCAATGATACCACCTGATTAATTAGTTATTCATTTTTGCAACACTGTACAAAACACAAGAATCAAACAAGTAATACTGCATGAAGTGTTATAACAAAATTACCAGTTTTGTCTTTTATTTATCACATAGGCAATGTAGTGGAATTGTTGGGTTTGTAGATGTGCCATACCTAGTGCTAGAACCCACACACAACAAGCAGGACTTTGCAGATGCCAAAGAATACCGACATCTATTGAAGGCAATGGGGGAACACATGATCCAGTATTGGAAGGATATCAACATTGGTTTGTATTAAAGAAGCTTTATCCTGATGAGATAATTTTTGTTTTTTTAACCCCATGCGCCCGGGAAGCGGTCATGGCCGCGGCCGCTAATCCTCATTGGAATGCAGTCGCCAGCTGCGGTATGCCGTGGCACACGGCTAGTGGGTAGTTCCACAGCTGCTGCTTTTGTGCAGTCCCGCCACCACACAAAGGCTGTGCAGTCATGCGGGCCACTTGCTCTATGTGTGGAGGAATGTCCCCATTATAACCCGTGCTTAAGGGGTTAATATTGGGGTTCGTGGTAGATGCAGCACCATCAGAAATCCATACGAGTCAAGTTGGTTTGACAGATGCGTCATCATTGCACCGGTGCACCATTATGACAAACTTTGAGGTCTTATTTAATGTTTCCACGACTTTCAAAACTTCCATCAATTTCACAGCTTGCACATGGTTTGAAAAAAAAATACATGTACATTTCTAATTTGTTTGTTCATCTATCAGGAATATTATTACCAACGAAATTTACCCGTATTGGTACATGTGCCCATCGTTCTTATGGTCAGTGTACATCCCCTTTGCCCAAACCTGGACCCAGGATTCACGCATAAATTGAATAGCTTGTTAAGGGTCAGGACATCTGACATAATTTGGTGGAAGACTGATCTTCACTCTGGTTCTTTGATAGGAAACTACATTGTTAGTGCTATAGGACAGAAAAACAATTTTAGGTAAAGTAGATAAACCTTCAGATCAGACTAGGGGAAGGTCAGAAAAAGAGGGAAGGCAATAAAAAAAAAAAATTATTTTCTTTCGGTTTTTTTTTTACCTTGTAATTTATATTTAATGCTCACTTGACATTGATCTTTTTTCAATTATGTGATATATTGTAACGAAACCAGAACCAAAACCAACTTCTTTAACCATTCGTGTGATCAACAGCATCACTAGGTGTGACAAAGTTCTGGGAGAACTTCGGCTATGTCAGTCACAATTGGAAGGACCCGCCATCCGACGACCCCAAATTTGTCAGGAAGAGGGCCATGCAAACACCGGTGCTGGTGCAATGTGGTGAGTTAACCAGGGACAGATTCAGGTTTTGAGGGGAGTATAGGGGACTTGTGAATGAAAGAGCTACGTGTATAAAGAATCCAGGGACGTTTGTGAAATCAAGGAGCTTTTTTTCCTGCATTCTTGTAACTTTTTAGAGAGATTGAAGGGAATACAAGGCGTCTCAAACAAAATTTTATTCTGAGGAAACTTTTCGTGTTTTTTGGTAACAAAATTACCATAAGATGATAGAGTGTTTCTTTACCCTTGACTGGATTTTTGTTCTGTGTGATTTGGACCTTTTGTTTAAAAGTTACGGCAAAGCTTGTGAAGTCTGTCAAAATATGTTTGGGCCACTTTGTTATTGTTCCGTGCGGTATGTGAATGCCTTTCATTGGAGCAGATAATCTGAAAAGTTGCCCAACTTGGAACTCAAGTCATTTCATTTAATCGACTGTATCTCTGGACTGGGGTGTCCAAATGAGATGGGCTAAAGATCATTATGTAGAGACTATAAGGATATACGTTTTGCAAACAGAGAGTGCTAGTATTTTTGAAATTTATGGATGGACTGCTACACTTTTGTTGACACACACTGTACATGAATATAGAGTGTTTGAAACTTTTGCATAAACTGTATGGGCAAATATCGAGATCGGTAAAGTATCCCAGATTGATGTAAATGTATATCTACCTCTTAGACAGTAATGTTTTACACTTCCTTATCTTACACTTCCACTATCTGGTATGAATTCAACCAATGTGCAGTCACAAACGCTACATTCACAATCGTACAGCTTTCCTTGTCAAACTTTGCAAACACTTTCTTGATTCAGCCGTAACTAAATCTCATAGATGAGCCAGTAGAATTCACCCAAGTGTACAACCACAGCAGTCCACAAACAAAGATCTTTCCACTGAGTTTGAAATGGACCGAAAACAAAGTGTATTGATGTTATTGTCCCTTCCCAAGAGACCTCACTCTAAAACACCTTTGATAAAACGAAGAAGATATCTGGTAATATTTTAAAAGAAAATTGTAATCCTAGGATGGTCTGATGGTCATTTAATGCATATTCCATATCTGAACAGTTATTCTTGTGTTAGTATGCGGCATGAACTGTTACATCTATAGACCATTATCATATTGCAGCCATTTCATTTCTTTCCCATTCAGATCAATGTAACCAAAGCGAGGCTGGAAGGAAAAATAGTCTGGTTCCTTTTTGCACAAAAACATTATCATTCAGTATTGTTATTGGATACAGGGAACATGTCTAACATGGTGGAAGCATGATAAAGGTCCATTTGAATTGTTTTGATTTGTTAACCCATTGATACAGTTTGTTTTACTGAAATGCATTCAGTGTGTTATTTTGGTTATCAAATGATCTCTCATTAATTAACTGTGCTGTGTATTCTGTTTTTCTAAGATGCTTGCCTGAAGTGGAGAATCATGCCGTTTTCCAGCAGTAATATCAACCGTGTGTTTTCTGATGACTGGCAGTGCAGTATGAACACTGATAGCACACACAACAGGTCGAATAGCCATCCATTATTTTAGCATTCGTTTCTGATATACATTCGTGTGGGGGCAGTTCGGGGATTCATTACCAATGAAAATATTGATACATATTTGTATTGGTTATGCCACTTTATATGGGGAGTAAGGCCCAGTGGTTAGGGTTCGTGACTAACGATGAAAAGCTCAGGGGTTCGAATCCAGCTGCTGGCCATATGTTGTGTCCTTGGGCAAGCCACTTCACCCCATGTGCCTTGCTCCACCCAGAGGTATACATGAGCAACAACATTAGCTGCGGAATTCCATGCAATGGATTTGCATCACATCCAGGAAGACAGGCATTATTCTTGGTCGTCTTATGCCATGGACACTAGAGATAAAGTCTGGCTCGATGAGACATTTGCCTTGGATATACTTGACATGATTTAGACAGATTTTACTTATTTTACTGAATACTCAGTATTCCCTGTCACAGTTGGACATCACAGGTTCACAATTTGGAAACCTACCAGGAATATTACAGGATATACAATAACTACATTTGTATTCCATTATATCACAAATAAAAGAAGGTCCAAATATTAAATCATACAGAGGTGATTGGAAACAAATCCCACCGGATATATGGAGCTGCTGGACAATACATTAGCAAATATATATTCTAAGCAAAAAAGTAGCTGGTAGCCCACCACAGCGGTATAAAATGCGTGGATTTTCTGTTGGTAGCCGATTTTTCATCAGCACTTATTTTTTTGCGCTTAGAACGTTTTGCTGCTTGGTTTGAATGAGGATGGGAAACAAGTCCATTTGTATAAGTAACAAAGATGAAAATTATTTCATCAAAAGATAAAGGATACAAAGATAAAAGAACAATCTTTCGCGTGAGTGGTTGAGATTGGCCATGATTTGTCTAAGGTCCATCATTTGCTGGTCAACCATAGGTGCTCAAGTGCTGAACAGAAGGTCCCAATCGCAACAGGTGTGTTCAAGAAAGAGGTCAAGTCGGCAGAGGAGCAGAAGAAAGAGATCCTAGAGGTTTGATTTTAGTTTTCACTCTTGTATTGTATTTGGCCTAACTTACGGCCTCTTCGTTTCAGTGAAGATTTTTTTTATTGTATCGTATACAGGTTGTTCCACACAAAAAACTAACATGTTGGGCATGTTTTCAGAAATCAAAATCGTGTCTAATGTATTGCTGAGTAGAATTGGTCTTCCCAAATGCTTTTTAGTTGGTTTCATTATAAGATGTTTTGTTCAAAAGATACATCAATCACAATAAGGAACTTGAAAAACTACTTGGGCTATTTTTTTATTTATCAAGTTTACAAATCAAAGCCGGTAGAATAAGTCGCACGTTGCTCTTGACCAAAGAAAATAAATTCTTTGTGTGTTTCTCTAACTGCGCTTTCTCACTTTCAAGGAAAGTGGCCCAAGACGATTTTCAAACCTTCGAGTTCGATGAAGCATATAGCGTTTGGGCCCAATGCATCGATTTGAATGAAATACAGTTTGCATAGTAGATTGTTACCTAACTTTAAGAGGTAATTTGAAATTGTTCCAATACTCGCATGAAATATACCTTTATTAATTGGTTTTCGATTGCTAGGTTTTTGTGGGACAACCTGTATACGTGAATTGTGTGCATGAACTGGAATGTACATTATGTTAAAACAGTTGAGAAAACTACATTTATTACAGAAAGGAATATGGAGTGGAATTTGTTGACATTGAATTTCATATTGCAATTGAATAAACTTACCCAGCAACAGCAAGTAAAACTTATAGTAACGTAGGGTTTGATTGGTTTTTCAGTAGGTAACCTTACAGAGATTTGCACAGGTCTAAGTTTCAAGCTTTCAGTGTAACATCTATTGGGAAACAAATGTTTACAAGGTAAACTATGAGATGGGATATTCTATTTAAGTTTTTTTTCACTCCCCAGGATATCAAGAAGAAGCAGGAGAAGCTGGGTAAAATCGAGGTGAGAAGAATATGATATTGACAATTGGAAAGGAATGGAGGTTATGGTTGTATTTATTATTTATTAATCATTATTAAAAAAAACAATTGAGGACAAAAGGAGGATATGGGGATTTTAACGTGAATGATAGATGTTTTGGATGTGATGATAAACATTGAAGGAAAGGGAATAAACCCTCGGGGCATATGGTTGATTTGGTCTTAATGATAAAGGTTATTTTTTTGTAATTTTTTTTTTAGGACCCATGGGGGGGGGGGATGGGGATTTAACATGAATGATGAATGTTATTTTGAATGTGATGATAGACATTGAAGCAAAGGGATAAAAAAGTGAAAGCGATGTTGGGGTTGGGCATCAAGGTCAGTGGCATAAATCTGTATCGGCGAGTGGGGGAGAGGGGGACGACCAAAATCCCAAAAATATTCCGGGGGGGGCTGGACTCCACATTACACTGGTGGCGCTCTTCCGGATATTGATGTATATCAATATGTAAACTCGCGCTTACATCAAAATGGCGCATTTTAATAGCTTTTGTAGTTTGTTTCTTCACTTTTCAGTGCTATTCAATACATTTGGGGTGTTGGGATGTTCGAAAAATACCTCAAAATCCGCATTTTTTTCCTCATCACGAAAAGTGGGGGGGGGGGGATGATTCGATGGCCCATCCCCCCCCCCCCCTGTAAAGCGCTTTACAAGAACTAAAAGACTATGTAGTAAGGAACAATTGTACAATGATAAAAGCAATACAAAATAACTACCACTACGTCCAATAAAACTACCTCGATCAAACAAAAGTTAAAAGGTAAATAACTAATTGAAAAAAAAACAAAGAAAAATCTAACTAAAGTTTAAGTAAAAATGTGAAGAAGGCAAGTCAAGTTTGGAAATTCCAAAAATGAGAGTCAAGTAAATTTTCTAAGTATTTCCTAACAAAATTGGAAATGTTTCTCAGTCCCAGATTTGTGTCCTATCATCATTTTTGCAATGACTGACCTTCATTGAGATGATATATGAAGAAAAAAAGCAGCGTCAGGTTGCAACATTCTTTTCCTTTAATTGTGTCTTTAGAGAGAAAAGAAACGTTCCTCCTGGTCACATTTTGCCGATGACGACTTCGAAGAACCTTACCAATACAGAGAAAGAAGAGTGAGGATGCTCTGAATTCTTGCCAAATAACATCATCGTACTTGGCTTTAAAATTCAACAGGCACTTTCAGTTATTGATTTACAGAACACATCAGTGCTGCTTCAGCATGTCACTTACTTGCAGTTGGTGAACGGAAATGACAGTACAATGCACAAGTGGAATTTCAACAGCCGTATTTTTTTGGTGTTCTCGCACATGCATTTACCTTTTTCTTTATTTTGTCCTGATTTGCATGTTCAAAATCTGAACCATATACACGTATGATGCAAAATTAGACCTCATGCAGCTAACTTTGTCTCGAAAATTATTATTTGGCACAGGTCCAACTGAGCTGTATAAAACTAATTTCATTAACCCTCATATGCAAACATACATTCTGTGCCAAGTTGTCCTTGCAGTTAAGATTAATCAAGTGACTGTTTTCAGCCCCTAAAAATTCCCAGCCCACAAAAAAGCAGGATTGACTGCCTTGAACTGATTAAGTAACTTGATACAGCTATGTTTTGACTCCCGGTGAGTGATAAAACAGCTGTGACCACAACTTGCCTGCTTTGTCTGTTGACCCAGTTTGGCTAGACCATGGAGGACAGACACAGTGCTTGTTTGACACATGATCTGTTAAAAGTATCGTATTGTGGCCATCTTGATTTTTTCCCATTCAAATCATGCAACGTAACCAAAGCAAGACTGGAAGGAAAAATAGTCTGGTTCCTTTTTGCGCAAAAACATTATCATTCACTACTGTTATTGGATACAGGGAATATGACTAAAATGGTGGAAGCATGATTAAGGTCTATAGCAGGGGAAGTGGAAGTGAATTTTGACTGTCCGTGACTGCTTAAATAGCAGGAGGTTTAATGACTTTTAAACATTTGTACAAGATGCTCTAGTTTAAAACCATCTGTTACTCCTCTCTTTGCCCCTGCACTGTTTTAAGATTACATGTACTGGTTCTGGGGTTGATTTGCTAACACTAACTAACCTGCCAAACCCACTTTTGATACTGACTATTATGTTTTTGCAGAATAAAGGATAACTAATATCACATGTGCAATTGAATCATCCCATGTACGAAAGAAGAAAGATATTGCAAAAGGCATCACTGACAAAGGGCACAAGAACATATGTTTGATAGCATATAGTTTATATAATCAAGAGTAATATTGAAGTCGCCACAAGTCAAAGTCAGGCTTTCATAATTCAAGTGACAAGCTTGACTTTAGTATTTTGTTGGCAAAGGAAGTCATTTGTCATTGTTTACCCCAGTATTTTTGACCTGAGTGTGATTTACCATAATGTTACCACAACAAATTAAAGGAGTTGGATACTTGTCAGAGGAAAATGACTTTCATAATTCTGTCACTTTCTGCACATTCCCCTCAATCAGCTCTCAATAGAACAAAAAAGTAATGGAAAATACCATCAGAACAGTCCATGCAGGCAAGAATTGTAAATACTGTTTCACTTATGTCACTCGATTGCTGTGTTGGAGTCTTTCATTCCATTTATTTATTTATTTATTTATTTATTTATTTATTATTTATTCGTTGTAACAATATGGTGAGATTGAACGATGCAACTTTACAACAGAGAGGCTAGACAACTGTTTTGGAGACTGGGTTGGACAGTGATGTTATGTTTTGGGGCACAGTAAAGTAACACAAGGGGATGAGGAAAGAGAACATAGTACATATGAGAGTGTGCAGAGGGTGAGATGTCTAATGATATGGATTTTGTATTTTTCTTCCCTCAGACATCACTCCCTTCGTCAACGCCACCAAAGCCAATTGGCAAGGCCTCACCTGTACAGAGCTACAAAGAAAAGGTAGGACTTGATCAGGCTGTGTCTAAAAGCTACAGTTACATCCAGAGCTAAGGTCAAATCCATTGTCAGCTTGCTCCCAAGAAGTTGTAATGGGCAAAGACATAGACAAAAATATTAGACAAGAGATTCTTTTATTATTTGTATTTATATCTTTCTGGTAATGAAATTGAGGATTCCTCAAAAGCGCCCTAGGCACTGTAGCTCGCAAGCCGGAAGAAACCTGTAGAGAGAAGACAACGAGAAGAAATAACAGTTTTAGAGGTTGGAGGAAAACACCAGAATTTTCTTCTGGGGAAAACCCACGGAATCAGGTAGTGACTGAAAACCCAATCCACATGTGGACCAGGGCAGGAATCAAACCCAGGCCACAGCAGTGGAAGGCGAGGAAAGTAACCACTGCGCCAACCTGATTCAGACAAAGCCTTACTACTTGTCACCATAGCCGCGGCCTCACTCGGAGGTCACTGGCTTTTCGCTGTAGCACCTGGTTCATGCTTTTTATAACCCATATTACCCATAGCTGTCTGGATATATGGAATAAAAATGTACTTGACTGAGAAATCATCATATCCTGTTTTTCTTTCTGATTTCTGACGGGGAAAATAAACTCCAAAGATGACTCTTGCTAGTGTGCATACATCCTTTTACAAAGAAACCCATGTTGTGTCCTTACTATTTAGTGTTCAAATTCTGAAATTGTTTGCCATGTGTTATATCAGTGACTAAGTTGCTAATGCCAAAGCCACTTCTAATAAAGGACTTGCGACCATCTCAGGAATTAAAAACCAGCTGTGAAACTTGTGTGTACTATTTAGTTTACAAATTCTGAAATTGTGTGCCATGTGTTATATCAGTGACACTGGCCAAGTTCGGGCAAGGACCATTAGTCGACTAGTGGTTGATTTGTGACGTACCTTGCGCCTGCGCACTGAGAGCAACGTGCGAACGTCTCTCATCAAACGCTGGTCAAAATGTCATCGCAAAACTCCTGGATCCTGGCTCTCTGCTAGCGTTATGAATGCGCGCGGCTATTGGTTACCAGCGAAGCAACCAACCCCAGTAGGCTGGTTCCAAATAGTCGACTAACGTAGTCAACCACCGTCGACTAGGCAGAGTTCGGGCAAACGTTAGTTAACCATTGGTCAACTATAGTCCTTGCGCGAACTTGGCCTAAGTTGCTAATGCCAAAGCCACTTCTAAAAAAGCACTTGCGACCATCCCGGGAATTAAAAACCAGCTGTCAAAAGAATTCATTGAAAGGTTGTCCAGTGAGAAACTATTTCCTAATGTGTAAGTGAGTTATTCAGGTATTCTCACACTCTTGTGTGTATTCAACAGCCTACATCCAGACCAATCGGCAAGGCCTCCCCTGTGGTAAATCAACAGCAGAGCAGAAGACTCTCTGCGCAATCAACAGCCAGTAGTAACAAGCCAGCCACTGCCACCGTCAGCAGGTATACCACACCAGCAGCCAAAAATGACAACAAGAAGACTGCCCCTATCGTTGAGAGGAAAGCAGCTTCAAGACCACAGGTAAAAAAATTGTCATCCTGTGGCTCTCAAACTTTAAAGGAAGAGTATATTATTTGTCATTTGTGCCTTTTTTTTCTTCGTTTGAAGCAACAAAAGTGCTCAAAATCTGAAGAAGGGTGTTTAACAACTAACCTGATGAAGTTTTAGCTCGGTGAATGATGTATGTTCTGAGAAAACAATATTCTAGGATCTTGATTTCAATTCAAAAGTTGCCGAGTCCTGTTTTGAATTACGCCCGAAATTATCGTCAGGGACACGTTCTCATGCAGCCAAATGCAGCTACGTGATATCACGCACTGAACCGACGAATTATAGCAACCACTTGCGCATGTGCATCGTGTCGACGCTTGCGCGCACCCATTCACGGCTTTGTCGAATAAAACACAAACTACTAACAGAAATTTTCAAATATGTGTCTTTTTAGAGGCATAAATTCAAATGACCTCTTTTATTGTTTTCTTCAAAATGACAGCATGCCAGGAGAGTAATTCACGGGGAGTTTATAGTGCCATCACCATCTTTAAACCAACTATGCTTTTCAACAATAATTTTGTCAGTTAACTTTTTGGATTGCTGCAAATGAAAAACTTGACCTTTCATTCAAAAGATGCTGATTTGAACGCAATACCTAAAAAAAAAAAAAGGGTTTATCCCTTTTTCACAAGGGCATGTGTGCACAAGGTTAAATTTAACACTTTAAGTGGTACTTGCGCTCTTCAACTAAAGCATGCAAAGAGCCTATATTTTCTGGTTTACTAATTTATTTCTTACAGGAATGACAGTCTAATATTTTATTTTTTGCCTGTGGTTAGAAAACGGCGCCACCGGCTCCGATTGCTAAAAAGGTGTATGCAACAAAGAGGCAAATTAGCTCCAGTACAACTTCTGCAGCTGAAGCAAAGAATGAGGTAATGATGAAGTATTTCAATCTGTGAAGGTTACGTCACTGTTTCCCTCACATAGCTTGGGTCTTCATGGACATCACTAGAGGGGGATGTAGCATACCAAAAGTATGGAATTCAGTTAAAGTCAGGCAAATTTATGTATTAGTATAGACCTTGATCATGCTGCCACCATTTCAGTCATGTACCCTGTATCCAATAACAGTACTGAATGATAATGTTTTTGGTGCAAAAAGGAACCAGACTATTTTTCCTTCCAGCCTCGCTTTGGTTACATTGATTTGAATGGGAAAGAATCAAGATGGCCACAACATGATAATGGTCTATTCCAATGACTAGACTCTTGAGTCATTTTGAACAACTGCAACTAGTCTTTTGCAGTGTAGTTGCTCCTCTTTGTTTCAATCGATCAGTTCACTTAATTGTGATCTTTGGAATTATTTGTTTCAACGAGAAGCTGGTCTGAAACAGGTATTTTCTAACTTACTAAGTTGCACCCTTTTTTTCTTCCATACAAGGACAAAGCTCCTGAACCGGCGAAAAAGCGGAGGCTGACCGGCAACTCGCAAATCTCGACTGATGAAGAGATGGACGTCGGTAAAGACGAGGAAAGCTCTGACTCAACACTGCCGAGCTGTGATATGCAGCTGGAGTCTGAAAGTAAGGGGAAATAGAATCAATAATGAGCATTGCGACACCCTGCCACCTACCCAACTTGTCAAAGAAAATGGAACCATGAAAAGTACCACCAAGTGTCATTTTGAATAATCAAATATAAGGATAACGTAGAAACAGGATGGGTGCCGTCGACGGTTTCCCCAAGACCAACTGCACCGAGCATGGCAAAGTGGTCCGTATATAAAGGCAATATTACATAATTTTATTACATGAGCTATCAGCTGAGTTTGGAAATTATAGAATGATTCACAACAAGATCACTGCCATTCCCCGAACCCTCCCCAGCTCCCAACATATCACATTATGAGAAGTCAGATGATTTTTACCTATTAACAAATGAAGCCCCATAAAATACTATTACTGCTCCTTAGTTCCTCTGCAGTTCATGATTATAACGAAATGACCTAGTGATACCTTTTCATTTAATAATTGGCTATAAATCAGCTTAAAAAGAAGACGTTGGCAAAGGGCAAAACCCACTGTAAAATTTACATTCCATCTTACTAAATGTTTGGTTGTGGTACCCACTGCTACACATGCCTCAAATTGGTCAGGTTACCCCGGCAAGCTCGGTGGTCTAGTGGTAAGACGTCTGCAGTGCTAAGCAGGAGGTCGTGGGTTTGAGTCCCACCTGAGTAAGCTTATGAATTTGTTCTTGCAAGCCCTTGGACAACAATGAATATTAAAGAGCGTTTTTAAAATATGTCGGCGAAGAGCAAAAATCCACTGTAAAATTACCATCTCCCCGACGCAAATTCCATCTTCAAAAATTAAAATCAGCCTATTTAAGCGAGGACTTAAACAGTATTGTAGTAAAGTACATTGCAAGGTGCTCACAAGTCTACCACAGTTTATTAAAATCCAAGTTTCAAGTCGCAAGCTATTCAATTGAACTGCGCTGTAAGACACTACCATGTCATTAATCCCCTGTTACTTGCAACTGGACTTGGAAGAGCCTGTATCAGTTCATATCTGTGACAAGTTCCGGACAATATGCGGAAATTGTATTGGGTATATTATAGTTGCAGGATCCTGAACAACTTTCTCGCAATCTTTCCTGCAATGAAGTTATCAGTGTTGGTGAGTCAAGCTGTTGCAAATGAAAATTGCCCGGAACACGGAGCCCTGAACCCAGACAAAGTGAATGATTCTAACAGCAAATTGTCTGGAACTCGTCCCGGATATGACTTGAGTTGGGCCTTAAATGGAATCGTGATTTATCTGACTAATAAGTACTCGAATTCAACACTAAAAATAAAAAAAAATTAACTTAGGTAAATGCTAGGCTCAAGCTAATACCCCACATTTAACCACCAGGTGTTGGTAAGCGAGTTGAAGCCCGCGTTGATGGCAAGTGGTACGCCGGCAAAGTGGTCAAAGTCTTTCAGAAACAAGACTGTGTCAAGTGGAAGGTCAAGTTTGATCAACATCCCAAGGACAAATACGATAAGAGGTAGTGAAATTTCAACCTTTTTTCAACCTTTGTTCCATTTGAAATTTGTTGCATAAAAAGTAAGATTTGTTGAAAGTTTTATCCAGGAGAGGTTACTTTTATTCTTAATGTAAACATGTTAATTCATTTTTAGCACAACCTCCATCACATGAAATTTGCACTTCCATGTATACCTTTGATGCTCGTGTACAGCACATACATGACCAAATCGAAATGTGTAACCCCAAATCTGGTCGTAATCCCTCACCGGTAATCGTAAGGATCAGTTCCTACTTCATGTCTTCATGCTAAATGTCCCGCCCATGGGACGTCGTTGCTAGGTAAAAGGGCGCCCTCTTTCGTTGGCGCACGGAGCCCATACGTTGGCAATAGAAATCTAATTGTGACATTTACAAAACTCTAACAACTGGACAGTGCTGTAACAAAAAAGAACTAGCCTTTTCTTATATACCTACCTTCTCGCCTACAACATTTCTCAAATTCTCAGATTTTCATTAAATCCCTCCCTGTCCTTTCAGTTTTGACAAGAACAGTGAGGACATTAGGCCGATCCAGGAACCTCCCGCTTCAGCCACAGATGACCAGTCAGAATCCCCGGAAGCTGTACCCGCGGACATCCCCCCAGAGCTCCCTGAACCTGCTCCAACAACTCGCGAGCCTGCTGTTCAGAAGGTCACGCCCACCACAACGGCCCTGCCGACAGCTGTCACGCCCCCTCAAGATACTGCCCCACCCACCACGCCCAGGACCACACCCAAGACCACGCCCAAGACCACAACATCAGCCACGCCCCAGGCAGCAGTACCTCCCAGCAAGGCTGCAGTCACGCCCAGTGATAACACTGAGGAGCTGGAGGAGAATTTGAAAGATGAGAGACTTTCTCAGGGCTTCAGGTGGGTTTGGTCAGAAAACTGACCAGTCCGGTCTGAAGTAACGGCTTGATCAGTGAAATAATGGCTTAATTTTTGTGAGCATCTGGTTTTAGGTTTTCTCTAGATTAATGGAGTCTCGTAACTTTGGCCTGATGATTGTTCAAAAAGCAAATTCATACCCATGTTGATATCTCTTTTCTTACAAAAAAAATTAAAAATTGAGAGAAGACTTTTTGCTATATTTGTTTGATGTATATTTTGGAAATTTAAATCAGCCAGCCCACTTCAGCAAGCTCAGTTTTCAATTGGTACAGACATTTGGGGGCCTGTCTCAATTCATATCCGGAATTAGTTCTGGACAAGTTGCAGGTAGAATCATTCTCTTTGTCCGGAAGAAGCTCTGCATTTGTCCTGGACATGTTCCGGGGAAATGTTCATTAGCAACCGCTTGACTCACGAATACCGATAACTTCATTGCGGGAAGATTGTGGGAAATTGTTCAGAATTCTACAACTTATAGCCAATACAAATGTCTGCAACTTGGTCAGAACTCATCCCAGATACGAATTGACGGACGGGCTCTAAGGGGTGGTTAAAGTCCATCTGGAGTGAGCGAAGTAAGGTTTTGTCTTACATGCTCTCATGCAGCGCTGAGCAGGCTGTTGCTTCATATTCTTTTCAATTCTTACTTTGTTCACCAGGAAATGCCTACGTTACTTCTTGCCGCCACTTTGGCCAATGAATAAGGAAATGATCAACAACCTCAGTGTAGAGGAGCTGAGTGAATTCCCTCTGGACAACTTCTTTGACCAATACGAAAAGGGGCTCAGGAATGTAAGTAACCATTTGAAATGTTTCTCCATTGAAATTTGATTTAAACCCTCTCATATCCTTCAATATCAATCAGAAGTTTCTTTAGGGTTTGTAGGATTGGGGATGGTAGAACTCATGCACTATTACTTCACATGGGAGATCCAAGACTTAGTACAGAGATGTGCCATTTTCTTTGTTGACATGGCGGACACAATAAATTGGAACTTGGCAATGGTAAATTTGAAGTGGGTAAATGAATAAGAATAGTGCCCTCCTATTTTCAATACATTTCAAAAGTCTAATTTGCTTCAGGCACAGTGCTGCATTTAGGAGGATTAAAGGAAGGTAGATAGAGCCAACATGCAAAAGAGACTCTAGCCAAGCGCTTATTTACGAGCCAACGTTCCTGGTTTAAACAAATTGCGAGAATGTACCACAACAGACAACCCCAGCAAATGCTGTTGGAACGGTGGAAGGAAATAGAAGTGATGGGGAAGCAATACATATATTTGGCATGAGAGGCATAGGACGAGCAGCGCTTAAAGCCCTTTACCTCTCACTGCTGTGGTCCAGGTTCGATTCCCGGCAAAGTTCACATGTGAGTAGAGTTATTCGTGGACTCTCTCAAGTTTTTCTCCGGGTTCTCCAGTTTCCTTCCTCTTCAAAAATCAGGTATTAAAAATTAAAAAAAAAAGGCTGGATGGTCATCATCATCATCGTTTTTTGTATTCAGCTTGTTGGTGGCTTTCAAGCAGAAGCAGCTGAGAAAGCAAGAGAGACAGAAGCGACCAAAATCAAACTTGCCGAACTCAGGAAGCTCATTGCCCAGTTGCTCAGGTCTATCAATGATGTAAGTTTGACTCTTTTTATGAATCTTTTACCCTTGAATGTAGAAGTTGGCAAAATGGAATTGGTCATAGTGATTCCGCACTGGCTTTTAGTTAAAAAAAATACCCACCAAAATTGTATAAAGTTATCCATAACACTAAAGGTCATTTTGTTTGAATGCAGAGCTAAGCCTTGAAGTGCCCCGGGTTGCATTATTATAAATTAAACAAAATTGGTGTTCACAATTTTCAGATAATTTTAAGATAAAAGAATTTGCCAAATTAACATGTGACTAAATTTGAAACTTTGTGTGAATTAATATTTCATGAAATCTGAAAAAGTGACTGGAAAAATTAAGTGAGAACCTATTGAACAGGTGGCAATGATGAGTATGAAAACATCTTCACTTTGATCTGATATATTGTGAAGAACTATCCCAACTGAGCCACATAGGAAATACATGTAATTGTAAACGGCCTGGTATGATTCAGATGGCATTTTTAGTCTGCTCTCCAAACATGCAATATCCAAATGTTTTTGCTGTGCATGAACTTGTTCCAATCTTGTCATTTAATGACTTTTGAGTGTTTAATTTGCCGTAAGACTTTTCTCCTTATACTGATTACTTCTGGTAATTGCGTTTGCAGGAGATAGTCGTGAGCGATACGGCAGGGGAGGAGGTTGACGTCATGCTTGCTGCGTGTGTCAAGCAAGCCATGCAGGATGAGTGATCCTCATCCCCAGGGAGTTCCCTCAAGTTGGTACCCGTCAAACTGTCGATTACTTTATACAACGAAGAAGGGGTTGGCAACAGGATGCGCGACAAAGAGAGAAATCCAAGATGCTGGAAATCCGTCGCTAGTAACTTGACTACAGCATGAGTTTGCGTATGAACAGTGACCAAGGAATAGCCACTGTTTGTTAGGTTGTCACAATACTCGAGAAAGGATAACATCTCATTGACAGAATTACAACTGTGGGCTTAATCTGGACACATGCCTGTTGAATTCTTACAACTCCTACAAAAACACGCATGCAGCTTGAAATGTCAGCAACTTGGTAAGAAATTGCAACGCGGTTAGTGCGGCATTATTGCTTTTAGATATAACAATACCGAGTACCGAAGTGTGCCGGGTATGTGTGTTCACATGCTGGCTGAAGTGTGCGAAGACATCAGTGTGTGAGCCAGCGCATGATGAACCAGAACAAAGACAGCTGACATCAGACTTTGGTACTCTATAAGCACAGCAAAAGGCACGCCTACTTCAGAGGAAAAATTTGCTTAACTTAGTGACGCTACAATAGAAATCTCCACGCACGCGCAACCGTCAGCACATCCACACCCCGTCAAATAGTGCTTAAGGTTAGCATATTTTTCTGCTATGCTAAGCACAACTTTTCTGCTGTTATGCAGCACCGAAACTTAGTAACGTAACAATAGAAATCTCCATGCACGCGCAACCGTCAGCACATCCACGCTGTCAAATAGTGCTTAAAGGGAAAATACAACATTTGCAAACATCAAAAAATAAAAGTACCAAATCATTTTGAAATACCTTGCTGGATTGTTAGTGGATGACAGTGTAAAGCATCCTGTGAAATCATGGCACCTGGTATACTGTCATTTTCAAGAAAAGTGGTATTTTTGTATCAATTTCCAACGCTGATCGGCCGATCAGCGTTGGAAAAAACTGGCTTTTTTTTCAAATACTGGCCCTAGTTGACCATCGCACTTGTTTGCAATCGATTACACACCTATGAACGGGTACAAGCCAGCTAGACTGGTTCCCTGACCTTACAATTCCCCAATATATGTAAACTGCTCTGTTTCTTCTTAAATGGAGTCAGGGAACCAGACTACAGGAAAATGATTGTTTTTCTTGGTTTTTATAGCATTTTCGAACCCAAAACCTCAAAAAAGTCAGTGTAACTATATTTGCTATATATTTCCAACCCCCCAATTCCATCCATTTCTGAAAATTACAGCAAAAGCAAATGATGTATATTCCCTTTAAGGTTAGCATATATTTCTGCTATGCTAAGCACAACTTTTCTGCTATTTGTCAAGCAGCGATGTGCAATTGAGCCTAGGTGTATCGCGGCAGTGCATTGTAATGTCACTTCCAGTGGTCCCACTTAGCAATCGATGAGGGGTGTACCCACTGATCTCTATATAAAGACTGGATAGCTAATACAGAGCCGCACAATGTACGAATTTGACGCCATATTGGTGAGACCGGCTGGTGATCTACAAAGGACAAGATGCCGTTTTTATAGACGGCATGATTTCTTTTGTAACGTCGCGGTTCACTTGACTTATATTTTGACCACCACCACTGACCAAGGTTAACTACAATTTTTCTAACGTCGTGGTTACTAAAATGCCGCAAATATAACTTTTTCGGCGTTTTGAAATAATAATCACTACGGAAATGTGTCCCTTTTAGAACATCATAATATGTGTACGTGACCAAAATGCGCGTCAACTGTTGATACAACGCGCGCGTATTTACGCGTAGAACGTTCGTATTATACGCGGCCATCTTTGTGAGACCGGGGCGAATTGGTCAATATGCAAAGTCTACTGTGTGAATGTTGTATGCATATCCGCTATCCAGTCTTTATATAGAGATCAGTGGGTGTACCTGTGCACCGAGCCCATACCCATCGCACATCATTCGGCTGGTATCTTGTTTTGCTTGCTTGAAATTTCCTTTTCTCTGCAGATTTCATAGTCTGAGTAACTAGGACTCTACGGATTGCTTTTTAACATTTGGACATTGATTGGTCACCTGACCAATCACAGGGACTGGTCACCTGACCAATCACAGGGCGCTTTGATTGATCACCAATCCAGGCAACCAATCAAAGTGCCCTGTGATTGGTTTGTCTGATGCTTGCCATGCAGGACACAGTCTAGCCAGCCATGCACAAGTCTACTTTTCCTGAATTCAAAATGGGAGCCTCAAACAAGGCGTTTGTGACAAGGATGTTTCCCGAACTGAAGTCGAAATTTCTCTTTTCTTCCCAAAGGTATGTACGATCACCCGACCATGTCCAAATGTAAAAAAAAAAGGCGATCCGTAGAGTCCTAGTTACTCGGACTACAGATTTCAGTGCCTTGAATTTCGTCCACTTCTCCTCAACTAACATGATAGACCAAAATTCACAAGTAGTGTCTCCATATGTATCTCTCTTTGCCAATGTCTGACAAAGGGCAATGCCTTGGCGTGTTACTTTGTGGATGTGTTGGACATGTTTTGGGCGGACATTTTTTTTGTTTCCAATCACATGCATGCACCAACCTATTCATGCCTTTTCCTATATTAAAATAAACTGATTATTATTTTTTTGGGGGGGGGGGCGGAAGAAGTTGAGCGTCATTCCCTTCATTTCTCTTCGATGTAAAAGCCAAAAATGTGTTGGACATGTGTTCTTTGTTTTTCAGATGGTTTTGTTGACTTCGTGCTGGTAAAAAAATGTTCGCACACCAGGGCATTAATTAAAGTGTAGTTTCTCACTTAGTGTAAAGTAGAACAGACATCTATTGTAGCATTGTACTGTAATCATAGTGCACTTCACAAACTTCTACTTCAGTTTTGAATGGGAGACAAGAACAATGTAAGATACAGTCATGTGGGAATTCTAGTCGCATTTCAAAATGTGCTGAGCATGAATCATACAGAGAAAACAAGTTTCACGAGAAGCAAAATTTCAGTCACAGCATTTTATGTAGAACAGTCATGGGGTCATTTCTGAATTTAACCAACACTTCAAAGCTATCAATATAAAGGAAAAAGGCTGGTCCGTTCAGCTGAAGATTCAGTTATGAAAACTGCAAAACAAAATTAAGCTTTTTAAAAATGTGATCATTGGTCTTGTGCAGTTGAAAATTGACAGTCTGTTGCTTCATGCATCTGCCGAATTGAAGAAATCTAACTGTTATGTCGTCACTAATATTGACATATCGCCAAAAGTACATACTTTTTTATTTACTCTACATACAAGACCATGCAGATTTTACACACGTTGCATACCTTTTTTCCCAGCTCAATTCACAGAACGATGCAACGCCTTCGGCACATCTAACGAGTTCTTGATTTCAAACTTGATGAGAAACAATCAGCTTTACGTCCCTTGGTGACGTTCTTTTCAAATACTTTTGGTACACATACATGTATATGCATATGGACGTAGACCAGACAGAAAAGTTAACATTTGACCCTCGCGGCGGGGGGGGGGGGTAATTATTATTTGCAGGATAATTAAGGGAGTGTAGAAATAAACACGTGAACACTTACAGATTGAAGGAATTATTTATGGAGGTCAACTTTTTAAATCGTACCGATGTACTCTTTGTGAGCATAAGTGTGGAGTACAGTAAAGTATAGTAGTACATGTAAGTAGTCTTCGGTCGCCTTGGTCGTTGGCGCGCAGTACATTGCTGTAGTCACACTGTCGGCCATTGTTGTACCGGTACCAAGACATGAAAGAATGATGTATCATGCATGATGTAATGCGCCGGTACTTAAAGAAGTGTTTGTTCAGACGATTCGGCCGTTGTGTTGGGCGTTAACCAAGTTAAATTGTTTGTCAACAACATCGTTCTTGTTTCAAGTGTACGCGTTCAAGTACCAAAGTTCTGGGTTTTTTTCTCTTATAATTCAAGCAATACTGTAAGGGTCTACTACAAATCCAGCGCTTCGTTATTCTTGGCTTATATACTACAGCAATAACTTGTGAGCTGAATTTAGATATTCGGTCCGTTTTTTCTCTGGTTGTGAATGATGACATTCCATTTTAAATACTGATTGTTGATTGCGACCTTCAAACGTTTATATCTTTTTTTTTGTCAGCATTGTCACATCGTTCAGTCCCCAAGCCATAAATCGTGTGAGTTTCATACAAATCTTTTCGTCATTTTATGCTCTTTTAACCGAACGTCATTAGCTCTAGTTTCACTCCGCGTATTTTATTTTTGTACCTGTTTTCTATTTATTCGAATGTTGTGTCGCATTTTGTATGATTGTTTTGTACTATTGTTTAGCCTTTACTTAAAAGATGACCAGCAGGCAGCACTTTGTACAACGAAAGCTCTTGCTTTTTTTTTAGCGAAGGAACCCGGATGCGCCACTTGTCTTTGCATAAGCTCTTGGGACGCCGCCCTTTCCAATGGCACCGTAGTTTTGAGCCGCCACAATGCCACTGCCTAAAGTGCGGTGTCCCACTTACATGTAGTGATGATGTGTCCGAAGCAGGACCTGCATTACTTTTTCATTTTGTTAAAGGAATATGCTGAAAACCGTGTTAAAGAAAGCGCCGCGTTTTTATCCTAAAGATGTAATCGAAAATTATGTCTTTGCACTGTAATTATTGTAAATAAACAAGATTTGTATGACCATCTTAAACCGACTGAATTTGGGAATTCTTTTGCTGATTCTGATCTGACCCCTTGCACAGAGCGCCCTCAATAAGGGCAGTTTTCTAGCCGAAGGGGCATACTGTTTCTGCCTTGTACTTCCGTTATGGGAGAGCTTTATCATGTTGTGAGGTATACCTGCACAGAGGGAACAAGTGGTACCCCATTAAGTCGGTCGTTGTCTATAACGGTACCCACAGGGAAATTCTTAAGTAGAGAAATGAAAGGACATTGCAAGCACACCATAAACCCCATCCGTAGGCGTAGACAAGCATTACACACACTGTGTGGACTTCCGAACAAAAGATGTCCACATAAACCGGGTAGCAGCCGAAACAGCGACGTTGTGTGGACTTCCCCACGTCCACACAAGGTTTTCCCTCTCTAGAAAACAGTTTTAGAGGCATTTTGGGTTAGGTTTATCTGTGGCAAAATGAAGAGAAACACTAGACGGAATCATAGAAAAAAATTTGGATTGAAAGGGTTTTCACAGTTTGGGAAAAATGAGTTTTTCACTGGTTTCTCTTAACCACACGAAAACAAAGGAATGTCCACACTAGGTATGTAAAACAAACGTTTCAGCAGAAGTCTAAAAACTAACGGTATGCCAATTTAAAACTTTGAATGTGGGTTGTTCTAGGTCCTTCAGAAGCCTATTGAAGATATGATCCGTGGATGTAAGCAAAATTAAAAAGATGAAGTGGACGATTAGGCGCGAGAGGGGTTCGAACCCTCGATCTTCTGTTTACGAGACAGACGCCTTATCACTTGGCCACCACGCCTCTACACAGTTTGTATTTCATAAAGAACTATTTTGAATATCTTTCAGGCTGCTCCGGTTTTCTTAACATAATTATAATATGTCTTGTTTTATGGCAGGCAGTCATAAAAAGTATTTACAAAAGTTGTTAAATAACTTGTATGGTACTGTATCAATACCAGTGTTGTAGTCGAGACTCGGCAAGACCTTCACAAGACCTTCACAAGACCATCACAAGACCCACACAATTCAAATGAACTGCATCAAAAGGCATTCCCTTTGTCATTTTTAGTGCCTGGTTTACTTGTGGCTGGTCTTTTGTATGGTCTTGTGAAAGTCTCGACTACATCACTGATCAATACACTCTTCAAATGAAAGACATTGCCTTGGACAAAATAGGGCTTAGGCCTACTCTCTTATAGAGTGCGTAAAAATGTGGCATTATTTGGGATAAAATTAATGTTGCCGACCACGGTTGAAATAATGCAACTCGCCGTCGCCTAAAATGGCGCATAATGTAATTAAAAGCAATGTCTATCAGCTTTTTACTCGATATATTAAATGTGCAGAAATCTTTGTCAAACAGAAGAAAGGGCGGATCTACACCACCATTTTTTTTTGGGGGGGGGGGGGTAAACAATTTTTGTTCCCCCAAAAAGTGGGTTCAAAAATTGATTATATCCAGTATTGTTTTCAAAAAAATAAAATGTTTTGCTTTTGTTGAGTTTTGTGGGTGGTGTATGCAGTGGCTGTCTTCTTTGCTACATCACTTAGGCCTTGATATACAAAAACAAATTGGTTAGTTTTTTTGGGGTAAGGGGGCCATGGACCCCTTTTCCTCCCCCCCCCCCCCTGATCCGCCCGCGTTGAACATAAGACGCTTTTATTGGCTTGACTGTTGATTTTTGGAGTAGCGACTGATGCCGATCGTCTTAATATCGTCACATTTCCACTCGGATCTCCCCCCCCCCCCAACAAAACAAAAAACTCGAACTGAGAGCGGCCTAAGAGTCCTGATCTTGTTGACATTTAATCTAATTAGGCCTATAGTAACTCATCATTTAATAAGGGAGAAAAAACTCACCCGAAGACGTGAGAAGGGTTCGAATCTTCGATGCGCTGTTTGGACCTCGCCAAGTCTTGTCCACCTCGCAAAGTTCAAGGTTTCATTTTGTTTTATTCAATTCAAGTCATATGTAAGAAAAAAATAATAAAAGGCGCGAGAGGGGTTCGAACCCTCGATCTTCTGTTTACGAGACAGACGCCTTACCACTAGGCCACCGCGCCTGCACGAATGAACATGTAGTTTCAAAGAAAGACTTTCAAAGCTCGCAATAAATGTGGACAGCTTTGTGCACGAGTGTTATGTGGGATATCGGATATATTTTTACAACCATATCCCCTGCACTTTTGGCATGTAAAGGACGATAAATCATTATTGTGGGCAGAAGAGCTCAACTAGCCTATAGCCCAGGTGTCTGTCTTGGCAAATTGTAATTAGGCCTAAATTGCTGGAATATTAATTTGATTTCGACCTTGTTGTCCTTAAAGTTTATGCATGAAACACGCCTATTTACAATTAGTACAAGTTGGAGACGCATTAGGACAAAGGGCAATTGAAACATTCACAACGAAATTTCACAATTTGGTTTCATTTCAATACCGATCTTTATTGAGCCTTATTGATATTCCCTTCACCAAAATCAAGACTTCCGTACACATTCATCGAAACGTCTTAATTAGAAAAAAGCGCATGGCTAGAACCCTTGACATGATGAACTTTGTAGGTATAGTGTCAGATTTCAAATGAAAGCTCATCTACTCAAGAAAATACTCGTAGTAAAATTGCACCACCACCGTTTATATTTAATATTTGTTATTCAGTTCTGTTCATATTCATTATTCATTATTCATTATTCATATTTTGCGCTGCGAAATATAGCTCTTTGCTGTTATGTCACAACCTCGCCCCCGGGGTTACTAAAGTTTCACCCTCGATTAAAATGGTAACACTTGGGTTTGCTTCCTGTTTCTGTTCCGGTTAATCGGAAAGAACATTCGAAATACAAACATTCACACTGAACCCTCCTTTAAAACCTGGGCGTTTTTGTGTTATTTTATTGCGAGAACGAATTTCCGGCGGGTCCCCTTTTGCCGCGACCCCCCAAAAATCGACCTAGTAAGTTGTGATTTTAGTCGTAAAGTTTTCGCCTTTTGCGGACGTGTGATAACCCACACTGTTCTGCATTGGAGTGCGTGTGCTACGTGCGTACTCCGTCGTCGGTGTCCGATGTAAACAGCCGGATTTTTTTCGTCTTTTCTCGGGAGCGGAGACATTAGGTTGATTTCCTTCAACCATATTTTTGAAATAGGATAAGTAAACAATTAAAGCATGACATTTTCGGGGATTTCAGGACACAGTGCCCCAAGAGCTGCCGATTTTTGCCACAATAGCTCCACCTGGCCGAGCTGAATTCGGAAGATGCCCATATTCAAAATGAACACTTCAACACGTACTACACGTTGAAAATAAAATCATCAAGTACACAACTTTGCGCGGGATAGTTTGCTGGTTGAAACTGAGCCCTGGGAACGGGGTTGCTACTGCGTGTTGGCTGGCTCTACTGCGCGCAGTACATGACCTGCTGACCGGACATCTTCATGTTGGCGAATTTGTCGGACAGGGAAGCCAAGGCCACCGGTTTGGAGCAACCTTCAGGTGCCACGACTCCCGGGAAGTTGTTCTCCATGCACACCGACAATTGCTGGGAAACGCCGCCCTCGGCACCATCGGTGTTCGAGGTGGTGCACACGTGGAAGGTTTCAGACTGATCCTCTGTCAACATATAAAGGTAGGCTGCATCAGAGACATTGTCAACACATGGTAATTGTGTAGTTGAGGACACCGTTCCCATACATATAAGAGAGAGAACAGACACTTTTGTGGTTTGGGACTTAATTTTGTGCTATGAGTCGAGCAGGAAATGTCTCTGTGTTTGAGTCATCTAAATAGTTCACTATAATATAAGACATCATGTTCAATATCAGCTCAGTAGCCGTATGGGTTTATGAATGGAAGTGCAGGATTACGGGCAAAATTTCATTTTCAGACCTATTCAAACTTAACGCGATCCTACATGGGCTGTACAGTGGTTGTAACGAGCATAAAACACTGGCGAAAATGTTGGCCGTGTTGATAGCGTTATGGACACCTTCAGTCTTACCTTGAACAAATGCCATCTTCCACTCATTGTCTCCTTCCAACTGGGAGAGTTCGAACTTGTCGGGGTTCGTTACATACTCAAACGTATCTATGTATATACAAGAGCACGATACATGGTCGATTAGGCCTACTTAAATCCGCTAGCTGTGCCTGTAGCTTTGTATTTCACTTGGAAAATGCATCGGTTTTTTAATATCTACAAAAAAACCACCTGAGCGTTGATGTATGTTAGTCATAATCAGCGAAATGAATCAAGCATTTATGTACATAATTTGGTTATCTCAGTTAAGTTATCCCATTTCTTTTTTCTTTTTTTCAACTTAAAAACGCAATTATTGGAAGGTTTGAGACAAACGTTAGAGATAATGCTGAGTCCATTATTATTAGATAAACGATTTATAACTTTGTACACGTACGTAAGAAGACCTTGCCACGAGCACGCGCCGTGAAGCAGTTCTGGCAGTAGCTTTGCTCGTCATTACAGGTCAGGTCCTTGGCGTAGAATTCCTGAAAAAAATAAACAATGGGTGGGCTTTAAAGGGAACTATACGTTCTGGAATACGCCCAATTGGGCTACAAAACGTATTGAACGAAAATTTATCGGAAAGAACACAAAAGTAGGATATAAACACCCACACAGCTATCCTTAAAAACGGGCATTTTTGTTATTCGCGCAAGACTAGTTGGCGACCCCAAAATATCGGGCTGTTCAGTGTTCGTGATTCCAGCCGTAAAGAGTTCGCCTTCTGCGGACCGTACGAAACCACATTTTTGCAGTGTGCCTCGTGTACTTGATGTGACACACACAACGTGTATCGTACATTGAATGAAAACCGATAGGAAAGGCCAAAAAAAAGTCTCCGGTTTCTGGTATGGAGCTTGCCCCAAAAGTGGTGCGGCGACGCTTTTTTTTTTTACCTGATTTTTTTTGCTTCAAAATGTCGGCTGATGACTGCAAATGGTGCCCGACTAAACTTAGTGCAAATTTATGGGAGTCCAGAGAGGCCACATAAAGCTTATTCTCGACCATAACCCAATCTAAAAACACGTTAAAATTGTGCAGCAGCAGGATTCCAGTCAAACCCGTGAGTTTGGCGGTTTTGAGACACCATCTTTTATTGAAAAAAAAAATTTTTCATTTTGCCGACGCGCATGGCTACGGCGACGCGCGCGCATACCAGAAACCGGAGACTTTTTTGGGACAAAAACGCATGTTTTTTTTTCGTCTTTATTCTCGGGAACGGTAAGACATTAGGTTAATTTCTTTCAATTAGACCTTTTAAATAGTGCAAGTAAACAATCCAAAACATGAAATTTTAGGGGATTTCAGGCCGTAAAGCCCCTTTAATACTTTTTATTTTGTAGTCCAAATTTACGGGTGTCCGTTTGTAACACTTGGCAAAATACATGTAGGCCTATCCAGCAGGATTTTTATACCAATTCTGTATATTCTGGTATATAACATTGCCTCAAATCTAGACAATGTGACTTTGAAGCCTGCACACGCATTTTTAAAAAGTAGAGAAGACCTTAAAATAATGTTACAAGGAGTACAATCCCAGTTCGGTATTCAAATGGAAACTGTTCATCACTCAGGCAGAGACTGATCCATTGGTCAGTCTTGTGGAAAAGTTCGAACCAAGGTCACATAAGACGAGGAAGTATGGCAGTGCATCTTCCTGACGCTGCAGCATTTTCTCCAATAAGATGCTATTTAAAAAAAAAAATAGCTTACAGAACTAAACTTTATTTATCAATTTAAAAAAAATACAAAAAACCTTAAAAAGAAAAAAAAAATCATTCTGTTTTCTGCGTATATTTTTTTCGCCAAAGAACATAAAATGGACTTTCTTGCATCTGCCTATACTCACCATATCTGTGTATATATCGTCAGCTCCCTGATTGCCGACAATCAGGCAAAGAACCACAATTGCCAACATTGTGAATCGCGCCATGTCCTCCGACCAAATTCAACCTATCTGGGAGAGCCGGCCGAGCTCGAGACAGCCAAAAACGGGTTTCTTTGGACTCAAAAACCAACTGAATTAACCTACACGTACTGTTGGTGTTTTTATAGCATTGTCTTGTTGAACACGAAGGCCTTTACGCTGCATAAATCAGCATTTAGTTTACCAGCTAAAATTTGATATTCATATATACCTGAGACGGTTTGCCCATTCCTAAAAAAAAAAGTTGGTCGAGAGCCCATCACGTGGCCGGTTTCAAACGGTTGAAAAGGCATTGCTGCATGGTTGGTCTTAAACACTTTTCAGTGTCACATGAAATGTTGACTCCTATGAAATCCGGTGTCAGCACTGTTTTATTGTTTGAATATTCACAATCCTCACGTAGGCATGTGCAGTACTACCAGTGAGTCAGTATTTCATAGTCCTAAATTTACACTACATCGGTACATCTGCGTTGTGCGCCACACCACGCATCAACATTTAAGGAATTATTAACCAGAGAGCCTTATTACCGTTGTATAGCTAAAGGGGTATTTTGTTGATCGAAATCGTCGAAAATTAAAAAACTATGACTTGTTTTGACTTTTGGACCTAAAAGTTTTGATTTTGTTTGACCGAAAAGGTTTTTTTTTTTAGGTATGGGAATATATAGCATATTTGTGCTTGGTTGGTATCAAACATTCTTTTTTAAAAACCGGTTGGAGACTGGATGCATGCTGATAATAACCCTCGCCTTCGGCTCGGGTGATAATCAGCATCCAGACTCCAACCGGTCTGAAACAGAGTGTTTAAAACCTCCGCCCACATTATCCCTTATTTAATTATTTAATCGTCTTCAGTAGTTACACTGAAAAATTGCCTGGGTTCATTTTACCCACGAAAGGGTGAATACTGGAACTACCCAAACTTGGGTTGTTCTATAACCAATTGTTTGGGTTAGAATATCTGCTAAATTCAACCAAAACTTGTGGTCATTCAAGACCAAATTTAATATGGTCTTGTATGTATGACAACTTTTGGTTGAATTTCACATAAGTGTGGGCAGTGGCCTAACCTGTTAACGAGACAGACACAGCGCCTTCTTACATGACAAAAAGTTTCTGTATCTCATCAGTGTTTAAAGGGAATATACATCATTTGCTTTTGCTGTACTTTTCAGAAATGGATGGAATTGGGGGGTTGGAAATATATAGCAAATATAGTTACACTGACTTTTTTGAGGTTTTGGGTTCGAAAATGCTATAAAAACCAAGAAAAACAATCATTTTCCTGTAGTCTGGTTCCCTGACTCCATTTAAGAAGAAACAGAGCAGTTTACATATATTGGGGAATTGTAAGGTCAGGGAACCAGTCTAGCTGGCTTGCACCCTTTCATAGGTGTGTAATCGATTGCAAACAAGTGCGATGGTCAACTGGGGCCAGTATTTGAAAAAAGCCAGTTTTTTTCCAACGCTGATCGGCCGATCAGCGTTGGAAATTGATACAAAAATACCACTTTTCTTGAAAATGACAGTATACCAGGTGCCATGATTTTACAGGATGCTTTACACTGTCATTCACCAACAGTCCAGCAAGGTATTTCAAAATGATTTGGTAGTTTTATTTTTTGATGTTTGCAAATGTTGTATTTTCCCTTTAAGTAAAGACCATGTATCATTTTGTTTACAAAATTGGATGTTATGGTCACGTGATGCCAATTGTCATCGAGCGGTTCTCTTGCACTGCATGTTTATCTCTCTTGAAATATGATTTAAAATAACATGCGAAAGGCGATTAAATGTTTGGGCTGTCCGGCGCTTGCCTGACGACATGACGTCACAGGACACATGGTCAATAGTCCTAGGGATTTTCTTTAATCAAAATAAGGGGATATTATTGTGTGACGGAGCAGTTATAAACGTGTGGTTTAAAACCGGTTGGGGTCCTGGCCGCGCCGAAAATTAAAAAAAAAAATTGCATTTCATCAAAAAAATTAAGCATTTACTAAAACATTTAATTTGGCTCTGGATATTTGTCTTTAAAGTTGTTGGTGACTTGAAGAACGAATTTGATTTGCTCAGTGTTGGGGGAAAAGAAAAGAGTTGACACAAGTAGGCGCGGTGGCCTAGTGGTAAGGCGTCTGTCTCGTAAACAGAAGATCGAGGGTTCGAATCCCTCTCGTGCCCTTTTTTATTCATTTTTTTTTTCAACAATACTGGAGTACCATCATTCTCTTGTGAAGCAGCGATGGCTCAGTAGGTAGACGTCTGTTTTGCAAAGAGACGATTTGAAATTAATAAGCCGACCAAACGACGGTACCCATAATTATGCATGCGTACTTTCATGAAAACAAACGTTCCTTTGTATTTTAAGACTGATGAAGATTATGGTTGGGAAAAAATGTTGCAACCTGTCGCCACTTCAGCGGTTGTGTACAAAGTCTATGGAGAGTCAAGAAAATTTTCTTAGTGTTTCCTAACAAAATTGGAAATGTTTCTCAGTCCCAGATTCATGTCTTATCATCATTTTTGCAATGAATGACCTTCATTGAGATGATGTATGAAGACAAAAGTGGCGTCAGGTTGCAACATTTTTTTCCCGGTTGGTTTTCGGTCGCCAAATGGCAGTTGCTGATAATAAAGTTACATGAAAGAAGTTACTCCGTTGTCAAACTACGTCTTCGTATACCCGCGGAAATGGCGCGAATGCATCGCTGGCTCATGCAGCCCTCCGCTCGGCCAAACATTTCCTCAGAGCTAAACTGGGACTTTTTCAAGGTTATGAGAATTCCTGGTCACGTTCTGGCCTTCTCGCGCCATATGGTGGACCGAACAGACGCCCGGACCACGGACAAAATAAAAGTTGCAAAAAAAAAGAAGAAAACAACCTTGATTTTATAAAATGTTTAGAATTTATAAATTTATTATTCCAATATATTATTCAATTTATTCAATAAATTCTAGGTCATAGACTGAATAAACCGGTTAATGTACGCAACACTGAGCAGAGTAGATCAATTGGACGATATAAGCCTACGCGTGATGTTATTTCAGTTTATGACCATTCTTATTTATTCGCATATTTATGTATTTAGTATATTATATTCAGTCCACACCCATGGTGGACTGAACTGATGCCAGCAAGACGGAATAAATGAAAGTTCCAAGAAAACAAAACAATAATATTTCTGGAATTTATACATTTATTATTTCAATTTGTAATTCCATTTATTCAATTAGGCTTTAGTCCAGGACAGGGACTGAATAAACCGGACAATGCACTGAAAAATTGCCTGGGTTAATTTTACCCAAGAAAGGGTGAAAACTGCAACTACCCAAACTTGGGTTGTTGTATAACAAATTGTTTGGGTTAGAATTTATGTTATATTCAACCAAAAGTTGTAGTCATACAAGACCGAATTAAATTTGGTCTTGAATGACCACAAGTTGAATTTAGCAGAAATTCTAACCCAAACAATTGGTTATAGAACACCCCAAGTTTGGGTAGTTCCAGTTTTCACCCTTTCTTGGGTAAAATTAACCCAGGCAATGTTTCAGTGTGTACATAACACTGAACGATCTATGTCAATTGCACAATTTACTTGATCGTCATATATGACCAGAGCACAAAAGGATATACTGGATGTCCATTAAACACAACAGTGTACTGCTAATTATTCTTCAAAAAATTAACATTATAGACCTATATGCAATACTTATTGTGCATAACATACACGGTTGTACAGTGCCTAATTCTATGCTGCGTAGAAATTGTATGCGTTGACAACTGTATGTGTTGTGAGGGAAAAAATCAGAAGGCAACCAGTAGCATGCAATACACATTGTATGGCGTTCTTTAGCTGGTAACTTTTTTTTAAGCAACTATCTTACAACACATTTCTGCGCTTAGCACCTCCACGGAATATATGCTTACTAAAAACTGGTTACTTTTACCTTTAAAAACCCATACAATGTATATTGCTTGTAAGTGGTGTCGGCTGATTTTTGCTGAACAGTAATTTAGTAAGCAGTATTCTCCAATTAGCAGCTGCATGTGATGGGTACCCGCTATTTTTGGTTTAACTGAAGTGCTTACTAATTGGCTAACAGCCACAAACCACAAGCCGCATTATGACAGTGTCCGAATGATTTGGCTACGGCATGCGAATGGTTTGAAATTTCGACTCTTCGGTAAATTTCGACTCTTCGGTTGTACCGCGCATGCTTAGGTGAAGATAAGTATGACATAGACAGGTCACGTGTGAGGACTAGAGTGCATATAAGGGAAAAAGGACCAATAGATCCCATAGGATTCTAAATTTCACGTGACACCGACAGTGACACACAAATCTGTGAGAAGTGGTCAGCGGCGTAGGCCCTACAGCGAATCGCATGAAGCCCAGATATTCGGACGCTACCTGCGCCTATCTCGCGGAGTGGTAACAAGTACTGCGTACGCAACTCAACCAAAACCTTTTAAGTCAATCAGATTACACATTGGAATGAATACAGGAAGCCATATAACTATACAATGACAATACAACTACAATTTCCACTCGTACTGGTTTGATAGTAAACAATAATATTAATAGTTACAAATAATTGTATCGATTATCTCTTTTTACTGATAATATCTCTTATTTCTCGCACTGATAAGTAGTGCAGTCATTTTTTTGCTTGCTAATATCACCTATTCAACTCAATTACAGTCGTTAATTGAGTCAATGCAACAGTGAAAATGTGCATCAATGAAAGCAAGAATGAGTGCGTCACTGATAAAAATGTCGGGGAAAAATGGATCATAAAAAAACCCATCACAGTATTCGAAAATGGGGATTTCATGCTGAACAATCTGTCTTTCGGTGTGAAGAGACAGTCAATAAGTAAAAACAGGCCATGCGAACAACATTTAGGCCTACTCCAAAAATAATTGTACATTAACAAAATGGCGTCTGCTCTGATGCACGAAAGGCAATATACAACATTTGCAAAAAAAAAAAAAACCAAGAACAAACACCAAAAACAAATTATGATGAAATACCTTACTTGACTGTAGGTGAATAACAGTCTCAAGCATCCTGTTAAATCATGGCACCTGGTGTGCTGTCATTTTCAAGAAAAGTGGAATTCATGTATCTTTTCCAACGAAGGTGGTTTTAACCGTGAACGGATGCAAGCCAATTGACCTGACAATTCCCCTACGTCTATAAATTGCTCCCTTTCGTCTGAAGTAGGGTCAGGGAACCATACTTCAAGAACATCATTTTTTTCTTGGTTTTTCCAGCATCTAGGAACACAAAACTTTAAACAGGTCAGTGTTACAATATTTGCTGTAAAATACTAACCCCCAAATCCATAACTTTCTGAAAATTACAGCAAAAGCAAATGTTGTATCTTCCCTTTAAATTCGTCCGAAAGGCTGTGAGCCCATTTCTTTGTTTTTCTTTGCAATAAATTAAAGCAAATTCATTTTGCATAGAATGGCTTTTAAAAATCATGTTTATAGTGTAAACGGGGTTGGGCTGATGTTTCTAATAATGTAACAACTTAAAACTCTTCAGTCTAATTTTAAAAAAGAGGAGTTTTTCGTTTCGTTTGTGAAATGCAACTACTCAGACCATGACAAAACAATCAGGCTCCATAAACATCAGACACAAATTCAATTTATATCCTTCACAATAACGACATACATATTTAATATCTATTCATAAGCAATTAACTATCATTATTATTTATTCGCATATTTATATATATTAAACGATATATTTAATCTCTGGTATATTTAAAGACTGGCACAAACATGTCTGAAAGATCCAGAACTTTGGAAATGTAAAATGAAGAAAAATTCAAAATTAAGTAGAAATACTGAATGAAATAATGAGAAGGCGTGGTGTAGAATGTAACCACGCCCCTCCCTCCTCGTCACTGATCCCACCCACCCTCAAACCACGCCTTATCCAAACTCCTTCCATAATTCCATACATCAAAACGGCGGTACAAACATATTTTCTTTTGATCTGATTCTTGTATGTATGTGCTGGACACAAAAATATACAGAACTTCAAAATGAGTTTTTAAAGCAACAGTTCCCCCAAAACAGGTCAATAATGGGCAAAAGCCCTCCAGATATGGACAATCGTGCAAGTCGTATTTCTTATCAAACTTTAGCTGACCCATTTAAAAGGTCATTTTATAATTCGAGATCCCAATGAAAACCTAAATAAATCAGTTAAGATGCAATAATTTCGATAACACCCTCAGTTGGCACTTTTTTTGATAGAGCTATTACAGTATTTAAAACCTGAAACCTTTGGAAGAAAAACTTTGGTTAAGTAGAAGTGTCCCTTGACACGAATACAAAAAAGGGAAACAATTACATAATATTGGTGGAAATTTACATTTCAATTTTGCCGGACATTTCCAAGAGCTGGCTTTTTAAGATACTTTTTTCTGTGTTAACTCTATAAAGTTGAGGGAGTCCTTTTGATCGGTAATAATACACAACTTTCATTACAGCTGCTCTACCCGTGCGATTTCAGAGCTTCCCCTCGAAATGTAGATATTGTTCTTAAATTGCAATTTTTGTACAACGCAAAGTTATTGAGAACATTGAATGAGACATTGAACTAAAAGAATCTGCCCAGTAAATTTAGCTATGGAGTAATTACCTTACAAATTTCGAAATGTATGCGGTCCCGCGATAATTCATGCGTAACTTTTGTACGTATGCCTAATACCGGCGCAACAGCCAGCCAAATTGAAAGCACATTTTCAAAACGTCCTAATGATAGAAACAAAACCCAGGTTTTTCCCCGTTTAGGTAAAGCATTGTGGCACGGGTAGAGTCACTTGATTCAAGAACACAAAGTACGGTTTACAATAATGATATAAATTTCTATTCACACCGAGGAGACTCATTAAAAACTTTTCTATTCACAATGAGAAGACAATATATTTCTTGATGACCCTGACGCCCAACTTGGTATCCATACCCGTCGGTATAAAATGCTCATCTAACAGGTCTCCCTCTGTGTCGCCTCGTCAATGCGGTACGTGGAGAACACTTCAATCTAATTTTGTGAGACAAATTCGGGGGCGGGGAAGAGAAAGCAAGTGAAAGGGGGGCAAGAAGCAAAGCCGGTGAGAGTAAGATTGGGAAGTAACAGAGAGAATGGAAATATGAGAGACGTGCGAAATGTGAATGGACAGACAAGGGGTAACAGTGTCGACGTGGCATGAACGTTTGAAGCATGAGTATTCCAGACGCAAAATGGAGGACAAAGGGTGGGGTGAACGCCAGAGGGCGCCATACGGTAGGGAATAAAAGAGGGGACGACCAATACAGAGATGTGATGGAACAGATCCAATAGTGTAAGTTTGGTCAACCAGTCGGTATTTCATTGAACCAGTTCAAGAGATTTTCAACCAGTTCAACGATACCAGATTAGTAGTCGGTGCAGCCAACCATAAGCCAATTAATCCAGTTGAAGTAACCATATAATCGTTGTACCAGGTTAAGCAACAAGTTGAACAACATACGGTAAACCATTGAAATAGTTTAGGTGGTCAGTCCAACCAATTCAATCAAGTTTTAGTGTTACGTGGTGTGGATAGACAAATAATCGCAAGTTAAAGGTGACACGAACATTGAACAACAGGACAGAGACAAACAGAGGGACAGAATGACAGTGTTGGAAGTGAGGGAGGAATGAAGATCACAGGAAGGAAAAGCGGGGGATGAGGATAGGAGGTCAGGAGGTCACAGAGAGGAGATGCGAAAAAAAAGAAGTAAGAAAAGCAAGACGTAAGTGGGAAAAGCAAGAGTGTTAGACGGTGCATTGAGAGAGCCAATGATGAAGCTTAAGAACCAAGGGATTTAATAAAAGCCGTTAATTCACCTCAAGGCTCATACATATTCATGAACTAGATTCATGCTCACTGTCAAACGCACCTAGACTTGCAAAGATAGCTTAACTTGCAATTTGTAACGTGCAAGTATGTACATCTGTACTAGCCCAATGCTGCAATTTTTTCCAGTGAGCGACAGAGCGGGGGAAATCTTTTAGGTTGCTTAAATTTCAATCCAAACCAAACCATAACTCATTCCAGTTTTTTTAAGCACCTTCCTGGATCCTACAAAACCCATCAAAACCAACATTGTGAAGGAACCAAATGACACAGTATTCATATACTGGGATTCCTCCGTAATTTAGAGCTAGTACACAATACAGGTGTGCTATAAAGTTCCTGAAAAGTTGTGTTTCGTGAATTTGAAATCTTAGACTTCTCACTTGATATTCGCTTCGGAAAAGTTGCTTATTACCTGGTTAACAACCAGGGGAAATCGAATTCAATACCTGTAGATGTCTAGTTATCCTGTATTTATTCGAATTGGGTTTTTTTGCCACATGCGTTCTGAATTATAAAGATATTGAGTTTCTGTGTCATTAGTTTTTTTTTAACGAGATATACATGAAACCCTTTACTCTTACCCCAACCATGGTCCATCCAACATAATTATTTAAAACTCAGCATATCAGTATATCTGTATGGTGGAATTCTGCACCAAATTGGAAGAACGTTTCGCAAATACTTTCTTTTGGTAAATGAATGAATACAAACAGTGGTGGGTGAATACGATTGGAACCACAAGAGTCTACAAGGAATACAGATGTGTTTGTGAACTGTTAGAATATCAGGTGGAAAGTTAGCTGAATAGAACTCCCAATAAGTAATTCATCAGGACACCAAGAAAAGCATAAGTTTCGGGAAGACAAAAGTTTCCACTAAGTGGCAAATGGAATGTTTTTAAATTTTAGATAAACACCTGGAGCTTGATTTCAGCTCATAAATATATCATTGCAAATAAGTATCTTTCAAATTGAATCATTTGCATTAGAAAATTGGAATTTGATTCTAGACTTACATAAAATAATTTGTAAACAGTTTGGAGGAAATTTATTATATTTACAGTAGCTGACCAATTGATAATAAAGTCCTCTTTACTAATCCAAAAAAATCAAAATATCTGGTCAAGCAAGCACACCTTCAGCCCTTTCCACACCAAAGCAAAACAGAATCTTCCGAGTATAATATAACACGGTTCACCTGTTAGTATCAACACACCCTCACATGATGCAAAAACTACATGCAAGGCTTGAGAATTATTTTGTGCATCAGTGTTGAATGATCGTTTTCAATCAATTTAACTCGATCCTTGAGAAATTTTGGAGGTCTGGACTCGCAGCAAAAACTCCTGCAAGCTGCAGTTTTCTAAGGTACTCATTGCAAATGATTGCGCTCAACAATCTTCAGAGGTTTTTTTTATCAGCAACATCATGAATTTCTCAAGCATTCCTTACGAATCAGCACCATCATTAATTTCTCAATCATTCCTTGAGAAACAATGAAGGGTTTTATGAAAATAAATGTACGTATATCTAGACCAGTACCATCAAGTTTCTCATAGGATATATGGCTGGCTTTAAACAAGGGCCCAATTTCATAGAGCAAAATTTACTTAAGTACGAAAAAACATTGCTTGGTAAAATTAGGTTACTACCGGGCAAAACTCCATGTGATGTACATTGCTTGTGAATGGTATTTAGCTGTTGTTTACATAGCATAACAATCGCATGGAGTTTTGGCCGGTAACATGATTTGTATTAAGCAAGACGTTTTTGTGCTTAAGCAAATTTTGTGCTTAAGCAGCTCTATGAAATTGGCCCAAGGTCATCCTTTCACACAATGTTCCAATAGATCTCTCTCATAGAACGCCATCTTCGTAGGAAAATTACAGCTGCATATGCAATGCCATCAGGTGCGTGTGTGCGCAGTGTACAAAATGTTCTAAACACACGAGCGTGGGGAGTGTTCATGGTAGTGCCCGAAATGTCTTTGAAATATGGCGCAGCCAATGCGCATCACAAAAATTTGACGCACAAAATGCTGATGCACGTGAAAATATGTAGGAAGTGATGTCATTTGAGAGAGACCTATAGTAGTATCTTTCAAGCATGACAACAATAATCAAGCCTGGCCTGTTTTCTTTTTACAGCTTGTGAAAAAGGGTGTAGAAATTTTGTTCATGCTTTCTTCTTGTGCTGTATAAGATTAAGTCTCGCCCAGAACAAAAAATAAACCTAGGGTATAGAGTAAATCAGAGGATTTTTCAGAGAGCATCAGATTTGCACATGTTAATGAGAGGTGGAAGATTTCCGTGGTCGTTTGAGTGAATGTATTATAGAGGGGGAAATTGCAGCAAATGTCAAAGCGAACGAATGAGAAACTGGGGAAAAGAAACAAAAAAATCAAGGGAAACAAAAACATCACATGTTAATACCAAAAAATGTTTCAATGTATGGCTGATGTTACTGATGTATTATTACATGGGTCACACTAAAAAACCACAATGAATATGTTGGAAACTGACTATGAGCACTTTATTATCCATCTATGTGTGGAATGGGCCTTATGCACGAGTCGGCCATATTGAATTAAAAGTGAGGTAAAATGTTTTTTTTTTTTAATTTGCGAAGAGATATGAAAGCAAGTTAATTACTAATTAATTACAGTCTACTGCCATGAATAATTGAAAATTTCAAATGAAACATTCCCTAATGCATAATGCCAGCTTAAAAAACTAATTGACAGTAAATAAAATGTCGGTAAAATTGTCAGTTAAGGCTGCATTATGCCTGCATAAATAGTCTGGCGCCATCCCATTCAGCAGTTAACAATTAGTCAGATACATTCAGGGAACTCGACAAAATGGCCAACTCTTGCATAAGGCCCATTGTAGGATTATCATGACATGGTTCAAACATTCTTTTGATATTACTGAATGTGTCTTGGAAGAAAATTCATGTTTAGCCGAAATATTCCCCAAATCACACTCTATTTTCCTCATTTGTGGTATTCTCCACCATTATACACACGTAAAATGGCATCTGAGGTTTTTTCTGTCTTTCAATAGACTTATTCATGAGGAAGCAATTTTCGACCGTGTTTCCTGAATCTATTTTATAAATTTTAAACCATTGAATAGCGATGGTGCCAGACTATTTTATGATTGGAATGCGTTCCAAGCCTAAGGCCAAAAAAAAAAGGTCTCCGGTTTCTAGTATGGAGCTTGCCCAAAAAGTGGTGCGGCGACACAGCTTTTTTTTTTTACCAGAAACCAGACTCAACTTTTTTTGGGGGGCCTAACTTTCTTTTTTTCAATGTGGCTTAAAACATTACGGCATGTTTAATCACACAATTTTATATTTTTCATCAGAGCAGACTGGCATAAATTTGTCAGGAACTTTAATTTCATTGCTTTCATTTCTACTCGCAGTTCCACAAATGAAGACTTTACCTTGCTTTCAATTTCATATGGCCGACTTGTAAAATAAAAGTCTAGAATTACCATCACTTAAACCTATTGGACAATGTTACAGCTAGCACTGCAAAACAATAAAATAATATTGCTTTCATTATCAATTTATAGAAAATAACAAGACAGACTTTGGATCTTGGTAGCGATTTAGCTAAATTTCATTGCTTTGCAGAGAACCATGAAATAAGCCATTTGCAAATGAAATTTGACTAACATCTGGTACCCTGGCTTGCTCGAATGCTTGGCACAGTTTAACTTTGAACTCTCCAGACCAAAGAGACTGTTGCTATATCACATGATTTGGGGCAAGCCTTATGCTGGCAACCCCAAGCTCCAGAATGGTCTGGTGTCTTTGTGCCATTCTCACCCATTGTGAGCAATGTATTGGTGCTGAGCATCTCTTACGTAACTATCCAAGAGCTTGCCCCGAATCATGTGATTAGCAACAGTGCCTTTGGTCTGGGGAATTCAAAGTCAAAATGTGCCAAACATTCTAAGCAAGTCTGTGTACCAGATGATATTCCAATGTAACTCGCAGTGCCTTTGGTCTGGGGAATTCAAAGTCAAAATGTGCCAAACATTCTAAGCAAGTCTGTGTACCAGATGATATTCCAATGTATCTCGCAAAGGGTACAGGTTATTCGCAAATGGCTTTATTGACCCCTTGTCAAACAAGAAGCATTTTTTTTCAAGTTCAGCTATTTGTTTTCTCTTACCTTGTTCTTAAGTTCTTGGCAAGTCTGGAGAGCTACAGTGAAGAGCGTCAATGCTTCACCCAGCCACGGCACAGCACAGTTGACCGTGTACTGACCAGTAACTTCGTACTTCAGTGAACCCAATTCCCTGAACAAAGCAAAAGTGTACGTATTGGTTTTTATAACACGTATTCATTGGCCAAATGCTCTTCTTTTATTGGTAGATGTCAAGAGTAAAGAGCTCTACAGTAAAGAGCATCATGCTTCACCCAGCCACGGCACAGCACAGTTCACCGTGTACTGACCAGTGACTTCGTACTTCAGTGAACCCAATTCCCTGAACAAAGCAAAGTGTACGTATTGGTTTCCATAACACCTCATACACATTCATTAGCCAAAAGCACTTCTCTTATTGGTAGAATTCAATATCGGCCACACCTCAGGACCAGTCATTTTGACTTCATACTTCAGTGACCCCAATTCCCTGAACAAAGCAAAAGTGTACATATTGGTTTTTATTACACCTCATACATGTTCATTGGCCAAATGCGCTTCTCTTATTGGTAGATGTCCAACTCAGCCACTACTTTACCTCAAACCATGTTGTTTTTGTTTGTTATGGCAAGTTTTGTTGGTCTCTGTTGATCTGCGTAGCAACCTTTTCTTCTGGCTACGTATGTCAGTCTGTAGACTTTTGCAGGGATAATGCAGGAACACTGCTCGATAAAAACCGGTATTTGGAAGTGGGGGTTGTGTAACTTGTGTTGGATTTGGTTTTTGGTTCAAGTTCTTACAGGCAACACATTTGTATCTTATCAAACCCTACAATACTTTCATTTTTAAAATCACATCAAAGGGCGGGCTTGAAATGACCACAGTCAAATGCTCTGTTTGTTTCGGACTTACAATAAGTTTGCAGGGTTTTTCTCTGCGGATACTGCAGCATGTTTGCTCTGTGGACACCAAACAGAAAAAAGGAATGTAAACAAGAAATCGTTTCACCCAACATGACACAAGGAATCAAACAGTGTACATTTTTTTTCATCTAATAAGCAAGGATCAGTTAGGATTTAATTGAGTTCTAAATCTGATACTAAAGCAGAGTGTGAAATTATGATAAAACACAGACGCTAGTTGAATGTTTACTATATATTCATATGAACAAAAACTCAAATTTTAATTTTAATTTTTTTTGCGTCAAGGTGATTTAAATCAATATTAGGTTTTGCCCTTCAGCGACGTTTTCCAACTTTCACTCGGGAGGTAACACACTGAGTATACAGTGTTTATGCGTCGGTGAAGGGCAAAATCTAATATTGATTCTGTAAGTGTGCTGTGAAAGTTCAAAATTAACTGTGTCACTCAACTTTGTTGGAACAGTTTTTGTGGATGATTTTACCCTCATATTCCATCATATTTCATCTACAGACTGCTCACTGAACTACTTGTAGCAACTGGAGCCAGGTATGATGTCAGTGTATATTGGAGAGCTTTTCATAAAGTTTAAAGGTGAGAGACTTTGCAAAGTCCCATTTGATACAAGAAAGAAAGTCCTAAGAAATGAGCTTTCAGTCTGCAGTTTTTCAAGATACATTCCATGTACTATTTTCAAGTTTCACCTTCAATAATAGCTTTTTTTTAAATTGCTATTTACCAAACAATATCAAAGTTATTCTCTTTTGAAATAGACATTGAACGAAAAATCCACCGACGTTCAATAATTGAGTTATTTTAATTGTTGAATTCTTGAGTTGAGCACGTTATTTGTGCACAAAATGAAAACCCTTTTACAGAGGGTTGCGGGTGCCAAAAATCAGAAAAATGTAATTTTTTTTTAAACAAAACATACAAATTGAAAAATTTGCTAGGAGGAAAAAAAAATCAATTGTTTTTAAGAGATGGGGTATGCATCTTTAACCCTAACTCCCCAGCCTAATTTACTAGGAACCATACCCATTCTGGCAAATTCCAACACCCACATGGGAAATTGTACACACACACTGTTGGACTTAGTTTCTGGAGGTATGCCAACCCAAGTGTAAAAGACCATAAGTTTTGGGGTACTGTACCTATCCCAACAGATTTAAACAAAACCTGCTGTTGAACTTTGTTTTTTGATGGGTTGAGTTCGGTTAGGGTTAAACTTTCACTGTGATTCTCCATCACTAGTGGGTAATGTATGTGAGAGGTAGGGATGTGGCCCAGTCCATCAAAAGTCCCTGCAAATCCATCACAATTCCTCCGGTTCAAATTCAACTTCTTGTAAGCTATTCAAATGAGCTTTGACAAAGGCATTCCTTTGTTATTGTTCATCTACTGTTACTTATGACTGGACTTGTGAATGAACTTGTAAATTACTTGTGACAGGACTTGTGATGGACTTGTGATGGAGTCGACTACATCCCTGGAGAGGGGAATCAGGTTGGAGTGCTGGTACCTTCCTCACCCTCAACCTCTGTGGCCCAGGTACGAATCCCTTCTGGGGCCAACAATAATTTTCAACCCCAATCTGATTCCATACGTTTTGCATTGAATACCACTCTCAGATTTTCCTCTCAACTCTAAAACTATCATTTCCATTCCTTATCTTCTACCAAAAGATTTTTGATGGTCATCCGGGCTCAGGCTAGTCTATGGCATAGACGCTTGCATACAAGCGACTATAACATTCGCACAGATTCGGCAATTAATTATGCAAAACAAGACTGCCTCTTGATATCTAGACTGTGACCATTCAGCGGGTGCCTTCTATCAGGTCTTCCGTAACACGTTGTTGTTTTACGAAAACATGGCAGCCAAATTGACCAATCAACAGCCTAGTCAACATTTCTGGTCGAAATGAGGTCACAGTTTTCTAAAGTCTGGCGCCCAGGGTCGCATAAAATGTGCATGAATGTCTGATATACTAGGCTCAGGCTGGCTGAATGCCGACTAGTAGTAATGAATAAGTTAACTCACCGGTGTCTTGGTTATGTGCACCGGATGCAAGAAGTAGGTACACATATTAAGCTTGTTGCCCTGGACATAAAAATCTATAAGTATCTCATTTGGCAAGGGTGGGTTGAATGCTTTCTGTCAAGTGAATTCAGAGAATGGACAAGAATAAAGGGTTAGCAAGACTGACAAAACTAATGTAGTCATTCCAAATTACTGTGGTAGATATTTTCAGTACCAAAATCTATCGTGAGGACCTTCTCCTTCAAGTGGAGGCTGTGCATGGTTAAGGTACCTGAAGTGGTGTGCATTTATGGGTGGAACCGGGTACCCTATTACCCGTTAAAGAAACCCAACCCCAAAATTCAAACCCGGAAAATGTCTGAAGGGATTTATACAGCTTTACGGTGTAAACTGTAGCTTTCGCAAGTGTCATCATAATGCATTAAAATACACATAAAGGTGCAACCTGTATTGGTTTTCCACATACGTGTAGCCTGGTTTTCGTTTTGAAAATTCCCCACAAATGGCATTCAAAACCTTTTTTTCTTTTTCATTGTCTGAGAAGTTACTAAGAAATTTGTAGAGTTGGTTACGGATACCCAATCCCATATTCTGGAACCGGTTCCTGACATCAGGGGTCAGGTTCTCGGGTACCCAGTTCCGATGCACACCCCTAGGTACCTGTTATGACTTAAACTCTCCTGACACTGGACGAGCTCATCTCTAAATCTAATTAGAGATGGTTAGCAAGCCAAAATCAATGCCCACTGCTATACTGTTGGTTTTTCTGTGTGCATTAGTAGTGACCGCATTGTGGGAAGGTTGCCTTATTTTTACAAAAAATTGGACCAAATGTCCTGATAGCATCTTTGGTCCCCGCAATAACTATCATTCATCGGGAAGATGGTCCCTACAAAAACAGAACAAGTTTATGTTTGTGCATGCGTGCATGAATTCTTCTATTGCTTTTCCAAGACAGGCAGCTACGCCTTCACTGTATGTAGATGGGTATGTGTTTTCTAGCTGAAAACCAGCTTTGTTTGTGTTGGGGTTGGAGGGGAAGGAGCGTGCTTTAACCATTGTTCAGTTGATCAAAGCAGTTATTCCACTCTTCTTGCAACCCTGATGAGAACTTTCTGTGATTTCCATGGTAACTGCTATCTCAATCAGATGCCACTGTGTACACTTCTCATACAGATTTGCCCCGAAGTAAATCAGAGCATATGAGCGATACACAGTGGACACAGCGGATCCACTCACCGAGCACTTGCTGTAGTACAGGTCGTGCAGCGTTGGGTGGATGGGGTTCAGCAGCTGATGCCTGCCTTTCTTCAGTTGATTCATCACTTCATCCATCAACTAGTTGTGGGAGAACACCCACCCGAAATCGAAAGGAAAAAGGTAAGTGCATGTACATTTGGGGAAATAATGTCGCAACTTTAATAAGGAGAGATCAAGAATAAAAACTGGATTAGATCGAAACTGGAAGATCCATCAACAGAATCTGCCAGCAAACAAACTGTGATACATGTACCTGCTTAATCCAACAGAATCTAGAAGAATATCAATATACAGGTGTATGACAGTATACAAATATAACATGGTTTGAGGGTGGACAGTCGATATTCGCTCCCCGAGGTATTGGAAGTTGACAAACTAGTTCCCGAGGCGAAGCCGAGGGAACTAGTTTGTCAACTTCCAATACCGAGGGGAGCTAATATCAACTGTCCACCCGAAATAAACCATGTTATATTTGTTTTACTATACCTCATACACATTCAGTTGCCGAATTTTGTTTTATTATTATGCACCTAAAACAAAATTCGGGGAAACTTGTACAGCTCACCAAAAGATTCAACTTCAATTACTAGTTCGGTTCGTTTGCAATATAATACAGTTAGTACAGTTGTAAATACAGTTGTTTGCAATGTGTACAACTTTCTTTTGTACAGGAGACATCTTTACACGGTCTATACATTTTCTCCAGTACCGCATCATTGAGCTCTGGAAATTAACATTTACGCGAACCGTGCAACCATGCATCTCTCCTGTGCGATGTTCGCGAGTGCGTACTGCACCCGTGCGACAGTTCCTCGATTGCTCTGTAAAGCGCATGTGTAGTAGACTGTCGCATGGGTTGCCCGTGCGACAGTCTACTACGCATGCGTATTTACAATGTGCGTGAATCCTCGCGCGCGCGTTTGGTAAACAGCAAGAATAACATCTGGCACGTGATGGTGAATTGACCAGTGAACGTTCGGCTCTCGATCATGAATATGTATGAGGTATAGTAACAGGTCTCATCCACTGCTTCAAAACAGAAATTACCTAGATTCCAATGGGATTTTAATGGTAGGTTGAAGGTAAACCCTTACAGAACTTGGGGATATCACCATCACATTTTTTTGGTGCCAAGGCTTACTGAATTGTTCATACCCCTCTGCAACTTAAAATAAATTTGGAAATTTAATACAAGGGACTTGTAAAATAAAATACACAGGGACTTGCTTTTTCACGGATCATAGAACGAATGTTCACATTTTTTGGGGGGAAACGGTGAGCCTTATGAAGTCTAATTCACAAGTGACAGTCGGTCAGTGAGTCAGTCAATCAGGTACAAAAAGGATGATAAGCTGCCCCACTGATCTCTGTATACTGACCGAATAGCACATACCCATTACTCCTTACATTAACTTGTGTCACTTTTTGAACAGTTTGCCCCGGTTTTCCAAAAATGTCGCCGACATACGAATGTTCTGTGTGTGCCTACAGTGCATTCTGTATCAATATGTGACATTCTTTTTGTTCACGTACACAAATTATGATGTTCCAAAAAGGACAAGCTTTCACCGTGATTATCAATTTCCAAATGTCGCAGAAAGTAAACTGCGGCGTTCAAGAAGTGAACCGCGACATTTGAACTGTGAACTGTTGAGGACAAAAGGTGAACAAGATGAGTCCAGATATTGCACAAGGGAATCACTTTGTTTTAGAACGGACCTATTGGTCTGCAAGTTGTCCTTTATAGAACACCAACCGGTCTCCCCAATATGGCTTGAAATTACCGGTACTTTCTTCTGCGGTTCTCTTTACGCTATCAAGTCAATATATAAGGATCAGCGGGATGCCTTCTCTGGGGACCAGTGAAAAGTATGGTTCTGTTAAGATAAGACCTCTATTGAATTACCTTTGTGACCTCACTGCCTGTTCTGAACTCGTAATCAATGTCCATCCTGCAGACTGCGTCTAGCGCCGAGTACAAATGATTACCCGCATCTTGTACCTGGGTTATCACATCAAACAATATCTCTGCGTTCATTGTCATTGTTTGAATGTGTTGGCTTAAATATTTCCCTTTTACTTCCAAATTCAACTCACTTTTCACTGTGTTAAGTTTAAAGTATACTGTGAAGGTACTTGGTTCTTGGTTGGTACTTCTCCTAAATAATTTTAACAGGAGCCCAGAAACACCGGGGTAAACCCCTTCTCTTAGCGATAAGTGTTACTGGGTTCTTTTACGTGCATTGTATTATACAACACACAGGACCTACGGCTTTACGTCCCATCCGAAGGACGAAGCAATAATGGTTAAGTGCCTTGCTTAAGGGCACAACTGTCCAGACCCGGGCTCGAACCACATTGTGCTGACTCTGAAACGCCAGAGCATGAGTCCGGTGTGGTGCTCTTAACCTCTTGGCCATGACACTCCACCGACAGGGTTATGCTTTGTATGTGGGGTTTCCCAAAACAAAATATGTTGCTTGATAACCATCTTTGAAAGATTGATATTCCCACATTTTCCTTCATATAATTATTACACATTTCCTTTAAATGCCAGATACATTCTTGTACATTAAATGTTGTTTACTTTTCAGTCCAGCCAGATAAATCTAGTTCCCAGTCTGTCCTGTATAACAGTGATTCAATCCAGTATGATCTGGTTCAATCTAGTTTGATCTGGTTCAATCCAATTTTATATATTTTAATCCTGTTTGATCTGGGTCACTCCTGTTTGATCTGCATCGATCCAGTTTGATCCATTTTCAATCCACCTTTATCAGATTCACTCCAAATGGATTACGTGATCAGTCCGGCTTGATCCGGTTCAATCCAGTTTGATCTGCAGCAGCATTGATATATTGAAACTATTGGAGTTTACCTGCTGTAGTTTCCATGGAATGTCTTCCCGTATGGCTGTCTTTGCCACTTGATTTGCATTTCTGTGCAAACGTAATGTTAGTTCCTAGGGACAAAAAGCAAAAAATAAATTTGTTCACACATGTTACAGGGCAATGACTACCCTAAAAAATAAAATCATTATTCTGAAATATAAACGGAGGGTCAAGCTTAAAGGTTGATACTTTTCAAATTTTCAGTTCAAATTCAGGATATTTGTATTCATTATTACAAAATTATTAAATTCTGAGTAATTTTACTGTTTATGAATTCTAATTAATATCAACATTATTGAACTGAACTGTATTGAACAACACAAACTAAACCTGGTTAAAGATTTACTACTCACTGCACGGCAGATATTATCAGCAACTAATGTCACTACTCCTTTCGCGTAGTCAGCCCCACTGCAATCAATATAAAAATGCTAATTACAATTTATAATAATAGTATGCTTAACTTTTTCTCAAAATCGGAAAACAAATGATTACAGGCAAATCAAAGTCCATTCTATCAGTAACTGTAGTGAGACTGTAATACCATGAAGCCTCTTAAGCCTGTAATCTCTAGAGAAGATAAACAAGTTCAGAATTTTTCTCTGCTGTATCACTACCGGTATATAAAGGGTAAACACTCAATGCACTTGGGACGTTCAACTAAGTACTTTCAGTGCGGAGTGTTTTGATTTCCAGCGTGTTTAGAATACAAAATGAGCTGAGTGAGCTAATAAATTTAACATGCAAAATTACAGAACGCTGTAGAAGGTGATAATATTAGTTATCCCACGAGCGCAAGTGGAACACGGAATAATGTAGTGCGTCTGTGTCCCATATGGCACAAAATGACGAGGCCAAAGGCCGAGTGGTACGTCAGACACAGACGCACTACATTTTCCATGTTCCACGGGCGTTCGTGGGATAACGAATTTAGCTTCAATCAAAGTTGATGCACAGTGTTTCGAGATGGAATTCGCACCGTGCGTCTTAAAGCGGTTTTCCGTATAACACGTGCGTGCACCTGGAATATGGCACGCACATCTTAGAATAGCGCGACACACCAAGTGCGGTATGCACTGTACTACATGGGATAATGTAGCACAGTTTGTTGCAATGGATCAACCAATCAAGTTTGCTTGAAGATAATTAGAAGTGTATGTGACTTACCACTTTTTAAAATTTGTACTATCCTGCAACCTTTCCAGGATGCACCAATCTTCTCACAATGCCATGTTAATATTTTGCCCCCAAAAATATGTCACAACCAGCAAAATTATACATTTTTTTATTTAACAACCTAAATAGGCCATAAAATACTATTGGCCTGTTACTACATACAGCACAGGGCAATATTTGTATGTATTCATGTACCACACACACATGTACATGTACACCCCAAGGACAGACAGACAGACAAAGGGAGAACAACAGATTCTGTGTTGTCCTCGAGCATTCATCTTTTGTTGAAAACGGTCCTCGATTGTGAGTGTGTGTGTTTAGTCTATGGGACATGTACAGGGACAAAGGGAAACACAAAGCCTTGTCCTCGAGGGTATAGTAAAACATGACCTGTAGTCATACATGTGTATTGTATCTCCAGACTCTCAGTGTCACTGCTTATCTGGATGATTGATAATTTTTCTGCCTGTAATAATGAACATATGGAATACTTCCCAAGTATTATCAGCTCACTAAATGTTTTAAATAAATGAATACGAGTGCACTTTGTACTTACTTGGAGCTTGAAAGAACAAAGGTCTCGGGCTTGATTAACTTGGCCATCCCGACTGTAACAAAAATGTAAAAATTAGACGAGAATCTGTCCATATAAATAATGAAAATATGCCTAGGGCTGTCCATTTTTTAATAATTTAGTATACAGGGTGAGTAAAAAAAAACGAAACCCAAATGTTGGGACCGTTTTTTTAGGGAAGTTCTGCATGTAGCATTTTCAAAATCTAGGATATGAAAGTCCAATTCATAAGCTTTCTTTTAGTACAAGAATCATTCAAATCATTTATGCACTTTTCAAGTTATGAAATTTTAAACGCAACCACCATTTTAAGGTTCTGTCCGAGGATCGCCAAAAAAATATTTAAAAAAACGAATCCCATTTTTTTTTGAGTTGCAATAAAGGCAGTCAATGAGTACACCACCATCTTTTCCTCAAAAAACATTGGTTAAAGTGGTCAGAAATTGCCTCAGATCGCACCACAGAGCATCTACAATCCAAAACATTTTCGGGCCCTTAAGTGGGCCCCGAACCCCACGCGGTAATTTTTTTGGACACACTTTTTTGTCTGGATCCGCCCTTGGTCAGTTGGTGGTCACCCCTCCATGGACCACATGCAAGAAATATTGGAGGATTTTGCAGGATTCAGTCTGTATGAAATTTTTACATGGAGGTAATTGAATGATTTTGCAGGATTATGAGTATGCATCCTAGCAAAAGTGCCTAGGGAGTGAGGCACTTGACCTGTACAAAATACATGCGTCAATTTATTACGCTGTCTCTAGTTGGCAATATGATGATGGAATGCCCGTACATGCAATTAATCTTTAGTGCGAGAGCGTATCAATGAATAATTCAGAAGTAATTAAATTTCAGCTTTGCACAGAGATGATTTTTAAAAAATCATAAACAGCATGTATTTTTGGCAAATTTATTCGATATTACTGTTTACATAACCTTTTCAACTTCAAGGAATGTACCACACAGAGAAATTAATTAAAATTGTTCCTTTTTTGTTTTTATTTGGTTGTAAATGTAAACAAGTACCCAAAGCATATGGGCAGTTCAACGGTGTCGAACATACATTTTGGACAATTCAACAGTGTGCATAACTACAGTTATAATCATAAAGTGGACTTTAAGTCTGATAAAAGGTAATTTTTTAGTCACTACAATGATTAACCCTACCTCCCTAGGGTGATTTACTAGGAACCTTCCTCATCCTTGCAAATTCCAACACCATATGGTAAACTGTGCACATAAACAGTTGGACTCTGTTTATTTGTGGTATGCCTAAATTCCCACCCGAAGCACAGTCAGTTTACTATAGTGCAGTACTCATCCCAACAGATCCCAACAAACCCTGGTGTTGGAGTTTGGCTGGTTGGGGATCGTTAGGGTTAAGGAACTTTTAAGCACATAGTAGAAATTGGCTCAAAACACCATGGTGCCGGATGTACTCGGACGGATTTATTCTTCTTTGTGTATCCATTTTCATGTTAAAACCTCAATTATGTGTTTGGATTTGTAAAATCCATAATTTTAGCCCCCAAACAGGTGTTTAAATTTTTTTTTTTACAAAAACACAATTTTCCATATCCTATCTGACTGGCACACCACTCAAATTAAAGGTCTTGCCGTCCCCTTCGATACCACATTCGAGGTCGTTATGCATTTTGCTCGTACCCCTGCCCTGCAAACAGGACGGTGGGAGCCGCTGATGAATCTAAAACCTGATTGGATAGATTTTGCGTGACCTGTGACCTGCAAGTCATCACATCCACAACCCTGCAAGGTTTTAAACGGCTATTAAGACCGAGTAACTACTCTTTTATTCCCATTCATAAAGCCTTTTTTTTGGTTGAAAAGCGCACTAATGCAAGAAAATCTGTAATGCTGTTACGTGACGCTAAAATTTGTCCACATGCATGGTCCGCAATGAAAAAGAAATCACATCTGGTATGGAATGTATGCATTTCTATGAGAACGTTTTCAGACAACATTTGCACGCAATCTTTTTTTCAAGGTGCCACACCCAAAAGGCATGCATACACCAAATTTAACATGTCTGTAAAATATAGCCTATCTTCCCCCCCCCCCCCAAAAAAAACCCCACGGCTTTTCAGAAACAACAAAAAGTGTACTTTTCACATGCAAGCACTATAAAAATCAAATCATGTGATGTTCATGGTACACAGTATATATTCATATCACAATCTTGATTAAAACACCGTATGGTAATAAATATTGTGGTTTAGTTTAGTCGGAAAAGGGGGGTATCGTGCACCCTCGGAAATCAATTTCTAATCAACGTTTCTAGGTCAGAAAAAATGCGTAGAAAACGATTTGCTATGTTAAAAAATTCAAAAAATGTCCCACGTATTGTTTTTATGCAAATTAGTGCCGCCATTACCGAAAAATCTATTTTTAATTATATCTCAGCCAATATTGCAGATAACTGAACGAACTAGGTGTCTAAACCCATGTTTTCAAGGTCAGAGATCACAATAAAACTATTCTGGAAGTGACCACATGTGTCTGTGGCATAGGAATATGCAAATTAGTGCCGCTAATACCGGAAAGTCATGTTTTTGGCATATCTCGGCCAATATAGCACATAACTACACCAGTAAGGTGTCTAAACCCATGTTTTGAGGGTCAAGTATCATTAGAAGACCATTCAAAAAGTAACTATGTGTGTCTTTGGCATGAAAATATGTAAATTATAAAGTGTCGGTTTATCAGATATTTGATTTTTAGCCAATATCTCGGCCAATATTGCACTTAACTACACAAGTAAGGTGTCTAAACCCATGTTTTGAGGGTTAGGTATCATTAGAAGACCATTCACGAAGTAACTATGTGTGTTTTTGGCATGAAAATATGTAAATTCTAAATTGCCGGTTTATCAAAAAAATGATTTTCAGCCAAATTATATTCAATTTCAGCCAATATTACAGTTTATTTTGAATATGATGGTTTAAAATAAACTTTGATCATTATTGCTTATCAAAAACCCTTCTGTCAACATTAGCTGCAATATTGGCCGAGATATTGGCTAAAAATCAAATTTCTGATAAATCGACACTTTAGAATTTACATATTTACCTGCCAAGGACACACATAGTTACTTCGTGAATGGTCTTCTAATGATACCTGACTCTCAAAACATGGGTTTAGAAACCTGACTTGTGTAGTTATGTGCAATATTGGCCGAGATATTGGCTAAAAATCAAATATATGATAAACCGACACTTTATAATTTACATATTTTCATGCCAAAGACACACATAGTTACTTCGTGAATGGTCTTCTAATGATACTTGACCTTCAAAACATGGGTTTAGACACCTTACTTGTGTAGTTATGTGCTATATTGGCCGAGATATGCCAAAAACATGACTTTCCGGTATTTGCGGCACTAATTTGCATATTCCTATGCCACAGACACATGTGGTCACTTCCAGAATAGTTTTATTGTGATCTCTGACCTTGAAAACATGGGTTTAGACACCTAGTTCGTTCCGTTATATGCAATATTGGCTGAGATATAGTTACAAATAGATTTTTCGGTAATGGCGGCACTAATTTGCATAAAAACAATACGTGGGACATTTTTTGAATTTTTTAACATAGCAAATCGTTTTCTACGCATTTTTTCTGACCTAGAAACGTTGATTAGAAATTGATTTCCGAGGGTGCACGATACCCCCCTTTTCCGACTGAACTAGTTACATGTATGTCGGGTATTGACTGTAGTAACATGAGTTGGTACAATCTGGCCACCACGCATACGATATCTGCACTACCCGTAAGATGAGAAATATGTAAATGAGGCAAAATATCAATAGGCCGTGGATGTATCCTAGTGCCTGGAGGATATTATCGCCTTCATGATAAATCAATTAATTTGTCAAGTGGTTTCTTGCGAGGACAGCTGGTACTGTGTGCACAGTGCATCTAGCAGGAATGACCGAGTATCTCATAATATGGCTAGGGCTACACAATTTGATTATACAGCAGAAAACTACAATAATTAATTACAAATTTGAAGGTCCATTGAGGATGCTCTCTCTAGATAGTCTGCAACAAATCTGACAAATTTTCGTTTTATTTTTATACCCGACCCCTTGAGTGATCTAATACTAGGAACCTTCCTCACCGCAAATTCCAACACCATATGGTAAACTGTACACAAAAACTGTTGGACTCTGTTTACAGGCATGCAACTGGGAATTCAGAAAAAAATGAAGAACTTCCAAAGCACACTAGACTTTGTACAGTATTTTTCCAATTTGTAATGGCATTCATGAGAACTAAAAATGAGGAAATCAGCGGATCTGAGGAAAAGTTGCACGCCTGTGTTTACTGGAGGTATGCCTAACACCATGCAATGCCCAATCAGTTTACTAGTACAATATTCACTCTAACAGATTCCGACAAACCCTGGTGTTGGAGTTTGACTGGATGGGTTTTTTTAGGGTTATTTGCATTTTTCAACTTCCAACTGCATGTTTTGGTGGAATATGTTGAGTTGAGAACTGCACTCGTAAACTGATTATGCTTTACTGGTTAGGCATACCACCATAATCAGAGTCCAACAGTTTGGGTGTATAGTCTACCATATGGTGTTGCATTTTGCAAGAGTGAGGAAGGTTCCTAGTAAATCCCTCAAGGGGTTAGGATTAAAGTAATAATTCCACAACTAATGTGGGTGGATTTTTTTTGCGAATCACTTTCTCGCTGAAATATGAACAACTTTTGTATTGAACAATTTGCTCTTTGGGATGAAATTTGAAACAAACACAGACATTACATCTTTAAAGGCCTAAAAAATCACTCTTCTTTGCGGTCGGTGCACGCGTCTTGTTTTGGAATGTGCACATCCGAAAAGGTTTTTGTTTTGTTTTTCCAATAACAAAATGAAGTCTAACTACCGGTACAGCCAAAAAAACTCAATTAAAATCTTACTGCTGTGATTTAAATAACCCAATGACTGGTTCTTCAGGGGGGGGGGGGGGGGCTCCTCCTAACCTCCATTCGGTACTTTGACTTTGAGTATGGAAAATATCTACCACTTTACCCATTCTTCAACAGTTGAATCTTTTTTTTTAAATCACACAATTTGAAACAAATAATATGCCTACCTGAAATGGGAATGTTAAATCTTCTGGTGTTTTCCCATTCGGTACTTTGACTTTGAGTATGGAAAATATCTACCACTTTACCCATTCTTCAACAGTTGAATCTTTTTTTTTAAATCACACAATTTGAAACAAATAATATGCCTACCTGAAATGGGAATGTTAAATCTTCTGGTGTTTTCCTGCAAAGAAAAAAAAGATAACAGGCATTGATATTGTGATTAATATATGGTCCAGTTGATAATGGTTAATACATGAGGCCTTTTAAGATGTACAGGACACTAAAATATCTTATTTGTTAATTTTCTTTTGGATATTAAAAATTAAGACATTTTGTGACAAGCTTAAAATCAATCAAATATCAGTGCAAAATTACACAGATTTTTTGCAGAATTCTATGTAAAAGGTAATCTTTATTCTTGGTGGAGCATATTTCTTGGGAGAGGTCAGGTTGGCGTAGCGGTACTTTCCTCGCCTTCCACCGCTGTGTCCTGGGTTCGAATCCGGCCCGGGCCAATATGTGGATTGGGTTTTCAGTCCCTACCTGATTCCGTGGGTTTTCCCTAGAATATTCCTCTGGGCTTTTCCTCGCACCTCTAAAGCTGTAATTTCTTCTCACTGTCTTCTCTCTACAGATTTCTTCAGGCTTTCGAGCTACAGTGCTTAGGGTACTTTTAAGGAATCCTTGGTTTCATTACCAGAAATAAATAAAATAAAATAAATTTGAAATTAACATTTGTTTTGATGAATCTTACCTTGAGTAACTGTTGCAATTGCTGTAACACTGGATGAACCTCCTCCCTAAGTAACCACTGAAATTCATCCTCCTGCAGCAACAAGCAATGATAAACAATACATTGACCAAACTGCATGTTTGATACAGTAGACATGGTAGAGTTCTCACCCCACAATTCTCAATGTACAAGTAGGGTGCTATGGTCCAATGGTTACGGTGTTCGACTTGTGTGCCGTGGCATGTGGGTTCGAATCCGGACGGGGAACATGGTGCTTGTGCTCTTGGGCAAGGTATTTTACCATTATTGCTTCGTTCTTCGGATGGGACGTATGATACAGTAGACATGGTAGAGTTCTCACCCCACAATTCTCAATGTGGGGTGCTGTGGTCCAATGGTTACGGTGTTCAACTCGTGTGCCGTGGCCAGTGGCGTAGCCACCGGGGGGGCGTGGGGGGGCGACTGCCCCCCCCCCCATGAAACCTTGTCGCCCCCCAGTCGCCCCCCCCCCCCCCCCCCACTGAGATTTTGAGTTTCTAAAAAAAATTATCATTGATCTACATGACGCTATGGGCCCTATTATGTACTACAATGTATCTTTTGTGCTAAGATAATTATTGGTAAAATGGTCAGAAATTGCCTCAGATAGCACCACAGAGCATTTAGAATCCAATTCTGGTAGCTGATTCAATTACTCCAACCTCGAAAACAATGTTCACAAAATTTTCTTATGCCTTTAGCTGAGAAAACCTCGAAAATTATGTTTAAATTATTATCTTTTGTGCTAAGATAATTATTGGTTAAAGTGGTCAGAAATTGCCTCAGAATCCAAAATTTTTCGGGGCCCTTTAACGGGCCCGGAACCCCACGCCAATAGCTCAGAATACCGATAGCTGATTCAATGTCTCCAACCTCGAAAACGATTTTCAAATAATTATCTTTTGCCAAGAAAATATTAGTTAAAGCATGGAGGAAAGTCGTAAGAAATTGCTTCAAATCACACCACAGAACATCTAGAATCCAATTTTTTTGGCCGAACCCCATGCTGTAAGGGCTTTGCGCTTCGCGCTTGCATCAGTTATGATCAAGGTATGTCCCCCCCCCGCCCCCCACTTTTGAGAAGCGATTGACGCCCCTGCTTGACGCCCCCCCATGAAATGTTCCAGCCCCCCCAGCGCCCCCCCCCCCCCCCCCCCCCCCCCCCCCACTGAAAAATTCCTGGCTACGCTACTGGCCGTGGCACGTGGGTTCGAATCCTGACGGGGAACATGGTGCTTGTGCTCTTGAGCAAGGCACTTAACCATTATTGCTTCGTCCTTCGGATGGGACGTAAAGCCATAGGTCCCGTGTGTTGTACAATGCATGTTAAAGAACCCAGTAACACTTATCGCTAAGAAAGGGGTTTGTCCCGGTGTTTTTGGCAGTGGCTGCAATATGCGCCGCAGCACCTTGCAAACCCTAGCACTTCATAAAGGGGCTCATATTTCTCATAAACTTCATTTACTTGTCTTTAAAAATAGGCATAATTACCAGCACCTCGAGTAGCTAATTGTTGGTAGATACGTGCGCTATATACCACTGAACCAAATTACATGTACATATGTACATGTATTCTGAGGTTTTCAATTTAGTACACAAAAAGTTTAACATGTGAAACTGTTATGACTTTACTTGATCAAAAAAATTGACTGTTGACTTATATTTAAAAATTAAATAGCTTGGCTTCATTTTCTACAGGGTGAGTCAAAAAGAAAGTGACCAGAATTATTGATTTTTTTTTCTTAGAAAGCAATCAAATTTGATACACCAATGAAGTACATGTCTTGAAAGAGCATGTTCTTCCACTCCTTTGAAAAACTAAAAAAAAACCCTGATTTTAAATCAGTCCATGAAATGCCATTGGAAGCCAATGAGCTGAGTCAGAATTACAGATTACACATAGGCATTCAAATACAAATGAGACTTTAATCATTTGAGTCAAGATTGAAACATTATTTTCACTGTCAGATTTTGTGCTTTGAATATGATGAACAAGTCAAGTTTTTTTCTTCTGAAATATTTGATGGCTATTTTTTTCTCTTCTCCTTTGCAAGTTTTCATTCATTCATGGAGGTGGGAAAACGTCCATATTGCATTGTAATTGGTATTCACCAGCTCATAGAAAGGTAAATGATCAGTGATGGATGGCTGAATTTTGCGACCTTTTTAGTAGACATACCGGTAACTTGTGATATTTTTATTAAACTATGTGACATTTTCACTTTACATGTCAATAACATGTATTTTATCCCTATGTTACTTTTTTTTTCTAATTCAGTCACTTTCTCTTTGACTCACCCTGTAGTGCTGAGTGTTGAAGAAAAAAAAATGTGATTCAAGACCTGAATCTTGGCTACACAGATACTGTGTAACTTTGTTTGGAGCATTTTGTCGGCTAAATAGTGAGTAAAGATGGCCTTTTTGTTAATTTTTTTTATTATTATAAGATGGAATTTTGCGTCGGGGTGATATAAATCAAATGAGGTTTTGCCCTTCACCGACGTTTTTAACACTGTATACTCAGGTTACACACTGAGTATACAGTGTTTAAAACGTCGGTGAAGGGCAAAACCTAATTTAATTTTTTTTTTTTTTTTTTTTTTACATACATGAACGAGTCTCTTCTGTGCCTGCTTGGGACAAAGCCCCGATTTGGGGTTTCACCACAATTGTTCCTTTTTTCTTTGGTTCGTCACAAGACCATGACAAATAGTGCCGAGGTTACAGAACAATTTGTCATTTAAAAGAATTTTCATGTTTTGACAACACAGTCATTCTCTGTTGTTCACTACTGATGGTTGATGGAAAAAAGTATCCGGGTCCGTCCTATGAATGGTTTAGGCCTATAGAATTTATTTATGACGCATGTGGCACTGAAATGTATGTTGCCCAAGTTTTGAATGTCTATTATGAGGAGTCAAATGCCAAACAAAATGGAAATTCTTATTTCACTGCAGAGCTCTACATGATTCACTGTGACATGGTAGCGCTGTGTTTAAAAGGGGATATACAACATTTGCAAACATCAAAAAAAGAAATGATCAAATTATCACGAAATATCTTACTGGATTGCTAGGGAATGACAGTTCAAAGCATCCTGTAAAATCGTGGCTCCTGGTGTGCTGACATTTTCAAGAAAAGTTGTATTTTTCCAACGCTGGTCGGCCGACCAGCATTGGAGAAAACTGACTTTTTTTTTCAAAAAGTGCTCCTAAATTTTCATATTTACTTATTCCGCATTTTCTTTGCAATTGATTACACACCTGTGAAGGGGTACAAACCTTCTAGACCGTTTTTCTGACCTTACAATTCCCTACTTAAGTCTATAAATTGCTCCATTTCATCTTACGTGGGGTCAGGGAACCAGACTACAAAAACATGGTTGGTTTTCTTGCATTTTCCAGCATCTCCGAACCCAAAACATGAAGCAACTCAGTTAAACAATATTTGCTATAACATACTAATCCTCCAAATCCATTTTTTCCCCTGAAAATTGCAGCAAAAGCAAATGTTGTACATTCCCTTTAAGTAATTTATGAGTACCTCACTATGAGAAATTAGGACTCTACACTTTACTGTTTCAGCTCTGGCAGTAGCTTCTTCTCGTACCTGTCACTTGGTGGTTGGTTGGTCGGTTGGTCTGTCTGTCAGGTCTGTCTGTCCCCGAAAATTGAGAAAAAATATTTGACCCAAAATTGACCAAATGCCATGCCATTGTCAGTATTTAACTCATGATGAAAGTTATTGGAAAACGGGCTTTATCTCGATCGGTGCACATGCGCGTGTCTGTCCCAGAAAAATTGATTAAAAAACGAGACCCCCAAGTTTCTCATAAAGTATAACTACCAAAATGTAATAATTCTTGGTACATCACTCGGACCGTGTGATTTCAAATATTTTGTTCGTACAGTCGTATAAACTCTTGCATCGAATGTTTGTTGGGTCAAAATAAATTGTAATGTCTCTAACATTTGAAAATTCACCAACGAATGACCATATGTTTTTGCCTAGTTCCATATCACTCATGTACATGTACGTACATGTATCGACATGTTCTTTGGTCGGTCAAAGGGTTTTCAGTCCATGCATGTTCGTGCGGTCACGCTGCAGACAAAAGTTTCAAAATCATTTACACTAATTCTCTTTTTAAAATTTGCTTGAATTTTCTTGAATGAACAGTTTTTCGAAAAATTAAGTAATACTTTATCAAAAAATGTGCTTGATTTGGGGTGGTTCTGTCTGAAAAATAAAAAAATTATTAGTGCGAAGTGGATTTTGATAAATTTGGAACTGATTTAATCGATCCGGAACTAAATGTAGGAAAGTGGCATCGGTACTTTAGACGCCGCAAAGTCAAAATTAAAAGAGTGTAAATTTGGAAAATGATTTTGAAGTAGGCCTACACACATATCTTCATCACTCAAAAGGTAAACTTTTTAACCAATGTCACTTGAACTTGATTCGTGGAGTAGTCGAGACGAAGGCAGCCTGAATGATGTTTGCTTTCTGGAACTAGGTCTAGAAAAACGACCATACATACATGTAGTCCAAGCGGACTCTGTTGATATCTTCACTTTCAAATCCCTCCCCAGCCGCGGCCCTCTATGCTCTCAACAAGTTTCTACATGTACCGGTACATCCAGCACCCTCTCCCCCTCACCCGTTATTTTTACAACTGGAAAAGATTCCCATATCTGGCGATCATGTGGGGAAGAAATATATGGACATCACTAATTTTTCCCTGCAGTGACCATCAGCCATCAGAAAGTGATAACATGTCCTAAAAAGTCAAATTTAGCAGGGAAAATATTGAAGCATTTACTTAGAAGCACTTGTAGTTTTTCAGACCGGTCTCATAGGGTTTGTGCACAAGGTGTCAAGTGATGTCCAGGTATGGAATTCTTTCTTATTCGTCACCCTGTGCACAAACTGTATGAGACTGGTCTGAAAATTTCTCAGTTGCAAACACTTCAACAGTTTCCCTGCTAAATTTGCATTAATCACTTTCTGATGGCTGATAATGTGATATAGGTCACTGAAGGGAACATTAGGGAAAGAATGTTGCAACCTGACGCTGCTTTTTCCATACATATGTATCATCTCAATGAACTGAAGGTCAGTCATTCACTCATTGCAAAAATAATGAAAAGACATCTGGGACTGAAATTAACATTTCCAATTTTGTTAGGAAATACTTTAAAAAAAATATTGACTCTCCATAGACTTTGTACACAACCGCTGAGGTAGCGTCAGGTTGCAACATTCTTTCCAAAATGAGTGATGACTAGATATGGGAATCTTGAACTAGTGCAACGTACGGTACGGTACACAGTCATGACAGTACAGCGATACAGCCATGACACGGTCCTACTAAAGCGCGTCAACAAGCGTCAACATACTCCTAGAACTATGAGGCTCCACGTAGTGGAGCCTCATAGGTTCAGAAGCCCGCAAAATTGTTGTCAGCACAAAACACTAATTAAGTACAAAAACGTCCATCCCAAGCAGGCCGTTTTCCACAGAACCGCTGCACAGTTTGCCCCTAAACTCCATACAATACCTCATGACATACTCACGTTATGTGCACCCAACAAACATCGGTGGATTCTGTCTGTTTTTCGGCAAAAATGATGAAAAATATGCCCTTTCCGCACTGAGCCAACCTAACACTTGAAACGAGCACGCGTGCAGAATGATCGCAGTTATTTTCGGTTCGATCGCTCGGAGCGCGCCGCGGGGGGTACGTACGTGCACTTGTACGCATGTGCATACTATCGTTCCGCTCCTACACCATACCCCCCGCGGCGCGCTCCGAGCGATCGAACCGAAAATAACTGCGATCATTCTGCACGCGTGCTCGTTTCAAGTGTTAGGTTGGCTCAGTGCAGAAAGGGCATATTTTTCATCATTTTTGCCGAAAAACAGACAGAATCCACCGATGTTTGTTGGGTGCACATAACGTGAGTATGTCATGAGGTATTGTATGGAGTTTAGGGGCAAACTGTGCAGCGGTTCTGTGGAAAACGGCCTGCTTGGGATGGACGTTTTTGTACTTAATTAGTGTTTTGTGCTGACAACAATTTTGCGGGCTTCTGAACCTATGAGGCTCCACTACGTGGAGCCTCATAGTTCTAGGAGTAGCGTCAACAAGCGTCAACAAGTTTTAGTAATCGTTAAGTGCGCGTCAACAAATTTTGTATAGGACTTTGAACAATAAAAACAACTTTATATGGTAGAAAAAGCAATAATGAACATCTTCTGCATATCAATTAAATTTAAAATTATTTTAAAACTTGGTTTTTTTGAACGCGAAATGTACGACGAATTTGTCGATAAAAGTTGGCCGCCATCTTGTTTATGTGTAGCTAGCTGTACTACGCATGCGTGAAGTGTAAAGAGCCATACTACGCATGCGCGAAGTCTACAGCGCCATCCAAACAAGATGGCGGCCTACTTTTATCGACAAATTCGTCGTACATTTCGCGTTCAAAAAACCAAGTTTTAAAATAATTTTAACTTTAATTAATATGCAGAAGATGTTCATTATTGCTTTTTCTACCATATAAAGCTGTTTTTATTGTTCAAAGGCCCATACAAAATTTGTTGACGCGCACTTAACGATTACTAAAACTAGTTGACGCTTGTTGACGCTTGTTGACGCGCTTTAGTAGGACCCGCCATGACATGCATGACAGAGTCATGTGTACACGTACGTCATGTACAATGTAGGTGTACTGTATAGAAATGCAATTCACTGCCTCAGCTCAGTAAACCTATACATTTTTCTGATCAGTACGAACTACGTGAGCAAAAACCTCTGGTAATAGTTCCGTAGAAAGTTCACAATGCACATGACATATTGGATATGATCGAACTTAAACACGATTCAAAATCTTACCAAACTTAATCTCTCTTCTTCGTCACTGTCCTCTGCCATTTCGACCATTTTTATTATGCACCTGTCCGTCTTTTATCAATGGAGGGCGCTCTAACGGGTGCAACGACACGTGCAAAACAATAATAACACGTAATACCGCCTTGCATGACATGACATGTGACACTGACAGTGCGGAATGATTCACTCTCACAGGCATGACAGGGAATGTTTTACAGGTGAGTGAGTCAAAAATCTTTGCTTAAATTCGTTAAATTAGATTTGCATAAACTGACCTATTGTTTGTTCAATCGCAGACAGTCAGAAATGCCTTGCACTTCCTCATTCCTCTGCCATGCATTGTATACGTACAGCATAGGGCCTGCGCCGGCCTGCCCCGGCGCGCGTGTGGAAACGTTTGGGAAAGAATGTAGCAATCCAGACGCCCGGCCACTTTCTTTAGGTGTTTGTACAAAAATGAATTGAGAGTCGAGTGCATTTTCAAATTATTGTCTAATAAAATTGGAAATGTTTCTCATCAGTCCTAGATTCATGTCTTTTCAACATTTTTGCAATGACCTAAGGTTCATCAGGCTTGCGAGCTACATGTGCCTAGAGACGGTGTTCTTGACCATTATTAGCTTAAGTTAAATTTGTCTTTGCATACGTGTAACGGGGGAGAATAACGAATAGCGGTGCAGAATAATACCCAAAGGCTGGAGGTCACCCCTGAAGGCCTAAACCCATCCACGTTTTGTCCCCCTACTATATTTATACATATCACGGGGCAGAATAATCCCCAAGGGTAGAAGGTTGTCCACCCTGTGAAAGCCTTATAATTTTTCCTTTTTTTTTTTTCTATGTTAGAATCTGTTTACTACGTTATAAGTTACCAATTTTACGTTTGTTTAAAAATGGTTTAGATTTTCGCCTCTGACTCACTGATCGCCAGGCACACATGATCAGTTATAGCGTTCTTGCTAACAGAGAAGGAAAAGAAGTGGCCACGCCAGTTGGTTATAGCGCCCTCTTGTGACATGTTACCTTATCCCGTGAGCACAGGCATCTTGTTTTCACCTCGAATGTAATAAAAGTTGTTCCTCTCGTTCGATAAGTCTTGTGTTTGGCAGTGATTCAGTCGTGTGGGGCGCCCCCCCCCCCCCTTAATCGACCTAGTGGCGCTCAATTTCATGGAAGTACGTATTAGCGTGGCTTAAAGTCAGCAGCAGGAGTTGAAACTTGAATATCCGGCTCATTATCCTGACAAAATCATTCTAAACTCGTACGGGAATTAAAGTTGTTAAAATTGTTTTGGCATTTAGAGCTAGAGAGACGGAGAGAGAGGGTGATCCGATGAATGTTTCTTTTCTTTGGTTCATTGGGAGCTATGTACTGAAGCAATAGACACGGCCTTTACGACCACAGGCGTAGAAGTTTCAGACATGGTAGCCTTTGATGTCGGTTTGGTTCCGAATCCACAATGTAGAACTTTGTTATTTTATTAATCTGTTAATTTCTATGGCTGGGCTGAGGTTTTTTTTAGCTCGATTACTTACTCATAGATAATCTGATAACTTTGGAAGAAATGAAAGATAAGTGGGCCAATTTTGGTATCTTTGAAAAGTCTTTCATGATCTGGAAAGCGTAATTCCTAGTAGCATGGCGAATGGCGAGGGCGATGACGCCGATTCCTTATCCTTTCTTCAGACGCTGTAGATTCGAAAAGCAGATGGGGAGGGTTTTTTACACAGGGTATATTCATTATCATTGGCAGTCGGCCACTTTATAATTGTATTTGTCGATTGGTTGGATGCTCCTTTCTCTATATATTTACCAGCTTTGTTTTAACAACTACACGTACAACGACTTCGTTTTTGGCCAACACTTGTTTTGGGTTTCCGTCAACACAGACAAGGCTACCTTTATTGCTAAACAATGGAGCAGGGATACTTGGGAATAAAGTTCTCCTGCAATTTGCAAAACAATTGCGTTGTTTGTTCAACTAAAAATAGTTTGCCTAACTAGAACTTGAAGGGTCGATCAGTGCCGAATGCAGTCCTACACAATTAAGCTTTTATGTCCTTTTGGATAGTACAATATTCCTCCATGGTACAGTGATCCAATTAACCGTGAAGGTATGCCATAGGTTTGTGCTTTTTTTTCCTTCAATTCAGACCTAACCCCCAACCTTGATAAAGGATCGAGGTTATTCTTTATGAAGGTTCCCACACGACGAAATTCAGTCCACGGAACTTTCCCTTTCAGACCCGCTATTCACGCCAAGTTTCGTACCCCGCCCAGATGGCCCGGTGTATGACTCAGTAGGTATAGGTTGACCTCAACCCTGAGTTTTACCGTACCGTAAGCCATCATACATGGAGGACGTCACCTATTGTGACGTCTAGTGGAAGAATTAAACTCCTCCGTCAATACACCATTCATATGCAGAAACTGTGCAAGCAACCGGTGGATACGCACATAAAGGCCGCACTATACACTTGTCGCACTGTACTCATTATCGCCGAAATCACCCACTGACTGATACCACATCATAACTTTCGTTGATCGCAATGGCGGCGCACGGTGGGATATATTTACCTATTTTTTTGGCAATCTCCGCGTTGATTCTCGCCGTGGATTCTATGCCCAATGGGGCCCCTTCCTCGGCTTGCGTCAGCCTGACTCCGGGCCACGGTGGCACCGCTCAGGGGGGAGCCAGCCCGTACTCGATTCAGCTGCCGGACGGGAATACGTACACGGCGGGAACACCGATGACTGGTAAGCCATGGAAATATTGGGCGATTCCACCTGATACGATGCATTGGTAGACTGCGAGAATGCACCCCACCCATGCTTGGCGTATATACGCAGCATAGTAATCGTATCAAGTTAAATGAAATGCTTTGTGTTAAAGATGACAGATTATAGATATGTCTGTTTATGGTGTAAGAAGAACAACGGTTGCAATGTTTTCAACAAAAATGCGAGCAACGTCATGAAGTCCTGTGATTACCACTCAAATAATGATGCAGGTTTAAAAATGATTTTGCCCATTCCCCCTAAATTATAATCTTAAGTAATCATTATCTTTTCAACGGGTAGAAACTTGACGATTATTTTGATGAACAAAAGGTTCTTTTCAACGAACAAGCCAGTCGTGTTTGTAATTATAATTTGTAATGCACCATTACTGTCAACCTATGAGTCAAGGGTTACAATTATTATTTCAATTAATGAACAGGTAATTGTTTTCATCATTGGACGAATTGGCTTTATTAAATTGTCAATGCTCTTTCAAAGGAGGGCCAGACAAACAAACACCATATCGGCAACAACATACATGTATATTGGAGACAATACCCCTGATGTCATACTTACGCTCTCCATGTAGCCACAACAAAATAGACCGTAATCTCAAATTTATTAAGTTTGTACTGACGATAATATGGCGGGGAAGTGTTAAGCCTTGGCAGAGGTTTGCGCTCTTTGAGTACTTTCTCGTTTTGTTTTGCTCCTGCGCCCATAACGCACAAACGACACGCGTGAATTATTGTTGGGCAACAAAAATAATTAAAATTGTTCAGGCATTTATTCCAGAACTAAACGTGGGCGGATTGGTTTATTTATTTATTTTTTTGTTTTGCTCCTCCAAAAGTGTCTCATTTAAACTTTTTATTGCAAGAAAAATAGTAATTGAAAAACAAAATCTATAGTTTTTCGGGGTGAAACTCGAAAATAGCACAGTTGAGCAACTTATACATTTTGTACATCTACAATATCTGACTGTACATCACAAAAATCTCATGATACACTATCTTTTACGGCGTCACAACTTTACATCGATTGTCTATAGATAGATTTGAAAGTTTGGGAAAAAACTATTTCGCAATCGATGTCTAGTTCCTCAGTTTTATAATAATTGAAAATAAGTCACAACGTCAGTTCTTGATATGAAATAGCACATGGCTTCTTTATTGATGTTCGTGGGGAAAAACGGTTGTTAATTCCATTTTCTTGTATAGTACAGTTTGAACATTATGATTGTCTCTTCATGCAACGAAACAGAGCCTGACCCTTTCTCTAAAGTAAATATAACCAAGGAGTATTCATTCAGGTGAAATATCATTGTGACTTCGCATTAATTGATTTCAAAAGACAATGTCCGATACAACTAGTAGTTGTCTTTCTTCGTTGGCGAGGAGTATTATATTTGTAAGCTTATTCAGGAATACGCATTTACAGTCGACTCTCATTAACCCTAATTCCCCAGGCCTTTTTGCTAGGATGTATAGCCTTAATCCTGCAAAATCCTCCAATTGACCTCAAGGAAAAATAGCATGTAGCCTCAATCCTGCAAATTCCTCCATTATTTCTTGAATATGGTCCGTGGAGGGGTGACCACTACCTGAATCCTGCAAAATCCTGTGGCAGTGACTGTCAATATGTTGAGGCTTGGCCAGTGACATCCTGGAGCTGTATACGGAGGATTTCAAGCATAATCCAGGCCTATACTTATGCATGGCTGAGCAGAAACAACACAAGGTCCGGCCTAAGACCTTGACAAAGTGCATCCTACGAAATCAGCAACGCACTTTTGCCATGTAACCTCAATCCTCCAAATTCCTCCACTTTGGCAAAGTGGGTTTGGAAGGATTCAGGGCGGTTTAATAGGGTTAATAAAACTCAGCCGGACCTAATCATATCAATATTTTTTTTTTACTAAGAGGAGCATCAACCCCATTCATTGTATAATCTTCACAAATATTTGCAGTTATGTTTGGCTTCAATTGTGGCCTACAGGTTAAGCTAAAACCAAACTTTATTGAGTTGATAAAACAATTTCGAATTCACTTTCTTATACGTGAACATTATCGCGTTGGAAAGACATCGCAATAGCTTCGTTTAGCTGGTGTGTTACACGGCATATCGTGGGAATTGTCTGTCCAATAGCTTGAACACTTTTGCACCAAAACAGCACTGTATGAGCCCGATTAATACCACGTACAAGATTAAATCCATTCAGATTCAGTCTGAGTTAACTGTTCCTTATTGTTATTAGTTTGCTTCACCTTTTGAAAACCCACAATAATAGAGCTACGCACCGCTAGAGAGATCTCTATGGAGAGATTAAATTAAGCTCCATCATCGGGCCTATTATCCGCTGTACAGCAACACTGCTGGCTGGTTCTATTTACATATACATACGCACCATGTTCATACCAACGGCCGACCGACATGCAACCCAAACATTTAAGTTAACCCTAACTCCCCAGCCTAATTTACTAGGAACCATACCCATTCAGGCAAATTCCAACACCCACATGGGAAATTGTACACACACTGTTGGACTTAGTTTCTGGAGGTATGCCAACCCCATTGTAAAAGACCATCAGTTTATGGGTACTGTACCTATCCCAACAGATTTAAACACAAACCTGCTGTTGAACTTTGATGGGTTGTGTTCGGTTAAAGTTTAAGACTTGAAACTTTGCATGGTGGTAGTATAAACTAGTGAAAGTTTGCTTTAAAAATAAAAGTGGATATCTCTTTTGGGAAGGTGTGTATGTGGATCTGAAAAGAACCGGTTGGTTGTAAAACTGCTTTTACAACCAGCCAACCAGCCGGTTTTACAACCAACTGGTTCTTTTCAGAACCACACACCTTCCCAAAAGAGATTCCCACATTGCGTTAATACCGCAAACCTTGTCTAGTTTTACATCTTTTGCATATTATTTTGCCCACCTAACAGTCCTGAATCCTCCAATTTCAATACGATTTTGCATACCCTTTAGGGAGTTACGGTAAGCATTTCAAGAGATATAGGCCTACACCTGCAATACAGAAGGAGAGTGTTTGCTGAAAGTTGGCACTGTTGTGGTCATGTACCAAAACAACCAATTTGTAAATAAAAAATAATGTAACATGGTCCATGATGGCGCTGTGTTGACCTCATTCCCATTGTTAGACGACTTCATTTCATGAAAGAGGATTTTGTGATGTAGTATGTCTGAAGTGGCACTTCACGCAAGTACGGACGGCCACCTTGAGGGCAAGTGTCTTTAACTATTCAGGCACGACTCGGAGAAGACCTTTATAATACGGAGGCATTGTTTGAACATTTGCATGACAAATCACTTGTCTATACCCGTTGTGCGTCACGTCTGGGTATGGAGGAAATAACATACCTCACGTAGGCAAATACGTGTTCCTCATGATGGTCATCAAGGATTTTCAAAAGCCACATGATATAATAATATATATTGGGATCAGCAGTTGAAACACGCTTTTATTTATCTTTATACAAAGGTGACCATGTTGGTTTATTTTATTCCAGTGTCGTGTTCAATGATTCTTAATTGGTATCAAACATTTACGGGTGCAACCACGAAGTAACGTATATCGTCTGTGGACTTTGTGCACACTATACACGATACGTCACTTCGTGGTGCGACCGATAAGCTTAACATTACTTCGCCGTGGTAAATTAACAATAGCCCTTCACAAAATGCATTGGAAAATCATCATCGTCGTCAGTATCCCTCAATCATCGATTTCGGTACTAAATAGAACATGAAGGTTCTGCAATTATTGATGCCAAATATAGATTGTTATCAAAAATCTGATTTAGGTCTACATGACTTGTTAACCGTACCGTAACTAGTTCAGACTTTCATGAAACTTCCATGCGTGCCCCGTAAACACGGAATCATGGTTGCGTGAGTTCAAATCATGCATGGTGGTGGTACGGTGTCGTCACTCACTCTGCAGTTGGTGCATGTTTTGTAATTACATGTATGTCATATCTGATGCGTTCACCTCCGGGACAGAAAACGTCTTGCAGTGTTTGGAATGAGATGACGTTTATCGCTGGTGGTTCCAACAGTATAAGGATATGAAATATGTCTCGTGTTATATAAAAAAAGAAGACTATTGTAATCCACAGAAATGAAAATTAACCCGAAACCGAAGCACATGTTTGAGACATGCACATACATGTACATTTTAAAGCTCTGGTAGGAGCTTCTGCAAGTCACTCCGTTGTCGGTCGGTCGGTCAGTCTGTCTGTCCTTGGCACCTTGACCAAAACATTTACAAAAATTGAGCAAATGCCATGCCGTCGTCAGTAAGTGCACTCTAAAAATTGTTTGTGACAATTTGTAAAGTTGTTAATGAATATTAATTGTAAACGATCGAGGCAGGATATGTTATTTTCAGTTGGTTTCTAATTTTATAGCAGACAAGTTCTTTTTTTTTTTCATGCAAGACTGCCAGAGTTTATTATGCACTTGCACTTGTTTTTTTTTGTGGCGGCCAACTGGAGTGTACGTTTCGGCAGCCATATTGGATTTGTGGAGCTTTGATTATCATCATTGACAACCCAGCCTCCGCGTATCTTGTCATTACAACAACTATGATTCCTTTAGCAGAATCTGATTGATGGATGGAACACGTAACCCTCCGAAAGCATTAGGCACAAAAAAATAGGAAAATGAAAGTGACTGCTTCACATGATTACGACCAAACGGGCCTACATTATAAGTACCGTCTTCGCAAATATGTTTGTGGAACAGTCATTTAGGTGGAGTCAAAAAAAGCGGAACCCAAACCCCCAAAATTATATTTCATATTTAAAAACATATGTAGCACCAAAAATAACAATGACTAAAAGCCAATTTCATAAGCTACTTTTAGATGCAGATATTACTGAAATTGCTCTATCTGATCAAACAATATCACCATTTAAACACAATGATCCTAAAACCTCTTTCGTCCAAAATGCGATTTCGGGAATCGCCGTCACAATTGTCTTCAAACATCACCAGCGATAAAACCTCAGTTTCAAAATTGAAAATATTCAACAAAGTCCTTTTGAAGGCCCGTCTTTAAAAATCAAAATGGATTTTATAAATCATATTGTTTGCCTAACCAGGGTCGTTAATGAAGATATTGTGTACTACAGTTGTTGACAGTTGTTGAAACAAGTATTCATTTTCTTTGTTGTTCCAAACAGTCAGAATACACAAATTGGTTTTTTTTCTGGACGAAACCGGTTTTAGAGCCATTGCATTTAAAAGGTGATATTCTTTGAACGGATTGAGCAATTTCAGTAATTTTTTTCATTTAAAAGTAACTTATAAAATTGGCTTTCCAGTCGTTATTATTTTTGGTGCTACATATTTTTAAGATGTGACATATAATTTTGGGGGTTTGGTTCCGCTTTTTTTTTTGGACTCACCCTGTACTTAAAAAAACATGTGCCTCATGTTCTCGACGCCCCGTTGGCCTAAATAATAATACTGTGTACCCCTCTTTGTCAGCCTCTCGACGTTTTGTGAAAGCTTTTGAATGACTCGATGAGTACGGTATGCCTGGACATAGAAATGGTTTTCATGCAGAGGCGATGATTTCATAATGGTGCCAGACTTTCAAGGACGAGTTCTAGTTTTGCCTTATGAAATTCTAAACAGATACAATACTCTTTTTATGTAAGCATCATGATGATCATGGTGGAAGTGTGTAAATTTAGGCTATACGTTGCGCAACCGACAAAATGGCTGACGCTTGGAGTTGAGGTTTCGGGAAGAATAGCTGGACTGCCGGATGGAATTTTGCATAAAATAACAACTTGAAGTAACAATCACTGGTGTGAGACTACAATAGAGTGCATTTTGTTTCTGTTTTTGTGGGGGCGTGTTTGCGCGTATTTCGAGGCCATCGATTCAGCGGTGAAACAACATAACGTCAAACTTAATTGAGAACTGGGTTGTTATGTAAACATGAATGAAAAATCATTCATGTAAAACGTAGTAAAACTTAATGAATAAAGCAAAAAACATAAACCTTGTTTTTGTGGACACGCATGATTGTTTCCACTCACTCTACTGTGAGTGTCTGCGCAAAACCCTTATACAGGATGTACATGTAGATGAATACTCCTTTACGTTCTGAGTTGAGACGATTTCATAATACAAACAAACACACAAACAAACAAACAGACGAGAAGCAATCGATCAAAACGAAAATGAACACACAAAACAACTGTAAAAACCAAATTAACCCCCCGAGAGACTTCGTTTTAAAGTAGCATGTGCAGTTGACATTTTCGTAACGTGAGTAACCGAGTTTGTGCGTCTTGTTTATCATACATAACACATTTTTCTGGATGTCATCTTTGGTGCTTAGGTAGGTCTAGGTCTACTTCATCTACCATGGGGATAACAGTTGTTAAACCTTTTCAGTAAGGTAATTACAGCCCAAGGAAACTCAAAAGTACATCAAAAATGTAACGTGAGTAACCGTGGAATTGCCCGTATGAGTTTGCCGACAAGCACCTCAAAGGTTGCGTGCCACTTTCTCGCAAGCGCCACGTTGTGACATCCAAAAGGCTGTAACGAGCTTTTGGCATCTTTTGGCACGCTAAACTCTGCCAGACATAACTAAAGGCCTCGGCCTACGTCTTAAAATTTACAAACATAATTTCTCTGTTTTCTATGATCTTCAGGCTTATGAAAACCAACATGAAAGTTAAATAAGACTTGAGGGTTTGCATGGTGGACATGATCAATGAATGGGAGGTTTGCGGTTACACCATGTGAGTGAAAGATATCTCTTGAGTTGTGTGGTTCTGAGAAGAACCAGTTGGTTTAACTTGACGTTTCGAACAGTATGCACTGCTCGGCATCAGGAGACTGATGAAAGTTACAAGACAAAATACCACCGGTTCCAATAGCGACGGTTCCAAATACTTAAAATATCTCTAACAATACATTCCAAAGGACTCACGACTAGGAAACCTTTGGCCTTTTTCACAAGCCGATCATGTTTTTCTATGCGTTTTTACTTCGTATCCACATTCTGCTGCATATAGCCATGTTTTTCTTTCGACGGCTGGCCGTTGAAGTATTAGTGCGTCTATTGAAATAACCTGTTTTCACAAACTTGGCACAGCCGCAAGCTATATTAATCAGCAAGACTGCAGTCCCATTGTGGTTGTTCAATATAATAACAGTGTTACACATATTGCGGATTCGAATTGTGCAAGGATTTTGATGTACTTTTGGCAAACCCCTTTTTCCTTCTTTGTCTGAATTTTGGCGGGGGTTGGGATTGGGTTGTACGGTGTGAAATTGGGATTGGTCGGGTAAAGTTTTTTTGTTTAAGTTACAGATTGGGTTGGGGTTGGAGATGTGGTAATGTTTTGGGTTGGACTTAGGTTTGAATCTGTTGGGGTTTTAGGATTGGGTTTGGGTATGAACCCTACGTTTGGGATTGGTTTGAGCCCTGTTTTGGGGATAAGGTTTGAGTCGTTTAGGGTTTTGGGATTGGTTGGAGCCTTTTTGGTTTTGGGATTGGTTTTGAGCCCTAGGTTTCGGATTGGGCTTGTGCCCTGTTTGGGGGTTTGGGTTTCAGTCTTTTGGGATTGGCTTGAACACTAGGTTTGGGATTGAGTTTGAGTCCAAGGTTTTGGATTGGGTTGGAGCCCTCTGAGGTTTGGAATTGAGTTTGAGCCTTTTGGGGGTTTGGATTGGGTTTTAGCCCTGGGTTTTGGACTGGGTTTGAGTCTTTGGGGGTTTGGATTCCGTGGATTTGAGCCTTGGGTTCGAGATCGGGTTTCGGTGTGGGTTTTGGATAAGGTTGAGTTTGCTTGTGTTGGATTGGAAATTTGGTTTGAGTGTGGGTTGGGATTAGGTTTCGAGCCTTGGGCTTGGTATAGGTTCATGCATGGGTTTGGGCTTAGATTTAGGATTTGAGCTTGGATAAGACAGTGTTATGGTGTTGAGATGGGCTTGAGTTCTGAGTCCGGGATTCGGGTCAGGGTTTGGTTGGGCTGGTAGGTAACAAGGGTTTGGTTTGGGTTATTTGCTTTTGTGGCAGCTCAATAGGGATGGGTTAGTGGATGTTGTACATGGCGCCTTTATAGCAGTGTCTGCTCTCTTACCAATTATTAGCCAAACACCTCATGATTCATCACAATAGGCCTACATACATTCTGTTTATGAGCATAAAAGTACCACCCATTACTTTCATTTTCACGAAGCCGAAGGATTCCTGGCTGCACACGCCGCCCACCAATGTTTGCTCAACAGCTCGCGGCTGCCACGTCAAAGCTCTTGTGTCACCAAAAAGAAATGCTTGTAGAATAATTCCCAAGGCCTCCTCATTTAGCGAGCCGATATGAAAAAAACAAAGAGGCGTTCTATTTTCGCTGCTGCAATTAGCCGTTGCAACGGTCGATCAATACAAGCCCATAGTTCTTGGTATCAGAAGCGACAGCGATGTGTATACCGTGTGCGTTGTTCTTAATTGCGTGCCAGTCTTCAGTCGAGAATTTATGGGCGTGCCAATCATTTCTGTGAAAATGGACATTAATAATAGATCTTCGATGGAGCTATAATGTAGGTCACGGAGGAGGCAGTTCCTTTGTATAGACATATTGGCTATCATCGGAGTTCACTTGCGGAACACTCTCCAGTCGGATATATACCAAAATCATCATAAAGGTTTAATTGATGTTCATGCCTAGCTGGATTTCAGGCCCACTAACGTTAACTTATAGCCGCTCTCCCCGTGTTCAAGTTTCACCCCGAAAATGTTTGTTTTTAAATTTCTATTTCTGTTTTAAATTTTTTTTTTCGAGATATAAACCCCCACCACCTAAACTAAACAACAACCCGACAATATAATTCGGGCGTATCTTTTATGCGTTTTGAGCGCTTTTTCAGAGTGTTGAAAAGGTCCAAGAAAGAAAACAAAAATGGGCTTGTTTGTTTTTGCAGGCCTTTTAGGCGCACACTATTCAGAACGACCATGAAACGACTTAGGAGCATCCCGCTCTTATTACTTAATTCAAAAGTTGAAGTTAATTAATTGATTACTCTTCATGGGCCGATTTTTTTCGTGCAATGTCTCATTGGAAAGTTCATAACTAAAGTAGGCCGGTTGCTAGAAAATTATTAATTCAATTTGAAAATCTATTTTTCAAGGTGCCCCACCAAAAAAAACACGTATACACCAACTTTAAATGATCAATTTTCCTGTGAGATATCGCACCAAATCTCTGTGCATGATTCCATATAGGATGATACGGTGATTAACAAATCAAAGTTGAACCGTTCCACTTTCGATATCTGTAGGCCTCCCATCAGGATCGGAGATAGCCTACTCGGTCTTCAAACGTAAATTTGAAAACGAAGACCAACTCTGACTGCAGAGTGAAATTTGCACGTGTTTCTTCTAAAGATCGACGGCAACCAGTCATTCATGTTATATGCTCATTTCGCTGGTAGCCAAATATGTTAAACAATGTTGAAACAATGGCGGGACATGTCGCATAATTTGAATTAAATCTACTAATTTTGTGCTTCTTAGATCAATTCTGCATGCTTTAATCCTCTCACGAAAGGAACGTAAAATACTCGGTATTATTAATTAATGTGTGTGTTTCTTTCCTCCATGTTTGCAGTTCGCGTCCTTGGTTCCTCGCAGTTCCGTGGCATCATTCTTCAGGCCCGCCTGGCCGACGGTTCGTCCATCGTGCCCCAGGGACAATGGCAGAAGATAACCGGGACCCAACTGGGTAACTTCAAGCTTGCCACGTGTAGCAGCACTCACGATACCGTAACGCACAGCAACCGAAATGACAAGAACATGCCCCAGAACTTCCTTTGGTTGGCACCTGTGCCAGCAGTTGGAAATATCAAGATTGTGTAAGTTAACTGGTGTAGGCCCTATTGGAGAGCAGAGTAATTTATAGGACATAATATAACAACCCTCATGTTTCAGATGTGTTTAACCGTATTAACTTTTTAAAATGACGTTTTTAGGCCAACTACACGAAATCTCATGTTTCTCATCCCAACCTGCTCTAGTTTTGGACCTCGCACCGAGTTTTTGGTTATTTATCATTTTTAACAAAGCGTATACAAAATAAATAGTTCACTCTACAATATGGTGGCAGTGCTGGGATATTGCAAGATATTGACAGAATTTTCCAAAGAACCAAATATGGTAAGCTACACACAGTTGCCACGGAGTATCGCTAAAGCCATCAGTGACATTTCCATGGACATGAATGTTTTCAGCGGGTCCATGACCTGACATCAATCCTGACATGATATTTGTTAGGGTTTTTTGTTTTGGTGCGGTGCCAACAGTGCCAAAAACAAAAGCCACCTGCAAGGCCGAAGAGCTGGAGATGGTGTGCTACCAAGTTCGAGCAACCCTGGAAAGAGTAGAAGTTGATGTTACGGGGCCCCTTCCTCTCACCAAGCGAGAAAACTGGTACATTGTGGTGGTGGGTGACTATCATGCTGCTAAGACGGTCACAACCTAGCTTGTGGAGGAGTCAGTTGCCAGTTTTTGGGTCCTTCTTGAAGTCCACTTGGACTAAGGCAGAGAGTTTGAATCTGAGGTCTATACCGAGATGTGCTCAATTCTTGGCATTAGAAGGACCGACACAACACCGTACCACCCAAGATTTCATGGTATGATCTAATGATTCAACCACACGATGGAAGCAATGCCGAGTGTGTGGGTGAGGGTGGTCAAATCCCAAAGTAACTGGGACAAGCTCCTTGCCCTCCTTGTTATGGCTTAAGGTCAACAGAGCACGAGGCCACCAATGCGACATCAAATACATTGATGTTAGGTTGTAAAGTTATAAGTACTGTTGACCGTCTGGTTGGTTCCGTGAGGGAAACACAGACAACACCATCTAAATATGCCAAGAACCTTCAGGAGAAGTTGAAGCTCGCCCACAAGGTCGACAGGAAAGTTTGCAAGGTGCAGATGAGGACTCAGAGGAAGCACTATGACAGGAATGCTGGGGTGGTGTTATAAAATGCAGGAAATGTGTTGTGTGCTTCCATTGTAAGGCATGGGGGGAAAAAAAGGTTTAACCCAAACTGAGCCTGAGTTGGACTGTACCCTTAGTCATAGTTGAGAGACTATGATGTGGTCTACAGAAGAGCCATTCGCTCTAGCTCTAGTGCACGCTGACAGGTTGAATCTTTGCCATGGAGTTATCGCAGAAGACTGCGGGTTTGCAGAGTTTGAGTTATAGGTCATTTGTCGATTATAGCACAAAGGGCCCAGTGCCAGCGTGAGCAGTCCTGCCGTGGGTGAGGACAGCCCCACCGCTGGCATGGGCATTTAGCCCCGCCGCAAGCTTGGGCAGCCCCGACTTGAACAATCGCAGACAAAAGGGATGACCCACACGTTCTAAATCTCTAGCACAGCTTGCATATGCCATTGCAGGTGCAGTCACTCATTAGACCTTGGCAATGCTGAGTTCTGCTGTTTTTCCGGCGATGATGAGACTCCACAGGGTGCCATGTAGTCTCACAAACCCCAAAGGACATTCTTCAGACAGACGCCAATGAGGATGGAGTGCGAATTGACATATGCTTGCAGAGTCTGTGGCCGATGGTATGCCTCAGTGTATATTCGCAGGAGGCATTAATTAGTAATTAGCCTAGCACGAGGAACAATTCTACTAGTGTCAGGAGCATTCGGAAACATACAAGCTTGCTGACTGCTTGGCTTGGCATATGAAAGCTCAACAAGGGGGAGCAAAGGACGGAGAAGCAGCTGCTCCAGTGAGGAGAATAGCTTCCCAGCGGAGCTGCCTCCCAAGGCGAGAACCTGCCAGGCCGGGAAATGGTATGGGGCTGTCAGGATCCACATGACTGGGTCGGCTGAATGGGGAGCAATGGTGGAGGTGGCAGCCCAGATGAGCTACTGTGCTGAAGAGGGAAGAATTCTCATTTACCCGAGAGACAGTCCAAGACCCGCTTGGAGTTCAGACCATAGGGAAAGGAACAGATGTTCAGACCTACATAAAGATGGAGTCTGTGGGGCTTTTGGGGTTTTTTTGGCTGAATATGGCGATTTTTCCAAGAGAGTCGATGGATTCTTACATTTTCCCAACTCTTTTGCTGATATTTGTGTGTCCAAAGCAGCTATCACCTTTTCTACCTGAGATTTTGAAATGACATCACAAAATCTATTACAAAAGTATATGAATGATTAAAAAAGGTAGGGGATGGGGCCAACAGGATCCACATGACTGGGTCAGCTGAATGGGCAGCAGTGGTGGAGGTGGCAGCCCAGATGAGCTACTGTGCTGATGAGGGAAGAATTATCATTTACCCGCGATCGAGACAGTCCAAGACCCGCTTGGCGTTCAGACCATAGGGAAAGGAACAGATGTTCAGACCTACATAAAGATGGAGTCTGTGGGGCTTTTGTTTTTTTGGGGGGCTGAATATGGCGATTTTTCCAAGAGAGTCGATGGATTCTTACATTTTCCCAACTCTTTTGCTGATATTTGTGTGTCCAAAGCAGCTATCACCTTTTCTACCTGAGATTTTGAAATGACATCACAAAATCTATTACAAAAGTATATGAATGATTAAAAAAGGTAGGGGATGGGGCCAACAGGATCCACATGACTGGGTCAGCTGAATGGGCAGCAGTGGTGGAGGTGGCAGCCCAGATGAGCTACTGTGCTGATGAGGGAAGAATTATCATTTACCCGCGATCGAGACAGTCCAAGACCCGCTTGGCGTTCAGACCATAGGGAAAGGAACAGATGTTCAGACCTACATAAAGATGGAGTCTGTGGGGCTTTTGTTTTTTTGGGGGGCTGAATATGGCGATTTTTCCAAGAGAGTCGATGGATTCTTACATTTTCCCAACTCTTTTGCTGATATTTGTGTGTCCAAAGCAGCTATCACCCTTTCTACCAGATTTTGAACTCACATAGCCTACATACAATGTAGCTAAAATTATGCTGGAAACATAATCTATTGCAAATGTATATGAATGATTAAAAAGGGAGGGGTGGGAAAATGGATGCAGGTGGGGGGTGAGAGACTGGTTTTTAAAGAAGCCTTATCCAAAAAATTGGCAAAAATTGGCTAAGGTTATATATATTGTCAGTATTTTTCCAGGTACATATATGTATACGTGCCATGATTGATGCGGCCTATTATCTATAACATTTTTACCAGCCAAATGTTTTGTCTAACTTCAGGATTTTCGATATATTTTGGTAATCAGTCTATTTTGAGAAAAGGAGCATTTGGATGATGTTCAAAATGTTTAGATGACTTAGTAAATTTCTTTTAACGTTGATAATATTTTCTGTTTGTAGTTTTTCCAAAGTGCCATCAATTGCTGATAATTTTTCTGTTTTTCCTTTTTCCTGTGATTTTGTTTTGTTCAGGATGTCTGTTGTGGAAGAATACACCCCGGCCACAAGCTCGAACAGATACTGGGTGGGCATAGAATCGCCAGTGATTACGCCAATCACCCGTGAGTGTTTTAATTGTCTAACTCTTGTGCCGTTTGCTTGTCGGGTTTGTTGGCATGCATGTTTGTTTGTGTTTTGCCCATAGAGCTATATTAAATTACTAGAGCGCTAACTCCTCATTCTTGCGCGTGGAGACGCTTTGAAGCCGCTCTGGGCACAGACGTTTTGATTTTATGTGCGTGTTTGTAGAACACAATCAAAAAGATGGATTGAATTCTAAAAGTGCACTCTAAATGCAACGCGCAAGTAGAAGATACGCAAACAACTTAAGCGCGTCATGACGGTTCAAAAAGCGTCACGGCGAAAAGCATCTGCAGACGGCTGCGCTGCGCTGTTTGCGTAGAGCAAAATGAAACGCTAATTTGCTTATCGTGCGTTTCGGTTTTGGGCGTATCGGCTTCGATGACGCACCGGTATGGAATACAAACGCAGATATGCAAATAGCCGTACAAAAGCCGTACAAAATTTCGAGTTTTCCATAGGTTTGTGCACAAACATGGATGCGCCCATCAGGCATTACTTTGTAGCTCTATGGTTTTGCCACATTGAATTGTCTTGCCATACCATTACGGATGGTGAAAGCACGCACCTGGCATCCAACATAAAACATTAACATACATCTGCCTGAATGAAAATGGATGTGCTCGACCGATTACGTGGTAATACTAGAAGTGACAGTAAATGGCAATCTATATGAATGCTCACAATTCATTTGTCTAATAATTGTCCGATCATTTTAATGTATAATTTAACTCTCTACCAATTATTGAGGCACAGTGGCAATGATATATCAGTAAATGAAAATGAAAATTAGATGATTTTTTTGCAGCGGTTGTGCAGAAGTTGATATTTCTGGGTAGTTAGTGCCAGTGAGAGCGATGATTGAAACATGGAGGAATACAAAATACATTCCTCCATGATTGAAGGGACGTTGATTAAGGTGGCAATTAAATAAAAAGGGATGCTGACCTAGGTTACTGTTTCAAACTACATGTAATAACAAAATGTTTCAAACTAATACCAAAAGGTAAATCTCACAGTGTTTTGCCCATGTGCTAGCAAACCCTACTGCCTTTATCTGTATAACTGCCTTGTGTTGGTGCAGTTTCAGACTTAGGGCCTACTTGTTTCTGCGTGGCAGTAATGTTGATACTTTTGAGTGTGTGCTGAATTCAAAGCTTGTTGGGTGTGAAAAAGCTAGGCCATGAAACTTCGGAAATGGACAGTAAATTCTTTCGAAGGGCAAAACCCTTTTTGAAGGGCAAAACCTAAGTAAGATTTGAGGCTTTGCATGGTGGAGATACTAGAGGTATAAACTAGGCAAAACCTAGTTTGAAATTCTTTCGTATTAACAAAAGCTCTAGGTTGAGTGCTTTGAGTCCTTTTTTTCCTATAAATTCTCGGCTTTAACAGATTCTTACAGTTAAAAAGTATACAAACGTCGATAATTTGGTAATAACTAACACAGAGCCATACATGTTTGCTGTCGGCTGTCTACGTTTTTTGCTCACACCAAACCAGCTCAATATTTTGCCAGTAAAACTTGCAACCTAAAGTAAGCACTGAATACACAAAACTGCCACGTCACAAAAATAAAATGTACGTTAAGCTCAAATACATAGGAGTTTTCCACTTGGTTGATCACATCACGCCTCAACCATGGTACCATGCTGTACCTGTCTGACAGCATTGGCACAATCTGCATTGCAATGCTGCACACGTAAAGAACAAATTCTTGAAGCTTGTACCCAAATTATTCTTTCATCATCCCTACAGTGGTGACTTGACAGTGATAGAGTGTCATAATGGCCCGTCGAACATTTTGAATGGCAGTATTGGCCCTGCCTCATACAAAGCACTGTGTTGTGTTGGAAACAGCCTGTGGGTTAAAATGCAAGCTTTCATATTCATATAAAGAACCAGTTTTATATCAAACTCTGACTGTGAGTACAGGCACTTTTCAACACCCCCGCAAACTATATACATATTCACACCTTGCTGTTGCCTTCTTTATTGCTCTCAGAATTGCTTATTAAAATACCTGAGTCCTTGAACTAAAATGAAAATAGGCTACATCCAAGTGCGTGTAAACTTTCCAAAAGGAGCTGTTTGCATATTTTATGGGGACAATTCAAACATTTTGGAAACATTGGGAACACAAGTAGTATTGAACTTGGATAACACAGTAGCCATGAAACGTATTACCCAGTAGGCCTTATGTCAGGTGCACTTTTTATGGGAGGATGATAGCGACAAGGGGAGATGTTTTTTCTTTCTCAACCTTGGGCATATATCTGCAAGACAAAGCTAGTGCAACATCATTGTGTCACTCAATGCATATGCACAAACACTACAGTGCACAACACATACTGAAATTTGTATCCTTGTGGAGACATTTCTTTGTTCTCGTGTACTAAAGTTTTCGAGTTTGAAAATACAATTTCAAAATGTTCTTACTTTAACAAGAATTAATTTCCTTGGCTGAAATTCAGACTTAATATCCCTTTTTAAAACTCTTCCATTTGCGACTGATCAACATACCTTGGAAATTCCTAGCTTTTGAGTAAAATCCATCTATTTCGTGAAAACCTTGTGGAGATGTATTCGTCTATAGAAATTGCCCTGTGGAGACGAATACAATCTTTTGTCCCCTATTTGCTATTGTGTGCATGTCTCCAGGGGGCACGGTGTATCAGATCATTAGATTTAACTTGAGGTTGCACTGCTTTCCGACAATAGGTGTTTTTCATCGTGATAACAAAAACATATAATTGTTTCCCTCAACTTCGCTGATTTATAAAACAAAACCACTATGTCTTCAAGAACTTGACAGACAAACTTTGGTTGCTGACTTTCCTCAACATTTTGAGGATACGTCTATTTTAAATTCACACAAAAAAAACCCCGATAGAACTATATCTATCAAGAGTTATGTATATCTCCATGACAAAAAATTATAGTGTTTTAATCAAGCATAAACATGGATACCAAAACACATTGTTTAGAGGGATGGCACCCAAGAAAATGACATGTATTTGGACTAACACTCTGAATAATATAATTCTCATTGAAGTCCCACATAGATAAAGTAATTGAAAGCAGAGCTTTCACACTATCGGAATATTCCATATATGAGTTATAATAATAACAAGCTGCACTGACTATATGCACATCACTGACTGTGAATGAATTGATTCAACAGGCGGATACGACAGGTGTTCATCACCTGCACCAATATGATTCGTGCTGCCATGGCAACTCTATCCACGTTACGTTTGAGTAGTTGAGTGTGGATATCAAATGTGTCCTCTTTATTCATTTGAAGTGATGAGTTTAATTAGTGATGCTGCCTTTTAATTAATGTATTATTTCAAATTCAGCTAAGGCCCCAACGAATAAATTGGATATTATATTTGCTTTGCAGTTATTGCCCAACTCAGGACAATTGGAGGGCGCTTTGACAGTAGGCCGGTTCAAGCAAATTCAACATCAGGAAATTATTTGACGCAAAATTTGCCGGAGGTGGAAATGTGTTCCATTTTTGCTAATTCGCAGCATGCATACTTGCAATAACATCACAAATTGCATGCGCCTGCCTTGATGCTGGCAAAGAAATGGTCTCATAGCAAGGTTTTTGGGAAATGGTATTCTGGCTGTTAGCCTTTTGAGATACGACAGAAAAATAGTGGTATTTGGTAAATTTGGGTACATACAAAAGATTTTACCATAAACAAATACTGCACTCCTATTGTGCCCACCATACAATGTACTATATCTCAAAACGGTTAATAATATTGCTAACTGTTAACTGTTTTTGAGTTCATGGTTCTTTTTTTTTTGTATATTTAATTTTTGAAACCATATGAACATTTTCATAAATACCTTTTACAAATGTTGGTGCTGTATACAAAGTGCCAAAAGATGAGCTTTCGTTTGTTTTATGTGAATTTGTTTTTGTTTGAGGTAACAAAATAGCTCAAAATATTCATTAGGTTGCCCAACAACCCACCAACCTGTTGAAGTTTCAGCTGAATGGATACTTATTAAAAAAAACCCAGAAAACTTATACATGTAAATAATTAATTTTGGAAATCTGTTGCTAATGCACGTAAAAGAAAAAAAATTCCAGCTGAACACTTTCTGAAAATCACCTTCAGGGGGATTCTTTTCCTCCAAACAATATTTATTTTATTTTTATTTTATTTCTTTCTGGTAATAAACCAAGGATTCCTCAAGAGTGCCCTAAGCACTGTAGCTCGAAAGCCTGAAGAAGACCTGTAGAGAGAAGACAATGAGAAGAAATTACAGTTTTAGAGGTGGGAGGAAAAGCCCAGATGAATATTCTGAGGAAAACCCACGGAATCAGGTAGGGACTGAAAACCCAATCCACATATTGGCCCGGGCAGGATTCGAACCCGGGTCACAGCGGTGGAAGGCGAGGAAAGAACTGCTACGCCAACCCGACTCCCCTTCAGGTAGAATACTATCAAACGATATTTGGTACCATCCCTACCATTCTTACTTTGAGCGAAGTTACAATTTCTCATAACATCATTACGCACCTTTCCAGGCATTACAATTTACATGTCTTTAATACCTGCACCCAATTTCATGAAACTCATCGTAATTTGCATGTACGATGCATCGCAGCGTTGTGACGCGTCGTATCCCTGCAATGCGTCGCCGCTTCCTGCAATTGATTTCAGATGTCGTAAGTGCGGCTGTTTTGTGTTCTCATTCAGAGTACAGTAAACTGGCACATGTGTGATGCAATTTTAAAGGAAAACAAGCTCTGAGTGGACTGAATATAGCTACTTTGAAATTTCAACTGCAATATTTCAGGCAAATCCATAATTATTTGATGAATTTTCTATTTTCAACTATAAATATTTTTTCGGTATTATAGTCTCCTTTAAGTTAGTTTATAACAACGTTATCATGTTGTAACTCGGGTTGCAACCAGTCGCAGCGCTTCATGAAATCGGGTGCTTGTTACCTAGCTGATATCATCCACAAATTCCTAAATCTCTAGGAGACTTTTCATCATTTGGAAGTCCAGCAGTTAGTCATAATAAATGAATACATGTAGATGTATTCATGGTTTGTCTTACCAACGTCTCTGACTTGATTATCTTATCAATACAGCTGATGCCTGCTCCAATGCCCCATGTCTGAATGGAGGAGTCTGTCGCACTAGCAGCACCTCACTAGTTGGATACACTTGCGATTGTCCATCTGGATATACTGGTGGCAATTGCCAAACCAGCGGTAAGAAGAATAAGCCTCTGTACTAATGACGTCACACTCTGTTTACGTGTGTGCTTTCCTATGGTGCTCAGTGGACCTTGTGGACCCCCACTGGCTGCATAGGAAAGTGCACATGTAAACAAAGTGTGATGTAATTAGTACAGAGGCTTATTGCCTAATTAACGTCATAACGTCAACATTCGCATTGGACTTTGTAAAAAGTTGTCACAAACGATTGTTAACAATCCATTGCGTGCATTCTTCCGTGCACCACACTTGGATTAAATTGGATCCGACCCTTCCCTGACAAAAAATTCAAGCAAAAACCGACCCGAACCAACCCTTAACAGAATTGAACTCCCCCAATTCTACCTAACCCTACCCCGACAAAAATTCAAGCAAAAACCGACCTGAACCAACCCATAACAGAATTTAACTCCCCAAATTCGACCTGACCCTACCCCGACAAAAATTCAAGCAAAAACCAACCCAAACCACGTGCCTAAACCGACTTGAATGCAAACCGACCAGAGAATAACGAATATCTGGCTTGGGCAACAAGTCTTCATTTTGTGCCTGCACTTATCCATACTGCATTGTGTGAAAATCATCTTTCAGTAAAGAATCATACCGTACGATACCGTGAACACTCCTAAATAACATGTCCTACCGTACCTGTGGGCCCACACATTATAGACTGTGCGTGATAGACGGCAAACCACATGCACGATCGGCTTGACATTTGTTGTACCGGGCACAATAACTCTCCCAATAATGTTGCACCACGTGAGTTTCCGAACTGTTTCGGGATTTTTTCAACTTTTTTCTTTCGGTTTATTTCGCGTTTTTCACAAGATGGCTTAACCGACCCGCCAGTGGCGTATCCAGAAAGGGGCAGGGGGGAAACTTGCCCGCCCCCTCCCCCTGGCTTATTTTTTGAAAAATTTTTTTCAGTAAGTTTTTCCATAAATACGGTTACAGAGTTCTGACATCAACCCCCAAAAAGAAAACCAGCATGGAAAACCATTACAATGCCGCCATGACAATCGGCAAAATTTTCCAGTATGCACAATAATGTTCTGTTTTGAAGAGCGCCCCCATTTGGAAGATATATAGGTACCCCCCAATCAAGAGTCAAGACTTGATACTATGGGCAGTTTCTTGGGTGTCTGCACTGGATTTAATTTGGTGAAGTAAAAAGTAAAGTCTGTCACATCACAGAGGAATAAAACACAACTTGCCAAATGTCCCAAAGGCCAGTGTTTATCTCTGATTTCCTGGGCTTGAAAAGACTGAGAATATTTCTATTTGCTATGGATAGAATGCCAGTCCATCGCAGGTTACTTAATTCCCAGCCATAATGCCGGTACCCATTCATACTCCTGGATGGAGAGAGGCAAATGGGGTGAAGTGGCTTGCCCAAGGACACAACATATGGCCAGCAGCTGGATTTGAACCCCTGACCCTCTGATCAGGAGTCATATAGGCTGGTCCTTGTTACATGAATTGTCTAGTAATTGCATCTGATTCTGTCATTACAGTGGTTGCTTGCATCAACAATCCATGTAAGAATGGAGGAGCCTGTAGCATCTCGATAGATGGATACATGTGTGCATGTCAACCTGGTTTTAGTGGGGACACTTGCCAATTTACTTCTGGTATTAAAGAACAGTTGTCCAAAATCTGAAGTAGAGCCTAGAAGCCCTAGCCCTACAAGCCGTAGCCCAAGAAGCTCTAGCCCCTAGAAGTCGTAGCCCTAGAAGTCGTAGCCCTAGAAGCCCTAGCCCAAGAAGCCCAAGCCCAAGAATCCATAGCCCTACAAGCCCTAGCCCAAGAAGCCCTAGTCCTAGAAGTCGTAGCTCTAGAATCCCTAGCTCAAGAAGCCCTAGCCCTAGAAGTCGTAGCCCTAGCCCAAGAAGCCCTAGCCCTAGAAGTTGTAGCTCTAGAAGCCCTAGCCCAAGAAGCCCTAGCCCTAGAAGTCGTAGCTCTAGAAGCCCTAGCCCAAGAAGCCCTAGCCTTAGAAGTCGTAGCCCGTAGAAGTCGTAGCCCTAGAAGCCCTAGCCCAAGAAGCTCAATAAACCCAAGAAGCCATAGCCCAATAAGCCCTAGCAGCCCTGGCCCTAGAAGCCCTGGCCCTAGAAACCATAGCCCTACGGTCGCTTGTCAGACTTCTCTTCATTGCTTCATGCCCCCTCCTCGTTCGCCCCACCTACCCACCCGATGCCAAGTTCTTACATATATGCCCCTTTTTGTCCAGTTTCAAAATCAGTATTCTACTTTGTGACTGGTATATGGATACTTGCTATCCAGTCTTTATATAGAGATCAGTGGGTAGCAATGGTAGCAATCAGTGGGTAGCAATGCGGTGTACACGAAGGTTTCCAATGCAGTCACATTGCCACCACACAGAGTAAGGGATTGGACTGCTGCTGTGCAGGCTACAACTGGCCTAGCGCAGTGAGGCTAACTCGAAAGCCAGGATATTGCGGCTACGGGCTGGTTATTGTGACTAGTCCGATCACAAAAAGACAAAGTGTACGGGGCAGGAAAAAAAGTTTCGCGATCTCTTCACACTTTGTTGTGAGTGTTTCAGCAGCAGTTTATTTTGGATTGGCCGAACAAAACTTTGAGGCAAGCGGAGATATTGATGTGGGCATTTCAAGTTATGGAAGTACTCATGTTTATTATTAAAATTTCACATTCATTTGACAGGAATTTAGTATGACTTTGAGGTAAGTGGACTTTTGAGTTATTCGACATTGAGTTTATCGGAAGTTTACTGACTTGTCAATTGTTTTGATTCTGTCAATACAGTGGATCCCTGCACCAACAACCCTTGTCAGAATGGAGGAGCCTGCAGCGTCATTGTAGGCGGATACAATTGTGCATGTCAAACTGGATTCAGCGGGACCAACTGCCAAATATCTTGTAAGAATTACAACTGCCTAAAGCATGCTACGTAGGCTTTGTGAACAAATCAAGACAGCGTCTGAATTACTTTTCAATTGTTTTGATTCTATCGCTACAGCTTGCTCCAACAATCCTTGTCAGAATGGAGGAGCCTGTAGCCCCTCAGCAGGCGGATACACTTGTGCATGTCCAGCTGGATTCAGCGGGAACAATTGCCAAACAAGTGGTAAGAACAATTGCCTAAAACATGCTGTAGTAGCCCAGGCCCTTTTAAGAGGACAAAATCAACTTTAAATTTATTTGACATACTAAACTAGTTGGAGACAATAAGAACATACAGGTATGTCATAGAGAGAGGGCAGGTTTTTTTCGATTTATTGAAGACATTTGGGGGTAAAATGACAGTGAACACGGCAAAATGCAACACAAAAATATAAAGATGGCGATCTTCGCGATCGGATGTACCATGAACGTGCCAAGAGCACTGAATCACACGGCACCAACTCAGTAAAATGCACTCGTCATTTCTACTAAACTGTTCAATATTACAAAAAAAGGTATCATTAGAATTGAGAGACGTCTGCTTTAGGTTTAAAAGGTCATTTTTTTAATTGATAAAAAACACCCTTGACACTAGTTTTTAAGAGGGGCCTGTAACTACATGATCGCACAAACAAGACAGGCCCTGAATTACTTTTCAATTGTTTTTAATTCTATAGTTACAGCTTGCTCCAACAACCCTTGTCAGAATGGAGGAACTTGTAGCCTCTTGGCAGGCGGATACACTTGTGCATGTCCAGCTGGATTTAGCGGGACCAACTGTGACCAAACATCGGGTAAAACCAGTCATTGTTTTATCATTGAAATTTATAAAATAGTTTTCCATAAATAAAAGGAGCACGATATTTCACTTGTTTTTACCAGATGCAATATCCTACCTTGAAGAAAAATTTGTTAAAATTGATTGTTTTTTTTCTTCATATTTTCACTCTTTATATTTCTGTGATTATTAAGTTGTTTTTATTTGTTTGATTTATGCAGGTAATCCATGCAGTAGCAATCCGTGTTCTGCCGGTTTCACTTGCGTGGTCTCTGGTAATGGCTATATATGCCAAGCAATTAGTGAGTATCCTATTTGTTTTCTCTCCTAAAATTGTGGATATTTTGTGTTTTTTGCTTTTTTGGGGGGGGGGAGTTGAATCTGGGTGAAGGAAAACAAGTTTTTTCTTCTTGTTCATGTTTTTAGCTGTGACTTCAGAAGCCAAATATAAGCTACTTTTATGCCCCCATCCAATTTTCCTGAATTTGAAGTTGGTCTCAACAATTTCAATTTCAGGGAGTCAGGTTGGCGTAGCAGTACTTTCCTCGCCTTCCACCGCTGTGACCCGGGTTCGAATCCCGCCTGGGCCAATATGTGGATTGGGTTTTCAGTCCCTGCCTGATTCCGTGTGTTTTCCCCGGAATATTCTTCTGGGCTTTTCCTCCCACCTCTAAAACTGTAACTTCTTCTCATTGTCTTCTCTCCATTTATCCATCCTGTTATTGGCGCTTGCGCTGTTGGATGTGGCTGAAATAAAATAAAATAAAATAAATTTCCTAACAATTTTATAACTTTTAAAATTGAACAAAGAAATTGATGTGAGCTGGATTTCAACCTGCATCCTCCGGATTGCCCTGGCTAGAAATTTGTGAAAGTGTCGTCGTTTGCGTAAAAGTGTCATTGCTTATATTTCTTAGATTGTTTGATGTTGAAATTTGCTTTGATTTATGCAGGTATAAATCCATGCAGTAGCAACCCATGTTCGGCCATTCTCACTTGTGTGGTCTCTGGTAATGGCTATACATGCCAAGCAAGTGAGTATCCTTTTTTAATTTTTTTTTCGCTTCTCAAATTGTAAAGATTTTTTTGGGGGGGTGGGATGGGGGGGGGGGGGGAAATCGGGGTTAAAGAGGACAAGCTGCTTTTTTTCTTGTTCACATGTTTTCCGACTCAAAAAAAATCCAATAAACTGTAAATGATGAACACGGGTAATTCCAGTATTATGTACATGTAATGTTCCTGACAGAACCTTTTAGAGCTCAGTGAATAAACTTGACATTGTAACTTTCAAACCTTAAACATCCATCGTGTAGTAATGGTCAGTGACAGATTACAGACTAGGAGTTTTGGAACATTTCTCTGAATCAATAATTACATGTAGATATCATGCTTAATTGGTTCCGTCACAAACTTTACACACTTTCTTTCAAAAGGCTCAACTGCTCACATACGGTCATCATGTAGGAAATATTTTTGCTATCAACAAATACTTCATAAAAGTGTGGTGGCTTTTGTTGCCTGTTGCGGGATTTTACCATGTCGAACTCAATTCAAGCTGGGGCATTTTAGAAATGCGCATGCTCACCGTATCCATTTTTCTTCTTTTGTGCATATGTAACAGTGAAATAAAAGTGAAATGTGTTTAGAATACATTAGTGTTAAAAACTAGAGAGTTACTGTACATGTAGGTCTAGGTGTTGTCAAAAGTTTGCAACTTCATTCTGCCAACCTCTTCTTACCGGATCTGTCATCGATTCTGCTAATAAAACAGATGCTTGCACCAACAACCCTTGTCAGAATGGAGGAGCCTGTAGCCTCTCAGCAGGCGGATACACTTGTGCATGTCCAGCTGGATTTGGTGGGACCAACTGTGAAACATCGGGTAAAACCAGTTATTGTTTAATCATTTGAAATTTATAAAATAATTTTCCATAAATAAAAGGAGCACGATATTTCATTTGTTTTCACCAGATGCAATATACTGCCTTGTAGAAAAATTTGTTTAAAATTGTTTTTGGTGTTTTTTTCTCAAGTTTTCATTCTTTATATTTCTGTGATTGTTAAGTTGTTTTTGTATTTGTTTGATTTATGTAGGTAATCCATGCAGTAGCAATCCGTGTTCTGCCGGTTTCACTTGCGTGGTCTCTGGTAATGGCTATATATGCCAAGCAAGTGAGTATCAATTTATTTCTCTCCTCAGATTGTGCAGATTTTATTTGGGGGGATCAGGGTTAAGGAAGAAAAACTGATATTCTTTTTCTTGGTTCTTGTTCAGATGTTTTTAGACTGATGAAAGAAATTCCAATGAACTGTGAATAATGAAGGGTAATTCCAGCATTCAGAGACTCCAACAAACCCTGGTGTTGGAGTTTGACTGGATGGGGATTGTTAGGGTTAAACTTGTGGTGGTTATCGTTGCCTGTGGCTCATTTTACTTACATTTCAGTTTTGTTAAGTTGTTTTTTTGTTTAATATGTTTGATTTATGCAGTTAATCCATGCAGTAGCAGTCCATGTTCTGCCGGTTTCACTTGTGTGGTCTCTGGTAATGGCTATATATGCCAAGCAAGTGAGTATCCTTCTTTTCACTCCTCAAATTGTGAGGAGAATTTTTTTTGGGGGGGGGGGGGTGAATCCAGCTGAAGGAAGAAAAGTGTTTTTTTTCTTGTTCACATGTTTTCAGCTGTGCCGTCAGAAGCCAAATATTGTAGTTGGTCTCAACAATTTCAGTTTTATTTCCGAACAACTGCATTAGCAACTAAGACATTACAAAGCTAGACTAAGTGCATTTCACGGTATGATCAATATTGCTGAAAGTATCACTGCCTGTGATTGTCATAATCGAAACTCTAAGTCTTAGTCAAATGTTCATACCTCAGCATGTTAAGTTTGATGTGATAGTTAAGCTGTGAACTATTAGTTAAAATGAACCCGAAAATGTGTTACAAAAGTATTCTTAAATTGATGATCATCCAACTACGAACTAGCTTCATTATGAGCCTGACATTTTTGTAATTGAATGTGAAAATGGGACCAAAATTCTATTTTAGCAGGCTTACACGCCTGTGAGCCATGAGCAGGGTTTGAACTAGTACAATGTACTGCCAACTTCTTCTTACTGGATCTGTCTTACCAATTCTGCTAATAAAACAGATGCTTGCTCCAACAACCCTTGTCAGAATGGAGGAGTTTGTAGCCCCTCAGCAGGCGGATACACTTGTGCATGTCAAGCTGGATTTAGCGGGACCAACTGCCAAACATCAGGTTAAAACAGTTATTGTTTAAACATTTGAAATTTGCGAAGTGTTTTGGCTAAAATGACAGAACTGGGCAGAGGTTGAAATGAGGGTTTGTGGGTATTAGGAAAAATAATGAAATTCTCCTCAACAATACTGTTTGTTGCACTTCAATTGGAAATTCTGTTGACAAGTTATATGTTTAAAGTATGCAGTTATCAACATGTCAAAAAAATTAAAAATGCTGAGCAAAATTAAGGCGACCTTAAAGGGAAGATACAACATTTGCAAACATCAAAGAACAAAATGATCAAATTATCACAAAATTCTTTACTGGACTGTTAGGGAAGGACAGTCTAAAGCATCCCGTACAATCATGACTCCTGGTGTGCTGATGTTTTTAAGTAAACATGGTAAAGTGGTATTTTTGTAACAATTTCCCACACAGGTCGGCCGACCAGCATCGGAGAAAACATTTTTAATCAAAAACTGCTCCTAATTTTTCAAATTTAGTTATTCCGCATTTTCTTTGCAATTGATAAACACCTGTGAAGGGGTACAAGCCAGCTAGGCTGATTCTATGGCCTTATATAATTTCCCAATGTCTATAAATTGCTTGTTTCATCTTAAGTGGGGTCAGGGAACCAGACTACAAGAACATGATTGGTTTTCTTGGTTTTCCCAGCATCTAGGAACCCAAAAAGTGAAACAAGTCAGTGTAACAATATTTCCTTTAACAAACTATTCCTTAAATTCTTTTATTTCTGAAAATTACAGCAAAAGCAAATGTTGTAGGCCTACATTCTTTGTAAAATGTTCAAATTTTGTTTTCATAAAAATTATAGATTCCATTTGTTCTTCCTTGAAAGACTTTTATTGGATAATTTTATACAATTTTTAGTATACAATCTAGCTGGATTTAGTGGGAACAACTGCTAAACAAATGGTAAGAACAATCATTCAAAACATGTTGTAGTAGGGGCATGAACAAAACAAGGCAGCGTCTGAATTACTTTTCAATTTTGATTCAGTCACTACAGCTTGCTCCAACAACCCTTGTCAGAACGGAGGAGCCTGCAGCCTCTCAGCAGGCGGATACACTTGTGCATGCCCAACCGGATTTAGCGGGACCAATTGTGAAACACCTGGTAAAAACAGTTAGGCCTATTTAATAATTTGAAGTTTTTAAAATAAGTTTTCCAAAAATAAAAGTGAACAGGACGTTTGGTATTTTTTTGCAAGATGCAATATCCTGCTCCGATGAGAAATGTGTAAAAGTGTAGTTTGCTCAAGTTTGTGTTCTTTGTGTTTCTGATTGTTGAATTGTTCCGTAAATTTGTTTGATTTATACAGATGTAACAAATAGTCCATGTAATAGCAATCCATGTGGTGCCAGTTTCACTTGTGTGGCCACCGGTAATTTCTATACGTGCCAATCAAGTGAGTATCCTGTTTCTTTCTCTCCTGAAATTGCGAAGAAGACAATATTTGTGGGGGGGGGGAGGGCCTCAAATTGTTTTTTTTTCCCAAACGACATCCGTATCCCATCTTCTGATTGGTCCATTACATATCTAATGCCTTGTTCTCCACAACACAAACACAAGATAGGCTTTACGTCTTGTGAGAAATGTTCCTTCCTCACTTTAGATTATATTCAAAAGGTAAAATGAGAAGATGTGAAAAACGCTCACTGGGGTTCGAACTTCCAACCAGTTCACGAATCAGCTGCCAGTCGTCGGTGATTTAAACACCATTATTCCTTGTTATATAACTTATTCTCTAAGGCCCTGGACATGAATATGTGTAACGCAGAGAGAGAGAGAGCGCCCTTTTTGATATTGTCGGATCTCGTTGGTAAAAAAAAAATTTGCGGGAGGGCCATGGGACATGGGATGGGGGACTGGGGCTGTTTATTCTTCTCGTTTGCATGTTTCCGCTATGACTTCAGAAGCCAAATATAAGTCCAAAAAAAAAAGGCTCCGGTTTCTGGTATAAAACTTGCCCAAAACGTGGTGCAGCGACGCGGCTTTTTTGTTTTTTTACCGTTTTTTTTTTGGTTCAAATGTCGGCTGATGACTGCAAATGGTGCCCAAGAGTTCAGAGAGGCCACATAAAGCTTATTGTCGATCGTAACCCCATCTAAAAATACGTTAAAATTGTGCAGCAGCAGGATTCCAGTCAAACCAGTGAGTTTGGCAGTTTTGAGACATCATCCTTCATTGAAACAAAACCTTTTTCATTTTACCAATGCGCATGGCTACGGCGACATGCGCATACCAGAAACCGGAGACTTTTTCCTTTTTGGCCTAAGCTACTTTTCTGCCCACATCCAATTTTCCTGAATTTGTTGTTTGTCTTCAACAATTAAGTTTTATTTTCTAATATTTGTATAGCTTTTAATGTTGAACAAAGAAATTGATTTGAGCGGGGTTTGAACCTGCGACCTCCGGATTGCAGTTCCGGTGCTCTACCAACTGAGCTATCAGCCCTATGTTGGGGGTTCCCCAATTTGTCAATGTCTTTGTTCAAGGGGTGCTAAGTCAGAACCTCCGACCTCCGGAATGCCGTTCCGGTGCTCTATACAACTGAGCTATCCAGCCCTATGTTGGGGGTTCCCCAATTTGTCGATGTCTTTGTTCAAGGGGTGCTAGGCAGAAGCCATAAACCTTTAGTCAGGGATCGTGCCATTCAAGTTGCAGTGATCTCCAGTAGTAATGGATTCCTTGTTTTTTTTACCGGATCTGTCTTACCGATTCTGTTAATGACACAGATGCTTGCACCAACAACCCTTGTCGGAATGGAGGAGTCTGTAGCCTCTCAGCAGGCGGATACACTTGTGCATGCCCAGCTGGATTCAGCGGGAACAACTGTGACCAAACATCAGGTAAAACCAGTTATTGTTTAATCATTTGAAATTTGTAAAATATGTTTTCTATAAATAAAAGGAGCACGATATTTCACTTGTTTTTACCAGATGCAATATCCTACCTTGAAGAAAAATTTGTTACATTTTTTTTTTTTTTTTTTATGTTTTCATTATTTATATTTCTGTGATTGTTAAGTTTTTGTATTTGTTTGATTTATGCAGTTAATCCATGCAGTAGCAATCCATGTTCTGCTGGTTTCACTTGCGTGGTCTCTGGTAATGGCTATATATGCCAAGCAAGTGAGTATCCTATTTGTTTTCTCTCCTAAAATTGTGGATATTTTGTGGGACCAACTGCCAAACACCTGGTAAGTGTATTGGCAAAAAACCCCAGAGAGAACTGGGCAGAGAACTGGGGGCACTATTTTTGTCTCTTTGTGAAAACGGCATCAATAAACTTGTTTTGCATACAGGGGAGGGGGAGTAGGGGAGTAGTAGTTTGGGTCAGGACAATAGCCAATCTTGCTCTTGCATGTCTGGACTTGCTCTTGCTTGTCTGGACAAGTTGTTACTTGTTTTCCCTTGCGTGTGTGCATAATGTTTGCTAATGGCTTGCCCCCTGTAAATACATACGTCACAAATTCTTCAGCGCACTTAAGCAGCATGTAATTGTGAAAGTTTTCTTTGCTTAATTGTCACCAGAGATGCTTTGAAGTAACTAAAATACATGAGCAGTAAGAACTTATAAAAAAGATTGAGATGTTTTACACCACCAAAAATGGAACACACAGCACACAGTCGTGAATTTCTATATGTACCAGCTTGTTTGTCTATGGTGTCGAGGATTTTCTATTGTTCCTCTTCTCTTTTCCACTGTTTATGCTCTAACTTTTCTAATCTAAGCACCGTCGCCAGTTCCGGGGATATTAGGGCCACAGTACAAACTAGGGGGGGGGGGAAGGGGGAGGGGGGCACACTGGTTGTTGCCGGTTGTTGGGGGGGAGGCAGTTGGTCTTCAAGGGGGAAGGGGGGGGCAGCCCCCTGGGCACCCGCTTGGCGACGGGCCTGCATATAGGATAACAAAATCACACACAAATCTGCTTTAAGTACTCTCAATCTGAAGCTTTTTATATTTTAGATTTCATTTCTTGCGAGCTTTCAACTTTAAGATTGTTTTTCTTTGGTTTGAAGTTGCAATTTTTTTTCTTTGGTTTGAAGTTGCAATTTTTTTTCTGTAGTTACTGTAGTTGCTTGTGGCTTTGCTTTCCTTTCAAGCAGTAGATGCTTGCTCTGGTGTTGACTGCAATGGAGGGTCGTGTTTTGTCTCCTCATCCAATCCAAGCTCGTATTTGTGTACGTGCCCTATGGGACGAACGGGACAAAACTGTGATATCAGTGAGTATACATGTCTCCAGAACAACGGGTTGCCAACTGGTTGAAATAGTAGAATGGATACAGTAGGGGAACACGTGTGGGAGGGAATGCTTTTTGAGTGCAACATCCCAAAACCTGCATTGTAAAATTTTAAGACTAATTTTCTTCAAATGTAAAGTAAGTTAGGAGATTTCACATTAAACAAAACAAAAACGATAAAAAATGAGAAAGAAAATAGGGCCCATGATAAGTAATAGATTAAAAACATTTTTTTAAATTTTGCATCAGAAGCATTCTGATTGTTAAAGATCAAAGTTTTTTTCAGTTTGCAAGGTTTTGATTCCACATAGAAAAAGGCTTAATTACTTTATGTGCTAAGCGCAAATTGGTCGAAAACCAGCCATATGCATATAGATTGTATTATAATTTCCCCGGTAACTTCTACTTGGTAAGCACACTTTGTGTGAGCTTAGCATAGACTACTTTAAAAGCTTTTTAAAAAAATGTTGGCTAGTAATGAATATGCATGAACATTGAACTGGCTGAATGAATCTGCTCTGGCCAAATCCTGTGGTTGGCTGTTAGTATGCTTGAAAAATCTGCCAAATGTTGTCTCTATAATCCTGCATCTTCCTATAAATCTGCAAACCTGAATTTCCGTTTTTGCTTCTTCAGTTTTTTATTTTGTTTATTTTGCATCCAGATATTCTATAGCGGTGCTGACAATTTTGCTGGATTGATTTTGGGATTTTAAATTTGAAAAACGTCTGGCATACTGACTTGCTCAGAATGCTTGGCACATTTTAACTTTTAATTCTCCAGACCAAAGACACCGTTGCTAATCACATGATTCGGGCAAGTTCTTGCATAGTTATGTAAGAGACGCTCTGCTCCAATACATTGTTCACAATGGGTGAGAATGGCACAAAGACACCAGACCATGCCAGAGCTGGGGGTTGCTAGCATAAGGCTTGCCCCGAATCACATGATATAGTAGTCTCTTTGGTCGGGAGAATGCAAAGTCAACATGTGCAAGGCATTTGATTAAGTCAGCATTCCAGATTGTACTCAAATTTAACTTGCAAATAGTATTAGTTCCTCGGGGTGTATGGGGTGTTGGGGTGTTTGTTTGTTTGTGTTTTTTTTTTGGTTATGCATGGTTGTTGTTCTTGGTTTTTTTAGTGGATGCATGTGCCGGCGTGAACTGCAACTTTGGTAGGTGTTTCACTTCGTCCACTACACCAGATTCGTACATTTGTTCGTGCGACAGTGGCTACACAGGCAGGCACTGTGATTCTTTGGGTGAGTGTCTTAAGGGATGAACCAAATTGATACCAGGGTCCATGATGTGAATTGGACATTTGAATATATTTTGGGCAAATTTCCAAACAAAAAAAACTGTCCCAGGCCAACAAAAGTGCCGCTCTCGTGGTTATAAAGTGCTAGTCTGAGTATCACCTGTTATACACGGAGCCCAGACTCCTGTCTAACGTCTGATATGTCAAAGCATGCAGATTTATGCGATCTCGCGCCTCGGCCAATCGGAGTTGACTTTTCTAAATCTCGACGTCATTTCATTCCCAAATCAGGACTAAAAGTTTGATTGGTCAATTCGAATGCAGTGTGTTTGTAATGCAGCAACAGCCGGGCGTGTTATCGCGTAACATGATAACAGCGCGCGTGACGTAGGGCTTTTTAATACATTGTCTATGACGTGCAATGGGTGAATGACCGAAGACCCGATATAGAAAGCACCCGCTGATTGGTCAAAATCTGGGAAGTCAAGAGGCGGGGTCTTGCCTAATCAATCAGCGAATCTACTCACAAATCATAGACCCATGGCATTCGCCATGGATCTATTACATAGACTAATAAAGTGCCCCCTCGAAATGAAAAAACAGCTGCACCTCAAACACACGCATATAAAAGCATGTGATCGCGCTACAACTGAACTGGATATCAAAAGCAAAAGTGTCCCTCTTGCAATACAAAAAATGGTCTCTCTACATAATTAGGTGAAGGAAACACAAAGAGCAAGATGGACAACGTATTCATAATTTGTCCCTCGTCATATAGGTATATAGCGAAATGAACGGGACAACATCCTTTTCCTCCACTTTCACACAGACGGAAGGTGCCCCTTTTTCTGAGCAAGTGCCCCTTTTTGTGTTGCTCCCCCTCCCCCCACCCCCTTCCCCTTCCCACTTTGAAAAGCGTTCCACCGCCCCTGACTAACAGAAAACAGGCTAGCTTTAGTAGGGAGGTGAATTGCTATCTGGGCAACATGCCATCAGCAGTCAAAAGTGTTTCCTCCTGTTAAGGTCCAGATATGCCTTGAATAAAAGAAATTAAATAAAAAAGGCAAGCTTTTTCAGGCAATAGAACGGAAACATTGAATACAACGGAAACATTGTGTTACTTGCAGTAGTGTGTACATAGATTTTTGAGGTGATGTTTTAGCTTGCTCGGGAAAATGTGATAAAGTTTTGCCACATGAAACAAATTTCCTAATGTTTTGTTGGCGGTTCTGTTCCTCCCTTTGAAACCGCCCTAATTTCTTCATGTTTTGGCATACAATGCCAGATTTGTCTGATTAATTTGTTAATTTTCTTTCCGGGTGTAAATCTAGTTAATGATCCGTGCAGTAACAACCCTTGCCCAAGCAGCACAGTATGTGTCGTGTCTGGCGCTAGCTTTACCTGCAATCCAAGTGAGTAGAAATTGCAGTATGATTTTGCTTTTAGAGTTGTGGACACCCCACGTCAGACACATTTGTACCGTGCCCCTGTAATAACAAAAAAAAACCTGTGCAATTCTTTGAGGGTAAATTGCCTGAGTGAAATCGCCCTGTCCCCCCCCCTCCCAACTTATCAATAAAATGTTGTATCAGAAAGGTTGTGTTTGTATCTACAAAAAAAGGTTTTAGACAATTAAGCCAAATATGAAACTGAGCATCTGGCATTATCGGTTGGGCACAGTCAAAGGCCGCTATGACGAACATCCCGAGATCCACAGAAATTGTTTGTGATAGCGATCATTCGTTATAGCGATTTTAAGCTGCCGGTGTTCTGGTAATCCCTTTTCAATAAATGGCGCCCTTCAGAACTTCACCCTGCACGCCTGGTAGTTACTGAAAAATGACTTTGAACATGTGCCGACTATTGAATTATGTGTTATGCAGTTTTTGATCTTACTATACCTACAGCAATGGGTGGCTTTCCCCTTCTATTACTTAGGGAAATAATAGCCTCTTGTCACTCTTCTGTTGATATTTATCAACAACAATGTTCGGCATGTTTTGTACACGAAAATTGGGAGCCAAGAATGATGTTTGATATAGCCAAATGTTCGGTATAGTGGTGTTCGGTATAGCAACGTTCAACTGTATAGGGGCAATTCCATGGTTACTCACGTTACACTTTTGATGTACTTTTGAATTTCCTTGGGCTGTAATTACTTTACTGAAAAGGCTTAATAACTGTTATCCCCATGGTAGATAGAGTAGGCCTAGACCTACCTAAGCACCAAAGATGACATCCAGACAAATGTGTTATGTATGATAAACAAGACGCACAAACTCAGTTACTCGCGTTACATTTTCGTAATGTAACTGATTTTGTGTGTCTTGTTTATCATATACATAACACATTTTTCTGGATGTCATCGTTGGTGCTTAGGTAGGTCTAGGTCTACTCTATCTACCATGGGGATAACAGTTATTAAACCTTTTCAGTAAGGTAATTACAGCCCAAGGAAACTCAAAAGTACATCAAAAGTGTAACGTGAGTAACCGTGGAATTGCCCATCGGGTATCTGCGCATCTGTAGCAGCCCTACACTGTTGCTGTTTTGTCAAGAACACACGAATCCAATTTTCTTTGGCAAAACCATTTGTTCACGTCAGTCGTTGGTTTGCTTGTAAGTGCTTCAATATCTTATCTGAGATTCTATCCTGCCCCAATGTACAATTTAAGCGAGTTTCATTTTTGTGTTGTCAATTTTTTTTGCATTATGTTTCTGACAATTCGTCAGGAGAATGCTTTCACAGCATGGCCTGCATTGGTTATGTGATGCGAGGGAATGTTTTTAGTGTTTTTAATTTTTGTTTTTATTTTCTTGTGTTATCTGTTCTTTTTGTTATGCATGAATGTTCTTTTTTGTTTGTTAGCGAATCCATGTACAAGCGTAAACTGCAATAACGGACGGTGTTTCACTGCCGCGTCAACACCAAATAGGTACATTTGTGTGTGTAACAGTGGCTACACGGGCATGCACTGTGAAAGCCAGGGTGAGTGTAAAAGTGGACAAGGTTTTATTTAATTCAATAACTTACGCCATGTTAAAAATGTATTGTCCGTGTTCTTCAACAAGTTCCTTTTTTTCTCCCATTAAACAACCATTTTTTTTAGTTGTATGTCTGCAACCCTTTGGTTGCCTATGCACACTGCAATGGGTCTATACAGGGTGAAAAAAATGAAACGGCATACGACCACTACTTTGAGACTCAAACCACCTGTACCAATTGATGGAGAATCCTTTGAGAGAGAATTATGATACCAAAATATCCCGATTCGGTCCAGTAGCTTTTGCTGTAGAGCCTATTTTGTAAAGGGTACTTCTTTCATGTGGGTATTATTACATAATAATCCCACTATCAATTACAATGTACGTCAAATTCCCGGGCGTGGTTTAGTAATTCATCGGGACAAAAATGACCCCCACCTTGCTTCACAAAATAGGCTCTAAAACAAAAACTACTGGACTGAATCGGGCGATCTTGGTTTCATTTTTCTGCTGATTTTCCATGATGTGGTATATGCGTCTCAGGGTAGTGATAGTACGAGGTTCCTTTTTTTGTTTTGTTTGTTCGGACCACCCTGTATAGTCCTATTATCGGGGCAGGATTAAGTGCTCTGTAGGTCCTAGGTACCAGTGTTGCGTAGGACCTACTCCTCCCTAGGCACCAGCACAAATTTCGAATGTTGGTGCTAAGCTGGACTGAGCAAGCCAGGCCAAATTGGTAGCTCAAAAAGCCTTTTTGGCACACTGTGGTATTTTCGTAGGCCCCTAAAAGCCCCCTGAATTTGTAGGCCCCGAATTGTTCGTACGCCTTAGCACCTTCTGTGCCTATGTTTGATAATCCGGGCCTGCCTATTGTTGATTCTTATACTAATAGGGGATGGAGATGTGAAAAGTGATAATTCCATAGTTGTAATAGATGTAAGCTGAAGTTTACAAAAAGATGAACATCATAAATTAAATAGTTTCCATGGGGGTGTGGAGGGGCACTTGGCTTCTGGCAGTGACTAAAATTGTTCAATTGAGAAAGCACTTCTGTCCCCTGGCACACCCTCATCCCCCTTCCTCCCCCTCTCCCCCCCCCCTCCTCCGTCTTAATCCACCCCTTGAGGAGATACCTCATAGCGCCTAAGCATAGTCGATATATCAAATTTTTTGATTATTCAATATGATTTTGATATCGATATCGCCGATAGCAATTTTGTAATCATATCGAAAAATGTCAAAATTTTCGATATTGAGGAATGACATCGTAAACATTGAAAATACAACAGATTACCGTCAAAATAAATCTCCCGTCTGTGCTTTTACTTTGTGTTTTGTCACGTTTGCTGTATAATAAAATAAAACTCGGCGGCAGCTTGTGACTCAAAATACAAACATCGCAAAATGCCAAGCGCCGTCGCTTTGCGCTCTGTGTTTGCTGGAATTTGTGGTCTCCCAAATGTAAAACCTAAAAATAAACCGCCCGTTTTGGACAAACTGTCAGTACTGAGATTCGTTTTAAAAAAGTTTGAGCTATATGCTCCAGAGAAAGCCTGGGCAAATTGGGACTTCAGATTTTTTTTTTTTTTTTTTTTAATCCAAGGTTTTTTTTTAACCCACTTTATGGTGTGTAACTTATACTCCCGATATTGGATTTCCAATATATCAATTGTTGAAAATTCTGATATCGACAGTGCTTAAAAGCGCTGCAATTCATAATAATTTGCGACGAGTATCATGAAATTGGGTGCAAAATCGCTCCGAACATTTCTAGGTTTGGCACGACTCTGGAATGCCCATCTGAAACGGGTGTCAGTCACTTCAAGTGGTCAAACAAGGCTTGCGTTGCATGAAAGTTTCTTTGTTTTTGGTGTTTATAATTTATTTTTCCTTTCTGGACATGTATCTTATATTTCATAGTTCCAGTCAATCCATGTGATAGCAACCCATGTCAAAGTGGTTTCACCTGCACACAGTCTGGTTCCGGCTTCTTTTGCCAGTGTGAGTATATAAACACCGGCAATCGTGGACCTAGCACAAAAGGGTTAGGGCTCAAACAATAAGTCCACGATATACCGATAGTCTGCGATTGAAATTCGTATTCAAAACCAATGAGAGCTGTTGTTTAAAAGTTAACAAAGTACAAACAAAGGAATGAGGATTAGGGACAATAGAGGGTCCACGATTGCCAGAGTTTACAAAGATGCTTGAGTGTTCACGTACCTTTGTTTTTCGTCTCAATTAAATCAGGTTTTATTGTTTTCCCCTAAGGAATTTCATCAGGAGTGATTAGAACCTACACTATGAAAAAAAATTAAGTTTAATCCAAGGTTCTGAAATAAACTCCATGATTTTTGGTCCCTGCAACCCCTTGCTACAGGCCTGCATCAGGTTAATTTTTTTCCCTGCTTTTAATTTAGGCTTAAGTCTAAGAATGGGTTCTCTTTTTGTCCTGAACATAAAACCATGTTCTCTTTAACTACATAATAATCACAAACACTATTAATCAAGGGCGGATCCAGAACACAATTTTCGGGGGGGCCAAAAAAAATTTGGTCCCCCAAAAATGTGGGTCAAAAAAATTACGGCGTGGGGTTCGGGGCCCCCTTAAGGGCCCCGAAAAATTTTTGGATTCTAGATGCTCTGTGGTGTGATCTGAGGCAATTTCTGACCACTTTAACCAATGTTTTTTTGAGGAAAAGATGGTGGTGTACTCATTGCCTGCCTTTATTGCGATGTCACATAAAAAAAAAAAAAATTGGTTTCGTTTTTTTTTGGGGGGGGGGGCCATGGCCCCCTTTGGCCCCCCCCTGGATCCGCCCTTGCTATTAATAATTCTTATGGGTATTCTCCTTGAAGATGCCCTACAGTAAAAAAAAAGCCTGAACAAAAACCTGAATATTTTACAGGATTTAACTCTTCGTTTTCGCTGAACTTGAGGCTGAATGTCGGCCAATTTGTATCTATCTTCTGGTAATAGTTTTAAGCCGACCGTAAAAGGCTGATATAGTTGGATTTACCTGTTGGACTGTAAAAATTCGTTGTAGTTTTTAATGTTTGTTATTTTCATTATTTTATTAATATTCTCCTCCCCTGCAGCACCATGTGCATCCCAGCCTTGCCAGAATGGTGGTGTGTGCGCCGTGTCAGGAACTTCCGTTGTCTGCTCCTGCCCAACTGGCTACTTGGGAACATTCTGTGAAATCCCGCCAGGTAGGTACAAATAACCAGATTTTTAGTTTGTATACGATTACTTCTTCGTCATCAGTCGGTACTTGACCCTCACTAGATTTTTAGTTTGAAATGCTAAACAATTTGACTTTGCATGTATAAAGATTTGTACCGAGACTAATAGGCCGTCCAAATATGTTGCATTTGGTGTTGTTTCCCTTGATACTCATCAAGGTGCAGTCCATCATTTGTAATTTGTGCATTTTGTTCATTTGAAGCAACAAAAGTGCTCAAAATCTACAGACGGGTGCTGAACAACTAACCTGATGAAGTTTCAGCTCAGTGAATGCTGTATATTTAGAGAAAAATAACATTCTAGGATCTCGATTTCAAATCAAACGTTGCTGAATCCTGTTTTAAATTGGGCCTGAATTCAGTGTCCGAGACATGTTCTCACTGAGCTGATTGCAGCTATGAGAGGTTGCACACTGATCCGGCGAATTATAACAAACATGTGCGCTTGTGAGTCAGGTCAACCCTTGCGCGCACTTTGCCCCAAAAAAATTTAAAAAACGGAACTTTCAAACGATGCATCATAGGAAAGGCCTTCTTTCATTGATCTGTTCAAAATGACAGCATGCCTGAAAGAATATTTCACAGGGAGTTTAGTCCTATTTATCTTTCAACCAAGTATGTTTTTCCACCATAATTACAACAGTTACCTTTTGGATAGCTGCAAATGATGGACTGTAGCTTTAAGGCAAAAGGTAACATAATGGTCTGACATTGGACTTCTGCTGGTCGTTTACCATAATATAATTTAAGTGAACAAAAGCGGCTTCGCTCTATAACTAGACTAGGCCAAAAGCCGCAACCACCTCTGTGTAAATTGCTCACCTTGCTTGCGGCTGAGCTTGACTGAGGTACCTTGGTCACCTGACCACAAGATGTGACCTTATTGGTCAATGAACACTTTATGATTTACAGGCAGAAAGTTTAACGCCTTTCCCCCAGGTTGACCTTGCGAGGACAAAGAGGAGTCGGCAACTGGTTTTTTAGGATTAAGCTGCGCATGAGCTGCGACTGTCGTGAACATATGTCAGCCACCAATCTTTAGCGATCTGAGTGAAACCGCAATGATATTAAGATTATCAGCATCACTCGGTGCTAAAAAAAAATCAATAGTCGCAAGAAAAAGTTTAACTTAGGCGTGAATCAATTGAAGTCAACCCGTGTGAAGTTACGATGTTGTGCGCAGATCCAGATCATCTTATTTTGTCAGAATCATCATCACCTCGTGGTTGACATGAGCATGGTTGCGATTATTCTGTGTGGAGATGCGGCTATCCGTACGAAAATCACACGATTATTCAGTTTTGTGACCTGAGCATGACATTTGTGCTTGATGATGTCGGTTCCGTTGCGGCGCAAGCAAAACGCAGGTCAAAACTGAGGGCAGCTTAAGGCTCCATTCCATCATAGCCTTGATCTCAACCTCAGCCTTCCCCCCCCCCCCTTCCGTTTTTTCCTCAAACTAATCCCATTCTCACACTTGTCTGTTCAAGATGCCTGTTTCAGTGCGCCATGTCTGAACGGCGGGGCGTGTCGTTCGACTTCAGCTGGGTATTCCTGCACCTGCCCCAGTGGCTACCAAGGCCAAACTTGTGGTGTATTGGTTGGTGAGTTAAATTTAACTAAAAACTCTTCAATTCTTGAATGCCCGGTTCAGACAGGCAGTTGCGCCAAACCAAATAAAAGTTCGATGTCTGAAACAGTTAGGAGAGACTAGACGTGCCAGATGAAGCGACTTGATTTCAGACGTTGCTATAGTCATGAGCCGAACTTAATGCAAATGTATGTAAATAAGTGGTGACATTCACAAATTAGGACTACAGTCGATGTGTTTAACATCCGACGCAGTGCTTAAAATTTGAAAGTTTTCTTTTGGCAGAATCAATCCTCTTAAACAGGAGATTTCAACGTCGTGTTAAAAAGCAATACCTTATATTAAATGTAGGGCCTACGTACCTCTGTCGCCCCTATACAACACAAGAAAAAAAATTTAGCGAAAAACCGAGATTTCCAGTATCCATTTGTCTCGAAAAACAAATGATCGTATGTGACGTGACGTGCAAGAGAGGACGCGAGCGCACATGGCATGCTAGCTGTATGCAGAAATTCCTGGATCTGCCCCTGATTTCCTTTATACCAAAATGTATTACATTGTATCTGTTCCTTTTAAATGAATCCATAAAACTAAAGTTCGCACGGGCGGTTTTGGGTTGTACAGGGAGTACTAGGAAGGGTGGTTTGGGGACTGTTTATATAGGGACTAAAATACAAAGTCTTTTCCCTTAAAAACCTAATTTACTTGCCTCAATAGACCTCTTACATGGTGCAAGACTTCTTTCAATTTGTCCTCGTAACTTCCCTCCCGTTGTTCATGTTTTTTGTTTATCTTTGCAGATGCGTGTGCCACTTTGCCACCGCCTTGCTTGAATGGGGGAGCATGTACCCCGCTGGGTACCAGCTATCAGTGTAACTGCAGGGAGGGCTACCTAGGTTTCAACTGTGGAACCGGTATTTTCAAGTGGAACATTTCTTTTCCGTTTTATTGGAATCTTTTTAATGGACTACCTACGAAAGCGCCAGTGTGCGCACACATTGTTTGGCGTGCATTTAAATTTCATTTGAATCAGCTTAAACATCCAAGTCTTATCAGTTTCTGTAACTAATTCTGTCTGGAAAAAGGGACTCACTTTCGGTGTGAGTCACTGCAAGAGCATGGGCGAGTTTCTATAAAAACTTTGAAAAATACTGATGATTCGTTCTCTTTTTAGCTTCAGTGTTTTCTGAATATAAACTTTCTATTGTAACTTTTATGTTGTTGGTTCATACTCAGCACAATTTTCAAAGACACCAGTGAGTTTTAATTTCATATTTGTTCAACAGGGTGCACATTTTCAATATCAGATTTAAATTGACCAGCCATACCAGGCAATAAGCTTATGATGGTCGACACAAGTTTGATTTTTTTTGGGTCACAAGCTGTTGATTGGCTGTATCGTGTATCGGCAAAGTACCATGTGATCATCCAATTTCACCAAGATTGGCCACCATTGCAGTACAGGCAAGCTTTTAGCTAGCAACCACATAGTGCATTGTAAACTAGACAGCAGGGCTTATTTACATGCAAATGAACCGTAAATTCTTCTTCACAAGGCATATTTGTCACCACCAGTTCCCTGATGAACAGTTGTCGTAATCATGTCGACTCTGCACAGTTTTTTTTCCACCCACCACAGCTTTGAAGGCTTGCCTACTTCCAACAGTGTGCAGCGGTATACAATCTTAACCTGCCACAATAGACCTTGATCATGCTGCCACCATTTCAGTCAAGTTCCCTGTACCCAATAACAGTACTAAATGATAATATTTCTTGTGCAAAAAGGAACCAGACTATTTTTTCCTTCCATCCTCGCTTTGGTTACATTGATTTGAATGGGAAAAAATATCAAGTTGGCCGCAACATGATTATGGTCTATGGCGATGCTGACTTTCCGCGGTACCCGGATGTCGGCTGGGTCATGTGGGCCAGTGAGCGATCCCTATACAGCTCTTATAAAACTATTGTTGGTGAAACCACATTTACAGCATGTGTTGGTTTGTTTCTCCTTTGATGTTTCATCAGTATCCGCTTGTGCATCGCAACCATGCCAAAACGGAGGAAGGTGTTTTGTGCAGAGCTCTGCAGACACATCCGGCTTCTTCTGCGACTGCTCCAGTACTGCATTCACTGGACAGTTTTGTACAATTCTTGGTAATTGTCATGAACTTGAATCTTGTCTAGTGTTGCATCAGATCTGCCCCTCTTACTTTTTTTCCCAGTAAATTTTAGTTCTTGAAAACTAAATGGAAATACCGCCCTCGGCTGGCAGTGCGCAGAACTGATTAACCCTGTCTTTGATTCCCTAAGGATGCAACCCTGTATTAAAATTCCCATAGACACCAGTGCTAAATGCCCATACTTCAAATTTCTTTTAAAAATACTCAGAACTCTCACAGGTATTTAAGCTGCAAAGAAAAATTATGATCATCATGTCATCTTTCATTTTCTTTTCATTTTTTGATGGGTTGACCATTGACTTTTCAAGAAATTCTCACCTAAAGAAGAGGACCCCTATTTTTCCCAAAGCGGAAAGGTAGCCATCTTGAAAAACGATCCCTTCACATCATGGCAAAATAGCGCCACTTTCGACCACAATTGCATCCAAAATGCTCAGAATCGGAAGCCCCAAATCCAGGCCAGAGGTTCATTAACATATCACTTCAATTCCCCTATTTTATGGCTCTCAGAATATAGAATTCTCTAATATAGAATATTTTGAGAACATCACTTTTATTCATGAGCTTGGCGGATGGATGTAGGCAATACCGTCGTGCACCCCTAAGGCCTTTAGGTTCCACAAAACCTAAAGAAGGCATCGGCCATTCACACATTCACAAATTTTGAATCCACCCTTTTTCAATGTTGTCATTGTTTATTTTTGTTGTTTTTTTCCCAGCCATTTGCAGCAACTCTCCTTGTCAAAATGGAGGTACGTGCATTCCCACTTCAGCGACGAGTCGCCAATGTACCTGCCCAGCTACGCACACTGGAACCAGCTGTGAAATGCCCGGTAGGTTCAGTCATGTTCACTTTGAGCTGGTGGATTGGTAAATTTGAAGACTACACAGTTTTTTTTTCGCCTAAGCATAAAAAGACTGAATGATGTTAACCAGCTTCTCTGGGCTTCAGAGTCGAATGCTTTTGTCAGATCAACAACAATGATGTAAAGGTCCTTGTGTTGTTCACATCACTTTTCCGGTATTTGTCGAACTGCGAAGACCGTGTGGGCTGTTCCACGGTTTGTTCTTAAGCCGCATTGGCTCTCTCCGGGTGGAATTCTTCTGCAACGTTAGTCTAGGGGCTGGACATTGATGTTATGATTTGCTGAGCTCCTCCTTCAGATTGGCTGCTAGCTCGGCACAGGTGGCTGGGTTTTTTAGCTTCAGAAGGGTAAGCTCTGGGTTTTGTCGGGATGGCTGATTCCATGCTTTGGTTGCAATACGGAGAGCTGTTCTAGCAATGATCAGGCGATGATCACACCACACAGTGGAATGCTGACGAGTCAGATGGACGTCACGTTGACACACAATGATGTGGTCTATATTAGCTGCCAGTGCTTGGACCTAGGTTGCATCCATGATGTTTTGAGCCTGTTCAACTACTGGGAAAAGTGTGTTTGTGATGGTGAGCTCATTTGTGGCGCAGAAAACCTAACAAGAGGGTACCATTGCTGTTCACTTTACCTACACCATGGCTGCCGATTACTTGGTCCCACACATCAGAGTTGCGACCCGCTCTGGCGTTGAAGTCCCCCAGCCAAAATGTTGTCATTGACAGGTGTAAATGAAACAATTTGTGACAGATGATCACAGAAGGCCTCTTTCTCTTCATCAGGACAGGCGCGTGCTTAAAAAAAAGGGAAAACATGTTCTTATTGACGGATTGAAACTTAAGCGCATTCGGTATTCCTCTCACAATTCTACAATTGGATGTCTAATTGCCCCACGATGCAGTGCGGTTCGCACTGCATTATGGGAAACCAGGACTTTCACTGCTGACGTCACGCTACCACTTGTGTCATTTCAAATGGCTTGTCCTGGAACTGTTGCTTAGTTCTCAGAGATTCTAGTTTTTCAAAACTAATAAAATGTACTGTTTCCCTCTGCAGTTACCAACCAAGCTTGCAACAGCAGCCCGTGTTTGCGAGGGGGAAACTGTGTGGCCACCACCACTGGCTATAGCTGCAACTGTCCTGCTGGTTATTCAGGCCAACGCTGCGAACTTGGTAAAAACAAATTAACATCCTCACCATTTCAAAAATCTTAATATCTATATCCGATTCACAGTAGTGCCTCTAGTTACGTGTGCAGTACGCGTTGCTTATGGATCGGGCTGTGCATCGGAACCGGGTACCCGAGAACCCGACTGTTGATGTCAGGAACCGGTTCCAGATTATGGGGTCGGGTACCCGTAACCAACTTTGCAAATTACTTAGTAAATTCTCAAACAATGAAAAAGAACGGTTTTGAATGTCATTTGTGGGACTTTTCAAAATGAAAACCAGGCAACATGGGAAAACATAAAATGTATTTCACGTTCAGGACATTCGCAAAAATTGCAGTTTATGTTGTAAAGCTATGCTCACTGTACACACTTGTATCTTGCTGTATTGACGCACCATAGTATTATTGTGCGGACCTAGATGAACAATCTGAACAGCAACTTCCGAGATTTGAATTTTGGGGATGGGTTTCTTTAAAGGGAAAATACATCATTTGCAAACATCAAAAAATAAAACTACCAAATCATTTTGAAATACCTTGCTGGACTGTAAGTGAATGACAGTGTAAAGCATCCTGTAAAATCATGGCACCTGGTGTACTGTCATTTTCAAGAAAAGTGGTATTTTTGTATCAATTTCCAACGCTGATCGGCCGATCAGCGTTGGAAAAAAACTGGCTTTTTTTCAAATACTGGCCCCAGTTGACCATCGCACTTGTTTGCAATCGATTATACACCTATGAACGGGTACAAGCCAGCTAGACTGATTCCCTGACCTTACAATTCCCCAATATATGTAAACTGCTCTGTTTCTTCTTAAATGGAGTCAGGGAACCAGACTACAGGAAAATGATTGTTTTTCTTGGTTTTTATAGCATTTTCGAACCCAAAACCTCAAAAAAGTCAGTCTAACTATATTTGATATATATTTCCAACCCCCCAATTCCATCCATTTCTGAAAATTACAGCAAAAGCAAATGATGTATATTCCCTTTAACGGTAACCCAGGTACCCGTGTTTTTTACAATGGAGTACCAAGTTCCTGTACCTAACCCACACATGCACACCCCTAGTCTATTCGGTGTAGTAGTCCGCGCATGTATAGATGTTATACTACCATGTGACAAGGGCAGATCCAGAACACAATTTTTTTGGGGGTGCCAAAACAATTTTTGTTCCCCGAAAAGTGGGTCCAAAAATTGTCCGCCCCAAATTTAATATGAAAAGCAAGGGGGCATGCTAGTACTCTTCATTGCATTGGTACATGGTGGTGTATGCAGTGGCTGCCTTTTTTGGGGGGAGGGGGGGGGGGCAAGGCCCCATTGGCCCCCCCATGGATCCGCCCTTGTCGTGTGAAAAGTTGCTTTTCTGTTCCAGTTTCCATTACCACGCTTCTGTGTAAATCTGTTCCTTTAACTGACCTGCATCTAGTTGTGACCCGTCCAAATTTAAATCCCACCCTTTTTGTCCATTTGCTCCAGGCCAGTGCACCCCGACCCTGTGCCAGAACAGTGGTGTGTGTTTCACCCTCAGCGGTGGCACCGATTTCTTCTGTAACTGCCCATCCACCCACAATGGAATGTACTGCGAAACTCCCGGTAAGACAAATTATATCCATGGTTTACGTCTTCCTTTTCTTGTCACGTCAACATGTTGCAAATAGCACAAAACACTGTCTGGTAACCTGAGCGACAGACGACTCACGACATATTTTTCTGCACCCGATTTCATGAAACTCTTCGTAACTTACGATGCATCGCAGCGATGCGACGCGTCGTATCTCTACGATGCGTCACAGCTGCGACGCGTCCTGCGATCCATTTCACAAAACACGTTGTAAGTGCGACGCGTAGTAGGTGTATTTATAGCACAACTCGGTGACTGTTTTATGTATTTAGTCAGCGTACAGTAAATAGTCTTCTGATATTCAACAAAGAGTCGTCGGATCTCAGCTCAAAATTTGTTAAAACGTATAACAAAATGGCTGCCGTGCGATGCAATTTTGACGAAAAACAAGCTCTCAGTGGACTGTATAGCTACTTTGAAATTTCAACTGCAATATTCCAGTCTAATTCATAATTATTCAATGAATTTTCTATTTACAACTTTACACACATTGCCTCGGTTTTATGATCTCGTTTATGTAATGTTTATGTCATTAAATTGGCTAAGAAAGAGATTCTTCTCATTTTGCGATGAACACTAGACACGTCGTAACTTGCGACGTGTTTTAAGCCATTGTCAAGGAACTTACGAAGCGTTCAGTACATCGCAACTTTCGTGAAATGGATGATACGACGCACCGCGAGTTGCGACGCTTCGCAGTGCTTTGTGAAATCGGGTGCTGGAGAGACTTGAAACAACCCCTCCTTATTATCCCACACCAACCACTTTTACAGTCACCTTTACTATCATCTCAAATGTTTAATCTTGAATATGAGGGACTATCTTTAATTGAATAACTTTACAACATAAACCCTTTGCACCCCACTCCAAGCCGTCTGTCAAAGCACCCCTAATTATCCCACTCTGACCCCATACCCTTTCACCCCCTGTGTAACGTGCACTCACATTCTATCTGCGTCCACAGTTTCTAAAGGGAAGATCCCATTCACTTGGACCTTTTGGAAAGAAACACCGTGAATGCTGACTGATATAATGAAATAATCTGTTGTTAATTTGCAGGTTTTATTTTGGTGTCTATAATCTTTCTTGGCATATATCCTCATGTTTTTAAAGATATACATGTGATCTTACTGCAAAGAGACACAGGATTCTTGTGCCTATTGGTCTTGAGTTTATGCAACACACTTAATCGATTTAAAATAAAAAAAATCAACCCAGAGTTGAATTCTTGTCCTCTACAGGGTGAGTCACAAAACACGAAACCCATAGTCGGGACTATTGTTTTATTGAAATTCTGCATGTAGCACTTTCCAAATCTAGGATATGAAAGCGCAATTCATTAGCTTTCTTTTAGTACAAGAATCATTCAAATCACTTACGTAGTTTTCAAGTTACGGCATATTAAACACAACCACCGTTTTAAAGTTCTGTCCACAGATCACACAAAAGGTGAGCGTTCTTTCGGCAAACCAAACACAATTCACACACATCCCTATGTGATTTGTTTTCATTTTGCTGAAAGAACACTTAACCTTTTTGTGATCCGTGGACAGAACTTTTAAACGGTGGTTGTGTTTAAAAGTCTGTAACTTGAAAAGTACATGAGTGATTTGAATGATTCTTGTACTAAAAGAAAGCTTATGAATTTGGCTTTCATATTCTAGTTGAAAGTGTTACATGCAGAACTTCACTAGAACAAAGGTCCCAACAGTTGGGTTTCGGTTTTTTTTTTACTCGCCCTGTAGAAGTCCTGACAAGTCAATCATTCTCAAGTGACAAGCCAGTCAAACGAAATGTGACAAGGGCATTCTTGTGTCATATTGCATCCCCTGTTGTGTTAACTGACTTGTGATTGACTTCACCATTATTATTTATTATATAACCGACATACAGATCCTTGTCATTTGATTGGTGGAACTGCATGACATCACGTGACATTCGTTATTGCTCGCATTCACGCCGGGGCTCAAAAAGTCCCATTTGCCCATGGGGAATGGGAAATACTATTGAACAGTTAAGATCATTCTTGTTCCACGACGCGGTATTTGTGTGCAAATGCATGCTGGTGTGCGCGTAGCACGTATTGTTCCAAAGAGCCAGCGCTACAGTGTTGGGTTCAAACATTTTCATGAAGGGGTGGTTCGGAAGAGAGAAATACATTTTCCACCAATTTTGTATTGACAGAAATGAAAGTTCAAATATCAAATGACAAGGATCTATATGTCGATATAAAACAAATATTGAGTGGCTTTAAATTGTGAATGGGAGGAATATTTTCGCTCGGTAAAATCTGGACTTTTCCAGTTCACTCTGCTTCGCCTCCTGAAATGGAAAAGTCCAAATTTTAACTTGCAATAACATTCCTTCCATCCACACTGAGCCACTCAATATTGTTTACCATATCATGGTACTTTGGCATGTTGTCATGCTTTCCTTGAAATCCAGTGTTTACTCAAAAGTTCATTTTTTTGTTTCTGGTGCCTGTCTTTCCATTCTATATTTATCCTTTTTTATTCATTAATTTTTATTTTCTACAATATGTTTTGTTGTGTTTTGTTAATAACCCCTCCCTGTAAGGATGTGACGTTGCGTTTAATTTTGTAAACGTTTAAAAGAATCTTTTAAACGTTTAAACCTGTAGCCATTCACCAAGGCTGACGTATGCTCATTATGTCTGCAGACCGGTGTGATTGACATAACAAATCAACAATGGCAGTCATTGAAAAACTAAAAACTTAACTACGTGTGCCTGGAATGTAAATCAAGTATTGAAGTGCTTCAAAGGTTTTATAAATTAAATTGGTTTGAAAACGTCATTAATTATTTGTGCTACGTAGGTTTAACTCACAGGAAGACTGCGTGAACGGAGATCCCTTTTTTAGAATTCAGGTTTCGTTTAAAACGTTTTTGAAAAATTTCTAAACGGATTCAGAATTGTTTTCGTTGAAACGTGTAAGCGTCACATCCTTACCTCCCCGCATGCAATTTTTATTTTGACCCTGTGTATTAACCCTCTTGTCACCACCCCCCTCACCGTTGTAGTCAATTCTTGTGATGCCAATCCCTGCATGAACGGTGGGACTTGTTTTGCCTTCTTTGGTGGGATGGGTTACTTCTGCAACTGCCCGCCAATGTACACTGGTTCACAGTGTCAGTCCGTTTCAGGTAATTCTCGTTTCCTGTCAACTGATTGTCACTTTTTATGACCAAAAGACAAACTTGCAAAAGTTGAAAACTTGTTTTTTTTGTGATAGTGCTGTGCATTTTCAAATAGTTTGACTGAGTCGCTGACTTAGTCGCTGGCTCAGTCACTGACTCAGCCGCTGACTGAGTCACTGCCTGAGTCACCGACTGAGTCATTGACTGAGTCACCGACCGAGTCCTCAAAAGAGACTTAATTTTGGGACTTGTGTGGTTATACTAAATATTTGATAAAAAGTATATTACTCAAATGCAGCTCTCACAAATTTTGACTCATTTTGTGGATTGGGTCACATTTTTTACCTTGCATGAATGAATGTGTTTTTTTTTAACTGTATTCTAATTGTTTCACAGATGGTTAATAATAATATATGTTAAAATAACACACTTAAAACAAACCAACAACACTTCTTTTTGTTTGGCTCACCAATTTTTATTGACTGTCATGAGACTTTTAAAATAGGAGTAAGGTATATAACGCCATTAACAATAGTTTTAACATTTTAACCATTTGCCCATTCACATGCTTGAAAAAAGACCCAATTTTTTATTATTGGAAACTACCTTGTACTTTTGCCTTTGGGTAAAAATTCCAGCTTGGGGTAATTTCAGAAAGCTACACCGTGAACTGTGAACAGAAATTTGTTGCTTAGACAAAAAAAACACCTTACCAGCCAAACTGCCATATGATTCACATTGTCCAAAGCTGGTACCCATATGATTGGAATGTAAACTTGCTGAGCAGTTACTGTCTGCGTAGTAACTCCATGACATTTGTCACTGGGCCGGATATTTCACGGAGCTGTTAAAGGTAGCATCCTTCATTTGTAATTTGTGCGATAAATTCGTTTGAAGGAATAAAAGTGCTCAAATTCTAAAAAGAAGGACGCTGAACAACTAACCTGATGAAGTTTCAGCTCAGTGAATGCTGTTTATTCCAAGAAAACAACATTCCAGGATCTCGATTTCAATCAAAAGTTGCTGAGTCATGTTTTGAATTGGGCCTGAATTCAGCGCCGAGACACGTTCTCACTGAGCCGATTGCAGTTACGTATTGTCACACACTGTATGAACCGACGAATCATTGCAACCACGCGTGCGTGTGTGTCATGTCAACGCTTGAGCGCACTTCGCCGAATGTACTAACGGAAATTTCCCATGATGTGTCTTTGGACGCATCGTTAGAAAGGCCTTCTTTCATTGATTTCTTCATAATGACAGCTTGCCGGAAAGAATAATTTCACAGGGAGTTTAGTCACATTACTATCTTTGAACCAAGTATGCTTTTCAATAATAATTACGTCAGTTACTTTTTATATAGCTGCAAATGATGGACTGTACCTTTAAAGTAGAAAATGTTGCTAAGCAGATTTATGTGCTTAGCATGAATCAGACAGGAGCCAGCCACAAGCAATATCAAGTGAATGACACTTTGCCTGGTAACCCATTTTTGCTTAGCAATTATTTTCTGTGCTGAGCATATTTCTGTGCTTTGGCAGTTTTATGAATGTTGGCCTGGGGATAAACTCTACTTAATTCATTCCGTGGCCACAGATTCCTGCGAGCCCAATCCATGTCAGAATAACGGAGTGTGTAACATCAACGGCAATAGTTTCTCGTGTCAATGCCCAACCGGCACCAGCGGTGATAGATGCGAAATCCGAGGTATGGACAAAATTAAAGATATATTCCCCCGTGCTATTTTCAAGTTCCATCCTGAAGAACAGATTCCATTTCTAAATTGCTATTTTTTTGTCAATACAAAAAGTAATTCACTTTTGAATGAGCCACCAACCCTCAATAAATCACCCCCATGTATACTTATTGAATTATTAGTTTACAATTTCAATTTATTGGCTGCCAGACAATAAATCCATTCTTGTGGGGTAGGCTGGTTCCTGCCCCACAATCAGTATCGATAGTGTACGGACCGGGAGCCAGTCTGCTCACAAAACGCATCTGTTTGTGACCAAAATAAAACCTTTTTTTTCCAGAGGGTTGCATACGTCCAATAAAAGGAAAAAGGAGAAGTTTTGGTTGGAATTAAAACGTAAAAGTAGAAAACCTGTTCACAGAATAAAAATCGAATTTGTTGAAGAGTACGGCATGGCGAATGCAACTTTAATTAAAAACTGAACGTGATCTGGTCACTAAAAGTTGACATCTTAATACTCTTTCAATAGTGTACCTGGTGAAATAAATACCTAGTGACTGGTAGTGAGTGCACTAGTGCTGTGCATTTCTATATACACTGATGGTTATAATAATAATTGATAATAATTGTGCTTATAATAATTACCAGGAATGGGTCATTAGGGAGACTTTCCAATAGACTTGTGCGGAAATTTTTTTCCAACTTAAATGTGCCCTAACCCAATATTCCCTTGTCCTTTTCCCACGAATTTCGGTATTTTTACTTATTAGACCACGAGCAACAAATATAACCCTATTGGGACACTAAAATTTTGCTTCTAAAGGTGGGCTGTGACATTAGGGAGACAGTTATGTGTCTTCCTAATGACCGGTGTCTCCCAATTATAACGTGTCTCCTTAATGGTACATTTAGTGGAATATAGCACTTTCCATCATATCAACAACCTCAAAGCCCTTTACAATCATTACCCCGTTCATCTGGCCATTGGACCAAGCAGCATCTGTACAGTGTATTTCCAGTTGTTCTTTGTGTTTTCTTTGGTCGGGAGCCCAAAATAGGGTCCGTCAGAATTTCAGAAATGAGAACCAAAGAATTTTTAAAAAGGGATGCCCTTTTAAAGAAGCATCAGTGCCCTTCTTTAGAAGACTCTTTGTCATTTCAAATCTACAAATCTACCAGTCTACACATTTTTAAAAAGTGCAATATTAATTGAATCAAAGAGATCCAACAGAATTTTGCAAGATGTTTTAAGAACAAAAATATTGCTCATCTCACTCGGAAAATATCTTACTAGCCATATTCATGTACAGATTCTTGCTTAAGGACAGAGTCCATGATCATCTGGGAGTCTGAACACTTCCACAGAATTCAACTTGAAATTCAACCTCTTGCCTACCCATAAATATAGGGTGCTGTGGTCCAATGGTTACGGTGTTCGACTTGTGTGCCGTGGTAAATGGGTTTGAATCCTGACCGTGGGAGCATGGTGCTTGTGCTCTTGAGCAAGGCACTTTACCATAATATTGCTTTGTCCTTCAGAGGGGACATAAAGCCTTAGTCCCCGTGTGTTGTGTAACGCACGTTAAAGAACCCAGTAACACTTATCGCTAAAAGAAGGGGTTAGCCCCGGTGTTTCTGGCAGTGGCTGCAATATGCGCCGCAGCACCTTGTCTACCCTTATAAGGTGCTTCATAATGGGTCTCATATTTCTCATACACTTCATTTACCTGCTATTTAATAAAAAGACATAATTTCCAGCGCCTTGAGTACCTAATTGTTGGTAGATACCTGCGCTATATAAGACTCCAGTATTATTATTAACTCAGCTCATGTAAAAAATTCTGTATGTGGAGATTTTTAGCAAATAAATTTGTTTTCCTGGTTTTCTTCCCAGATCTGTGTTTGGACAACCCCTGCCGCAACGGAGGGACTTGCACCAGTTTCTCACAGTCTTCCTTTACCTGCACTTGTCCAGAGTATTACTTCGGAATATACTGTGAAACATACAGCCCACCAGGTAACTTGACCAAGTCTAAATTCGGAGAGTGGTGAATCACTTTGAGGGGGGGGGGGGGGGCGCGATAACTTAAGACTCCTCAAAATAAAGGGCCTGAGGCACTGGAGCTCACAAACTTGAAAAATGTTAGTAGATTAAAAAAAAACACTGACAAAAATGTTCAGTTTCAGCTGTAGGGGAGTGTGGCCTAGTGGTTAGGGTTCGTGACTCTTGGTCAGAAGATCAGGGGTTCCAATCCAGCTGCTGGTCATATGTTGTGTCCTTAGGCAAGCTACTTCACCCCCACTTGCTTCTCTCCACCCAGGAGTATAAATGGCTACCGGCATTAGTCAATTGTATCACTAAATGATCAAATTATTTATAAGCAGCAAAATTTCCATTGATCTTCTCCTGTTGGTAATATTATATGTGTTGTGCAAAATGTAGGCTAACTCCATGCACACATCTCGATCACTGTGAATGCATTTCATACTGTACTTTCGTATGAAGAACTTTGTACATGAAACCCTATTGACAAATTTGTGACAAAAGTGAGATCCTGTAAACAGGAGAATAGCCAATCAACAGCCACGAAGTTTAACCAATTGCTGAGAAGGCTTGGAGGGGCAACCAGCCAATAAGAATTCTTGTTCTGTGACACTTGGTAAGGCCTGGCTATGGGCCAATGAGACGTAGGGTTGGTTCTTTACATTCTAGAAGTAGAGAGTTTAGGCGGGATGGAAAAGTTGCTGGCCAGTCACTTTTGTCTCAGCCTCTGAAGAAACAACTTGGATAGCAAATTTTACTTCACAACTTTTCATTCTGGCTGAGGCTTGCACACACAAATTTTCTGTGTTGTTTGTGATTTTTTAATTTGTCTGATTATAACTTGGGAGTAACCTGCGATAGACTAGCATCCCATCTGGGGGAATAGAAATATTCTCAGTCGTTTTTACATTGGCTTGTGACAGACTTTGATTACTTCAGCTGTAGGAGGAAATCCCCAAGGAACTATTCTGGTAGAAACCCATAGTTAGTTAGAATCAGTTAAGGGCCTGAAAACTCAATCTAGGAGACGGATGAGATTCAAACCTGGGAACCAGGATTTGAAAGTAACATTGTGCCAAAATTGTGTGAACCAACGGTACAAAAGGAGTTAAAATAATCACCAGAGCTACTTAACAAAACTTTTGCAATTGAAATTATTGTCTTTTTTTTATCCACTTAATATAAATAGTTACTGAAATGTCAAACTGTAATTAATATATCAAAATGAGAATCTAAATATGCTCTTCCTCATTTATAAGGCAAAAAAAAAAAAAGTCTCTGGTTTCTGGTATGCGCGCGCGTCACCGTAGCCATGCGCGTCGGCAAAATGAAAAAGTTTTTTTTTCAATGAAAGATGATGTCTCGAAACCGCCAAACTCACTGGTTTGACTGGAATCCTGCTGCTGCACAATTTTAACGTGTTTTACATGGGGTTATGATCGAGAATAAGCTTTATGTGGCCTCTCTGGACTCCCATATATTTGCACTAAGTTTAGTCGGGCACCATTTGCAGTCATCAGCCGACATTTGAAGCCAAAAATCAGGTAAAAAAAAAAAAAAGCCGCGTCGCCGCACCACTTTTTGGACAAGCTCCATACCAGAAACCGGAGACTTTTTTTTTGGCCTAAAGTGATTCAGTGAGAAAAAAAGTTCTCAAGACCAATTTTGTCGGAGCCGGTCACATAGTGGAATGAATCCTTAATCTTCCCAATAAAACATAAAACCTTTTGACTATTTGTTTTTTTCGTTTCGTTCCTGCAGCAACACCCTGTACTTCCAACCCATGCTTTTCTGGAGGGACCTGCATTCCCATTGGAACCACTGCATACCGCTGCTCCTGCCCAGCCAACTACGCCGGTGTTCGTTGTGAGAATTACATACGTAAGTACACACATCCATATAATAATACGCAAGTCTCTGTTTGGATGTGTGGATGTTTGGACGTTTGGATGTTTGGATGTCTGGATGTTTTTCCAGGCTTATTCTCGGCAGTGGCAGGTCCCACGGCTCTCAAACTCAGTGGGTGGGTGAGTCTTGGTCCAACTTCGATTATTCAACCTTTGTTAAGCAATTGCGACCCCAGGGGCCCCTCCTGGGGGGTCCTCTCTCTTACTCTCCTTACGTTGCTGTTGTTGCATCTGAAAGAGGAACTCCCAAGCTACACGCCAATATGACTATAGAGGTCCCTGTTCATATGGGTCTGTATGATACAGCGTAACAAAAACAGCAGCAAATTTGGGGGGCGAAGAACAGGTAAAAGGTTATAAATTTCCAACAATTTAGGTCAACAGATTTTACGTCATGATTTGTTTAAACACCCCTCTAGCTATGTAATGGTATGTGCCTCTCATGAGTAAAACTCCTTATATGGAAATTGGCGCAAATTGTGCCATGTGGCGCAGAACGCAGCAGTGTCTGTGTAGTGTGAATTTAGGACTCTATGAAATACGGAATCATGGGTATAGTATTGCACATGCCTTAGTGAAGATAATGAGGAGAGTGACTGGTCACGTGAGAGGTTCAACCAATAAACCGGTAAAAGGGACCAGACTTCATGGGAGTAAAAGTTTCATGTGACACCGGAAAAAATGAGTGGAGTGCTGTGGCCTCATGGTTAAGGGCACTAATTCGTGGTCTGCGGGTAAAGCTGCAGGTTGTGGGTTCGAGTCCTGGCGGGGTCATGGTGCGTGTGCCCTTGGGCAAGGCACTTTGTCACTCATTGCTTCTCTCTACCCAGGAGTAAATGGGTACCTGTGAGGGCAGAGATGGTTATTGTGATTGAACTAGCTTGCTTGCACCTAACAGGCAGCATCAAGCTGTATACTCCCCAGGGAGCTGAGATGGTATATGGAATGTTTAATTGGCCCAATGATAAGGGGTAATAATAATAATGTAAAGCGCTTTGATCTTAGTTAAAAAGGGCTATATAAAAACCTGTAGTTATTATCATAAAACCAGTCGGTGTTTTATCAACCATTTAAAACCACTCTGTAATAGGCTGTCGACCAATAGGAATGGGTGAGGTGTCTGAGGTATTTATGAATAATATACATAAGGCTTTATCATTGCCCCTGGTAAGTTACAATGTAAAGCGTTTGTGTATGGATTTCCACACCGTGTTACATTCAGAGCACAAACACCATGAGATTAAAGGTATTTAAGTCTCAGATGATCTTCCCTTTGGTACCTTGAAAGTTTGGTCAACAACTTTGTGCGTAAGTAATACTTGGTCATCAGGGCCCAATTTCACGGCGCTGCTAAACAGTTAGCAGAAAAGTTGTGTTTAGCATAGCAGAAACATTTGCTAACCTTAAGCACTATTTCACGGCGTTTGTGTGCTAACGGTCGCGCGTGCATGAAGATCTCTATTGTAACGTCACTAAGTTAAGCACATTTTTCCTCTGAAGTAAGCGTGCCTTTTGCTGTGCTTATGTTTACGGTCTCCATGAAATAGATGGAGACTCTGTTAGCAGAAAATCGTGTGCTCAGCAGCGCCGTGAAATTGGGCCCAGTTGGTATCAGAAAATTCACTCCAAGGAAAATAGCTTGGCAACAGTACATTTGTTTAATGTTATCCTGTGGTTGGTTTGTTGGACTCACAATAGTTACTGTTTTTTGTTTTGTTTTTGTTTCTTATTGCAGCACCCAATCCATGCACGTCCAATCCTTGTGGCGCCAATGGCAACTGCATCGATGCTGTCACCAGCTACATTTGTGAGTGTCAGAACGGCTACATGGGACAGTTCTGCAACATACGTAAGTTGTCAACCTGAAACTGCTGTGATCTGATTGGGGAAAAAAGTGGGGTTTTTTTTTGCAGTGCATATAGTGACATTTCGTGTATTAGTGGTTGCACTTTGTAACTGAGTTGTAACGAGTCACTGATTTTTGTGACTCGAGTCGAGTCAAGTCATTTTAAATAAGTGACTTGAGTCGAGTCGAGTTGAGTCATTAGGTCAAGTAGGTCGAGTCGAGTCACAGTTTGTAGTCGAGTCGAGTCAAGTATTTAGCTCAAGTCAATTTGAGTCACAAATATTTGAACACTATACAATAAATATACACAAGAGAGAAAGTTGTTTTTTTGGCTTTTTTAACTTTACATTTGGGCTACTACATGTGGCGACACCACATTTGCCTCTTAGTGAAAATGTAAAGGGGTACCAGCTGATCGCCATTCAAATAATGGGGACACTGATCAAACCAAGTATATATATGTTAACATTATTCACAAAAACCGGCACCGGCGTAAGTCATTGCAAATATTTTTCGCAACGTTTTGCTTTTATTTTTGGGACTTGTATCTTATTAGTCTTCCTCGAGTCAAATTGAGTCATTCTGAAGAGGGATTTGAGTCGAGTCGAGTCATTTGTTTGCAGTGACTCGAGTCAAGTCATTTGCCCTAAGGGACTCGAGTCGAGTCAAGTCGAGTCAACAAAAATTGTGTCTTGAGTGGGACTCGAGTCGAGTCATTTGCCCTAAGGGACTCGAGTCGAATCAAGTCGAGTCATAAAAAATTGTGACTTGAGTGGGACTTGAGTCGAGTTACTGACTCGAGTCATTACAACTCTGCTTTGTAATGATGTATAGTGAGTGCCAAGAATATGCAAGTTCCTTCATTTGTGCTGGTTGATGACTAATAAAGCAAGAGCTGCTAAAAACACAGATGGTTGTGCAGACCAGTGTTGTTGACTCGAGTCACCGACTCGGACTCGAGTCAGACTCGAGTCGCTAGTTTTTTTACTCTTGACTTGACTTGGCTGGTGCAGACACTCCTAAGCCTCAGCCTCGACCCCTATTGTCAATTGATCACAACAACATTTTTGGACACTGTGACCAAGTTCCTTGCCTTAATCAATTTCAGTGCTGTGTTATGCAAGCTGTGGAAAACCCTGCATGTTGTGAAATAAAGGCTGGTGTGGTTTGGGATTGGAATCATTTGCTCTTGAGCATAACTGAGGTCTTGCCGTGGTGTCTATTGGTGGAAATAAGTTACTGTTGCCTAGGGCAATGGGTTACAATTGACCCATCACCATAATTTTTACATGATTATAATGAGCAAGTATTAGACTCCAACAAGCTGCTTGATCCAAATGACATCAACAAACTCTTCAGAAGTTATAGCATATTCCCTTGCGCAAAGTTGGGTAAAACGTGCGTTTTTTCACACCTTGCCGTTGACTTTTACCTAAAACTTGTTGACTTTAAATGGAAAGGGCGATTTATTGTGAGATGACAAACAAATTAAGTCTGTAACTAATTGAAAGAATGTGAGTTCGTGTATCAAATAACGTAACCGGTCGTAATGGTGCGTATTTACTACACTTTTAATTGTAGCAAAGCAAATGAGCGCTGTTTTCCGTTACGAGTTTGGAATGTTGGTCTGAAATGCGTATCGCCGAGTTTTATTCTCAGAGAGCATGCTTGCAAACCCAAACTTAACTGGGCTCTCAATGCATACCGTATCCACTAAGAAGCATTGTGTTCTACAGCCAGTTGCTTCTACAGGGTGAGTCAAAAAAAGCGGAACCCAAACCCCCAAAATTATATTTCATATTTAAAAAACTACGTAGCACCAAAAAGTATAATGACTGGAAAGCCAATTTCATAAGCTACTTTTAGATGAAAAAATTACTGAAATTGCTCAATCCGTTTGAAGAATATTACCATTTAAACACAATGACCCTAAAACCTGTCTAGTCCAAAAATATTGTATTAAGATATTATGTACTCTGTTCTTGACAGTTGATGAAACAAGTATTCTGCTGTTTTTGGACGAGACCGGTTTTAGGGTCATTGCGTTTAAATGGTGATATTCTTTGAACGGATTGAGCAATTTCGGTATTTTTTTCATCTAAAAGTAGCTTATGAAATTGGCTTTCCAGTCATTATTATTTTTGGTGCTACATATTTTTTTAAATATGAAATATATTTTTGGGGGTTTGGGTTCCGCTTTTTTTGACTCGCCCTGTATTATAAGGATCCAACCTCAACAGAAAAGCATATAACAAAAGAGTGACACATTTTTTTCTAAATGTCTAAAGGAAATAGGGAAACATACATTCGTAGATTTTAGATGTTTAATTTTCTTCTTTTGACTTCATCCACAGCCCCAGATCCATGCGTGTCCCAGCCCTGTCGTAATGGCGGACGCTGTACGAACCTGGGCACAGCCTACACGTGTGACTGTTCCAGCACTATCTACACCGGCGTCAACTGTGAAATTGGTATGCTTCCTTCCCGAGTTCACGAGATTGGGTTTTTCTTTATTTGGGCAAGTCCAAGAAACGGTCCCCGTTTTGTGCCATACATAACACAGAAACATTGAGTCTTCAAGATATTTTACTCACTTTATAGTCATTTTCTGTTTGTATATATATACGGTAGGTCTCCCAAAAGTGTCAGTCTGACTGTTGTTAAAATAACTACAAAACCATGAGGTCCATTTAAAAAAAATATTTTTGGTTGTGCAGATACTCTTTAGCATTTGCGTCAACCCCTATGGTTTTGTAGTTATTTAAAAAAAAAAATAGTCTTAAAAAAATAGTCAGACGGACTCTTTTTTGGGGACATACTGTAGAGCATTCTATTTTTTTGATATATCTCTTGGTTTGGTGTTAAGATGAATATGGACGTCATGCATGTCATGTGGATAAATACATAAACAGTTTCCCTTGTTCAAGATTTGATATGGAGTCTAAAAGTCACTCTGGGGAAGTTGGACTCATTTGGTATGTTTCCATAGAGCTATATTAAATTACTAGAGCGCTTTACTTCGTGTACAAAGTAATACCTGCTGGGCGCATCCATGTTTGTGCACAAACCTATGGAGAACTAGAAATTGTGTACGGCTTTTGTACGGCTATTTGCATATCTGCGTTTGTATTCCATACCGGTGCATTATTGAAGCCAGTACGTCCAAAACCGAAACGCACGATCAGCAAATGAGCGTGTCATTTTGCTCTACGCAAACAGCGCAACGCGTGCGCGTATTCGCTGCAGATGCTTTTTGCCGTCACATTTTTTTAACCATCAATGACGCGCTTAAGTTGTGTACGTGTGTTGCTTGTAGGGTACACTTTCAAAATTCAGTCCATCTAATTTCATTATGTTCTTCAAACTCGCACATGAATTCAAAATGTCTGCGCCCAGGATGGCTTCAAAGTATCTCCGCGCGCAAAATGGTGAGTTAGCGCTCTAGTAATTTAATATAGCTCTATGTATGTTTCACAGCTAATGCTTAGAATAGGCCTATTAAAAGATATAATTTCATGACTTTTCTGACCTATTTTTATTTTGAACTTTCCAATTTTTCCCATTAATTTCTAGCTCCCAATCCTTGCTCATCCAATCCATGTCAGAACGGTGGCGTGTGTATGAATGGCGTTGTCCGCTACGAGTGTAATTGTGGGACAGGGGGATTTTCCGGAACAAACTGTGAAATCGGTAAGTTTTTACTAAAACAAGCAGTAAAGCCATCAAGCACCGTCGATATATCGATATTACTCAATTTTTTGATATTATTTTGATATCGATATTGCTGATATCGATATTATTTTGATATCGATATTGTTGATGCCATTGATGCAGTAAAGCCATCAAGCACCGTCGATATATCGATATTACTCAATTTTTATGCCCCGCGGCGAAGCCGAAGGGGCATACTGTTTCCGCCTTGTCCTTCCGTGGGTGGGTGGGTGGGTGGGTGGGTGGGTGTGTGTGTGTGTGGGTGTGTGTGTCCGGATAAATCTTGTCAGCGCGATAACTTGAGAAATACTTAACATATGAACTTCAAATTTGGTTTGTGGATTGTTCTTGGTAATCCTAAGAAGCCTATTGCATTTGGGGTCAAAAGGTCAAGGGTCAAGTTCACAGTGGCTAAAACAATAGAAATCTTGTCAGTGCGATAACTTGAGAAATACTTTACATGTGAACTTCAAATTTGGTTTGTGGATTGTTCTTGGCAATCCTAAGAAGCCTATTGCATTTGGGGCCAAAAGGTCAAGGGTCAAGTTCACAGTGGCTAAAACAATAGAAATCTTGTCAGCGCGATAACTTGAGAAATACTTAACATATGAACTTCCAATTTGGTTTGTGGATTGTTCTTGGCAATCCTAAGAAGCCTATTGCATTTGGGGCCAAAAGGTCAAGGGTCAAGTTCACAGTGGCTAAAACAATAGAAATCTTGTCAGTGCGATAACTTGAGAAATACTTTACATGTGAACTTCAAATTTGGTTTGTGGATTGTTCTTGGTAATCCTAAGAAGCCTATTGCATTTGGGGCCAAAAGGTCAAGGGTCAAGTTCACAGTGGCTAAAACAATAGAAATCATGTATTTATTCTGAGATTATAGGGATTAGGGATTAATTCATATAAAACCTACAGAAGACACTAATGCTGTCAATGAATGTTCCATGTGACCAAGGTACATGTAAGTTGATGTTAAAAGAGTGGTGTTATGTCATGGGAACTGTCACGGTTGCGGGGCATTTGTGTTTGTAAACACACCTGACTTGTTTGATATTATTTTGATATCGATATTGCTGATATCGATATTGATATTGCTGATATCGATATTATTTTGATATCGATATTGTTGATGCCATTGATGCAGTAAAGCCATTAAGCACCGTCGATATATCGATATTACTCAATTTTTTGATATTTTGATATCAATATTGCTGATATCGATATTATTTTGATATCGATATTGTTGATGCCATTGATGTAGTGAAGCCATTAAGCACCGTCGATATATCGATATTACTCGATTATTCGATATTATTTTGATATCGATATTGCCGATAGCAATTTTTTTTATCATATCGAAATATCGAAAATGTGTCAGATTATCGTCAAAATAAATCTCCCGTTTGTGTTTTTACTTTGTGTTTGTCGTTTGCTGTGTAACAGAATAAAACTCGGCAACAACTTGTGCTTGTGACTCAAAATAAAAACATCGCAAAATGCCAAGCAGCGTCGCTTTGTGCTCTACGTTCACTGGAATTCGCAGTCTCCCTCATTGTAAGACTAAAAAAAAGAACACCCGTTCTGGACAAACTCTCAGTGCTGAGATTTGTTTTAAAAGTTTGAGCAATATGCTCCAGAGAAAGCCGTGTGCTATTTTCATAAAATATGAACTTTTCTCTCTGCCTCGAAAACAAAAAGTCACAATAACACTTTTATTTTGCATGTGAAAACAATACACCAAAATGACTACCTAAAACCAATTATTATTTTAGCCCAAACAATATTTGTTTTGACCAAGAAAGATACATTTAACCGCATTCTATCTCACTGATACACCACTCAAATAAAAGGTCATATGGTCCCCTTTCATTTGATACCACATTTGAGACACAGGTAGTTCTGAAGTTTTCATAAATTTTCCATTTTTCAGCCATGTCCACTTTGCGTGGAATATCCCATTTATCAAACACACCAAAGCATTTCCTAGTTCACACAGTAAAACCATTTTTTTCTGATGTCAACTTGGTGTTTTTATTTAATTTTTTTTCACAGCACCCAATCCCTGTGCCAATCTTTTCTGTCTCAATGGTGGCGTTTGTGTCAGCGGCCAGTGCGACTGCACTAACACTGGTTACAGTGGGACTACCTGCGGCGACTGTAAGTAAATCCCCTCGTATTTAACAGGGTACGCTCGATAGTCCGAGGGTTCAATGTTTGATGCAATAGTCCAAAGATTTGATAATCCGAAGGTGCATTAGACCGAAGGTTTGATTGTCCGAATTAAAGTTTAATTAGTCCGAAGGTTCAATAGTAAGGGCACGTGCGGTCTAGCGGTAGAGCACAGGATTCATGATCGTGGGATTGTGGGTTCAAGCCCCGCCGTGGCCATGCGTGTTGTGCCCTTGAGTAAGGCGCTTTACCTCAATTACTCCTCTCAACCCAGGTGCTAAAAGGGTACCGGCATTATTCAATGCTGGGAAGGTAACAGACTCGCTCGAAAACTATGTGAAAAATTGTTTCTTTTTAATAACTTTAAAATTGGAAAACTTTTTACCGTCACCATGTAGCTGATATTGTCATTTCTTTGTGTTTTAGTGATAGACGCATGTTTCTCCAATCCTTGCATCAACAATGGTACCTGCAACAACTTTGGCACTTTCTTCCGTTGCGACTGCCAACCGGAAAACCGTGGCACATACTGTCAATTGTGTAAGTACTGAGCAGGCATTGCGCTAACTTTTTAATTCCTGGCTAGCCCACTGACCTAGATAACTGCAGATTTAACTAGCCCGTTTAGAGTTTTACTAGCCCATATATGTTTTGGGGTTTATTTATTTTTTGGACCCACTTTTTGGGATCTGCCTGGATCTGCCCTTGAGCAAGTTTGGGTAGCTCGGAGTAATTTTCACTGGAATTTGTACGTATGCCGGGCTGGTACCATTTTGAGCCCCACTGAGTACTGTTGAAATAGAACGGAATCTTTCGTCTCTGCTCTTGCTTACGAATCTAAACGAAACGCCACCTTCAGATACCCTCCTTTTACTGAATTTCATCATAATCCACACCCAGGTTTCTGCTTTCTGTTTTATTCTGTTTACATATTCCATTAGCCAAAGATGATGAGTTGCTAAGGTATAGGATAAAAATGGTGTTTTTTTATGATCCCCCCCCCCCACAGACAATAACCCTTGTTCTGCCACACCCCCTCCATGCCTGAATGGTGGACAGTGCGTTGACCTCGGTGGCTACACGTTGACCTGTAATTGTCCAGCTGGCTACATGGGAGATGCATGTCAGACAAGTAAGACATTTTGTTCCAAGAAGTTTTTCAAAACTAACTTTCCAAAACTAACTTTTCCTTGTTTAAATGATTAAAATAGTTGAGGAACATATAAGCAGGGATACATCTGAGATTCAAAGTAATGAAGCAAAAGTATTACAACATTATTGACAACAGAATGAAATTCAATCATAAAAAAAAAAAAAATTGTTGAAGCATTTCAAAAGATTCAGTAATTTTATTTTCTCATTGTGAAAGAAAGTCTTGGAGAGTTTTTATTTAGCTACAAAACATTCAAGATTGAAAATATGTTGAATTTTTTTTAAAGCTTCCTGCCGACTAGTCAGTATATCCTCAAGTGTAGTTGCATAAATTTCATGAGCAATGCAGTGAACAGAAAGTTTTTTACATGTTTTCATTCACAATCATGTGCTGAATGCCACTCCAAATGTGACATCACAAAAGTCTATAAGGCCAAAAAAAAAGTTTCTGGTATGGAGCTTGCCCAAAAAGTGGTGTTTCGATGCGGCTTTTTTTTTTCCCGTTTTTTTTTTCTTCAATTGTCGGCTGATGACTCCAAATGGTGCCCGACTAAATTTAGTGCAAATATATGGGAGTCCAGAGAGGCCACATAAAGCTTATACTCGATCGTAACCCCATCTAAAAACACGTTAAAACTGTGCAGCAGCAGGATTCCAGTCAAACCAGTGAGTTTGGCAGTTTTGAGACATCATCTTACATTGAAAAAAAAAACTTTTTCATTTAGCCGACGCGCATGGCTACGGCGACGGGCGCGCATACCAGAAACCGGAGACTTTTTTGGGGGGCCTAAACAGCATTAAGGCATGAAATATTTGAAATCCTCTGTTTTTGCCTTAATTTCAGGAGTTGATTACTGTGCTATCAACCCATGCCTGAACGGATCAACCTGCCATACACAGACGGACAGCTACAGGTGTGTCTGCAGGACAGGCTATGGGGGCGTCAGGTGTGACGAAGGTGAGTTGATTGATTGATTAATTAACCCTAACCACCCCAACTCCCATCCCCCCATTTTGGTGGATTTTGGGGGACTTGGTCCAGAAGGCCTGGTGTGACTAAATTATTGATAGAGTATGATGGACTTGGGCCTAATGGCCTGAAGCAGTGCTAGGGGTATCCGATTGATTTTGCCTAGCTTCCTGTACTGCTATTGTGATAAAAGCCATGTGTAGCAAGTCCATGAATGTCAACCCGTGCGTCAGTGGTGGATTCCATTATGTCATGTACAGTTTTGTATTGGAAGCACAGTGATTGATGGATTTTGGTGGAATTGGTCCAGTTCCTAGTAAAATCTTGCCAGAGGCTAAACTGGCAAGATTTTGTTACTTGCGTGGGCTCTTATCATGGTAATAGCTTAGAAAACAAAAGCTGTGAGTTTCTAATGCAAGTGGAGCCTCGCTTTAAGTGATTGGCTCTTTGCATGGCTCAGTTGAAAGAGAGGCTAAACTGGCCAGATTTGTTTATTTACATGGGTTCTTATCATGGTAATAGCTTGGCAAACAAAAATTGTGATTTTAGACATATTTAGGGTCAAAATTTTACACACACAAAAAACTGAAGATGGAGAAAAATCACTATCAAATTGTCTTTTTGTCATTTCTAAGTTTAAATCTCTGCCTATTGGTGCGCTTTCCACAGAACACATCGCATGATGTCTTACCAAATATAACTTATAATGTACTTGTTTTCCGTTGAAGTTCTGTTCTTACGTTCCTCCTTATTCCTTTTCTTCAGTTGTCCTGGCTTGCATCACCAACCCCTGCCTGAATGCTGGCACGTGCATCAATGGCCCAGATGCCACGTACACCTGCAGCTGCACTAACCTGTATGAAGGAGACAACTGCCAAATAAGTAAGTACCGACCTCCTTTTTAAATAATAACCAAAGCTGTTTTGCCATGTTTTGTAACCCACACATTGGTGGATCGGGTGGGGGGGGGGAGGGGGGGGAAACGGGGGCCATGGCCTGCCCTAAAAGACACCGTATTTTTTTTTTTAAGTGACGTCGCAATCAAAGGCATCTTTTCCTTAAAAAAAAAATGGTTAAAGTGGTCAGAAATTGCCTCAGATCGCACCACAGAGCATCAAGAATCTAAGAGAGTTTCGGGGCCTTCAGTGGGCCCCTGACCAATTGGGCCCCATGCTGTAATTTTTTGACCGATTTTTTGGGGTCCAAATTTTGTTTTGGCCCCCCCCCCCCAAAAAGGAAAAAAATGCCTCCTGGATCCACCCTTGAACCGACATACTAGTCAGTAGCGGGGATAGAGGGATCTAGCGATGGAACTAGCCTCGTTCAAGATGTTCATTGATAGTGATGATATCTGGCTGCTAAAAACATAAACACTAGCCACTGTGCAAGAAGGAACGTTTGTTCTTGGCCATCTGATTGCATATTGTAGCCGTGCAAGGCCACTGTTCGTGCCTCGCACAGTGTATAGTGCGCGGATAGTGTTTATGTTTTTAGCGGCCAGATACCATCCCGGCTACTATCCATGAACGCCTTGCGCAAACTAGGCCAGCCTAATGAGTAGGAGTATGAGTACCAGTTCTTTGTCATGACTATGAGTTCAGGTAACTTTTAAGTCCGACTATATTTCCACCAGGGACTACAATTGAATCACTATTTTGTTTGAAACTTTTACTAGGCCCACATACAGGGATCGAAATTAGCGGAAGCCCGCTAGCCAAATGCTAGTCAAAACAGCGGCGGGCTAGTCAAACTATTCCTGAAGTAGCCTGGCTGGCGAGTCAAAAAATTATTGGGCTATGGCAAAGATGAAAGGACAGGAAGATATAAATCAGTAAATTCAGAAAGCACACCTGTATCAATTTGTGTCTAATTTTATCAACTGTTTTAAAAGGTTAGATTATTAGATTTGTTTATTAAAAACAGTGACAAAATTGCGACAGAATTGAACCTGAAAGTACACCATTTTGTATTTGAGCTAAAAAAAAATTAAATAACATGCGGACTAGTGAAAATGCCCGCGGGTTAGTTGAGAGTCTTAAAAAAAAAAAGTTAACGTCAAACCTTGCCCACATATCTAGTTCTTAGTATTCTGATGTGAGATGCACATCGGTTATGACCTGCCCGGTAAAATAAGAATGCAAAAAATGTGATTTAACAAGCCACTTTCTCTGAGCTGCATACTTATCTCTATGCTTACTATTTTTAATAGTCCTTTAGTATTACGAGTACATAAAATGTACTGCAACACTGATAAACAGTGAAGATCATTTTGGATATCTTGTCTTCTTGCAGGGAAGGATTACTGCTTAACCAACCAACCATGTCAGAACAACGCTACGTGTCAAAACCTCTACAGTACCGTCGGTGCGGACTACCAGTGTTTGTGCCAGAATGGCTTCTATGGACAAGACTGTGAACTGGGTGAGTCACAAACATAATCATTTGTGCATTACTAACCATTTCAGACTGAGGATGATAAGAAGATCATTTTCTGACACACTTGTAGTTGGGCATGTGAGTGGAGATGATAATAATTTATCAGAATTTATCAACTTTAAAGAAATTCTGAAATGTAAATGTGGTATTTTCCAAGATTTGTTCAAGTGCGCCACGTTAGAAAACACTTGGCCCAAATTCTGCCCAATCTCCGTACGTCACCATTTTTGAATTTGGGACTAAATTTCATGACACTGGAATTGTTCACAAAGGATGAACAAAAAGTTTTATTCAAGTAAAGTACCAGTATTTAACTGAATGAATTTGAAGTTTTCCAACAAAGACGTTTGGCAACACTGCATGAGGAAATCAGGGAAACCTTGAACTGCGCTACATTAGGGAACACCACTTTAATTTGCTTAGCGGCATTGACTGCCTAGCAGCTTCATAAAACTGAGCCAATGGCCCCTATGTCCTTGCCATGCTTAGCACATGATTTCCCACCAGGATGGATATTTGAAATGATATTTTGGCAAACATTCTTGCTTTGTTCAACAGAGGTCAATGAATGTTACAGCACGCCTTGTCACAACGGTGGAACCTGCGTTGATCTCATCCACGAGTTCCGATGCGACTGTCTGCCTGGCTACGAGGGAATTTACTGCAATATCAGTACGTCTGTTTTTTTACAGCCTTTTATTTACAGATCAGTAATGAAAAGTTAATGTGTAGGTGACTAGTAGTTGAACTCTGTTGCTTAAAGAGGTTGTGGAATGCTCGAAGACATTTCCGTCATTTTTTGGGTATATGTAGCCTAAGGTGTGATGAAATAAAAACGACTATTGTTTCTGTCATGAAATGAGTATAAAGGGTACATTTGAGAGCTATTTTTCAGGTCCTGTTTCGACCCGAACATGCAATTTGTGTAAAAGTCGTCGTTGCGGGCAGCAAACAAAACACAGTAAATCGTGACGTAATAAACAGGACTCGTTTATGCTACTCTGCATCGGGAGTCCTGTTTATTACGTCACAATTTGCTGTTTTTTGTTTGCTGCCCACAACGACGACTTTTACACAAATTGCACGTTTTGGTCGAAACAGGCATGACAGGACTTGAAAAACAGCTCTCAAAAGTACCTTTTGTACTCATTTTATGACAGAAACAATAGTCGTTTTTATTTCATCACACCTTAGGCTACATATACCTGAAAAATTACGGAAATGTCTTCGAGCATTCCACAACCTCTTTAATTCTTACCACTACACTGAACTTTAAGGTGGCATAGAAGGAATGAAGTCCTGAAAACTAAACAATGTTGTCCGAGTTGTAGGCTCTTGAGTATTATTTATTATCATTTTTTCTTGTAATGAGACCAAGGATTCCTTTAAAGTGCCCTAGGCACTGTAGCTCACAAGCCTGCAGAAACCTGCAGGGAGAAGACAATGAGAAGAAATGACAGTTTTAGAGGTGGGAGGAAAACCCCGCGAGAATATTCTGGGGAAAACGTTTGGTGAAATTGATCCTAGGACAAGTCGTGAGTTAAAGGGAATATAGGCCTACAACATTTACAAACATCAAAAAACAAAACTACCAAATTATTATGAAATAGCTTCATCCTGTACAATCATGGCCACCTGCTGTGCTGTCATTTTCAAGAAAAGTGGTATTTTTGTATCAATTTCCAATGATGTCGGCTGACTAGTGTTTAAAAAAAATGGCTTTTTCGAATACTGCCCCCAGTTTACCATAGTTAGTTTATAGTCCGCACATTTTGTTAGCAATCGATAACACACCCTACGGTACAAGCCAACTGGTTCCCTGACCTTAGAATTCCCCAACGTCTATACATTTTTACCGTTTCATCATAGGTGGGGTTAGGGAACCAGACTAGGCCTACAGGAACATGATTGTTTTTCTAGTTTTTTCCAGCATCTACGAACCCAAAACTTCAAACAAGTTAGTGTAACAATATATTTACGATAAAATACTAACCCTAAAATCCATCCATTTCTGAAAATTCTATTAAAAGCAAACGTTGTATTTTCCCTTTAATACAACTTACCCTGCCTAAGACGCATCTTAGCGTTGTGTGAAATCGGCCCCATGTAACGTTTTAGTCTTCAACTTCGACGTCGCTGCATATATGTAAAATAAGGACAATTTGCTCAAGTCTGAACTTGACTTGAGCCTTTGCTGGAACCAAGAATGGAAACTGAGGTTTAGTATATATGGAATCCATTGTAAGCAGTACTTTGCTTTTAATTTGTGTTCATATTTCCAAAAAGCAACAAAATAATTTTCTGCTTTCTATTTTTTTAATTTTTTTAAATTTATTTGATAACCAACAGTGGAGACCCGCCATTTGATATAAAATTGGTATCATAAAAATGTAAAAATATAAGTATAGATATAAATTTAAAATTACAATTAAAATTAAACAAATACACATGGCACATTCTTAATCAACAGGAAAATTAACCGTTACTGATTAAAAACAAGCAAGCAATAAGACGATCCAACAAACAAATATATAAACAAGAAAAAATGTAATTAAAAATAAATAAATATACATAAAAAATAAATTAAAAACGTATTTAAATATTGAACAATGACGAACAAACAAATAAACAAACACCCCAACAAACATCCTAACACCCCTACAACCGACAACAGACAGACGGATAGAGACAGACAGCCCAGCAGACAGATAGACCAACAACAGACAGACCGACAAACAAACACACAGTACCCTAACAAACAAACAAGCAACCCGACAACCCAACAAACAAAATATAAGACAAAAAACCTTAAATTAAATTAAAAATAAAATTTTAATCTCTCTCTTTCTCTCTCTCTCTTTGACAGATATCAATGAATGTTTAACCACTACTTGCCAAAACGGTGGTACATGCATCGACGACGTCAACGGGTACACGTGTTCCTGTCGGCGTGGATACGGAGGAGACAGCTGCGAAACTGGTAACGTAGAGACATTCAAGCAAATTCCATAGATCAGTTTCCTAGAACATTCAAAGCCATACTGATTTGTGGGAATTCACTAAAATTATTACAGCCAGTGTGTAGAATCATAGTGGGATTCAAAAACATACACAAATTAATCCTTACAGGTAGAGCAGATCGTTTGTCATTTGTGCATTGGTTTCCTTTGAAGAAACAAAAGTGCTCAAAAATTTAAGACGAGTGCTAATAACAACTAAACCTGATGAAGTTTTAGCTCAGTGAATGCTGTATATTCCGAGAAAACAATATTCTAAGATCTCAATTTCAATTCAAATGTTGCTGAGTCGTATTTTGAATTGCGCCCAAAATCAGCACCCAGAACATGTGCTCATTCAGCCGATTGCAGCGCACGCACTGAACCGACGAATAATTGCAACCACACGTGCATGTGCGTCGTGTCAACGCTTGCGCAGGCCCATTCACGGATTCACCAAATTACAAACCAACTACTGACGGAAATTTCCAAATATGCTTCACTTGACTCATCTCTTAAAATGACCGTCTTTTTATTGTTTTCTTCAAAATGACAGCATGCCAGTAAGACTAATTTCATAGGGAGTTTAGAACATTACTATCTTTAAACCAAGTAAGCTTTTTAACAATGGTCTGGTCAGTTACTATTTGGATAGCTGGCCGTAGCGTCTTAACGTGAGCGTCTGGCGTTGGCAGCAATGCATTCAAATGTCTCTCCCAGTAGTAAAGGGGGACGAACCTGTATTCACAGGAACGGAGTGCCCATCTTTCTTTCGTTAGCGATTGGGCCAGACTCAAATGCTGCTGTGGGGGGATCGCCACACCTCCTCCACAGCGAGTCTGTTACCTTCCCAGCATTGAACAATGCCGGTACCCATTTAACACCTGGGTTGAGAGGAGTAAATTGAGGTAAAGCGCCTTACTCAAGGGCACAACACACATGGCCACGGTGGGGCTCGAACCCACAACCTCTCGACCACGAATCCTGTGCTCCACCGCTAGACCACACGTGCCCCAGTGGTCTCCTCCAACTCTCCCTTTTTAATCGTTGAGGGCGTACTGGTGCACGGAGCCCATTGGCTGACTTGGACTACCTCCCTCTGCTTCGGGACAGAAGGTATACAAATCGGTCAAAACTCTGGGACCAGTGATTTTGCATTGCTTCCGCTCAAACCACGTTGTGACACAAAACCAACCCTGTGGTGTATTCTATTTTTATCAGACATTGATGAGTGTGTGAGCAACCCGTGCCAGAACCAGGGAACCTGTGTGGACCAAGTGGCTGGCTACACCTGCAACTGCCCCGTCGGATGGGACGGCAACAACTGCCAGAATGGTGAGTTGCTTCATTCTGTCATTGTCGCGGCCGTTCCCTGTCTAATAGCGTCGATGTCCCTCAGTGCCGTAGCGATTGGTTCACACTTTTTGTAACATATGTGGCACACATTCACACTCTGCTGAAACGAACAGCTGTGCAAAATTGTTTATCGTAAACCTTTGTTTTGCATTTTGGTTTTTCTGGCTTTTGAAATTTGAAAATAACTCATTCAACGATGCAGACAACGAATGAATGGGAGGTTTGCGGTAACACCATGTGAATGATGCGAGTTGTGTGGTCCTGAGAAGAACCAGTTGGTGTAACTCGACGTTTCGAACAGTATGCTCTGTTCGTCATCAGAAGACAACCTTTCTTTACAAGCAGCCTCCAAAGTTTTGACCTGATTTTGGAGTTTGAGTGGTTAAACTTTCATCATCAAATTTTGAATATTATGTGCTGCATGTTCAATCAATGGGAGACTATTGAGACGTTGGTGGCAGCAAACACAATGGTTCTTTTAGTGTTTGCATCATAGTGAGTGTATGCGCGCTTCAGCTTTAATAAACACGACGTACACAATGGAAAAGGACCGGTGTGTTTGCTGCCACCAACGCCTCAAAAGTCTCCCTTTAAGATTGTGTTGCAATGTAACAAGTGTGAACCACTACTTCAGAAACACGTGTGATCTCATCGGAAAGTAAGTTGTGACTTACAACGGCAAATATAGGGCGAGTTGAAAAAAACCGAAACCCAAATATCGGGACTATTGCTTGATTGAAGTTCTGCAGGTAGCACTTTCTAAATCTAGGATATGAAAGCTCAATTCGCAAGCTTTCTTTTAGTACAAGAATCATTCAAATCACTCATGTACTTTTCAAGTTACGGATTTTTTAACACAACCACCGTTTTAAGGTTCTGTCCACGGATCACAAAAAAGGTGTGCTTTCTTTCAGCAAAACGAAAACAATTCACACGCATCCTTATGTGATTTCCTTTCGTTTTGCTGAAAGAACACTGACCTTTTTGTGATTCCGTGGTCAGCACCTTTAAACGGTGGTTGTGTTTAAAAATTCCGTAACTTGAAAAGTACATGAGTGATTTGAATGATTCTTGTACTAAAAGAAAGCTTATGAATTGGGCTTTCATATTCTAGATGTTGACTCACCCTGTAGAAGGTGGTTTGATGCAAGGGCAGGCCAGTTAATAGTTCTTTTGCCAAGTTAACTGATGCATAACGCGATGAAATTTTGGTCAATGTCTATGTTCTAGTTTTTCAACTTCCAGTACCTCGAATCATGTTATATTTACTCCAGGTGTCAGCTGTCGTTTGGACTACAATCTCCGTGAGTGTCAAACGGTGACAATCACCAGCCCCAACTACCCGGCCAGATACAACCACAGCGAGAACTGCCGCTGGATCCTGAACTCGGTCACGGGCAACACGCTGACCGTCAGCATCACCAGCTTCCAGACGGAGATGATGTACGACACCCTCAAGATTGGCGAGGGGTCAGTGGTCAACGCGCAGAGCCTGATCTCGGAGTATTCGGGTGCACTGGATACGACCACGCCTGTCGAGGTCACGTCGCAGGGCGCCGCCCTGTGGATGACGTTTGAGACGGACTTAGACAAGACGCAGCAGGGCTTTGAGCTGACTGTAGCAGACAACTGCACACCGAGTAAGTCTTTTTACTTAGGGTCATTGCAATCTCGCAAGCTCATGATGGTCAGAGTGACTTTTGGGTGGGGTTGCTGACTTAACCTTTCTTTTCCTACATCGCAGCCTTAAATTTATCCAAACAGTGGTTGGAACACTATGGACAAAGTGGCATCATGGGCCAAGTTTGGCCTGTTGCCATGTGTCTAGATGAAGATGAAGATGATCGAAGAACAACCATTAAGACGAAATCAAAGAAAAAAAATCACAGTTTTTAAATGAAAAGATTGTTTCCAAAATGTGAGAAATGCCATTTCGTCACATTTTGGTATGCCGTACTCTCCTGGTGGCTAAAATCAGTCTTTTAGTTTCAGAAAAAATATAAAGTGAAAAATGTAGTCTAGAAATGGGTTATATGCTGTGTATGTTCTGTAATTGTTATGACCGTGCATCTTTCTCAATTTTTATTAAAAAAGGATCTTTCGCATTCTGTATAGCCTATTAGTCGTCAACATCGCACATCGCGGTACTGTTATTCTGCACCAGATTTCATGAAACTCATCGTAACTTACGATGCATCGCAGCGCTGTGACGCATAGTATCTCTACGATACGTCGCAGCTGCGATGCGTCCTGCAATCCAATTTCACAAAACATGTCGTAAGTGCGACACGTCGTATTTGTATTCATAGTACAACTCGTTGACTGTTTTATGTATTTAGTCAGCGTACAGTAAATAGTCGTCTGATATTCAACAAAGAGTTGTCGGATCTCCTCTCAAAATTTGTTAAAACGTCAAACCAAATGGCGGCTGTGTGATGCCATTTGAAAGGATGGTGGTGTGCGGCTAGCAGCTTGGTTCTAGTCTCCACACAATCTGTCTGAAAGATCATGAAGGAGATGCAGTGATAGAACTGTGAAGGTCAACTTCATGGTAAAATATCCCCCCCCCCTCCCCTTCCACCTGGCTGGCTGCGGACCTGTGTTCCTGACGATTAATTCCAGACTTGCACCCTGTGAGTTTTAAAGAACCCATTTTGTTTCCCTGTCTCCAGTGATGCCGCCATGTGACAGCAATCCCTGCATGAACAACGGGCAGTGCATGAACCTAGATGGCAACGTGGGGTTCTTCTGTCAGTGCCCCACCAAGTACACTGGCGTCTTTTGTCAAGAAGGTAGGAGCAGGTTGATCGAGGGTTTCAAACCCGAAGCACTGTGGCACTTAATGCGGAGATCATGGGTGCCACTCACTGATCTTTATAAAAAAATATCTGGATAGCCCAATTGGCTTTTAAAAATGAAGTCACCTTCAATTGTATTACCACCTCTTTAATGAACCACATAAAATAAGGAGACAAACAGTCAAGCTGTTTTGGGTACATTACTGGAGAACCATTTATTCTAAGGCTACTAGGTCAGACCAAATTGAATTAAGAAATTCTACAAGGCCAAACCACATACACTAGAGTAAATAACAGAATTGTAAATATCCTCATTTAATCGCAGTCTTTACCTATTTGATTAAATGTATTCAATTTTTAAGTAGTGAATATTAATTTGAATAGTGAATATTTTTTTATATAAACTTCTGTTGAGAAAAAATTGTATAATATACTTTAAAAAAAATTATTTTGAATTTATTGTAAATTTACGATGGTTAAACCGGAGCCATTACCATATTCGATTGAAAGACTTCAAAACCAGCATGTAGCTTCAAATGTGTTTTAAGTGCGCAGTGACAAATAAGGTATCTAGATTTTTCTAACATGGAGATCAGTCTTACGGCTATAATTTGTTATAGAGGGTGAGTAAAAAAAACCCCGAAATGTTGGGACCATTGTTTTATTGAAGTTCTGCCTGTAGCATTTTCAAAATGTAAGATATGAAAGCCCAAGTCTTGAGCTTTCTTTTAGAACAAGAATCATTCAAATCACTCATGTACTTTTCAAGTTACAGAATTTTAAACACAACCACCATTTTTAAGGTTCTGTCCACGGATCACAAAAAAGATCAGTGTTCTTTCAACAAAACGAAAAGAAATCACACAGGGATGTGTGTGAATTGTTTTCGGTTTGCTGAAAGAACGCACACCTTTTGTGTGATCTGTTGACAGAACTTTAAAATGGTTGTTTTGTTTAAAATTCCGTAACTTGAAAAGTTCATGAGTGATTTGAATGATATTGTACGAAAAGAAAGCTTATGAATTGGGCTTTCATATCCTAGATTTTGAAAGTGCTACATGCAGAACTTCAATAAAACAGTAGTCCCGACATTTGGGTTCTCGTTTTTTTTACTCACCCTGGAGAGGGCTGGGCTGGACATTGCCTGCTGGATATTATCTGGATACCCCAGCACCCAGTTGTGCAACACCTGGTTCTGAAATTCCTCAGTCACAGACTTGTAGAGATTTGAAAGCCATCAGCAGCCGTTTTCATGAATTTTTACGCAATGGCATACGTCCACTTGCGGCACAATTTATTGCACAAGTTGGGCAACATTTCAGTTATGACAATTTCACAAACGTTTCATAGTGCGTAAGTCCACGACCTGCGCAAGAAATTATGGCGCAATCATTTTATGTGACGTAAGTTGTGCCGTAGCAACTGAAAATGGCCTATTGTACCAGCAATCTTGATCGTCATGGAGTTTGCACAACTTATCAAAGTTGATACAAGACACTCACAGCTTTGTGTTTGAAGTAAAAGAATTGCTGTTGTACTCATGATAGCTGCACGATTCCGAAGAAAGTCGGCGGGAAAAATGTCTAAATGGCGGGCAGAGTTGATTCATTGACTGTTTCATGACCAAACAAAATCATACACAAGCAGCCGTCGTAAATGCTGTTATTATCCTCGTCCAAGATGTTTAGATTATTTAAAAGGTTGCGCAAGTTCGCCAAGTTTCGTGATATTGATAGTAAGGTAATTGCGCAGCTACGCATGAAATTAGTTGCGTAAGTCCTACGCATGGCGTAAGTTATGCACTGTTTCGTGAAATCGGCTGCTGGACTGTTGTAGTCGACACCATGACATGTTGAGAAAGTGGCGTCTTTCTTGTCATTTCACAAGAATAGCAATAGGCAAATTTCCAATTAGCACTGGATCTTGGGGCTTTTGCTCTCTAATGTAGTGAGCATTTGAAAAAAGAAGTTATGTCCTTACTGTCGTTTTTGTATAATGTATATTAGATTCGAACCAGCCAACCGATCCCGTTAGCTTTGTGGTCGAGTGGTAAGACATCTGCACTAGAAAGCAGGCGGTCGTGGGTTCGAGTCCCACCCGAGTGATTTTTTCCAACTTTCACTCGGGCGGTAACACACTGAGTATTCAGTGTTTATACGTCGGTGAAGGGCAAAACCTAATTTGATTTACATCACCCCGACAGAAAAAAAAATCCCATCTTATTAATTGTCGTTCAGTGGCTTAATTAGCACTGACATTGCAGCTTGCCTGTTAAAATTAAAATTCTTCTGTTCAACATTTTTGAGATGACCTGTTAAGGTTTTTCCCTCTTCCTTTTTTCCTCTTCTTTCAGAGAGGACAACTCCTTGTGACTCCATGCCCTGCATGAACAGCGGTTCCTGTTACTTTGAGATCAGCGCACAGGGGGATGCCTACAAGTGCTTCTGCACCGAGGGGTTTACCGGAGTCAATTGTGAAACAGGTCAGTCTCTCGAAAATTTTTAACTTTTTTTTATTTTTTCAAATCTTTCTAATGCCATGATGTAGAGCCCATTCTTTATCACTTTACATCGGACCTAGTTCGAAGAATCTGCCACGGTTGGCGTAGCGGTACTTTCCTTGCTTTCCACCGCTGTGACCCGGGTTCGAATCCCGCCTGAGCCAGCATGTGGATTGGGTTTTCAGTCCCTGCTTGATCCCGTGGGTTTTCCCCAGAATATACTTCTGGGGTTTTTCCTCCCACATCTAAAGCTTTAATTTCTTCTCATTGTCTTCAGGCTTGCAAGCTACAGTGCCTAGGGCACTTTTGAGGAATCCTTGGTTTCATTACCAGAAATATAGATAATAATCGTAATAATTAGCTTCCTGTGAAGAGATTGCACTGATCTTGAATTGCTGCATAAAACTGATCTGGTCGCCTGACGAACTGTGTTGAAAAAAAATGTGAAACGCTTTATGACACTCGTACAAAGCTATAACTTTTACACTTTTTTTTCTTCCCCCGGCTCATATTGCAGAGTTTGTTCCTCCTCCAATGTGCACCGACGACTACTGTCTGAATGGCGGGGCCTGCTCCATCGATTCCAGCGACAACAAGGTCTGCGGTTGCCAAGATGGATTTGCCGGGGAACGTTGCGAAAGAGGTAATCCTGATAAAAGCAAGATGTTTGGTTAGCATCTTAACAATAGCAGCAATAGATAAATCGTCACCGACACCATGAACTGACACTCAGTTGGGTGCGCGGCACGCACGCGTATTTTACAGAATCACGTTATTTTTGTTTTCATGAACTGACACCCGGCATAGTGCGTCACTTCGTAAATTTTCGTTTTCACGCACTGACCTTAATTTCACCAATGAAAACGGGTTTAATTAAATTGTAATTGTAAGCCCACAACTTTACGGATGTCAAACCTTTAAAAACGTTTTTCTCCGTGCTGTATTGCCGCAATATGTTTGGGTGTCAGTTCATGAAAACGAAAATCATCCTATTTTGCGTCAGTGTCCGATGTGCGCACGCAATACCGGGTGTCAGTTCGTGAAACCGAAGTTGTCGATCACGCGGTTTTCATGAACTGGCATCCACTAATGCGCGAGTGCCAGTTCGTGGTGTCGGTGACGCAATATAGCACACTTGGAAAAAATGGAAATGAGCCATAATAAACCCTTTAGCAACCGTACTACATTGTATTACATTGTGTTTATAACTGATGGATCCATAAAACCATGGAGTGCTCGGGCGGTTTTTGGGGGCTACAGGGAGTAATAGGCAGAGCGGATTGGAGCAGTATGTTGACCAATGGGCTCAAAGTTTAATTATTTTATGTTTTGACCAAACGAGAGTGCTTATGTGACACCATAACCAGTGACAATTAGTCTCGCATTAATTTACGATTTTTTTTTTTCAGAATGAAATCTGAAAATTGTCAGTGAATGTGATATTTCTATTCGCCCTAATACCCGCAAAAAAATAACCTTTTAACCAGTTCACATTGGGATTATTTTGACAAGAACAGAACAAGGCGCGGGATTACTTTTCACTCGACCTTAAGCCAGGCGGGTTTAAGCCATCACCCTCGGGCAGCACACTCGGCCTCGCTTGCTGCGAGCGGGTCGCTGACAGATATTTCCAGCCTCGCTCCCTGTGTTCTTATTTGTCAACCGTTGCAAATGCAACAAACTTTTGCATCAACACACGGCAGTGTTGTAGGTCTCAAGACCGGTCTCGAGACCACTTTTTGCTGGTCTCAGTCTCGGTCTCGGTCTCCAGAGCTGTGGTCTTGGTCTCGGTCTCGGTCCCCTTTGGTCTCGATATTTTGGCTGGTCTCGAGTCGAGACCGGCAATATTTAGCATTTACAGCTCGATCGATTACTTTGTGTTCACTTCGTTCAGTACCGTTGATAGGTCAAACATTTGCTAGCCCGTAGATAATGTTGTCAACCTTAATTCTTGTAAACGAATCGTTATATATCGTGATTGGTTCGGACTGCATGTTGGAAAGTCCCAAAGTACATGTAAAGCTGCAGCAGAACCAGTCATGCAGCGAAGCGAATCATTTTGAAAATAGCTCATTTGAAGTAACCCATGCTCAAAAAGCAAAATCCCAGTCAGAAAAAAAAATATCCATATCTGGCTACCACCTCGCAACTTGTGGGTCGATCTACATGTACAAGTTTATATTCCATGACAGAAATTTTAAAAAAAAATAGTTCAAAATTTTTTAGCTCCCATTTTTCAAAATCAGGTTTACAAGTCTTGGTAGAAGTTAAGTCCTGTTATTATCGGGCAAGATTGGGTGCAGACAACCTATCAGAGCTCATACTTTTTAAGTGTAACTACTTCTTGCTCAAGTGAGGTGTCATGTTTTAGTCAATTTTGTCAACACTGCCACTGGTCAAAATTTTGTCTGTAATCTTCGTGAAAGAAAAGGTCATGCGTCTTGTTTTTTATTTAGATTATTGTTATTTATTATCCACGGTCTCGGTCTCGGACAATATTGGTCTCAGTCTAAGTTCGCCTTGAAGGGGCTGGTCTCGGTCTCAGTCTCGAAACTTCAGGTCTCGGTCTCGGTCTCGGACTATCCGGTCTCGGCTACAACACTGACACACGGCCTCCGGCACAAACTGGTTAATGTGTATGTCATGTGCAGAACGTCATATAATTAAGGTCTAAGCACTTTTGGAGAATTCCGTTTAAAAATGTGGAGTCATGCTTTACACATTACTCTCATCCCTTTTCCACTTCTCACCATACAGTGTCGTGCCCCAGTAACACGTGCGAGGTCCCTTTCACAATACAGTGTTTAGTGACGGCTACCATGGAGTACATCTGTAGATGTATCGACGGATATCACGGCACGCGATGCGAAAGGGGTCAGTTTGTTTGTCTGTTGTTTATTTATGTTTGTTGGGTTGGTTTGTTTGTTTGTTTTATACAGGGTGAGTAAAAAAAACGAAACCCAAATGTTTGGACCATTGTTTTAGTGAAGTTCTGCATGTAGCACTTTCAAAATCTAGGATATTAAAGCCCAATTCATAAGCTTTTCTTTTAGTACAAGAATCATTCAAATCACTCATGTACTTTTTTGCTCAACCTGAATATTAACATCTTGCTCAGTGGTTATGTGTTAATATTCAGCCACTAGCCATATTTTGTGTCCTTGGGCAAGCCACTTCACCTACATTTGGCTTTCCCACCCAGGGTACCGGCATGCACGAGCTAGGGAGCAATAGAAATATCCGGTCCGTTAGTGTGACGTCAGTTCAGTTTAAACCTTTCCACTGGCCATTTAAGTCTCATTGGAACTATTGGAACCAGAAGTTGAACGCAACCTGAGCGTTTATCCAATGGGCATCAGTGGTTCATGCACGTGTATGACGTTTTTACTAACGAACCGGATGCTCAGTTGTTCCATGCCAAGGGAGTTAAAACATGAGGCTTTATCTTCAAATAAACTTGAATCCTCGATCCTGATTGGTCAATCCATGGCAACATAACCATGTAGCAAGGCCACGGTCCATACCGTACTCCGCGTGTTGCGCTATTCCAAGATGCGCGTGCCATTCCGTACAAACTTGAACATGCACATGTAATAGGATAAGCGCTGAAGTTTGTGTACAGCGTGCGTTTCATCTTGTGCATCAAGTTTGCTTGAAGATAAATTCGTTATCACACTCACGCTTGTGGAACACGGAAAATGTAGTGTCTTCGGCCTCGTGGTATGTGGGACACAGATGCACTACATTATTCCGTGTTCCACTCACGCTCGCGGGATAACTAATAATATCCATTGTGCTGGGAATCCATTGTCAATCTCAGTTCACTGCTAAAGCGATATTTGGTCTCTGTATGTGTCAACGTCAACATCAAAGCCTTCCCACCAACAGAAAACTTCCTCAATATATCTTTGTAGATATCTTCCTCAATCCCAGCCTCATTTTTAACTGTGTCATATGCTCTGTGCAGGTCCCTGCCCTGATGATTACTGCAAGAACAATGGCACCTGCATCCCGTTTGAAGGTGACTTTGTCTGTCGCTGCCAGCAGCCGTACTTTGGTGACACCTGCGAAACAGGTATGCTGGTTCACTATTGGTTCCGTGCGCCAACAAAAGAGGGCGCCCTTCAACCTAGCAATGATGTCCCATGGGTGGGACATTTAGCTGGTTGACATGCACTGTTCCTTGTACTTTGTGTGTGACGAACGTACACCAGGGGAATTGGACTATATGTACACGCAGAGGTACGGCCGCGCGTCGCAGCAAAATTGCAGTCAGGCAAGATGGCGTCGGTCGTTCACCCCCAACTATGTTTTCTTTGCCAGTGAGGGGGTACTTGTGAACGGAGCGGATACAAAGGCAATTAAATTTTGTCCAGTCTATCTGTTTTGTTGTTTTGGGGGTTTTTTTCACAAAAAAATCATTTTGCTGATAAATGCAGATGTACGAACATTTGATCAAGACTGCGCTATGCCTGTACAATATGGAGTCTGAAAGCCTCATTTTTCATTAAAAAAAAACGGAACGGAATATGGGGTCAACATGTTTAATTTTATTCACAGTCAACAATTGTTAATTGTTATATCCCAGTCTTGAATACTGTATTTTCAGTGGCCAAGAATGATCACATGTTTAGTTTATAAAAAGTCATAGCACACTTCCTGTGGGATATTACGTACGTGATATCCCACAGGGAGTGTGCTATGACTTTTTACGTGCGGTAGGCACGGTTTGAAACGCTGGTATCGTTGGCACCCACACTATTTTCGCTATGTTTTCACATATGAGTGGGAGCAGTGAACTAGCAGACGATCAGCTGTTTCGAGCACGTGACATGCACGTGAATTGCTGTTCGATTGTCATGATTGTTGTGTTTACTGCTGTTTATTTTTGCGATTTTTACATCGAAATCCAACGAATCCAAGACGGAGGTATTAACAAAACTCCGCCTTGGGTGCTATGTGCCAACAATTGTTAAATATTGTCAATATGTTTGACATTTTTGTGGATATCCAACCACGATGGATATCACTCCATTTTGGTGACTTCTTTCATGTTATTCTTTGTGTCGTTATCAAACACAGAGCTAAACACCTGTGCCCAGCAGCCGTGCCAGAACGGCGGAACCTGCGTTGAGCTAAGTGGAACCTCGCAATGCAACTGCCCCGCAGGGTTCTCTGGAACCATATGCCAGGATGGTAAGTTGCAAAACTTAAGAGTTGCAGGATTTTGTTTTTGTGCGGGAAGTCGTGAAAATCTTACAAAGGCATTGAGCTCAGGTCTGTAGCAAATGTAGTCTGAGTATCACCCGTTATCCACAGAGCCCAGTCTCCTGTCTAACGTCTGATATGTCTAAGCATGCGTGACGTCATTTCATCCCGAAATCAGGACTAAGATTGTGATTGGTCAATTTCGATGCCGCGTTTTCGTACAAGTTCTGTCACTGACCTAAAGATTCATGACTTTGTTCGCATATTTATATTGTTGGCAGTTGTGGCATTGATTGATGGATTGAGGGCATGCTGTGATGTAATGCGATTGTCAGCACAAACAATGTTGTCTTTTTAGTTAACAAAAAAACTCACGCATGGCTTGCAGCATTCCTGGAGTGTTTACAATTAACTTCAAAATCATGGAATGACACTTGGAATGATGCCAAAATAGGGAAATCACATGAAACTCTGGGCAGCAAAAAAGGAATGATTTTGGACAGTATGCTTTTCTGGCCTGTCGATTGTCAGGAGACTATCCTGAAACTACTTTTGAGAACCACACAAACTCACAAAAGAGATCAACTTCCATATGATATCTCCATAAATTTACAATTATTGACAGGCCTCTCCATGCAAACTTTCAAAATTGTACCAGTAAATGAAAAAAAAAACCTCTTGAGAAACGGTGGAAAGTATTTTAAAGATTCAGATATTACTGCATCTTGGAAAAAGAACACACACAAAAAATCCCACCCAAAAAGTCTGTATTATTTTGAAATTGTGCAAAAAGTGTCCGTAGAGTGATACAGTATAATGGACAATGTCTGGAATTGAATCATTAATGTCCCCTTTAGATCCTTGCTCCAAACAAGATTGCCAGAATGGTGCCACATGTGACGACACTGACCCTGAGGCGCCAATATGTCAGTGCTTGGCGGGCTTTGAAGGCGACAGATGCGAAATCAGTAAGTGTTTTGGGTGTTTTTTTTTCATTATTAAATATAGCATATTTCAAAGTGATGTTACATATCGGGATGATCTCAGCTTCGATTGTAAAATGTTGAACTACTGTGTAAAACAATGGAAGAAATGGATTGGCAAATCCTACACAAAAAAAAACATGTCGTTGTACATTCTGGTTCTCGTGCTAGCAAGCAATGTGAAAACAAATGTGAACGAACAAGGAGTTCTAGGAACGAAAACGGTGGACGTGAAAGGTCGTAAAACTCGTTTTTAATCATCTTCAAGTGATTTGTCATCGTTGTTTTTGTATAGCCCTATATCCTATATTGTATAGTCCTGAATCCTCCAATTGTAATATGATTTTGCACTCCCCCTAGGGAGTTAAATAGGGTTAATAATACCAAGATAAAACTCAAAACGTGAATGTTTCTTGTGATGTTTACGGTTAGAATTCATTCTGTCAACAATTATAACAAGAGAAAGGGAAACCCAGTGTGAATGCCCACAAGCAGGCCGTGCAAGGGTTCCAGAAGCCTGCCGCATGACCTTTTACTTTCAGGCTCTGTTTTATTGGTTGCTCAGCACTGTGACAGTGTTACCTTTCCAATTTTTTTTAGAACACCTGAGTGTTGGATCATATTTTTGAAGGCTATTTCCAAAAAGGAAAAACTTTTACAGGAGTCAGTTTTTGAAACTTTCATGTTCTCTATTATTTTCTCGCAATGTGTTTCTTTAAATTGGTTCAATCCCAAACAGGGGAGGCAGAACTGGGGGTGGGGGACACTCCCCCCACCCCCAGATTTTCCCAGGCCAACAAAAAAAACCTGCTTGCGGTTATAAATGTGCCCCCTCGAGATGAAAACAAAACTGCCCCTCAAATGCACATGTGTGAAAGCATATGATCGCACTACAAATAGAATTGTCTCCTCTCTCGCAATGCAAAAGTGCCCCTTAAAAATGGCTTGCATTAACAAGATGTGTGCACCTTCTCAAGATGGAAAACTACCCCTCAAAAGTACAAATCAGTACCCCTCTGGCGATACAAAATTGTGACCCTCTCAAGATGGAAAACTGGCCGTCAAAAACAGTAGTGCTCCTTTCGCAATACTTCTCGTGATGGAAAACTGCTCCTCGAAAGCACAATTAGTGCCCCGCTCGCAACATTAAAATTGTGCCCCCTCTCAAGATGGAAAACTGGCCCCTAAAAAAAGTCATTAAACTAAAAGCAATACTAAAAGCAATAGTGACCCTCTCGCGATAAAAAAAAATGGTCACTCTACATAACTTGGTAAAAGATCAAAGAGCAAGAAGGACAACGTATTCATAATTTGTTCCTCGTCATATAGGACCATATTCCTTTCCTCCACTTTCACACCGACGGAAGTGCCCCTTTTTGGTGTCCCCTCCCCAAGTTTGAAATGCATTCCAGCGCCACTAATCCCCAACATTCGTAGCTTGATATGTTTGTTGTTTTCCTTCCGTGGTAGATATCAACAATTGTGTGAGCAACCCATGCCAGAATGGTGGCACATGTGTTGACGGGATCTCTGGTTATTCATGTTCCTGCACCACGGGATTCGCCGGTGTAAACTGCGCCGAAGATTTAGGTAAGATTGTTTCTGTCTAGAGAATGGCCTGTATATGACTACTAAACAATTCAATTGGGACTGATATGTGATTGACTTGTGACAAATTCGTAGTTGGCATTTTTCATTGATTGTAATTGTCTTGTGATTGACTAGTGACTGAATTGAAACTGACTAGCTGCAACTGACTCACTGCTTACTCTCAGTTTGACTCGCGACCAACTTGCGACTGACTAGCGATTGACTTGTGACTGACGATAGAGATTGACTTGTGATTGACTAGCAATTGACTTGTGACTGAGTAGCGATTGACTTGTGATTGACTAGCGATTGACTTGTGATTGACTAGCGATTAACTTGTGACTGACGATAGAGATTGACTTGTGACTGACTAGCAATCGACTAATTGTGACTGACTAGCGATTGACTTGTGACTGACTGGCGACAGATTTGTGACCACTAGCGATTGACTTGTGACTGACTTGTGACTGACTAGCAATTGACTTGTGACTGACTTATGACTGACTAGCAATTGACTTGTGACTGACTAGCGAAAGATTTGTGACTGACTAGCGATTGACTTGTGACTGACTAGCGACAGATTTGTGACTGACTAGCGATTGACTTGTGACTGACTAGCGATTGACTTGTGACTGACTAGCGATTGACTTGTGACTGAACTGACTAGCGATTGGCTTGTGACTGACTTGTGACTGACTAGCGATTGACTTGTGACTGATTAGCGACAGATTTGTGACTGACTTGTGATAGACTTGTGACTTACTTGTGACTGACACCCAATTATGATTGGCTCTGATGTCAACTTTGGATTTTTTCCCCTGTTAACAGAGCTTTGCGTTAATGATATGCCCTGCCTGAACGGTGCAACTTGTATGAAAGGCTCGGGCGCCAGCAGTGGTGTGTGTGTCTGTCAGCCAGGCTATGAAGGCAACACCTGTCAATTAGGTGAGTTAGATGTATGGAGGACAAAATAGAAAAAAAACAGAAATCAGGTACATGAGATCCCTGCAGGATGGAGAGGATATATCCCAACCCAACATTTTAACCAGTTCGCGCCGGTTGGCGTGTATACACACGAAGGTTTTGTGGTATTCAGAACAGATGACGGATAAACACGCAGAGCACGAGGCCGGAAATATCTGTCAGTGACCAGCTCTCTGGAAATATATGAGTGTGCTGCCCGAGGGTGATGGCTTCAACCCACCTGGCTTGAGGTCGAGTGAAAATTAGTCCTGTGCCTCGTTCTATTTTTGTCAAAATAATCCCGGCGTGAACTGGTTAAAGATGCTTCCCTGTGCTTTTTTTTCAAGTTTCTTCCTGACAAATAGATTTCGTTTGTAATTTGCTATTTTTGTAGCAATACAAAAGTTATCTACTTTTGAATGAGACATCGACTGAAAGATCTGCTCGCGTTTATTTGTTGAATTAATACTTTTGTTACCCAGCTGTCATGTGGTAACGTTATTTCTATTGGGCAAAGACAAAAGAGAACACTGTTGTAAGTACGTCTGGTCACTTTGCCAAAATATGTGAAAAGTGTTTATTCAAACATCATAATAAACAAACAATGTACAAGAAAAAGGTTAAGTCAGTTTCCTAAATAACAACGCTTTAAATCAGTATGGCCAAAACTATCAAACTTCAGGAGAAACATCACTTTAAAACTAAAGGCCAACTACATGTACTATCTAACCTATAGGGGAAACTTAACTTAATAATCTCATGGCCACAACTACCAGAACTCTTATCTGCCATCTTAAAGATAAACACACTACTCAGGCTGGCCAGCACCCTTGTTGCTATAGCAACAGACTTTCCACTGCATGGCTCAACTCCAGCCAAGTCAATGGCCTGGGGCATACTACTGCTCCCCCAGTGCTACCCTTACTGTGTGACAGGTTGTCTTTCCACACTACACACACAAGCAAGTCATTGTTCTAGCTAGCCTAATTAGTATTCACCCTCCACAACGTGGCAAGGCCATGCTTCAGCTTATCTATATACACTCAGTGCTTGCAATGGAAGTTTCCTTGGCTACATGGTGAAACTTACATTCAATGTTAAAATCTACTAGCACAGTTTACTATAAAACATACATGGTCCAATTCCTTAAATGAATGAAATCCAAGTTATCAACTCCACAAACATTAATCACCAAACTTTCCTCAAATCCAGGAAACTTAGTGAAACTTTCCATGAATAACTGAAGTGAATAACTAAAGTTAAGTTGCTAAAAACTAATCAAACTTATATCATCTTAAATCTCATCCAAAGTTACAAAAAGTGAATATACAAACAATAATGAAAATATCTAAGCATCATAAAACAAACTTCAATCATGTCAAATCTCTAGGGAACTTGGCAAAAGAGTAAACTTGACAAATTCAAAGAACAATTTACCTTCAACCAACTGATCAACTCAAGTCATTGATTGTATACTCCAAGTAAATGAAAATGTGAACAACAGAAATAAAGGAACCTAGATGTGAATAAAAAGAAAGAAACATTTGTACATACCTATTGGGCAAAGACAAAAGAGAACACTGTTGTGAATACGTCTGGTCACTTTGCCAAAATATGTGAAAGTGACTAGGTGTGGCAGGGCCAAATTGAACTTGTAGTTTTTACTGTATTGCTTTTAGTGTTTAGGTATAGGTGTAGCTCCCCTGAATAAATCACCCCTTTTTATTAGATGTCCCCTACCCTTTCATAGAGTGTGTACCCCTGATTAACTTTTCCCTCTTCCCCAGTAACATGACCCCTTAGAACAATAGCCCCTTTGATAAGACCCATGTGCTCTGCCACCCTGCAAGTCCACAGCCCCTCACTTAACAGACCAGCGGCGGTAGAGAGAGGACTGCGTATTATATATCCACTCTTCCCCTTTTCTTGGGAGCGCCTGCCCTGTGTGTTTATCTGCTCGAGTCACCTGGTGAGTTTTATTGTGAAATTGTTGTTCTTTTATATTGTATAATCATGTTTTGAGTTCTAGTGCAGTTTTTGGAAGGTTTTTACTTAGTTATGGTCTAAAGTGTGTTTTTGTCTTTGGAAAGTTTTTGTGAAAGTTTAATTTTGAAGCTTGAGATTTTACTGTTCCATGATGGGTTATGATTTGGATTCTGCACAATTATATTTTCTTTCTTACCTTTTTGACATATATGGAGTAAGGATGAGTATTGTTTTTTAAAGGAGTTAAGTTTCTTTGACTATAGTTTTACAGGTTGGAAGAATGTTTTTCATGAGTTTACATTTATTGAGTTTTGTTTTATAGCTTTTGGTTCCTCTCTGAAAGATGACATGATTTGCTTGGAGAATTGATTTTTGTTGAGAAAGATTCATATTTTACCCCTAGAACATGTAGATTGAATGACTTTTTAGTGTATCTCTACCATTGTTTAAGCTAAGTGGTTTGACTTTCCCACAGATCTAGAGACCCAAGTGTATAAATTCCTTTCTTAGAAGATCACCAGATGTTTATTCATGAAATTAGACTTGTCTTAGTCCCACTTCCTTCACTGCATTTTCTTTTATGTTTAAATCCACTTTTACCACCTGTTTACATTGAGGCTTAGTTTGATTGTCTTAGACTGGGTGAAGTCTAATTAGAAGTTATGTGGAACAGATAAGAGCCATGGATTAGTACTCATTAGATATTCAGCCAGAAACTTGTGTTGCCATTGTGTATGTTGGGCATTAGTGACCTTGTGTAACATGCTGTACATAATAGAGTTAGACTGCGCTATTTAACCAATTTAACTTTCTTTTGATATATTTCTTAATTGTGTTCTTTCTTTTCTTGTCTTTTCTTGATTTTTAGGTTTCAGTCAGAGTGCATTTAAGTTCCATTATTTTGACGCTCTGTGTTGGTTGTTTTTTTTCCCCCGTCTTCTTTAGTTTTTTTGGTTGGGTTTATTTACTTTTCATTTCCAATTACTTTTTGTTTCCAATTTGATTTTTTTTTTTTCCAAAGTTATTAATTTCTGGCTTTGTTTTCCCAAAAGGTTTTTTTTTTTGTCACATTTCAAGGGTTTTTTTTTTGTGAATGTAAAACTTGCAGTTAATCCTGGATTAAATTGTTTTTTTTGTAAAGTTCCATCCCAATTCAGTCTGTCTCTTTCTTTTTTTAAAATTTGTCCCAGTTTTCTATTAAATTTTTCGCGACTTATCAATTTGAACCAGGCCTTTACAGATATTTTCTTTAGTGAACCGTTTTTCTTCGTTACATTTTTTGGTGCCGAAACCCGGGATTGATTATTTTCTTTTGGAAATTAGCCATTTATTTTTTCGTTAGCTGGGACATTTTTTTTTTTTTTTCAAAATTCTCCGCCATCTTTTCCCCTAGATTTTTTTTTAAACAAACCAACACAGAGCTGATTTTAGTGGATCCTGACAGTGCATGATGGCTGAACCAGCGGTACTGACACCACTTCAGATGTGTGGATTCGATCCAGCGCCAGAAAGCTCCAAACTCATCGATCTTGAGTCATTGCCCAGTGCAGAAACGCAGCCAAGCATGCTGGCAATTCTTCAGCACCAGACGTACATGCAGGAGGTCATCTTGCAGCAGTTCAGACAGATCGACATGCTAAAGTCGATAGTCAGTAGGGTTGTTGGGGAACAACAGCAACAGCGGCAGTATATCCGAAGCCTGGAGGTAGCCCTGTTCGAAAGTATGGCCCAGCGTCCACGAGTTTTCCCCATCCCTACCCCTAAGCCTGACCTGAAGACGACCGAAGTTCCTCCCCGCGAGAATGTGCATACCGATGGTGACGAGTCTGGTGGATGTTCTGACAAGGCACAGAGCTGCAGCGATGAAGGCACGAGCGGCCCACAGCCAAATCTACTGCAGGCCCTGCAGGCCCAGCAGAGCGATGCAGCTATAAAGAGAGTCGTCGAGCTGAAGGAGGCAAGTCCAACTAGGATGAGTAACAGGAAGATGGAGAAGGAGTCCCGAGTAGTGAGGAATCTACTCCATGCATGGGATCGTCTTGAGGTCAAGGGCGGACTCCTGGTCTTCAGAAAAGGCGGAGACAAGCCGCGCTTCCTGGTGGTCCTCCCTCGACAACTGCGAAGGGCGGCATTTCGTAGTCTGCACAGAACCATGGAGACATCGAGCTACGGCAGAGTGCTGAAAGTGGTCCGAGAGCGATATTTCTGGCCAAGTCTCCACAATGAAACAATGGGCTATATGAGACAGCATCGAAAGGGAACACGGCAACTGGAGGTCTTCAATGTCCCACCGCCTCATGAGTTCCGGGATGTGGGCCGAGGACCCTGATGATGGCTTTATTCACATTTTTCTAGTCTAGTTTGTGGATATTCTGAAGGTGTCGTTATCAATTGTATATTTTTGTTTATGTTTGTTTGTTTGTTTTATTCATGTTTAATTGAATCAATTTTTTTTTTAATGCCATTGCTGGGGACAGCAATATTTTAAAGATGGCGTGAGTGTGGCAGGGCCAAATTGAACTTGTAGTTTTTACTGTATTGCTTTTAGTGTTTAGGTATAGGTGTAGCTCCCCTGAATAAATCACCCCTTTTTATTAGATGTCCCCTACCTTTTCATAGAAGTGTGTACCCCTGATTAACTTTTCCCTCTTCCCCAGTAACATGACCCCTTAGAACAATAGCCCCTTTGATAAGGCCCATGTGCTCTGCCACCCTGTAAGTCCACAGCCCCTCACTTAGCAGACCAGCGGCAGTAGAGAGAGGACTGTGTATTATATATCCACTCTTCCCCTTTTCTTGGGAGCGCCTGCCCTGTGTGTTTATCTGCTCAAGTCACCTGGTGAGTTTTGTTGTGAAATTGTTGTTCTTTTATATTGTATAATCATGTTTTGAGTTCTAGTGCAGTTTTTGGAAGGTTTTTACTTAGTTATGGTCTAAAGTGTGTTTTTGTCTTTGGAAAGTTTTTGTGAAAGTTTAATTTTGAAGCATTGAGATTTTACTGTTCCATGATGGGTTATGATTTGGATTCTGCACAATTATATTTTCTTTCTTACCTTTTTGACATATATGGAGTAAGGATGAGTATTGTTTTTTAAAGGAGTTAAGTTTCTTTGACTATAGTTTTACAGGTTGGAAGAATGTTTTTCATGAGTTTACATTTATTGAGTTTTGTTTTATAGCTTTTGGTTCCTCTCTGAAAGATGACATGATTTGCTTGGAGAATTGATTTTTGTTGAGAAAGATTCACATTTTACCCCTAGAACATGTAGATTGAATGACTTTTGTAGTGTATTTCTACCATTGTTTAAGCTAGGTGGTTTGACTTTCCCACAGATCTAGAGACCCGAGTGTATAAATTCCTTTCTTAGAAGATCACCAGATGTTTATTCATGAATTAGACTTGTCTTAGTCCCACTTCCTTCACTGCATTTTCTTTTATGTTTAAATCCACTTTTACCACCTGTTTACATTGAGGCTTAGTTTGATTGTCTTAGACTGGGTGAAGTCTAATTAGAAGTTATGTGGAACTGATAAGGAACATGGATTAGTACTCATTAGATATTCAGCCAGAAACTTGTGTTGCCATTGTGTATGTTGGGCATTAGTGACCTTGTGTAACATGCTGTACATAATAGAGTTAGACTGCGCTATATAACCAATTTAACTTTCTTTTGATATATTTCTTAATTGTATTCTTTCTTTTCTTGTCTTTTCTTGATTTTTAGGTTTCAGTCAGAGTGCATTTAAGGTCCATTATTTTGACGCTCTGTGTTGGTTTTTTCTTTTCGTCTTCTTTAGTTTTTTTGGTTGGGTTTATTTACTTTTCATTTCCAATTACTTTTTGTTTCCAATTTGGTTTTTTTCCAAATTTATTAATTTCTGGTTTTGTTTTCCCAAAAGGTTTTTTTTGTGAATGTAAAACTTGCAGTTAATCCTGGATTAAATAGTTTTTTTTGTAAAGTTCCATCCCAATTCAGTCTGTCTCTTTCCTTTTTTAAATTTGTCCCAGTTTTCTATTAAATTTTTCGCGACTTATCAATTTGAACCAGGCCTTTACAGATAGTTTCTTTAGTGAACCGTTTTTCTCCGTTACATAGGCACACTCACATGCACTCTGTGTTGTCTTTGGCCAATTCCAATTTTTTATGGGGGTGTTACTTTCTACAAAAACTTCACTCTGGAGGGGTTGTACTACAGAGGGGTTCTACACTTTACAATGTTGAATTTTTGGCTGCCAGACAAAGTTATTGCCTGGCACACGATAACTCCCGTTCTCGTGGGATATGCTGGTTCCTGCCTCACTATCAGCATCGATGATGTACGTACTGGGAGCCAGTCTGCTTGCAAAGTGGATCGCTTTTGTGTCCAAAACAAAACAATTTTTTTTTCAGAAGTTTTCAGACTTCTAGTTTGTGGAATCGAGAATCCGTAATCAACTTTACGTGTTAGTAAATCGTCAGAACAAGAAACAGAAAGGTTTCGAATGCCATTTATGGGAATTTTTAAAAATGAAAATCAGGCTACATGGAAAAACAAAAAAACAGATTGTGTTAATGCCATGCCGTCGTCAGTACATGCACTCTAAAAATTGTTTGTAACAATTTGTAAAGTCGTGTATTGAAGTTTTATAAATGGAGTCAAGATATTTACAGAAATGTTATAGTCACACGAAGCATGATTAAGAAACGTATGGTGTTCCACATATGCCATTGGCGTCACATTTTTCACCGGAGCTTATTGTGCACTCGCACTTGTTCTCAATTGGGTACCCGATATGCATTATGTGCAAATTAGCCAGACACATGCATTACTTCCTATGTACTGTAGATCCTAACCACGTGTAGCTATTTATTTATTTATTTATTTCTTATTTTAACTGGGTGGCCCATTCAGTGGAATCCACTGGTCTTCCATGGGTCCCAGAAAAGAGAAGACAATGTGAAGAAATTACAGTTGTAGACGTGGGGGGAAAAGCCCAGAAGAGTATTCTGAGGAAAACCCACGGAATCAGGTAGGGACTGAAAACTCAATCCACATATTGGCCCAGGCGGGATTCGAACCCGGGTCACAGCGGTGGAAGGCGAGGAAAGTACCGCTACCCCAACCTGACTCCCCTAACGCCAACCTGACTCCCTGAAAAGCAAAACAAGTACCACTGCACCAACCTTCCTCCACTTAATACTAAATAGGGCAAGAACTGATCTCAAACCATGATTGTAACCCATTTCCATCATGTATCACCCTTTCTTCAGATGTTGACGAGTGCGCCAGTAATCCTTGCCAGAACAATGCCGAGTGTCTGAACCGTCTCAACATGTTCAGCTGCGCCTGCAAGAATGGCTACACTGGCTCCAAGTGTGAACAAAGTAAGAAACCACGTACTACTCCAACCGGGCTTACTTATATGCATCTACCATACAATCTCTGCACTGACGACTGGTAGAAACAGATTGAAATTGGGCTCACGGTACAGATGTCACGGTGCCGTTTTCATCAAATTCATTGGCATTTTATGAAAGAAATCAGACTCAGATTTTTGATTAAAATCAGAAAAATTGAGAGGTATTAGAGTGTGTCGTTCATGAGGGTCAGGGGTTCGAATCAAGCTTTTGGCCAGGCACTCAATGTCCTCTCTCCCGATGTGCCATTATTAGCTTTTCAAAGTCACAATGAACCTAAGAGTAAGATCAACTCAGGTTGACCCAAGTTGACCCAAATTGACTCCTCGAGTCTCTTCAGATAGTCTCTTCAGATATGAGAGCAGAGATGGTTTATGGGACTGGTTTCAGCTGACTTGCTCCCGGAATGGCAGCATCCGGCTGTATACTCCCCAGTGAACTGAGATGATCTTTGGAATGTTTCATTGGCCTACTGAAAAAGTGTAATAAGGATGGGCTACCTTGAGCGTCAACATCTTTATTTAAACTGCATAATTATTATTCTTATGTTTATTTTTATGTATGTCTTTCTTTCTGGTAATGAAACCAAGGATTCCTCCAAAGCACCGTAGGCACTGTAGCTCGAAAGCCTGAAGAAACCTGCAGGGAGAAGACAATGAGAAGAAATTACAGATTCAGAGGTGGGAGGAAAACCCCCAGAAGAACATTCTGGGGAAAACCACGGAATCATGCAGGCAGGGACTGAAAACCCAATCCACATTTGGACCAGGGCAGGAATTGAATCCGAGCCACAGCGGTGGAAGGCGAGGACAGTAACCACTGCGCCAACCTGACTCTCATGAAACCTGACTCTCAAAATGTAAAGACTGAATTGTTGTTGACTAACCCCATCATTTGTTTTTGTGTCTGTCCATTTTTCCAGAACCAGGAGTCACCGACCAGCCAGGCAATGAGACACTTACTTTGGCCCTGGAGCCTTGGTGGATTGCCCTGATCTGTCTTATCGGTGTCCTCTTCATTATATTCATCATCGTCGTCTTGTGCACCATGAATCGCAACAACGACGAGGAGGACAAGAAGCACATGATGGTCAACCCTTAAAAAAAAGATGCAAGTACCCGAAAAGGATCAGCTAGGCAACAGATTTCATCGAGATGCTGAGCGGAAAAGTACTGCTAAGCAGATTTTCCTGCTGAGAAAATTCAGCAGATTACCAGTCATAAGCTGTATATGTAACGAAGAAAAACGGTTCACTAAAGAAAATATCTGTAAAGGCCTGGTTCAAATTGATAAGTCGCGAAAAATTTAATAGAAAACTGGGACAAATTTTAAAAAAAGAAAGAGACAGACTGAATTGGGATGGAACTTTACAAAAAAAACAATTTAATCCAGGATTAACTGCAAGTTTTACATTCACAAAAAAAAAACCCTTGAAATGTGACAAAAAAAAAAACCTTTTGGGAAAACAAAGCCAGAAATTAATTACTTTGGAAAAAAAAAAATCAAATTGGAAACAAAAAGTAATTGGAAATGAAAAGTAAATAAACCCAACCAAAAAAACTAAAGAAGACGGGGGGAAAAAAACAACCAACACAGAGCGTCAAAATAATGGAACTTAAATGCACTCTGACTGAAACCTAAAAATCAAGAAAAGACAAGAAAAGAAAGAACACAATTAAGAAATATATCAAAAGAAAGTTAAATTGGTTAAATAGCGCAGTCTAACTCTATTATGTACAGCATGTTACACAAGGTCACTAATGCCCAACATACACAATGGCAACACAAGTTTCTGGCTGAATATCTAATGAGTACTAATCCATGGCTCTTATCTGTTCCACATAACTTCTAATTAGACTTCACCCAGTCTAAGACAATCAAACTAAGCCTCAATGTAAACAGGTGGTAAAAGTGGATTTAAACATAAAAGAAAATGCAGTGAAGGAAGTGGGACTAAGACAAGTCTAATTTCATGAATAAACATCTGGTGATCTTCTAAGAAAGGAATTTATACACTTGGGTCTCTAGATCTGTGGGAAAGTCAAACCACCTAGCTTACAATGGTAGAGATACACTAAAAAGTCATTCAATCTACATGTTCTAGGGGTAAAATATGAATCTTTCTCAACAAAAATCAATTCTCCAAGCAAATCATGTCATCTTTCAGAGAGGAACCAAAAGCTATAAAACAAAACTCAATAAATGTAAACTCATGAAAAACATTCTTCCAACCTGTAAAACTATAGTCAAAGAAACTTAACTCCTTTAAAAAACAATACTCATCCTTACTCCATATATGTCAAAAAGGTAAGAAAGAAAATATAATTGTGCAGAATCCAAATCATAACCCATCATGGAACAGTAAAATCTCAAGCTTCAAAATTAAACTTTCACAAAAACTTTCCAAAGACAAAAACACACTTTAGACCATAACTAAGTAAAAACCTTCCAAAAACTGCACTAGAACTCAAAACATGATTATACAATATAAAAGAACAACAATTTCACAATAAAACTCACCAGGTGACTCGAGCAGATAAACACACAGGGCAGGCGCTCCCAAGAAAAGGGGAAGAGTGGATATATAATACGCAGTCCTCTCTCTACCGCCGCTGGTCTGTTAAGTGAGGGGCTGTGGACTTGCAGGGTGGCAGAGCACATGGGTCTTATCAAAGGGGCTATTGTTCTAAGGGGTCATGTTACTGGGGAAGAGGGAAAAGTTAATCAGGGGTACACACTCTATGAAAGGGTAGGGGACATCTAATAAAAAGGGGTGATTTATTCAGGGGAGCTACACCTATACCTAAACACTAAAAGCAATACAGTAAAAACTACAAGTTCAATTTGGCCCTGCCACACTCACGCCATCTTTAAAATATTGCTGTCCCCAGCAATGGCATTAAAACAATTGATTCAATTAAACATGAATAAAACAAACAAACAAACAAACAAACATAAACAAAAATATACAATTGATAACGACACCTTCAGAATATCCACAAACTAGACTAGAAAAATGTGAATAAAGCCATCATCAGGGTCCTCGGCCCACATCCCGGAACTCATGAGGCGGTGGGACATTGAAGACCTCCAGTTGCCGTGTTCCCTTTCGATGCTGTCTCATATAGCCCATTGTTTCATTGTGGAGACTTGGCCAGAAATATCGCTCTCGGACCACTTTCAGCACTCTGCCGTAGCTCGATGTCTCCATGGTTCTGTGCAGACTACGAAATGCTGCCCTTCGCAGTTGTCGAGGGAGGACCACCAGGAAGTGCGGCTTGTCTCCGCCTTTTCTGAAGACCAGGAGTCCGCCCTTGACCTCAAGACGATCCCATGCATGGAGTAGCCTCCTCACTACTCGGGACTCCTTCTCCATCTTCCTGTTACTCATCCTAGTTGGACTTGCCTCCTTCAGCTCGACGACTCTCTTTATAGCTGCATCGCTCTGCTGGGCCTGCAGGGCCTGCAGTAGATTTGGCTGTGGGCCACTCGTGCCTTCATCGCTGCAGCTCTGTGCCTTGTCAGAACATCCACCAGACTCGTCACCATCGGTGTGCACATTCTCGCGGGGAGGAACTTCGGTCGTCTTCAGGTCAGGCTTAGGGGTAGGGATGGGGAAAACTCGTGGACGCTGGGCCATACTTTCGAACAGGGCTACCTCCAGGCTTCGGATATACTGCCGCTGTTGCTGTTGTTCCCCAACAACCCTCCTGACTATCGACTTTAGCATGTCGATCTGTCTGAACTGCTGCAAGATGACCTCCTGCATGTACGTCTGGTGCTGAAGAATTGCCGGCATGCTTGGCTGCGTTTCTGCACTGGGCAATGACTCAAGATCGATGAGTTTGGAGCTTTCTGGCGCTGGATCGAATCCACACATCTGAAGTGGTGGCAGTACCGCTGGTTCAGCCATCATGCACTGTCAGGATCCACTAAAAACAGCTCTGTGTTGGTTTGTTTTAAAAAAAATCTAGGGGAAAAGATGGCGGAGAATTTTGAAAAAAAAAAAAAAAATGTCCCAGCTAACGAAAAAATAAATGGCTAATTTCCAAAAGAAAATAATCAATCCCGGGTTTCGGCACAAAAAATGTAACGGAGAAAAACGGTTCACTAAAGAAACTATCTGTAAAGGCCTGGTTCAAATTGATAAGTCGCGAAAAATTTAATAGAAAACTGGGACAAATTTAAAAAAGGAAAGAGACAGACTGAATTGGGATGGAACTTTACAAAAAAAACTATTTAATCCAGGATTAAATGCAAGTTTTACATTCACAAAAAAAACCTTTTGGGAAAACAAAACCAGAAATTAATAAATTTGGAAAAAAACCAAATTGGAAACAAAAAGTAATTGGAAATGAAAAGTAAATAAACCCAACCAAAAAAACTAAAGAAGACGAAAAGAAAAAACCAACACAGAGCGTCAAAATAATGGACCTTAAATGCACTCTGACTGAAACCTAAAAATCAAGAAAAGACAAGAAAAGAAAGAATACAATTAAGAAATATATCAAAAGAAAGTTAAATTGGTTATATAGCGCAGTCTAACTCTATTATGTACAGCATGTTACACAAGGTCACTAATGCCAAACATACACAATGGCAACACAAGTTTCTGGCTGAATATCTAATGAGTACTAATCCATGTTCCTTATCAGTTCCACATAACTTCTAATTAGACTTCACCCAGTCTAAGACAATCAAACTAAGCCTCAATGTAAACAGGTGGTAAAAGTGGATTTAAACATAAAAGAAAATGCAGTGAAGGAAGTGGGACTAAGACAAGTCTAATTCATGAATAAACATCTGGTGATCTTCTAAGAAAGGAATTTATACACTCGGGTCTCTAGATCTGTGGGAAAGTCAAACCACCTAGCTTAAACAATGGTAGAGATACACTACAAAAGTCATTCAATCTACATGTTCTAGGGGTAAAATGTGAATCTTTCTCAACAAAAATCAATTCTCCAAGCAAATCATGTCATCTTTCAGAGAGGAACCAAAAGCTATAAAACAAAACTCAATAAATGTAAACTCATGAAAAACATTCTTCCAACCTGTAAAACTATAGTCAAAGAAACTTAACTCCTTTAAAAAACAATACTCATCCTTACTCCATATATGTCAAAAAGGTAAGAAAGAAAATATAATTGTGCAGAATCCAAATCATAACCCATCATGGAACAGTAAAATCTCAATGCTTCAAAATTAAACTTTCACAAAAACTTTCCAAAGACAAAAACACACTTTAGACCATAACTAAGTAAAAACCTTCCAAAAACTGCACTAGAACTCAAAACATGATTATACAATATAAAAGAACAACAATTTCACAACAAAACTCACCAGGTGACTTGAGCAGATAAACACACAGGGCAGGCGCTCCCAAGAAAAGGGGAAGAGTGGATATATAATACACAGTCCTCTCTCTACTGCCGCTGGTCTGCTAAGTGAGGGGCTGTGGACTTACAGGGTGGCAGAGCACATGGGCCTTATCAAAGGGGCTATTGTTCTAAGGGGTCATGTTACTGGGGAAGAGGGAAAAGTTAATCAGGGGTACACACTTCTATGAAAAGGTAGGGGACATCTAATAAAAAGGGGTGATTTATTCAGGGGAGCTACACCTATACCTAAACACTAAAAGCAATACAGTAAAAACTACAAGTTCAATTTGGCCCTGCCACATATACACCGCAAGGCAATCTGGTTGGTAACCTGTTTTTTGATTTAGCAAATATGTGATGCCATCAAGCTAATTAAGTAGTTAATCGGCCCTTTTCAATTTTTTTTTTAATATTTTTGAATAGAGCTATTTTACAGTTTATATTTTGTGAAAACCCCATGTAATACGACCTTCCGTTCAGAAGTTATGGGACTTAGAACACAGGCAGATCAAAAAGAAGAAAACAGAAATCAAACAGAGAAATCAATGATTCAAAATTGAAGTGTTTATTAAGCAACACTAAACATGCCTTATTTCAGGTTATTGAATATTAACTCCTTAGCAAATTGTCACATTTTAACTACTTTATTCTTGGGTTTTTCTCGGAAAAAAAATAGTTGACATGAAAGAGGACATATGTAGCCCTTACAATTTTACAAAAAAAGTCCATTTTGAAATTT